TGGCTTGCAAAATATTCCGACTTGCAAAATATTTCGACTTGCGAAATTTTTTGGCTGGCAAAATATTTCGACTTGCGAAATTTTCTGGCCTGCAAAATATTCCGACTTGCAAAATATTTCGACTTGCGAAATTTTTTGGCTGGCAAAATGTTTTGCGCTGCGAAATATTTCGAGGTGCGAAATATCTTGAGTTGTGAAATATTTTGCGTTGCAGAGTATTTCGCTTTGCGAAATATTTTAAGTGGCAAAACATTTCGCGTTGCAACATAGCCGGGAGCTGCTGGGCGATGGGAGCCGGGCGATGAAGGTCGGCAATCGAGCGATGGGAGTTGGGAACCCGTGCTTTCTGCTCTCCCCGTGCCGCCCGCTTTCAAAGCTGCAAAAACGGGGGAAGCGGTTTCTTCGGGGGGTTGATGTTGCGAAAAATTTTCTGGTCAGAATAGTTTCCGAGGGTGGAAAAAGATTCTGAGTTGCAAGATATTCCGACATCCAAAATATTTTGCCTCGCAAAGTATTAGTTTCGAAATATTTTGAGTTGCAAAATATTTTGCGTTGCAGAGTATTTTGATTCGCAAATTATTGCGAGTTGCAAAATATTTTGCGTCGCAAAATAGTCGGGCGATGGGCATTGGGCGATTGGAGTTGGGCGATGAAAGTTGGGAGCTGGGCGATGGGGATTGGGAAGTGGGCGATGAAAGTTGGGAGCTAGGCGATGGGAGTGGTGGCTAGTTTGGCGATGCGAATTGGGCGGTGGGCGGTGGGCGATTTCGCAAATCGCGAAACTTTTGGGACGTTTGAAAACTGTAAAAAAATTTTCGGCGTGGACGATTTTCCTCCCCGTCGCAAAATTTTAACTTCCGCAGCTCAGCAATAGGAGTTATATGCTTTGTTGCAGCTCTATTTTAGCTTGCCAGAATACTTATACTCAAACTCATCTAGAAGTTTCGTTTCCCTTTGTTCATCTACTGTAGGGCCATCGCGCTCCGGATCGTGCGGAAGGTGATGGAACTGAGCAACGACCCAACGTTCGAGTGGCAAACGCGCCCCTCGCTGGTGACCGCGGAGGAGCTGATGGAGCTGTGCGACTCCGTGTTCGAGAAAATCTCGGAGGAGAACTCGCTTGTGCGTGTCGAGCTGCCCTGCCGCGTGTACGGGGACATCCACGGGTATGGAACTGTCAGGATCGAAATTGACAAAGTCGAAAAATTTGTGATGCATAAAATGCATGACGCGAAATACGTGTGTTGCAGAGCGGGCAAGTGAGGCCGATTGTGGGCCTGTTTGGGTTTATTGCTCGAGCTGCTAAAGCAGCATGAGAGAATCAGTCCTCTTTGCCTAAACAGCATTACAAACTGGATTTAGGCACCGCCAGAATTTGTGATGCGCCATTTAGAAACTGGGTTCGAACTGGAATCCATTTTATGCATGACAAATCATTTCGCTTTTGTCAATTTCGATTCTGACACTTCCATAACGGGCAGCTGCCGGACTTGCTGCACTTCTTCAACGCCTTCTCGTGGCCCGACAAGCGGCGGGGCGACATCTTTGCGATGAACTACATTTTCCTCGGGGACTTCGTGGACCGGGGCAATTACTCCGCCGACGTGGTCACTCTGCTGTTTGCGCTGAAAGTGCTCTACCCCAAGAAGATCTACCTCGTGCGCGGCAATCACGAGGACCGGTTGATGAACCAGAACTACGGATTTCTGCAGGATTGTCACTTCCTCTTCCCCGGCCCTGCTGTGGACACAGCAGGAGGTGGTGGGGAACAACTGCATGGAGAAGAGAAGGAAAACAATAACGCAACCGACGCCAGCAACGCGGAAGAAAACACCGTCGGGTAGAAACAAATAGTTGGGGTTGAAGATGCCTTGCCTTGTATACAGGCGGAAGTGCAGCTGCAAGGTTTTTTTGTTCGGACTCTCGCAAGAAGTAAAGAAATCGAAAAATATACGAATCAGGTTTCAGGTGTGGGAGCGCGTCAACGATGCGTTTGAATTTCTACCCATCGCCGCACTGGTGGATGACCAGGTACTGTGCATCCACGGTGGAATCGGGGATTCGATCCACAGTTTGGACGACCTGCGCGACATCCCGAAGCCGATCAAGATCTCTCCCGAAATCACCGAGGAAACCACCCGGCAGGACAAAATCGTGTTGGACGCGCTTTGGTCGGACCCGACAGATAATGACTCCGTGCTGGGCGTCCACCTGTCCCCCCGGGGCCAAAACACCTGCCGCTTCGGCCCCGACCGGGTGCACGACTTCAATAAGCGGAACAACCTCAAGATGATCATTCGGGCTCACGAGTGCGTGCAGTATGGGTAAATAAAAGTGCTGGAAAATTTTGATGCTGCACATGAATGCAACTCTGATGTCCTACCAAGCGTTGTAATACCTAGATTGATACCAGCGCCGCGCCTTCATCTCTTTACGTAATAGATGTGTTGTTCGAAGTTTTCTTTAATATTTCCACTTCTTGGAGGACGTCGATGAAATCCATTCGCGTTTTTGTTCACATCATTACAGCTACGAGTACTTCGCAAACGGCCAGTTGTTGACCGTTTTTTCCGCCACGAACTACTGTAACCAGTACAATAACGACGGCAGCATGGTGGTGCTCATCAAGAATCCCGACGGTTCAGTCGCCGAGCACGCACAGGTAATTCGCTCGGGTGCCGCAGACACGGCCCACGGTTGGGCCCCGGAGCAGTACCGGGACCCATCGCCAATGCGAGGGAATTCTGCATGTTGATCGCCTCCATGTGGGGCGACGACAGCTGCGTTCGTGGTCCCGGCGCTCTTCGTTCTAAGTATAGGTAAGCCTAATCTTGCGAAAAGCGTTGGCATGACGGACGCCACAGCCATAGCATATCTACCTCATCGAAATTTTGCAGCTCGTGCTGTTCTCCCACTTTTGGTACCGCGGGCACGTCGGCGCATTCCTTTCCTTTTTGATACCACAAACGCTGACGCCGTTTCGTTTTTTTGTGGATGTGCCTCTTTAGTTTTTGTGTACTACTGATTCCGCTGCCGCCACTGCTTTGTTAATTGCTGGCTCCCGGAAGTACTTGATGTGCCGCCGCACCTGTTGACATTTTTGCATTGCCATTGTATTTGCATGTACATGCTTTTGGGTATTGCGCTGTCTGGGACCGACGAAATGCCAACGTTCTTTGATTCGAAGAGAACAACTATAAGCATGTCTGAGGCGCAAAAGGAACCGCATTTAAGAGCGTGATTACTAACGCACGTCATGATATACAACTACAGTAAAATAATATTTTAACGCGTTTGCAGTTGCAGGCCGCCCGCGGATACGTACATGTGTGTTTGCATTGTGTCATTGATATCGACAAAATTTCGGATTGGAAAGTAAGTAGCTGCGAAGAAGCAGATGTGCATGTGCTCGGTCCGTCGTGGTAACTCCTATGTCGTAGCCGCACTTGGCGTGAAAATCAAAATGTGCTGCCTTTGATACGTCGGTATGTACACGTGAAACAGCATTATCGGTGCGTTCTTCCTGCAAGGAAGAGAACTGCTTTCGTGCAATGTCCGGTCGTTCACTTTTGAATCGTGCAAGAAAAAGGATGAGCGCAACGCTAGTACCTCAAGTGATGATCTCTTCGTGATTTTGTCCTTCTGAAACCGAAAGAGCACCACCAGACAGGATTTCATTTTCCCCAGAAGAGTTTTGGAAAAGTGCCCGATCTAATCAGTAGTGTAGGCTACCCAGATAGTCTTGTCCCAACAATCAAGCTGCATTTTTGTCCTTCTCTTCGAGCAGCTCTTTATCATGCGTAAGACGACATTATTTATGTAGTGTCCGCAATATTATTCTGCCTCACTTAACAAAAATAAACCTCTTCCCTCATCTCCCAGGTCGATAAGTGTAATGCTGTGGCGTCGGGCTTTTTGCGTGGACGCTCATGAACAAACGTGACCTGCTTTGTAACGCTTTCCATTGACCTGTTTTAGTTTTAGAGACCTTAGATTGATTAGAAAGAATGCAGCATTTTCCTGTGCGCCGCACCCAACATGTTTACCCCTTTCTCGAGGCGGCATTTTTGGCGCATGATCCGGAGAAACAAATAACTGCATCAGCAACGAACGCATAAGAGACGTAGCGTCATGGTGACACAGAAACAAGAGCAAGCACCGTCAGTCGAGAAAAAGCCCGCGATTCCGCTGGGCCAGCTTCCGTGGGGAAGTTCGGAAGAAGAAGAAGGGCTGCAAAGTCATTCCGCCCGGGGCATGACGCTGCGGCAACATGAAGAGCAGGTCGAGGCAGAAGACAAAGCCGCACGGAAGCTGCAGGCTGTTCACCGGGGGAACAAAGACAGGCAGCGCGTGGAGCTGATGAAAGCCGGCGACGTGAGCCCGGCAGAGAGCGCGAATTCCGTGCACAGCGGGGTCTGGCATTTGTCGCACCAGCACGAGGAGCAGCGACTGGGGGCCGCTGCCACCAAGCTCCAGGCCGTGCACCGGGGCAATCAAGACCGGCAAAGGGTGGAGCTGATGAAGGCCGGGGATGTGAGCCCGGCGGAAAGTGTCGGATCCGGCCACAGCGGCGTTTGGCACATTTCGCACCGCCACGACGAGCAGCAGCGCGTCGAGGCGACTGCCGCAGTAAAGATCCAGGCCATCCACCGCGGTAACCAGGATCGCGCAGAGCTGGGCAAAAAGCACGATGCCGCAACGCGTATCCAGGCCGTACGCAAGGGGAACGTGGCACGCAACCAGGTCGATTTCATGAAGGCCGGAGCCTTCAGCGGAGCGGAGAGCGTGACTTCCCAGCACTCGGGGATCTTCCACCTCGACCACCGGCACGAGGAGCAGACGCGCGCAGAGACCGCTGCAGCCCTGCAGATCCAAGCCCTGCATAGAGGAAACCGGGACCGAGAGGACTTGCGACAGCAGCAAACCGCGGCGGCGCGCATTCAAGCGGTGCACCGCGGGAATGCAGTGCGCGCGGATATCCAGGAGCAGCATGAAGCCGCCAGCCGCATACAGTCCGGGTTCTTTCGTAGCCGGAATATTAAAGATGCCACTGAAGCATCAGAAGCGAAGGGAACCGCTGGTCTGCGGAGAGATGAGCCGAGCGAGTCCGCCGATGAGATGGAGGTTCCGGACGAGGTGAAAATGGAAAGGTCGGACGCACCAACAACTGCGGAGCACGAGGCTGCGTCGAAAATCCAAGCCATCCAGCGCGGAAACGCGGCGCGGGCGGAGCTACAAGAGAAACAGGATGCCGCAGTACGAATACAAGCAGCGTACAAGGGCAATGTTGCCCGAGCGGAGCTCCTGGAACAGCACGAGGCTGCATCGAAGGTCCAGGCTGTGTACCGAGGTAACGCAGTGCGAGCTGAGATTCAGGAACAGCATGAAGCTGCAGCGAAGGTCCAGGCTGTGTACCGAGGTAACGCTGCGCGAACAGGCTTGCAGCAGCAGAAAGACTTTAGTGCCACTACCTCTAGGGTAAAGGCGGAGGCTCAAGTAGAGGGGACACTTGCAGCGGATCCGGCGAACGAGGAGAAGCAGCAGGGCATGGTAGTGTCAAATATGCCCACCGGAAGCAGTGCGGAGCATGAGGCAGCCGTGAAAATTCAAGCAATACAGCGTGGAAACGCAGCGCGTGCAGACCTACAGGAGCAGCAAGATGCCGCAGTCAGGATACAGGCAGCGTACAAAGGTAACGTTGCGCGCGCTGAGATTCAGGAACAGCATGAAGCCGCAGCGAAGGTTCAGGCTGTCTACCGAGGTAATGCTACGCGCGATGAGATTCAGGAACAGCATGAAGCTGCAGCGAAGGTTCAGGCTGTGTACAAGGGTAATGTTGCCAGGGCCGAGCTTCAGGAGCAACACGAGGCAGCGGCAAAGATCCAGGTGGTCTACAAGGGGACCGCGGTGCGAGCGGATGTGCAGGAACAGCACGAGGCAGCCGAGAGGATTCAGGCGGTCTATAAGGGCAACGCAGTTCGTGCGGATTTACAGGAACAGCATGAAGCAGCCGCAAAAGTGCAAGCCGCGTATCGAGGGAATGCTGTCCGTGCGGAGCTGCAGCAAAAGCAGGCAGTTGTGGCTCAAGAGGCTCAACAAGAAGATTTAAGCGCACCGCAGTCGAGCATGCCGCTCGAAGAGAGTTCTGCTCTCCGAGAGCAGCACGATGCCGCTGCGAAAATTCAGGCTGTGTATAAGGGAAACGCCGTGCGTGCCGACCTGGGGGAACAGCACGAAGCTGCGTCGAAATTGCAGGCCGCGTATCGCGGAAATGTCGCCCGAGCCGAATTGGAAGAGCAACACGAAGCAGCCGCGAAGATTCAGGCCGTTTATAAGGGCAGCGCAGTGCGTGCGGATCTGCAGGAACAGCATGACGCAGCAGAAAAGATTCAGGCGGTGTACAAGGGAAATGTAGTGCGGGCGGACCTTCAAGAGCAGCACGAAGCCGCAGCGAAAGTGCAGGCGGTCTATAAGGGAAATCTTGCCCGAGCCGAGCTGCAGGAGCAACATGAGGCGGCCGCAAAGGTGCAAGCTGTTTTTAAGGGTAATGCCGCTCGAGCCGAGCTCTTGGAGCAGCATGAGGCCGCCGCGAAGGTGCAAGCGGTCTATAAGGGTAATGTTGCTCGAGCCGAGCTTCAGCAGCAACATGACGCAGCAGAAAAGATTCAGGCTGTGTATAAGGGAAACGCAGCACGAGCGGAGCTTCAAGCGCAAGACGACGCTGCCGCGAAAATTCAAGCTGTGTACAAGGGGAGCGTCGCCCGTGCTGATCTGCAAGAACAACACGCTGCCGCCTCGATGATTCAAGCAGTATATAAGGGCAACGCTTTGCGTACCAATCTCGATGTTCGAATAAAAGATGGCGTGGTCACAGAGCGCCCCGTAAGTGAACAGAGGACACAGGCAGGCACTGATCCCGAGCAGGTGAGCCATCAAAATAGAGCCCTCAGCGAGCAGGACACTACATCACCAGCCTCAGCTTACTCAATAAGAGATCAGAGAATACGGAGAGGGGAGGGAGAAGCCCTCAGCGCAGAGGGGATCGATGACATGTCCGTGCGCGCGTCGGCGGCGGAAGCGGAAGAAGCCACTTCTTCAAAGGGCAGCCCGGGGCGGCGATTGGCCGTGGATGCGCCAGCGCCGCCCTCGGTGGTGGCCGTTGCGCGGGAGCACGAGCCGCTGCGTCAGGGGTCGCATCAGGCCGTCGCGGTCTCTTTTCCAAATTCCCCGGTGCTCCCGGACCGCGCAGTGGAGCCCGTGCCAGCGACGACTGGGATACTAAGCAAGACTCCACCTTCTCGAGCCGCCGATGCTGGGCGAGGGGATGGATCCAAAGAAGTTGCGGCAGCTAGGATACAGGCAGCGTATCGGGGAAAGCGATCGCGGGGTGGACGGCACCACCACGGTCGGAGGGCCCAGCAGCGCAGCCCGGAGGTTCACATCGACCTCTCGTCTCCTCCATTGGGGTCCAGAACTCCTGCAGGAGAGGCAGATGCCATGCTGTCCCCCAAGGCCTCGCCGGGGCATATGGCGTCCCCGCGGGCTGTGCACATCGCAGAACCGAATTCCCTGGATCCGAGTGCGACCGACGCGGAGGAGGAAGGCACCAAGGAGCAGCGCATGGCGGAGCAGCGCATTCTCCGGGATCGCATGTGCACGGCGGGGTTTGAGACCCCCGCGTTTTCGCGACCCAGTTTCCGCAGAGCCAGTCCCAGCTTCTCGGCCCGTCGCGCGCCAATCGGATTAGCAGACCGGAAAAGTAGAGCCGAGCTCGGTAAAACCGCTCTGGGAATACGACTGACGGCGGGACCGGTATACTTCGTTTTTTTTTTCCCCTTATGATCGTTTCAATTTTTCACTCGTTCTTTTGGAAGAATAACAATCTAGAAGATAGATGCTTTCCGGGCGGAATCGTTTTGGTTGTCATCTGCGTCTGCCTTCGAAAACTCGACCTTCGTATAATTTCGATGTTGCCTTTATTCGAGTATGTGCTCCCCGCCCTGTGATCCTGTGCTGCTCCTCATGTCATGAGATTCTGACGCGAAAAGCACCATGCTTCGTTCGCTAAGGGCCAATTTGTAAAAATCGCCACACGTCGAACAACTTGATTTCTTAGGGGGAGCCGCAGTTCCTGACCGCCCAGGAGTACGCCGACCGCGACGGCAACCGGCCCTTCGTCATCTACAAAAACACCTTGTTGCGGTACTTTTACTCGGCGGCGCGGTTCACGAGCACGATCCTGCAGCCGCGGACCTGGAGGATGATGTGGCGGTTCTTGCACTCGCTAGCCGAGCTGGACCAGGAGGAGTTCGCGCGCCTCGCGAACCGTTCGGCGTCCACCGCGACGCCGGCCCGCCAGCTGCTCTCGGTGTACGACATAAACGCGGGCGGCGCGAGCGGGGACGACGACAAACTCGACTTCTACGCCCCGCCGGAGTACGTGGAGCAGGACGCGGAGCAGCAGCTGGCCGGGCTGATCCACCAGCTGACGGACATGCCCTGGCGGTACTGCCTGGCCGTGGACATCGGGGGGTCCCGCACCAAGTTCAAGTTCGTGGACACGAACACGGACGAGGTGTGCCACCTGGCCAAGATGAACTCTCAGGACCTGTGGGAGACCTACGACCCCGCCATCAGTCTGCGCGAATACCTCAGCAAGCGCATTTCCAGCGAGCAGCTGCGCGGGGTGGACCGCATCATCTTCAGCGTGCCGGGGACGATCGACATTTCGCAGGCCGTGCGCGCGGAGGAGATGACGGTGGTAAAGAACATGCCCGCGTTCTCCAGCACCTTCCGCGGCTTCGATTTCAAGGCACGCTTCAAACCCTACTTCCCGCAGGCCAAGGTGTCCGCCGTCTGCGACAATCTAGCCGCCGCCATCGGCTGTGCCGCAAAGTATCTGTTTTGTTTGCTATAATGAGGATTTTTTTATTTTGAAGCGGCGCGCATAAGTCTTTCATCGGGGGCCCGAGTAGTTCATCGATAATCAATGTATTGTGCATTTTGATCATGTCGGTGCTGTGTCTCGACGAAGATGATGTCGAGCCATGTAGTGCTGTGTTTTGATCTTTCTCTTCGTTTGCTCCTCTTTTCAGGTACCCCAACGTGACGCAAGGTCTGGTGCTTGTGCTAGGTACGGCTCCAGCCTGCGCCACTTTCAACCGCAAAGGCAACGAAGGGCTGGAAACCGGGATGTGGCAGAGTTGGGTGTGGTTCACGAAAATGTCCCTGAAAGACCCCTACGGGTACGCCGGCGGTGTGAAGATCCAGGACAACGGGAAGAAGATCGTGACCAATCCTCCGGACTTTGTCAAGATGCCCCACAAGCAGGCCAGGATACGGTTCGCGCTCGACAACCGAACCTGGCTGCGTCTGCAGGGCAAAGAGCCCACGCTCCCCGCGCACCACCAAGGCAGTTTGTCCGTGGAGGAAGCGACGGTTATTTGGGTCGAGCGGTTGAAGGGTGCCCTCCGTGCGTTGGCGCAGAAATTTCACAGTTTCTACGGGCCGCCCGACGCCATTTTTGTGCTGGGTGGGAACAGTTTGCAGGTGCACGGCAAGTTTGACGAGATTCGGTACGACAACCCCGAGGTGCTGGAAAACGGGGTCGGGCGCCGGAGCAACCGGGGCGAGCACAAGACGTACGTGCCCGTCTTCACGTGCGCAACCGACGCGGAGCAGCAAGACACCACCATGGTGGGGCTGTTGCAAAGTAGTCGCTTCAAAGTGAAGCAGGTGTACTCCTCGGGATCGGACCCGCTCGACCGGGGATGGACCCGCGGGGGGGAAATCTACCACTGGGTGCTGCGGTCCTCGCCGCCGAAGACGTCCGGGCGAACCGGCTCGCAGGGCAGTGCCGCCGACGCCCGAGCCCGGGACGAGATTCTGGCGGGCGGTGGTTCTGAGCACGACAACACGCTCAGCGCCGGCGTGCGGCACAGCCTCGCCCTCGCAGAGGCGGCGAGCGACGACCACGACCGGCTGCGCACCTCCATGATGAGACCAGAGGTCGAAACTGAGGAGGACACACTGTGACGCGCGATCACCCTGTTGCGATCTCCTGCCGGCTATCGTGCTGTCTGGCCACGGTGACATACACAACATATTGTTCTTGAACGACACGTAAAAATGTTGTCCATGACACGGAAAACTATAAAAATCTTGGTAGTTTCTGCCAGTTGCCTTCGACGACTGCGCGTCGCAAAGGCAAAAGTGCTGTGCGTCGCTGCGCTTCGCTCGTAAGCCAGTAGTCTCGCACTTTGATGTTCACTTTTCGACAACCTGGGGCTTTTTGGTTGGGTTGCTGCAACTTTCAAATCGGCAATGAAAACAGTTCGGACTTTGCGATCGGTATGTTGGTTCGTCGAAAATCGTATGTGCTCCTTCGTTTGCCCGTTCACCTGGTGCCACATTCGCCGGAATCGCCTTCGCAGTACTATCGGTGCTGGGAAATTAATGACATTTGTCGGGTCTGTCAAATCTGCCTACTTGTACGTTTCGGATTTTTCGGAAAGGTCGTTCTGGAAGTTCTCTTTCGGGGCAAATATTGAAAATTATTCCTTGAAAAGTTAAAGTACGTGTCGTCGGCTCGTGTCCGTAGAGCAATTTATGTAAGGGATTCACCGTTTAATCATTCATCACTAGGGTCGTGACAAGTATCCTCCAGTTGCTTGAGAAGTTTGCCCGAGCGCTGCCGCGACTCGCAGGTGCGCAGCCGCGGTGCCAAGATGAGTGCAGATGACAATCTCTGGGGCGCATGGCTGGATGTCCGCGATCGGGACATTGTGAAGGAGAATGCAGACGCGGCGTTTGGGCGGCCCCGGAGTGCGCCAAGCACGAAGACAGCGGCTACGCTGGCGCGCCCAAGCTCCGCCGCGGCATGGTTGCAGCGGAGGCAATCCGAGTTGCAGCGGCGCCGGGACGTCGCAGAATACACTGCCTCCCCGGGGGGCTCTCCGCTCCTCGGAGCGGAATACAATTACACGTCCGGTGGCAGCAGCAGCAGTACGAATCCCAATCCGCAGCTGGCTGGTTCTTCTGCAACAACCGATGGACAACAAGTCGCAGCGCCGCGGGTGCAAAGTGCGACAGCACGTCCACCACATGGGCATTCAAGCCACCGAACCACAGGAGCTAGTACTGCCAACGGAGCAGACGAGGAAAATGTCCTGACTGCGCAACCACGCCCGAAGACGGCCATTGGGATTCCGTCTCGGTTTAAGGTGAACACACACCTGATAGACTTTTCGCGCAAGGGCTTGTCTCCCTCCTTCCGAACGGGCACCGGAGTAGGCGCAGGAGGAGCAACAGCGAACAAAATCGGCAACGGCACCGGCCCGAGCCGCGGCGACGAAGACAACACGCCGCTGGGTGGGGCACGAGTTCTTGCGTCAAGAACCAGTGACCTTGCGGCAGCAGACGCGACCACCGCCAAACCGGCGATGTCGCCCATTGTTGAGGAATCGTCCATCCTCACTGCAGGGGAGGAAAATTTTTTGGAGAAGAAGCGCATTATGTGCGAGAAAAGTCCGAAAAAGAGTATTTTCTCGATGCTGAACATAGAGCCGGCCGCTGCGCAGCCTGAAGTCGTAGAAAAACCGAGCTCGTCGCCGGGAAATAAACAATCCATGCCGCGGACCCCAAGCCGGCTCCCCTCGTCGCCCTCGTCGTCACCTCTCGCCATTGCGCGCCAAGGCAGCACCGCGACCCTCGAGGTGGCCGCGGGTGAGAGCGGCGACGCGGACTCGGCGCAGCGGACCGCCGGGCCTCCCCGCAGCGCCAGCGCCTCGCCCTCGAAGCAAAAAAGCGGGGTCGAGTCGCCGCAGCAGATCATGGAGCGCTTGCAGAAGCGGTGGCGCGCGTACCTCGAGGGCATCGCCGCCGAAGAGGAGGCTCGGCAGCGCAAGGAGAACTGGAAGCGGCGCATGGCCGAGGTGGAGAGCAATCGGATGTCCGCACACGACCGTCAGAAGTTCTTCAACGAGATTCGGTACAAGGCGCAACAGGACTCGCACTTCCACGGGCAGTATCAAATGTAAAAATGTCTGGGTCTGGAAGGTTGGAACTTGTGATGTGCATTTCACAACACAGAAAAATCTCTCATGCATAGGCGGCAAAAGGTGCCCATTTCCTGTCACCAAAATGGGGGATTTGTGATGCGGATTAAGCAATGCGGAAGCTTCTCGAAATCTGTGATGCTAGGGCTTCCATGACAGGCATTCTGTGTCATGCAAAAACAGCATGACAAAAATCTGCATTCTTCCAGACCCAGACATTTTTACATTTGATAGGCAGTTCATTCTCGCGCAGGCCACGGAAATGCTGCACCAAAATATCAAATGTAAAGATGTCTGGGTCTGGAAGAATTCAGGTTTGTCATGCTTGTCCGGCATGGCTCTTAAATCTGTCATGCACGTTACCCAAGCGCTCCGTTTTTCTGTGATGCAGCGGCGCAGTTTGTCATGCAGAATAGGCAACACCTAGGAACTCAGAAACTTGTCATGCTGAGCCAGCATTTGTAGCCTCATCATGAGACGCCACCCAGCATCACAAGTTTCCAGACCCAGACATTTTTGCATTTGATACAAAACGCGGAGCAACCACTGGACGCCGCGCTGCGCTACCGGCTTCAAACCCTGCTCGAAAAGGCGGCTCAGGTCACCCACGGCGACAACGTGTCCGCACTGCTGCTGCTGGCTGCTCTTGAAGAAGAAGAGAAGAACTATACCAAGGCACGGCAACTGCACGCCACGATCGTCCAGAAAGCAAAGGAGGGAAACGAAATTGCGCTCACTTGCCTCGTGGAGGTTGCGGAGTTTCGGGAACGCCAAATACAACGCGACGCCGACAACCGCCGGAAACGCGCACGAAAAAAAAGCATGATGAAGGTTCTACTTCGTGTGTTGATATATTCTGCTCCTGGAAACAAGTACAAGTAGAACAGCAAAGTACCAAATAAAAGCTTTGACCTTACTGATAGAATAGATGCTAGGACCGGATTGATTTTCCTATCCTGTCAATACTCTCGTTGCGGGTCGTACTCTTCGTTTGAAACTTACTTCTAGCCGCACTTACAGCTGCATAGCATAGAGTCAAAATCATGTTCAGGTTGTACCGAAGAAAAAATCGACAAATCGAGGGACAGCAAACGTCATCGCGGAGCTAGCGATGAAACGCGAGGAGGTTGAGCAGCCCATTCTGAAGTACACGGTGCAGCAGGGCTTCCTCGAGCCCATGCGCAAGGCGCTGCTGCGACTGACCGCACAACACCCGTCCGACAAGCGGCATCTGGACAGCCTGAAGCGCAAGATTGCGCAGGAAAAGGCAAAGGAAAACCGGGAGCATGCGCAATCTCTGGCCACGCTGAAGAAAATTTCGGGCGGTTTCTTCATGCAGGGCGCGGCAAAGACCGACAACAGCGAAGTTTCACACATGGAGAAAATGCGGCTCAAGCTGCTACAGTCCACAAAGCTCGCGGTGGATGTGAATACCATGATGCAAAGCACCAGTTCCGTATCTAGGAAAAAACAACCATCCCCATCCATTTTATGCATGACAAACAGAGGACTGCGTGCATGCTTTGCATGACAAATTGGATGGGGATGGTTGTTTTTTTGTGGATATTCCGACGAGGAGAAGCGGCGAAGAGGCGCGCGAAAAAAGCCACTGGTAAGCGAGGACACCGTGGTGCAGTGGATTCCGCGCGAATACTATCAGAATGAGAAGGTGGCGTATCGAAGACAGATCGACCGCGGCTACGATGAGAAGTACAGTTTTTTACTGCAAATTTCTCACACGCATCGTTGCTACAACGCCGGTTCGGTTGTGCTTGCAGCTCCGCCTCCCTCATGGGGTTTTGTAAGGTTTCTATAAGTAAAATTTTCTTGAACTTGATTTCATCTTCGCACGGCATTGATTTGTTCTCTCCACCGCGACAGGTTCGACCAGGAGGTAACACTGAATCATGCTGGCGTCATCACTTTTCACACGCGAATGGCCCGGGCAAACTTTGGACAGCAACGTATTACAGTGAAAAGTGCCCCCCACCCCCAAAGTTGCAAAAATTTGTGCTGCGAAGTTTCCAAATGAAAACTTTTTGTCATGCATGAAAGGAGGACGAATCTTTCTGATGCAGAGTCTAGTCGTGTTTCGCATCGCTTGCATGACAAGCACCGCTCTTCCTGGGATCTTTTGCAATACAAATTTTTGCTATTCACGATCGGAAATCTGTGATGCTGATACATGCAAGAGGGCGAATGTTTCATTTGGAAAGGTTTGCAATACAAATGCTTTCAAGTTCGGGGGTGGGGGCATTTTTCATTGTAATACAACGACGCCCACAAAAGAAAAAATCGCGAGGCCAGTCGCTGCTGAAGAAGGCGTCCACGCTATCCTATGTAAAAACGTACCCACCCCATAGTTGTCATGCAATTCTGCATGCCAAAAAAGTAAAAGTTTCTCATGCGGAGCCCTATGAGAAGCATTTTCTATTCGTGTTTTGGAATTTGTGATGCTAGAATCAGTATGGTAGGCTAGCTCTGTAATGCTTCTGAGCTAGCGAAACAGGATTACACTACGAGGACAAACTTGTCATGCCAAACGACCAAAGCTGTGTGATTTGTCAAGCAGACTTGACTCTGGTGTGGGTACGTTTTTACTCAGGATACACGCAAATGCTCGCAACGGGGTACCTACACTTCGTATTTTTTTAGCTGCAGTGTTGTTTTCTCATTCTTTCGCACCATTTTTTCGCGGACCTGCTTTAATTTTTTAGTTGAGTCAGTCCATTTTCGTTTCACTCACATTCCGTGCCGACGCACACTGCGTACATGGAACAAATCGAAACAGTGCTTTGGTAGAAGATACTGCGGCAAACGTGCGCGACGGGCTAGATTCTCCGAAGGAGCCACCGGAGGCCGGAAGGTTGCACGTGGAGCGTCCGCAGTCGACACTGATGAAACGACGACCGGACAGCGCGCCCTACCTGCGCACCTTGCACACATGGGACTCGAGTAAAGGTTTCGACGTTTTCTCGATGATGCACGGCAAATCCGAAGACTACAATCACGCCGTCCGAAGCGCCGCGACGCTCGTCAGTCGGCGGCACAAGCGCGCCGCCAAGCAATCCGCGAGTGTTTCGCCCGACGGCCGCAACAGTGAAACGTCGTCCCCCACCTTATCTCGCTCGCCCTCGGTGTCCCCCAAGCGTAGTGAAAAAGAAGAGCCAGGAGCTGCAGCACCAAAGGTCGTGGGATCGAGTTCCACTTCGAAGGAAAGCAACGCCATGACGCCGACTGTCCGCCGGGTTTATTCTGTAAAGGAGAACTCATTCCGCTCGCTCTCTGCAAGTCCGTCAAAGCAACAAAAGGACAAGAAAGGTACAGACAATGTGATTGGTCGGGTGCGTGCTGTTTTGAGCTTCTGCTTCTTCCATTTTCTGAGAAAAATGAATGCATAGTTTTTATCGTCCGAAAGCTTGTTGCGCACTTATTACCTCGCATCGTGCTCAGAACTTCTTCTAAATGAGGAGCACGCGGCGACGGCTTATGTTGTCATCACCCGCGTGCCAGATGCGCAAGAGGATAGACATTTAGAAAAATATCGATCCTTGTAAATTTGCAACTACTCCACAGGCGAGCACCACCACGCCACGGGCCGCAGTTTGCTTGAGAGTAGCTTGAAGCTTGCGAAGCTACCGCCGAAGTTGGATCCGGACGAAATAGATACCTACCCCGACCTGGATGTTGCGAAGCTGTTCCCCATAGAAACGAAGGTCCAAAACCACGATCCACGACGAGTTCGCCGTTCCTACGGCCTCGTTCCCACGGAAACGCCAGACCCTCCTGAGGACGACTTTGCGTTGCGAGCGCGACCACCAGAGCGGGCATCACCAGAGCACTGCTTCCGCACTGCTGCCCAAAGCTGATTCAGCAAACACCCTCTCCGCGATCGGGTGTGTGGGGTGTCCTTTCGTCCTTCTCGTTTTTTTTTCACTTTCGTGATCTACAAGAGCCTCTCTCTATCGAGTAATTCCATGATAGCGCATTTGCTTTTTGTCCAAATTATACGTCGCTTTTCCATCCTCGAGACTGGTTCTGCGCAGCGAGCAGAGCAATCGTATTTTGCGAGTTGATTTTTTGCGATACGACTGCAGAATGTAGGTTTTTTGGCCTTCGTGCTGTGATCAAGACAAGTGAGCTAGTACGAAGATGCAGCCTGCTCCTGTACTAAATTTGTGTTTTGTAGTCTCGTGCAGCCGACCAACGGTTCTAAATTTCCATGCAATAAATTGTTTGCCTATACTTACTTTGTCTTTGATGGTCCCCCAAGGGGCTTTGGATAGCGTGTTCATTTGGGTGCAACAACACTGCATTACTTATATCAATAACGTGCGGGCCTTGCATCCGACCACCGACAAAGTTGTGTGATTGAGCGATCTATCAGCTTAGTCACTTTGAGAGGCAGTATGGCGTCAAGGCACCGCTTCGGCTATTGTCTCCGCACAAACGAGGGCTGAGTGTCGAAAACGTCTGAAAATCTTCTGTGGTACTAACTGAGAGGCATGCTCTGTAGACAGGACAAGCGGGAACGAGTGCAGCGCATCGTTCAGCGGGAATTGTGTTTTGAAGTTCTTTTGACCCGCATTGTGTGGTCTGCCCGCATTGTGTGGAACCTCAGTCGTTAGCTGCGCTTGTCGCTGCACTGAAAAATACAAGCGTTTGGAAAAATTCGCGGGGCCGCACAGCAGCGAAGGAGCCAAGGAGTTGCGTCAAAGTACACGACCAAGTAGTGCGACGCATCCATCGATTGCACGGCAGAGACGAGCACTGTTGTCGCCCAAACTTCTCCGTCGGACGCTCCCTAAGAGGACATTGCGTAGTTCATCGGCTGCACCTGATGCTCTCACTCTTCGACACTGCTCAAGCACCGTTTTGATTCACAACCGGACCAAGAAGGCCGTGCGGCTTCGTCCCTGTGATTTAGATTAAAGCAGGGACCTGCTTCTCGTCGTGCACGGTACAACGGGAAGTGTGTGGCGGAAGATAAAAACTGTGGAAAAAGAACAAGCACCAGCACTGCAACTGGTACCAGGATGGGGTGTGGCGTCAGCTCCAGCCAAAAGCCGGGCGACCTGCAGGTGCAGCAGTTGCGACGCCGACTAACGGTCGCACAGCTCGATAAGGTAGACGGACAGGAAAATGGCAATGAGGATGGCGCAGACGTCGAACGCGGTCTCTTGCAAAAGATATCGGATAAGAGTACTACAATTTATCTCAATCCATTATTTGCTAGCAAACAAAGACCACGAACAAGATGGTGGTAGTTTATTCACCGAGCTGCACTATGAATGCGCGAATGCACGTATGCTCGGCAGCGTGCATTGATAATTACCTAGCGCGTGTTTTATTTCATTCGGGCAGCATCCATTGTAATCAATCCAACTCCGAGGTATCTTGGAAATCGCCGATGAATTGAGCAAAGTGCTAGACAATGCGGACAGCACAGAGTCACCGACAAAAAGTGCAAGCGGAAAGACACCGAAGAGGAGAGTCAGCATAGGTACTAAATCAATGATGAACGGACGATCTTTTTTGAAGCATCAGAGCGAAGACAAACTGGTTTTGCTGGGGAATGCAGCCGGTAGAGGTCCGCGCGCAGATGCCATATTACGGATTTTTCGAAAGGATGAACTATAGGGAGATGAAAAGCAACTACTGTGGTCACGACAGGCTCTGAGACAGACAAGAACGCCAACAAGCGACAGAGCTTCAAGAAGAAGGACGAGTACAGGATAGGAGACGACCTCGGCGAAGAAGAGATTCGTATCGGATACTCGTGCAGGAAAGGTTTGAAACCCGAGTCACCCAATCAGGATAGCTGGTTTGTCTTGCTGGTATAACTTCATATAGTCGATTTTTTGTTTTAGGATCGTCCCCTGCCGCGCCGGGGGTGTACATATTGGCTGTCGTTCCTGCCGCACCAACATCTACGGATGAAAAAAGAGCGTGAGGGACGGTCTGCGTGCTTCCTTATCGCGGTAGACAAAGAATTTGGTAGTTGCTGTGGATTTTGTAAAAAAGAATTCTGAAAAACATAAATCCCCAGCAAGAAAACGAACTTGGGATATACGGCGTTTTCGACGGCCATGGCGCTAAGGGGCACGATGTGAGCAATCTGGTGAAGTTGTACCTTCCCAAGCTCATCCTGACCAGCGAAAAGTTTTCGGAAGCACCGGAGAGTGTGATGGTAAGTTGCTTCCATCGCATGCAGAACCTCATCCAGGCCCACGACCGCAAGGGCCTCCTGAACGCCCAGCTCTCAGGGTGCACGTGCACCATCGTCGTTCACGACATGCGCGAGGACCGCCTCGTCGTTGCGCATGTGGGCGACTCGAGGGCAGTATTGGTCCGGAAAGAAGACGGGGGCGACAGGTCTTCAGTTCTTATCATTTGTTTTGCATGTCGTGCACGGTGCGGTTGTAACGATCTACTTTTGGCTTGTCACCTGCGGGTTCTTGGTTCATCTAATTACTCTGTGCGCTGGATCTGATGCACCATCGGTATCGGATATCATTGACTTTGATGATTTATGACAGGGTAATCGCTGAGGACTTGACCCGTGACCACAAACCCGACCTGAAGGAAGAACGAGCCTACATTGAGCGCAATGGTATGATGAAAGAAGTTTTTACTGCTTTCATCTTGAGTCGGTCGGGTGCCTCGTGCGTATGTACTTAGTAGAATACTTCTTCGCAAGTCAAACGATGAAGAATGCATCCTCCGCGGCGCTCAGATACTTTATACATAGAATTTCACTGCATTATCGATCTGCAGGTGGTAGGGTAGCGTTTGACGGGTTCGCAAACCATCGTGTGTATGTGAAGAACGGAACCTACCCGGGTCTCAACATGTCCCGCGCCCTCGGGGATCTCCTCGGGAGCACCAACGCGGGAATTAACAACACTCCCGAGGTGCGGGTGATCGACCTGCCCAGGAAGACGGGGGGTGCCCCCAATGGTTCAGCACTTTCTGCCGACGGCACCAGGGCCATTCTCCTGATCTGCTCCGACGGCGTTTGGGAATTCGTCTCCTCAAATCAAGCAAAAGACTTCGTATTTTACTTTCTTCTGTGAAAAATCTCGCGTGGGCGTGGTCTAGTACTAATGGTTTGATGTTCGACAGGAATAGAACTACACGTACACGTCTTCACGACGGACAACGTTTGATCACAATCTAACAGGCGATGCGGTTTGACGCAAGGCGTGCAAAGGATGCAGCCGAAACGCTGGCCAAGGAGTCTTGGGATCGCTGGATACATGAGTTATCGTGGAAGGCTTGAGGGCAGGAGAAACTGTTGTCTGGCCTTAATTGCTTTCTCTGAAATGCATGCTCTAGACTTGGACTACTTTTGCAACGAATTTTGAAATGACAAGTCTCCTTCTGCTAGGCATTGCCTACGCAGTAGGATCGGAACTCGAACTTGTTTTTTTCACAGCTTCAGAAAAGAGTGTCAGTTTCGGCAGAGCAAGTGTCAGCCAAATTTGACTTGCTCTCAAATTTTCCCAGAATACGAAGAGGGTGGCTGCGTGGTGGATGACATCTATCCTGTCGAAAAGCGACGATCCCACCCCAGACTTGTCATGCAGATTTGCATGCCCAGCAGCACGCGTCGTCTGACCCCCGATGGCAGTATAGTAATTTTCTAGCCGCTTTTCCTCGAGATTTGTCATGCTCTATTCAGCATAAGAAAGTGCGGCATGTGTGTATGATGCGGCTGAACTACCTCGGAACGACTGCCGTGCAGGTCCAAGTCAAACTTGTGTTAAAGTCACATAGTCTGTTTCTGCAGAGCCAAATACCTTGTCATGCAGCGAAGTTTCTGCATTTGTTTTGTTTAGCTGATTTTTAAACATCTTTGCGGTGGAGTGGGTACGATTTCCGTCGCGATAACATTACCACATTGGTCATCTACATCTGAGGAATCTGAGGATTGTTGGAACAACAGTCACTTGTAGGCCTTTCTAGTTACAAATTCAAATCCGATAAGAGAAGTATTCGACAATTTCTGCTTTTTGAAACGAATAGGGCAGGCAACACACCAGCCGCAAGTGCCGCAAGTCTTCGCGCTTTGTATGAATATAACAATGACGACCCGAGCGAGGCTTCTCCGTACTATGCCATCTTTATCTGTGTTGCCTCCTCCTTGTCGTTTACGATTGCCGACTGCGTATGATTAAATCAGTTTGCATCTAAATTTTCCCGCCTTCGCTTTACAACACTGAGCGCATCGGCCGCCATCAATCTGATGTCTGTGTGCGCGCGAGAGGGAAGAAGGCAAAGGTTGCAGCTTCTTTCTTCGCAAGTGCTCTGAGTCTGATGGTTGGCTTGGTGTGGTCAGTATCACCGATGGGTAGTACTCATGCAGTAATGACCTTTGATAATGATCGAATTTTTTAGAACCTCACTGTATTGCCACGGTGCCAGCTTCCTATTCCTTGCAATTGCGGCGTCCCTTACTCGCTTCTTTGCTTCTGCTTCATCCGAGAGCGGGGGAACAAAATCACTGTGCTTGGCAAACTAGTACATCCGTGCTTGTAAAGCTACCATCACTTCTTGTTGTAAGCTAAGTCTAAGTTTCAAGTTTCGTTTCCTACTGTATCTTGCAGAATGAAGATTTGATCTATGTTTCTTTTGCTTGGAAAATTAATGTCAGTGACTCTGTTTCTTAACCGCGGGGAGTGAGAGGGAAGGTTTCAACTACACTCCACCGGCCACAAACTACGTCATGCTTCTACAGATATTCAAAAGTGCAACGAACCTGTCCGCGACAGCATTCCTCTACACTCTTGTTATTTGATGTCCTAAAACGTACGCCAAGATAATTTTTTAGCTTTGAAAACGGACTCCGGGCCAAACGCAAGTCAGTATTGCAGGACAGGAGCACCGACACCCACCCCATATATATAATTTAGCGGCTAGTTTTTTCACTACCACTACAAGCGCCGAGGCCCAGTAGAAGATTGATCCATATGAACTACATGTGGAAACCCGCCCCCGAAGATATGCTTACCGCATAATCGCTTTCTGCGGTGCGTCTTGTAAAGTCCAGGCCAAAACGAAAACAAGTCTTGGGGTGGACGTGGGTCGGCCGTTTCTCATGATTGCAAAAAAGGTTTTGCGGCCCGAAACAAATCGACTATAGCACAAATGAATGTACACTACGTTGAAAAATGTACTGCCACTCACTCGTTGGAAAATTCACTCAAACAACAAATTCGAACGAGGTGCCCACGAAGAACAAGCTAGCGGCGCCGCATATTGACACGATGGGTTTTTCACGAGAAACTATTTTTTCGGATCGGGGAACCAGCGGGAGTCGCAAGAACATATTGGTATTGCGTACTACAGACGATGCCCTGAGTGAGGAGGTAGACGTACCCTTGAAGAGGTTCATCACGGAGGCGTGGGCGTTCTAGAGCGTATCCACTTGCAAAATTATATGTATACGGCTGCAGTGCCGTGGTTCTTTGAGGCTTTTCAGGAGCGCACGCACTCACCGCCATCCAAAAGATGATCGTGAGCTGTAATATTAAGACCAAACGAGTGACTTTCAATGTTGTGGAGTTTGTAGAACGCAACGAAGTAAGTTTACACAAGAATGACGGGCCTATTTTCACCGTTTGGAAATCGTGGCCTCGTGGCACTGGGGGTCGTGCTCCAGCCCGAGTTGTCTCCGCTCGCGCAGGGTCGCCTGGGTGATGTGGAAGTGCAGGTCAATAGCGGAGCAGACACCGAAGCCTTCGATGCTGCAGTACCATTCAGAAAAGGCAAAGAAGCAAATGCAAGTGCTTGTCGTGTAGCCTTCAGCAAAACAGAATTGATGTATGGAGTGCTGAATGAATGGCCATGAGAGGCAATAAGTATTCATTCTCGGGCTATCGATGTATCATTTTTGCACTTAGCCAATTCCTTTTCGTTTGGTACCCGGACACCGACGCGTTTCTGGAGACGTATCATAATAGAAACTGTTCCCGGTCCTACTCCTATCTATTTAGCTTGAAGATCCCGCGAAGGAGCGCTGCATCGCTCATATACGTCCTGCGACAGAAGTTGATGTGGTTGCGGCCCACTCGTGTATGAAAATCACAACAACGGGGCTGGTGAAGAAGGTGCGAAGATTGATAGTAGTTCATGTCTTGAGTGCGGGAAGGGGGACAGTTTTCACAAAAACAAGGGCCACAAGGAGGAGAACTGGCGAAGCTGGATCAGAGACAAATACGAGAACACCACCCACGCTTTTCGCGATAAATTAAACCATACGAGGGAATACGTGACCGAAAAAGTCGAGAATACCACCCACGCTATGCGCGATAAATTAAACCATACGACGGAATACCTGACCGACATGAAGGAGAATACCACCCACGCTATTCGCGATAGATATCACGGTGTGACGGAATACATAAGCGAGGAACGCGCCCTCGTTACCATGAAGGTGCGACAGATTACGGACGGCGTGAAGGCTCTTAACGAAAAGAGCAAGGACGTCAAGAGCTGGGCGAAAAACCTACGGAATCTGGTATTCTCCTTGCGTTGATCCTTTGTGTTTTTTCATTCTCCGGTTTTTCTCCCGTCAAAGTTCTGCAGATAGCGATGTGTAGTGTGCTGGTCCGAGTTTGGTGTTCGTTAAGATTTTTCATCTGATCGCATGAGTAGGGACACCTCAGTGCTTTCCTTGGAAAAAGTTGTACGCAATGTCAACGGTTCGAGGTAGTGCTGTGCATTTGAATCTATTTGTCACTGTAGCTGGGCGTCATCAATCCGTCGAATTTCGCCGACTTCATGCCGAAAGGCGAAATCAATCTGGGCCATGGAATGGAGACCCTGCAGGGGTCCGATCTCCTGGGGAACATGACCGAGTGGATGGGGAAGCACGTGCTGGGCGGAAGCGACGCGCACGGTGTATGCACCCCGAACATGGCACTGTACGGCCCCGAGGCGCCCCCGGCGCCGCAGGATGCCTGTGCGGCCGGGAACTACGATCCGGAACCACTGACGCGAGACGCCGTTTTCAAGGGCTTGAGAAGGGAGGTGACAAACAGGCCTCTGTATTACGCGCAGAATCCTACGGCGTTGGCGACGGAGCTTCTGGAGACTGAGTGCGACATCCACGCGGTACTATTCATTGCCAGAAAATAAAGTTCTTGAGGAGCAGGCACAGCCGCCGACACAGCCGCCGACACGATATGTAGGACATGTAGGCACGTTGCAAAGCATCTGCATGCAAGAGCCTACATATGCTGCATGTGTCGTGAACTTAAAATTTACTGCAGTGCCTACTTCTGTATTCGCCGGACCTGAGGGAGCGCGCATTCCTCCTCCCCCCCTCCGCCAGGGCGAGAGCCTCACAACACGGGGCAAAAAAACTTCGGGCACGCCTCGTGTGCCCGCCGACTTGTCAACCCCCCCCCAAGCAGCACGGGGACCCCGGGGCCAACACATGGGGGGCCCGCAATCACCCCGATCATGCGACTCCCTGCGCGGAATGCGAAAAAAAAACAGCGCGGGCGCCCGCCCTCTTGGTCCCGCCCGCCCCCACATGTTACGGCGCGCCGGGTTCGCAGCGCGCCCATAGTTAGATAGCACGCGAATGGCTTCGGCCTCGTTGCGTACGCCTCTGCGCCTACTGCCGACCAGCCAACTGGCTGCCCCATGCATGCGAAGGCGCCACACGAAGAAGAGCCGCCGGGCGGTCGATTGTTGTGCGGCGAGACCGCCGGGGGCCCCCTCCACCCTTGCGTCGGGGTGCCCGCTCCCGTCCTCCGGAATTGGACCAACCTACCCCCCCCCCTTTCGCCTGGGCGAAAGGGGGTCCAATTGTTGCACAGCCTCTAAAGTTCTTGGGGAGCACGCACAGCCGCCGACTCTGAAATTACACCCCGGCTGGACTTATGATTTTCCGCGGTCAATCTCAATGCCCTTGGTTGTTTTTATCCTGAACTTTCTCGGCTGTTTGGCACTGGCGGTAAACGGGCTCCGAGCCCAATCCGTTACCCTTGCAGAGGGGGAGACTGGGATAAGAAAAGCCGGGGGCTTGTTGTATTCCGTTGGGGTTTTTGAGCTCCCATAGGGCTTTTTGTGTCTGGCCTTTGCCAATTTTACGTTGCGAGAAAGGTCACGGATAAAACGACCAAGGTCGGAGCTATTTAGCGTCTTTGGCGCCATTGCTTGCGCGCTGTTTTGGGGCTGCTACGGATTTTCGTTATATCGCCTGCCTTGCAGGCTGAGGGAAACCTCCGGTCCCACATTACGTAGCTCGCTGTGTTTTTTTTTTGGGCTTGGACTTATATTGCTTTCCCGCCTTCCAGGGCTCCGCAGCCTTTTCGATGGGGCATGTTGTCCCCCAAATTCATCGCTGGGTCGCTTCGCTTCCTGCGGGTTCTTAGGGGTTGCTTCGGCGCGTGGCTCCTTCGGCGGTGGCGGGGTGCCCCATCGCGGGCGCTCATGCCCTTCCGGTGAAGACGGCTTCCCACTGGAAGCGGTGCCCCATCGCGGGCGCTCATGCCCTTCCGGTGAAGACGGCTTCCCACTGGAAGCCTACGATCATCCAAAGGATGATCTATCTCTGGCTGATTCTGTATAAAATAAAGTTCTTGAGGAGCAGGCACAGCCGCCGACACGAGTGTCATCCTGATCTCCATTTCATCTTCACTTGGTTCCAAAATAGGAGTCAGTAGGCACTTCTAAAAACAATTTGTATGCCTTGACAGACTTGGATGGCGTACCTGAAAGAGTCAGCAATGAATGAAGGCAGTGATGCGATATTTTTTCTCTGTTGCAACTGTACAGAAAGGAGAAAAGGAGGATCATGACAAGACTGCGTGCGCTGCCAAAAAGGGGACAGACGGCACAGGCTGCTGCAAGTGGCTCTCGCTGTCACATGATGCCATGACGACCACCATCGGAAAAATCATGACCAAATTGACGACAATCGGCGATGCTTTGTCGAAGGGAGAGGGTACTCATTCTGATTTTCTTGTTCTCTGTGCGTAGGACAAGGATGGGCCGCGTGAAGTTGTTGATGAACTTAGGAGATTTGAAGTTGGATGTTGACGTCGTGGGGTTCTACTTTCCTCGAACAAGCGATTGACTCGATAGAGAAGAACGTTGCTGCATTTTTCCGAAGGCATATCGTTGTAAGTACTATGAGCTGTTGAACCCAATATACAGCGACGGAGGGACAGCTGTTCGAGGCCTTTAAGCTGGCCACCATGGTGTATGTTTACGCCGAACACGTCGGGCCGAGAGTCGCCGAGACCATGTTGAAGTTTGTCCTGATCATGACCCCGTTGGCGCCGGTTGCGGGCGTCGCGCAATGGATGTTTGAAGCGGTGGCCGAGCCTTTCATCGTGGAGTACGGGCGGAGGAATGCCCAGATCTTTGCGGAAACCGGCTCAGTGTGAGGCGGTTTCGTGGAACTTGATTCGGTTGTTTTAGACTTTTTCAACAAGCAAGAAAGCTACCATCAATCGGCTCTCTGGTCCTTCGATTAGTTGCTTTTGATTCGTAGTTTTCATTTTCTATCACTGGGTTCTTTGAGGCACGACGCTCGAACTTTTTCCCCGGAGGTAAGGGGCATGCAGGTGTAAACGAATGAAACAAAGAACCAATTTTATCGCACGAGATTCACAGAGATTGAGGTCGGGAGGACCCGACGCAACCCATTTTAGGACATGTTTGTCGCACTCGATGATCTCGACAAACTACATGCTGCCTTGTACGATAGTGCGACAGATAGACGGAAGAAATGGACGCCTCTCCAAGAGAGGAAGACTGGTCCTCTTCAGTGATACAGACACCAGACATCGTTTCACGGAAATCAATGCTCAGCAAACAGCATCGCGAACCAACTACTCACAAGGGAGACAAAGTAAGACGGTCTGCGTTTTTTTGTCGTAGGACCGGTTGCGGCACTCGCTTCTGTGTTGTTCGTCTGAAGCGTGGATCCGAGACCATTCCGCATGATTTGTGTTGAATTGTCTTCGGTCATCGAAGGACGCTGGTTTTATCGCGGTATATTCGGGACGGACTGGAGAATGATGTTCAACGATCTCGTGGCATGGGGAAGGACGTGCAAAAGATGACCACTCCTCAGCAACAGAGAGAAATTTTTTTAAGAATTTTACAAGAACCGGAGAAAGAAAGGCACTTCATGTTCATTGGGATAAGGCTCGCCGATAACTACACCTTCGAGACGACCGCGACAGGTTGTATCCCAAGGAAATGTAGTAAGTAAGCGTGGCGAAGCCAGTTATGGGTTGCGCGAATCGAAAGGCCGAGAAGCACTACGCTTATGATGGGGTCCACCCCCCGGGCGTGGGTAGGAGCAAAGCCGATGCGAGGAAGGATGATCCGGCCGACCAAAAAACTCAGTGGGCTCGCATTAGGGAAAGGGCGGCGGCCCGGACGAACTTGGAGGAAACGCATAAGAATGAAACACCGGGCGGCTCTGGAAGCGCCACAAAGGGAGCACGCGCTGCGGCAGCAGCCAGCCGTGAAACTCTCTACAGACTCCCGAGCTGTCCGCGTGCAGAGGACATTTTGACTCACGTGTGTTGGGTGGATGGCGATTCGTTCGTAACCGCCGGCATCAACGGGGGCTGCTACCTGTACAACTTGGAGACCAGAAAGGAACGGAATTTCCAGGCTGCTATAAACAGAGCCTGCACAAAAGTGTACCCCTTATCATGTCCCGACGCGGGAGGGGCGAGAACCGTCGGCCCGGACTCGTCGGGCAGCGACGTGGACCGGCTTCTAACATGTGGCGCAGACGGATGTGTGAAGCTCTGGGATTTAGGAAAGCTTCGGCCCACCACATTGACACAGCACCGGATGACAGTCAATGATGCTGCCGTAAGAGGCCGCGGCGGGGGGCAGAATTGGAAGGTGCTCTCGGGAAGCCGCGATGCTGTTCTGAATCTGTCGGACGTTGCGACGCAACAGGTGCTCCACACCAAAAAGGTCCTACGCAACGTCATCACGCGGGTGCTGTACGTGCCGGAGCAGGATGTGTTCGTGCAGCTCTCCGAAGATCTTCAGCTTCGCGTTTGGAGTCCTGCGCTAGAGCTGTTGCACAGTGTGCACGCGGGACCCAACCAGTTTGTGTCTGGCGCGGCCGTTGGCGCGGAAGTAGTCTGCGGATCAAAGGGCTTTTCGTCAGAGACCGTCGAGCTCCTAGTTTTTGATCTGCGAACCATGAGCATCAGGAAGCGAGTTGCGGGCGTCGCGACGCAGAATGTGGATTGCGTAGACGTGGTGAGAGGTGGTTCAACAGCGGAGGATGTGGGAGCCGCTCCGGCCTACCAAATTGTAGCAGGATCCAAAGATGGTACGGTACTATTAATTAGGCACGGACCGTAATACACCGAATGATTTAGATGAAAAATAAAATTGTGACGAATCATGTTGCTCATTACTGTGGCTTTTCCCCCACTTTGCTATTGCTCTAGTTCATTTAGAGGCACTCGGTCTCCATAGACGGCGTCTGCCGGAATAAAGCAATGCCAGAATATGAAAAAACAAAAAAACAGGTACTCTAAAGGTGTTTGACGATAATCTGAAGTGCGTCAGCACCCTGCGAATAGACCAACCTTCGCCGATAACGTCGTGCTCCGTACGTGGAGGGCTTTGTTTGGCAACGAGCTTCGGCCCCAGAATATCTTGCTACGATTTAAAAAACAGTGTCGCAGTCGCCGAATCTCCGATTTTGGCATGAACCGGAAAGGAATGCAATCTCTGGGCGCAGATAAGACAACTTTAAAGCGCAATTGGTGAGGCGCGCTTTGGCGTGCGCGGAGCCGCAACACGCAAATGCTGCCTGCCTTTCGGTTGAGAAAATAAAGAGGACTAGAATGCTGAATCAATGATCACATCGTGCGTTAGAAAGCTCTATTTTCTTGGTACTTCAACCTCAGAGGATCTATTTAAATTTCGATGTCTAGTAAATGTTGACTCAGATCGGTACAGATGCCAAATGAACACAGTGCTAAAGTAGCAGATCTGAGAAAACCCAAGAAAGAGTTCGAGTCGTGAAAAAGAAGAACAATTTTCTTGATCAATCTAAAATGCACTCCGATCACTGAAAATGCCTCTGGATCTAATGTTCCCGCTTTTATGTTGAGATCGAAGAATGTGGATCTATCGCAAAGTGGTCACTGTTCGGAGAAGAGGACATCGATACCGAAGAAACTAGATTTAGCTTTTGGTAAGAAGTACAAAGTACCGCTTTTCTTGCTGCCAAAAATCTAAATTTTTTGAAACACTGCAACAGGGAAAGGAGTGAATTTAGTTCATTTCGCATACAACGGAAAAGATGCCGGCCGTCCAGTTTCAGTCGCAGAACTTTCAGCACATCTTGCGTATGTGCAACACCAACGTTGATGGGCGCCAGAAGGTCATGTACGCCCTGACCTCGATCAAAGGTACGATTTTCTTTTTCTTTTTGTAACTCTAAATTGGACTACCTAACCTTGAAATCAGTCTTCAAATCACCGATGCTGTACGGCTTCGTTTAAAAAGTCTATTGGAAACATCAACAAATGAATCAATAAAGGTATTGGTCGTCGCATGGCAAACCTGATCTGCAAGAAGTGTGACATTGACCTGAACAAGCGTGCCGGAGAGCTGACTACTGATGACGTCAACAAGATCGTCGCGGTTATGACCTCTCCCCTGCAGTTCAAGGTCCCGGCCTGGTTTTTGAACAGACGCAAGGACTTCAAGGACGGAAAGTCCGTCCACAACAGTACCAACAACTTGGATGGTGCTTTGCGCATGGACTTGGAACGCATGAAGCGCTGCCGTCACCACCGCGGTCTGCGTCACTTCTGGGGTCTGAAGGTACAAATACAGAGAGCAATTCTGTTTTCATGGTTATTGTTCATCGTGGTCGTGCATCTTGTTCTTGTCTACTCATTTCTAAATTTTCGTAAAAGCCCCCGCATGCGTAGTCGAGAACGTAGCACGGATTCTCGACCACTCTATTTGTTTGTTTGGACGTCAAGTGTTGACTGCGGTCAGAGAGCGAGTTTAGTGGAAAGTTCCCTACTTGTTGCTGCGGACACTTTTGCTTGACGCACCACCCCCAGTAACATGATCTATCCCTCACTAAAACTTCAACTACAGGTGCGTGGTCAGCACACCAAGACTACCGGTCGTGGCCGCTGGTTGATGATGATGGCCAAGAACAACAAGGGTGGCGGCGGTGGCGCCCCGATGGGAAAGGGCAAGAAGTAAGCGCTGCTTCGCGTCAACCTGGACCAGTGGAGCTGACTTCCTACGTCATCATCTTCATGATTGTCTTTTGTGGAGAAAAGCAAGAAAGATCTCGATTGTCTGTGACAGTGTGATCGCTTGAAACTGCTCGCAAGAACCGGCACTTGAATGACTTTTCCGTGAAACAACGAGTGAGAGCGCGCACGCCACTGCGCCAATGGGCTACTACAAGTCCCGTGCAGTTTTTAGAATGTGTTCTGTGTTTCTCTGTCTGTGGCTTTACGGTCGGACCTCGTGGGCGGATGAAGCTCACGGTCGAATTTCGGGATTCGCCGTAGCGACGAATGTTGCAAATTTCGTCTGGCTTCCGACCTACGACTTCATACTTTACTAGCATTCCATTCCTGCTGTCGGGCCATGATGCTCAGTCGAAGATGTGAGCGAATATCTGGAAGTTTCACATGAAGCGCTGCTTTCACATGTCGTGCCTCGTTGAAACTTCTGCGTCGTAAAAGTTTCTTTCCGCACCTGTTGCGTGAATCATAATGTTTACACATCTAGTATCAGTTTTTAGTTTTGTACCACACACGCAACCTACGATGTACCATATTACTCGGTGTCGAGATTCCTGCTTTTGTGGCTAGGCAAGTAGAGGAAGACGCTACTCGAAGGACTGCAACTGCTACTGTTCGATGCCATGTCGGGCTCGGCCTCATCCTGTCACTTCCATTCCGATGGTTGCATGCGGATGCTGCTGCGCGGAGTAAACTCTCGCTCGGATGTGCTGCTGATTGCACGCAACGTCTCGGCTGGTCAGACGCTTTGAAAGCGCGCCCCGCAGGTTGTGGACCCGTCATGCCTTCAGAATTTTCATCAGCGCTGACTTCACCAAGTGCATACCGTTGAAGCAGCACGCCAAGCGTTGTGTGCACCGCAGCGGGCGGCGACTCCGATCATGAACAACTATCACTTGTACGAGGAGATCGGAAGTGGGAAGTTCAGCGTCGTGTACAAGGGGCGAAAACGCCATACAATTCACTACGTGGCCATCAAATCCGTGGAAAAATGCCGTCGTGCCAAGGTGATGACCGAGGTGAACATGCTCTCGCGGCTGCAAACGCACCCGAACGTGCTGGAGTTCTACTTTTGGAACGAAACCCGCAACCACTTGTGGGTGATCAACGAATACTGCTGCGGGGGAGACTTGATGCGTCTCCTGAAGCAAGACCAAAAACTGGACGAGGAGCAGAGCCTGCGGTTTGCGCACGACATCTGCGAAGGGCTCTTCTTCGTGCACTCCCGAGGTATCATCTACACGGACCTGAAGCCGTCCAACGTGCTGTTCGACGAGACCGGACGACTAAAACTGTCCGACTTTGGCATGTCAATCTTGCTGCAGGATCTTAACAAGGTAGCAATCCTTTTTGAAGAGCATTCTTTTTGCGACAGGATTTTTGCTTTGGTGTCCCCGGTCGCTATGGATGTAAGGTCGTCAACAACTCGCTTTGCCGTTCGAAAAATACTCACTTTCCGATTGGTACGCAACATGAATACCCGTAATTTCCCGACTTTGCAGCAACAAGAGGATGGAACGCCCGTCCCGCGGCGGGGGACACCGTATTACATGGCACCAGAACTTTTCCTCGAGGACGGTATCCACAGCTTCTCCTCCGACCTGTGGTCTCTGGGGATTGTGTTTCACGAGTTCGTGACAGGAAAACCGCCGTTCCAGCCCGCGAGCTTCAAGGAGCTTCACAACATGATCCTAGAGAGGCCACCACCGCCACTCGTTGGGTTGACGTCAAAGGACTACGAGGACCTCGTGCACAGCCTGCTGGCGAAGCACCCGGGACAGCGTGCGGACTGGAACGTCGTCCATGAGCACCCAGTCTGGGGTACCGAGCGGCTTCCGAGTCAGGGTACCAGGAATGATGCTGTAGAGGTGCTGATTAATTTGATCTACGTTCAAGAACACAATCGTGTCTACGGGCGCACATACTTGTTTTTTTTTCGAACGTTGGTAAAAATTTCGCTATTTTTAAAACAACCTCCGCTTCATCACCGAACGAAGCCGAGTTCGAAACTCCACTACCAATCTTCGGAAATTTTCGCTGTCTCGCGCTCACCAGGTCGGGTGAACTCACTTCCGCCGCAGACGCACTTCGAGCGGTGGAAACGACGGGACAAGGTTGCGAGCAGCGGTGCAGGGGGTTCCGGCGCAGTGATCGTCAGCACCAGCACGAGCCAGTCTGCCTTCTCCGAGCAGGGTCGGGGTAGCGCGAGTGCTCGCACCGTGAACACGAGCACAAGTAGTGCGAATTCGACCTCCGCGTCAGACTCGCGCCAAACGGCTGGCAATGCAACCTCCAGTGCGGGAACTTCTAACGGAGATGCTGGCTCCACGGCCAACGCAAAGCGTGGGGGCAGCGCTGCGGGAATACCCACTGTAGAGGCTGGCGCACCGAAGGGCAAAGAAGGTCAGACTGATGCCGGAGCAGCGACGGATAGTAGTATCCATACCAGCAACGCGAGCACGCAGGCGTCAAAGCGCCTGGATCCATTGCGCTTGTCTGCAATAGCGCAGAAAAACCTGATACAAGAAAACCTCATTCAGGAAGAACCGTGGAATCCACAGGATTTGCAGCTCAAGGGATTCGACCAAGAGCTCAATTTCAGCGAAGATCAGCCACCTCCCCCGCCACCGGCTACTAGCGAGGGGCCGAGAGGCGGTCCGCTTATGGCCACGCGACTGGCGAGCGACAGCCGAAAACCAATGGCTTCGCCAACACAAGTCTGTCGGGCAACAGCTGGGTATGATTTGATGCGACAGCTGTATGATTTCTAGGTGCAAAAACATCAGCAGTGTGTGTATGACGAACTCTTTTGTGCATGCAGTGTCTACTTCGTCTTCTCGTGTGACTTTTTCGTAGCATGATGAACAAACATCCCGGCAGTTCATTTTTGTACAGACACTACATGTTGTTGATATTTCGCTCGAAAAATCAACCACGACAAATTATGACAGGGTTCCTCCTCCGTCAGAGATAGCCAGAAGCCCTCCGAATGAGCCGCGTGGAAGGAAACTACAGCGCAGTGCTACGGCACACGCGGAGGGCTCTGCGTACGAAAGCAGCTCGTCAAAAGACACGAAGGCGACCACGGACGCAGAGGCGAGCAACAGGGAAGCCGCGCGGGTTGAGCGTGCGACCCCATCGCAGTCGAGCACTGCGACGACGGCTGGCCGCCCGGGAGCGAAAATACAGCAAGGGGCAGCTTCAACGGCCCAAGGTGGCGGAGCTGCAAGTAGTGCTGCCCACAGTCCAGCCCTCGCTGCGGACGGGGGCGCAGCGGGCAAGGAGGGATCTCGGGGAGGTGCCGCTGGAGCAACTTCCTCGGGCACCGGAACAACGCAAGGCTCGAGCACGGGCACCACGCCAACGCTGTTCGCAACAACGACTGCGTCGAGCTCCCCCACCACGCCAACCCCTGTGACAAAGCCAGCAGTGGTGGCCACGACGCTGAGTCCGCAGCAGGGTGCGGTGGGCTACGCTAACGCCACTCCAGTGGTGAGTTCCGAGTTGCTGCAGAAGTGCCGCTCGCTCCTGAGCCACGTGGAAACCAGCGTGAGGCCCATCAGCAACAATCCCGCGATCGAGAAAATCACGTCGCCGCACCTCTCGCAGCCCGAGCTGCTACCGTTTCGCCCGCTGGCGCTCGAGGACGTTTTCGTGTGCAGTAATCAGGAGCTGGAAAGCTTTCTGACCAAGGTCTACAAATGCATCGCGCAGGGCACCATCGAGACGAAGATCATGACGCTGATCTACCTGGAAAACCTGTGCGGACACATGCAGGTTGCGGACCTCGTCGTCAACTCGAGTCTGCTCAAGCTGGTGCTGAAAATGGTTCGCGTACGCTCAACCGAACTTCGCGTGCGTCTGTGGACGCTTATCGGGCAGCTGCTCCGGCACGCCACTTTTCTGGAGCCCAACATTGCCGACCTCGGCATCTTTGAAGCACTCACCGACGCCGTCGTCCGCCACGAAGATCGGACGGTGCAGCGCAAAGCCGCTGCTGCACTCGGGGAGCTTCTCTTCTATGTCGCCACGCAGCCAAAGCCAGAACGTAAATATCCTTGTCCCACCCAAGGAGTTTGATTCTTATTTCCAGAGTTTTTGATCATGCGGAGGAGAAGGAGTGTCACAGTGCATCTTGGCTCCGGATTCTGTGGTTGCCGATATTATTCAACCACGGCAGCATTAACCGCTGCGTGTAGAGTTTAGATTGTCTCAGCTTATACCCTTGAGACGTGATCATTCCGTCGTGATGTATGAGAAGCACAATCGATTTTTAACAGCGGGAGCAGCGGCCTGGAAGGTGCCTCAAGCGACGCTGGACGGGGTGACGAAAGCGATTTTGCAGCGTGACGACGAAATCGTTGCCCACTACTCTATCAAGACGCTCGAGAACATCTCGACGCAAAGTCCCGTGGTGGCACAAAAGTGGTTCCTGAACACGCATGGCCCCGTCCTCGCGGATGCGCTGCACAAGTACGCGAAAGAAACCAAGAGCGAAGAGAACTTTCGGCTAACCTGCCTCGGTGCGTTGGCCATGGTGGCGCGCATTTCCCCCGGACTGGCGGTCAAAGCGATGCTAATCCCCTCGCAGAGTAGTAGTAGTAGTGCTTCCTCGCGGTCCTCCTCCCCGTCATCTGGCACGACCACGGGGGTCTCCGGACAGCAACAGGCAGGTGGTTCCTCCTCCTCCACCAGTGCGGCCAACAATGCGAACCGGAACAGCGCACGGTACGACTTCTCTACCATCCTCCTCGGGCTCAACGGGACGCTGGCGCCCAAGGGCAATCCATCAAGTTTTCACCTGCTGTTCGCGGTGCTGCTGCAGAAGGACAACCTGCTGCTAAAAGCGCAGCGGCAGGACCTCGAGCAGATCACATTGCACCTGCTGCAGCTGACGGCGCAGACGCGCGGGCACACGGTATTTCGCGGGAAGAGCATGCTGTTGCTCGTTCTTCTCGCCTTTGTCGACGTGCATTTTCTTCTGCTCGCGTTTGAAAACCAGTTCGCCTCGCACATCGAGAAAACCTGTGCCCGCGAGCTGGTTTCGAAAGACAACGGGAAGGAGACCGGGAGCGGCCCGACCAAGGATCGCTACGTGTCGCAATGCCTGCAGATGACTTCCGTCGTGCTCATATCCTGAGTAAAAACGTACCCACACCAGAGTTGTAATGCAAATCTGCATGCTGAAAATGTTTCTCATGCGGAGCCTCATGAGAAGCTGTTTCTAGTCGTGTTTTGCAATTTGTCATGCTCCAATCAGCATGGTATGCTAGGTCTGTGATGCTGCTGAGCTAGCTCAAACAGCACTACACTATGAATCCAGATTTGTGATGCAAAACAGCCAAAACTTGTGGATTTGTCTAGCCGATTCCCCATCTTGACTATGGTGTGGGTGCGTTTTTACTCAGGATAGCTCACCAATTTTACCTCCACTTTTCTCGGAAATCTGGCGAACGAGATGCGGCGCACGGGGTCGGGGCCGCAGCAGTCCAACGGCGTCACGAACACCACGTCCGCGCACTTCGCACGACGACTGCACCTCCCGGTGTACCTGCTCTCCTGCCCCCCGCTGCGCGCCTGCGTGATGAATGCCAAGGCGCTACCGCACCTAACCATGCTGGTGACGCTGGCGAACACGCCGCAGTGGCGCGCCACCACCGCGCATCGAGCAACGCTGCTCGTATGCGAAAACATCTCGGCGCAGGTACTACACATTTTTGCGACGACCGTTGAACAGTGCAGTCAATAGATTAAGGTAAAAAGGACCAGCGTGAGTAGACAACCATTCGAACAGGAAAAGAGTTCATCATCAGAAGTACGGCTTTGTGGTTTCACTCGCAATGGAGCAGCCAGCAGCAACTGCAGACTTTTCGTGGCATTGACTTACTTTTTATTTTTCTCGGCGGGTAAAAAAATCAGGTGCCAATGCTGTTGGATTGTGTGCAGCCGACGTTGCAGTTTCTGCATGCAATCGCGTCTCTGCTGTCCGCCGACAGCAACGAGGAGAGCATGTTCCTCGCGCTGCGGTGCTTCGGCGATATCACCGTGGCGCTGCTGAACGACGACACGCGACGCAAAAATGAAGAATACCCGGAGCAGCTGCACACGCTGCTGGCGGGAAAGTTTTTCCCGAGGCTCCCCGTCCTTTTGACCTGCGCGGACCCAGTGCCAACGGTGGCCATGCGGTTGGTCAGCTGCATCCTTGACGCAGACCAAATCCAGGCACAACCCGAGCGCTTTCGAAGTCTTTCACAAGCGCTGCGGCCGGTAAAGGAGGGCATTCTCGGGGCGCTCTCCTCGCAAGTTGCCGTGTCTGTGCACGGAGCCAACCTCGCGTCCTCGCTGTTGCGGCTTAACGAAATATCCGCGCCGCAATTGTCGGACGTACGATTATTTTCCGCATGCGTTTTCCAAGGAGGCAGGGAGCTGCACCAGCAGAGAGCTCTCTACTTCATATCCTAGCATTTTAATAATGCTCTTTCGTTCATCCTGATCGAAGAAAGAGAAACACGAACTACACGATAGAAAAATGGATGGCTTTTCATGTCGGCAATATCTTCATCAATCATGAACTGAAGGTTTTTACCCGACTTCTGGAGCTTATCTCTTCGCGAGCGGAGGGCTCCACCGCACGATTGGATGTTGCGCACCTGGAGGCGATCCTAGGTCTGATCGAGATATGTGCGAGGGATCCTCCACAGGAGCTGGGGTCACTGCTGTGCCCCCTGCTCGCCATTGCATCGCAATACATGCAATCCGCACCGGTGCTGGTCGAGCGCCTTATCAAGGTACGGCGTATACTGTGTACTGTTTTCAATCGTGCACATACAAAATCGAAGGGAGCAGGTGCAGGTCCAAATGTGTGGTCTACGTACTGGAAATAAGCGATCATACGTGAGTTGTACCCTGGTTCGACGATGACCTGTTGTGTGCGTTTTCCTTTTTTTGGAAGTAGAGCAGGAACAAAATATTGACGACACTTATCACAGGTTTGCGAGACGTTGACCACAATCATAGGGAAAGGAGGCCAAGTGACCGTCTTCGGGAAAGGCGGTACGGTCGTGCGAAGTTTGGTAACTTTGGTGGAGCGAACATCGCGTGCTGTACCTATTTCGAAATGGTTCCTCGAGCGCGTGGACGCTGGTGCGCTGTCGGCAGAGGTTCGGAAGCCTTTGGTTAGAGTTTTGCAGCAATTTGATCAGAGCCGGCCCCGCTGAGACAAACACTAACTTGTGCCTGTGATATGTAAGTATCACTGCGAGCAGCGCCGGAGAAGCGGGGGCGACCCTTTATCTTTTCCATAGTTTTCTTTTCCGCATTTTTACTACACACAACAAACTATTTGATCATACTACTAACATTCTGAAAATATGCGAAGCATAATTATCGTAATACTTCTAACCGTACAGCGCCAGCGAATTTTTTCATGGGGATTCTTATAATCCCTCTGGCGGAGCGGGAACGCTTGCAGTTTTTTGCACTAGCTCAAAAGCAAAAGCCCGTTTTACGAACGCAGGTCGTTCTCGTTTTTATCTCACAAGACAGAGTCGAACGCTTGCTGCGATCTCCCGGAGCTTCGTAGCAGGTGAAGAAATTTTGGGGCCGCTCAGCTGTTTGCTGACGTGCCATCTAAAGCATCAACATAAGTGTCGTGCACCCTGGGCTGCACCATCATGGTTCATTGGCCAGAGCAGCTTCGCTGTCGTGCCGCCGCACAGGAACACTCCAAGGGAGGGCGCACCGTACGCGAAAGATCCGTTTGTACCCGAAAAGGGTGGAATGTAATTTGTAGTTACTTGCGAAAATTCGCCTAATTACGCCTTCGCCCCCACGTTGCGGCGGCGGAAAAAACACACAAAGACGGTTTCGGTCTCGCCGAGGTACGTGACGTTGTCCCCCGCTTCGTAACTGTCCCTGTTTAGCTCATACACATCAGTGCAGGTGCCGGCCGTGGCCAGATCCGCTTGCGTGAAGGAAATGAACCGACGGACAAGCATGAGTCGAGGCTCTTCGGTTTTTGCGATACCGACTCGAGCGATGGAGCGTTTCTATGAACGTGAAGATGGCAACAACAAGAAAGAATTTGTATTGTCTTTGTGCAAAAGCCGGAACAAAGAACGGGGTAAGAAACCGCTGTAGGGGGGGAGCGTGAAATAAAACTAAAAGCCAGTACTAGCAAATCAAAACTTGTGGTGTGATCCTTTGCCCATGTTGTAAGCATGCCGTCGGCTTCCCCGCAGCGTGGCGACCAGTCGCGAGCGCCCATGTCCCAGAGCAAGGAAGCCCTGACGGCCTCCGAGAGAGCCCAGGTGTGTGAGCAGTGGGTGCAGCAATTACGGCGCGGGGTGCAGTTGGACGGCTGGGGTCAGCTGCTGGAGGCAACCGACGAGTACACAGCCCTGGCAAGCAACATTGGGGGCGTGTACGCGCGGCTCGACAGTCGCGACAAAGACGTACTGCATCGAGTGGTGCTATGCCTCTCTGCGCGTGTTCAGGCAATCTCTTCCACGGGACCCGTAGTGGGAACGCCTTCGCAGACCGAGATATCGAGCCAGGATCTACGACTGCTGGAACCAACACTGCAGGAACTTCTGACTACGCCGGTGAGAGGACCGGTCGGGACCACGCGAGCAAGTGGCAGTACGGAACTTTTTTTCTGCTTTTGTTGATGTGCCTGGCTTTGCCACTTTTCTAGTATTCGGAGGGTCCAGAATTTTTTCACACTACTTGTGTACAAGTGGAGGTTCAACATCGCTCCTGCCTCGATTTACTGAGCTACATGAAATAAAGCGGCCGCCTTGTTTCCAGCTGTCCACCACCCTATGAATCAAGGCCATTTAGACGTCGATTCAAATTGAAACGATGCGTGGCAGTCAGTCAGTTGTCACTCAGTCACAACTACAATTGCGCGCAAAACAAGAGTATATATAACCCTCGTCAACGCCATTTTCATCAGGCGCCTTTCAGCAGCAACTGCTTCCCGCCGTGGCGTCCTTTCCAATATCAAACTTCAAATGGCAATACGTGACTCCGATTGTCCCGCAGCCGGCGGAGATAACCGCCCCGGGGGAGCAAGACGAAATGCACGCGGCCGATTTTGGCTCCGCAGCACGGATGTCAACAGCACAGCACGGCCAGTTTAATAACGGTGTTGGCTCTTCCGCCGCAGCTTCCAGTTCCCTCCCCGGGCGCGCGGGGCCACCGACGGCCGAGATCGAGAGCGCACACCAGGCCATGACGCAGGTGAACGGGACGCTGGTAGTTTTGAAACTCGCGAAGATTGGGTTAAAGGACGCCGAAACCTACATCGACCCGTTTCTTACAGTGTTGGTCACCGACGGGCGAAGCAACCAGGTGATTGACCAACACGACCTCCCCGTGAACATCGCGGAAAAACGGGCCACGCACGTCCATTTTCACGACTATGCGGTATACCTGCGGGTCAGCCTGGAGGACATGCAACGAATGGGGAGTTCGTTGTTCTTCGAATTCAAGCACTACAAGCCAAAGAAGAAGAAGATATCCACCAGGTGCTGGTGCTTCATGGAGCTAAACGAACTCAAAAAGGACGAGGAGTGCGTGTTGGAGATCTACCACAAGCCCACAGACCTTAGGAAGAAAAAAATCAACCTTCACTCCGTCAAGCCGCTCTACTTCCATTTGAAACCGAGCTTTATGTCCTAGCCATCGATCTTGTTTGCAGCAGCGCGACGGAGTGGTCAACTATCTTGTAGTGGGATGCGCATTAGATAAATCTCATACATTGCTTTTTGGTGATGGTTCCATTTTTTAAAAGAATTAGTCCTCCTGTCCAAACGCGTAGAGAAAAAGGTTGAGCTAGTCCAGAAGACCGACGTGAGAGGTCCTCGCGTACTTGTACTTGGAAACACGTTTACTCGGCAGAAAAAAGTCGATGTGTTCAGTTTTTGTGTGAAAGCAAGAACGAATAGTACTCAGAAATCGGTCCAGATCCAATGGCACGAACTGAAGACGATGGTGATGTTGCGAGCAGCGTACGATGGCAATCGATCTTGTTTGAAAGCGCGCTAAATGTCTCTTCTACCAATGGATGCAGCTACCTTTTGAATTTGATCTACTCTGCATTGTTTTTCCTCCCCGTTTATTTTACCCATTTTGAAAAAGCATTTCAATAATTTCGAAACAGCAATTTTCGATTCTTAGCATCGTGTTTCTTGTGTCGGCAAATAGGCTTGTTCTGAAACACATTCACCTTGTCGAAGTTGCTGTTGATAGTGAACACGCTGAGTTTCACCTTCAGAGACTACTTATCGCTGATTTCCACCTTTTGGAACATACACTAGTTTTATTCGTCGTGCTCCAACACCGGCAAACGAAAATGTTGAGCAAGATGGCAAGACCCTTTTCGCGGGCCGCCGGGCGCCGCTGCGTATCGACGTCCAGACCGACCCGCGCCGGCATCAGCGGTCACGTTATCGGGATCGATTTGGGAACCACGAACTCCTGTGTAGCCGTAATGGAGGGCAGTCAAGCACGGGTACTTACTGAAACAAATTTGTTGCTGTCAAGATATGTCGTGCTTTCTGCACTATTTCCTTGTCTTTGTGAGCGTTGATCGTAGTGTACTACAGCGAGAAGGTGTGCCAGAATTTTCCTGGAAGATGTTGTCGCGCCCCTATTCCAAATGAAAAGTTCTAAGTTGTCTACACGTCTCGTCCCTCAGGTGATCGAAAACAGTGAAGGCATGCGTACGACACCCTCGGTGGTGGCTTTCACTGATTCGGGCGACAAGCTGGTGGGAATCCCGGCAAAGCGACAGGCGATTACCAACCCCGAGAACACGTTGTTCGCGTGTAAGCGGCTCATCGGTCGCCGGTACGACGACCCTGCGACGAAAAAAGATATGAAAAATCTTCCCTACAAAATCATCAACGGAAACAACGGCGACGCATGGGTCGAGGCTCGCGGAGAGAAGTACAATACTTCTGAGCTTCCAGATTCATTTTGCACCGATTTTATTTGTCGCGTGCTGACTGGTTCCTAGTAGAAGTATCTAATCGCGAAATAAAAAATTCAGGACCTGTGTGCTGCGGACTATATATGCATATGAAAACAAGTCTGGTGTAGTAGTAGTTCGGAACAAGCACCAGCCCTTGCAGCTTCGTATGAGTAACAAGACTGAGAACAAATCGAGAGAAGTAGATCCAGTGCGTGCAATCGAACAACATATACTAAATCACAGGTACAGCCCATCCCAGGTGGGGGCGTTTGTGTTGACGAAGATGCGGGAGACCGCGGAGAGCTATTTGGGCAGCAACGTGCAGAACGCGGTCGTCACCGTGCCCGCGTACTTCAACGACGCGCAGCGTCAGGCCACGAAAGACGCGGGCAAGATTGCGGGGCTGAACGTGCAGCGGATCATCAACGAGCCGACGGCCGCCGCGCTGGCCTTCGGGATGGATAAAAACGACGGCAAGACCATCGCGGTGTACGACCTGGGGGGCGGGACCTTCGATATCTCCATTCTGGAGATCTCCGGCGGCGTGTTCGAGGTCAAGTCCACCAACGGGGACACCTCCCTTGGCGGCGAGGACATGGACCACGTCATCCTGAACCACCTGGTGGACGAGTTCAAGAAATCGAACGGCATCGACCTCACCAAGGACAACCTCGCCGTGCAGCGGTTGCGGGAGGCCGCGGAGAACGCCAAAATCGAGTTGTCCAGCAGCATGCAGACGGACATCAATCTTCCCTTCATCACCGCGGACGCGTCGGGGCCCAAGCACCTGCAGCTGAAGCTCACCCGCAGCAAACTCGAGAGCCTCGCAGACCCGCTGCTCAGCCGCACCAAGGCACCCTGCACCAACTGCCTCAAGGACGCGGGCCTGAAGAAGGAAGAAATTGACGAAGTTCTGCTGGTAGACGACTGTCTTTTCTTTCTTTTCAGAATGAAACTTGTTGTAAACACGCCCCGGCAAACGCAAATTTGCAGCGGCCAATATTCTTTTTGTATGTGTATCATCAAATCGTCCACTTCTGTGCTTGAGGTGGAACAAGCCAAAGTGATGGAAATAAAGTAAAAGTTGTTTAAAAGTGTGTAAAAAAAAACTATGGTCTAAAGTTACTTTTTCAAAAATTTATACGCAGACAGGGAAATAGAAAAAATCGAAATCCCCGACACAGGATCTTCCTCGCAATTCTCCAAAGAGAAAAGCTATACCTTTTCTGAACAAAAACCGTACACAGGTCGGCGGTATGACGCGTATGCCGGCGGTTTCGAAGATCGTGAAGGACATCTACGGGAAGGAGGCCTGCAAGGGCGTGAACCCGGACGAGGCGGTTGCGGTGGGCGCGGCGATCCAGGCCGGGGTGCTGAAGGGCGACGTGAAGGACATTTTGCTGCTGGACGTGACGCCGCTCTCGCTCGGGATCGAGACGCTGGGCGGCGTGTTCACGCGGTTGATTCCGCGCAACACCACCATCCCGACCAAGAAGCAGCAGACCTTCTCCACCGCGGCGGACAACCAGACGCAGGTGGGCATCAAGTGCTTCCAGGGCGAGCGCGAGTTCGCGGCGGACAACAAGCTGCTGGGGCAGTTCGATTTAGTCGGTATCCCGCCCGCGCCCCGGGGCACGCCGCAGATCGAGGTCACCTTCGACATCGACGCCAACGGGTGCGTGAACGTGTCCGCCAGCGACAAGTCCACCGGGAAGAAGCAGAACATCACCATCCAGAGCAGCGGCGGGTTGTCGGACGGGGAGATCGAGAAAATGGTGCACGACGCCGAGAACATGCGGGAGGCGGACGAGAAGCGAAAACAGGGCGTGGAGGCCCGGAACCAGGCCGAGAGCTTCATCCACGTGGTGGAGAAGCAGATGGACGATTTCAAGGACAAGATGACGGACTCGGATAAGGACGACCTGAAGAAAAAAATCTCCGCATTACAGGAAGCCCTCGGCGGGGACGACACGGACAAGATCACGGAGTGCAAAAAGGAGCTGGAGCAGGCCAGCTGGAAGGTGTCGCAGAACGCCTACGGCCAGAGCTCAGGCTCTTCAACTGACAGCAACAGCAGCACGGGGACAGAAGAAAACAAGGAGGAAGAAAAGAAGTAACGGAAGAGTTCTTGCAACATCCGACAATGAAGATCTTCCTGCGACAACTACCCCGAGTCTTTTGTACAAGAACCAGCACTTTCGTATTCGTATTGGAGCTCCTTCATCTTCAATGGTTCACTATATCCAAACAATAACGACAAAACGCGACAGTAAACGATTCTTGCTCTTCTAACAGACAAGGTACACTTGCCATGATACAAGTGTACCGAGAATGATTTTCCTTCTTCGACGGACGACACAGATCTTTGTATCTATGGGTATCGACTAAAAAAGAAGTTCGCTTCGATCGCGACAAAGAGCAGAACACGACTTTCTTTCTTTCTTTCTTCATCGAAAATGTAACACACCCGCACAGTGTGCAATGCAACTCCACATGCACATGCTAGTGATGATTATTTCGTCTTCTATACCCCCAATGTACCTTTTTTTGTAGAGATTGATTATTACCTTCTGAGGTAATTTTTCTAGTGAAAAGAAAAGGAAAAACTGACGAAATTATGGTATGCAGAGCGCCCGCGGAAAAGAAGCAAGGAGAGGCGATGGGTCCTGAAATGGGCGCAAATATTTCCGATGTCCAAAAATGATTGAAAGACCAGATTTTCTTGACAAGCTGTTTTCTGACGTTCTTCTGAAGTTTGTTACCGCCCCGGTAGGTGATTACTTTGATTGTTTTGAGAACGGATGTTGTCGCGCCCGCGATAGTACCAACCTCGCATTGTGAGCAGCCTCCTGGTTCCCTCAGGGCCTAACACTTGGTGTTCCCTTGCATCTGTGTCTGTTATCATCATCAAGGCGATGTCCAACATGTTGCATTGCATTGCATCCTGCTTCTACACGCCACATTCTCTCGCATGCGATGAACACTTGGAAGAAGAGGTGACTTTAAATGTCTCGTCTGCTTACGGTGGGACAGAGTCAAAAGCTTGTCAGGAGTACAAAAGTTTCTCTCCGGCCAACAAATTTTTAGCTGGCTATGTTTCTCAAATGAAGATGCGTGGAACCACACGGTTCATCTTGTTCACCAACGCCCACAAGGCAACGAAGGGGTACTTATGATGAAGGAAGTACAGTGGTAACGACAAATATACTAGAAGAGCAACATTGATTCGATCTAATCAAACTCGACGTCGAAGAAACTTTTCACAAGATGGCGGACGACTTCGACGATCCGTATGGGTATGCGGATTTTAATGACATCGACGAGTACGATCCGCATGCGGTCGAGGAAGAATCTCCGGAGGAGGCTCTCGCACCAGATGCGAAGGCCGGCGACGAGCCAAGTGCGGCCGACGGGAAAGCCGCGGGTGACGCAAAGGGTAAAACGGATGCCGCTGTTGATGGAAATAAAGACAAGGCTGCAGGCGGTTCGACAAAGCCCAAGGGAGGAGAAGATGCTGCGGGAGGCTTTGTGGACACGGGAGAAAAGTTCACGGCGGACGGTCGCAAGGCGCCGCTATTGGATCTGGATTTTTCCGTCCGGGACGAGCGCGACATCGACACGCTGCGTGAATACGAGATGGACAACCTGCACAGCGGTGCGAAGCTGGTGCAGCGCCGGCCGCGGCTGCTCACCGAGATCACCGCGCGACAGCAGTTGTGGCACGGGCTGGATCACGGATCCTTCATGTTGGAACGCGTCCTGGACCTCGAGCACACGCTGGGCTTTGTGGACGACGTGAACGACATGGACAGTTGTAATTTGTTCTGCGGAGGAGCAGGTGGACCAAATAACGGAGCAGTAGCTGGCGCCAGCAGTAGTTCCTCCAGTAGCAGCAGTAGCACTTCTTCCTCGTCGACCTTCTACGGGGCTGACGTGGGCAACATTCTGGCACGGCTGACGGAGAACGAAGCCGCCCGGGCGATATCAACTGTAAAAATGTCTGGGTCTGGAAGAATGCAAGTTTTTGATGCAGGTTTTCCATGACCCATGAGGTCTGGAATGCGAGACCCAGCATGACAGATTTTTTGAGGTCTCTATCATGCCTTTCCTGCATGAGAAACTCCCTCTCAACTTGGTCAAAAGCGGACAGCTTTTAGTACTCACGCAACACAGTTTTTTGCATCATTCTGATTTAGCACGACAAGTTCTAATCTTCCAGACCCAGACATTTTTACATTTGATAGGCGAAGAAGCAGGCCAACTTGGCAGCGGCGCAGAAAAAGCGCGCGCAGGATATAACCCGCTCAGGTGTTACAATCTCAAACGTTACAATAGAATATGGAAATCTGTGATGCAAGAGTGCATGATCTAGCCTCTTCCTACAGGATTGCGCATGACAAGTTTCGGAGCTCCAAGCCGCACTATAATCTGGCGAAATTTGTATTGCAGAAAGTGGAGCGCTCTGCGAGTTTGTCATGCTCCTCATGCAAGACATATTGTAACGTCTGAGATTGTAACGTTTGAGCAGGTCATACAGGACCGGCGGCAGCTGGAGCTGCGCAAGCAGAAAGAGCAGAGCGCGGGTGAGCACCTGAACAAGAAGGGCCTCTGGGTGGACCGGTACGCGCCCGCGTCCTACATGGACCTGGTTTCGGACGAGAACACCAATCGCATCGTGCTCGAGTGGATTTCCGCCATCGAAAAGCTCAATTTCGGCAAGGCGCTCACGGCCCCGTCGGGAGAGAAGGTCGTGTGGAAACCCTGGGGCTACCAAAAGGTCACGGTGGAAGAAGCGGGCGTCGACGAGGAAAGTCACGTGCCCCGCGTCCTGCTCCTCGGCGGACCCCCCGGCGTGGGGAAAACCACCTTGGCAAGGGTACTTGTGTCCGTTTGCGTAGGTGTAGTTGTGTGTGACTGTCCAGTAGAGAAGATTTTTTGCGTAATATCTGAATGAAAGTAGTTGCGTACTTCGTCGTTTGGTTGTTGTTGATCCAAAGCGTGCGAACAGGTTTCGAGTCCTGCTCATTAGTTCTTACGTACGCTTTCTGTAAAAATTCAGGTTTTGGGAAAGCTGCGGGGCTATCAGGTGAAAGAGTCGAACTGTTCCGAACTGCGCACGGCCGCGGAAATGGCAGCGCGCGTGAAGGAGGTGTGCAGCCTGGGCGAGAACTTCGACAGCTCCCGAGCCGCGCGACGGCGGGCGCAGCAGCGCCAGCCGGTGTTCGAAAACGGGGTGTTGTTGACGGAGAAGGAGCTGTGGATGCGGGAAAACAAGGCGCCGCTCCTGATCTTGGACGAAATCGACGGCATCGCCAAGACGAGCGGCGGAGACGGTAGCAACAAGACGATCTCGGCGCTGCTGAAGATCATTGACCAGGACAAGAAGGAGAAAGACTGCACGAAGTGGCGCATTCGGTCGCCCATCATCGCGATTTGCAATGACATGAAAAGTAAGGTGTTGATCGACCTGAAGAAGTACGCGCAGGTGGTGGAGATCGAGGGGAGCGCGAACACTAAGCTGCAGAACCGGTTGCGGGAGATCATGCGGCTGGAGAAGGTGCAGGTGCAGGAGGGCGCACTCGTCGACCTCATCCGCGAGTTCCACGCGGACATACGCGCCTGCCTCAACGCACTGCAACTCCTGTCTGCGAGTCACCCCATCATCGATACCAAGATCGTGCAGCAGTACCTGAACCGCGGGACGCTCAAGGGGGAAGACGCGCAGATCGCGGACCTCTACAAGTGCTGTCTGAGACCGCTCAGCCTCCGCGGCAAGAGGAACGTAGCCCTGGATCCCCGGAACAGGCTGATGGAACTGGCAAAAGCCTTCGAATTCCGCCCAGTCGCTTCGGTACTTATCCATACCAGCACCTGGGATGCTTTTCAATTTATTTCCTTCGACTCCGCCGCTTGATTGGTGATGGAGGGTCATCGCCGTTGAGCAGCGTATTTATTGAGTACTCACCCCCTCATAACGACGTGGCTGTACTAGTACCGATGAATTAGATATAGTACTTTTTTCTGTAAGACGAACCCCCCGTGAGTCACTGTGAAGGTCATGATGACTATACATACTTTGCAGGACTTTCTCCGGCACTTATTTGGCGTACCGGTCCGGAAGCGTGCGCTACGAACCTCGACTGCCCTGTCCCGCTTTTCCCGAGGCGAAGGCCTGGACCACCTCGGTTTCGTGGAGAACGCGTGGGAACTGAAGAAATACGCCTTGTCTGTGCCCCTGCTGTACGCGAGCGCGCGGTGTGCCCCGGAGAACAGCGACCGCCGGTTTCGTGCGCGCAAAGCGACGACGGACCGGCATTTTGACCTGGTCGACAAGCGGCGCGTGTTCGAGGGCCTGATGGAAACCATCAAAAGCCCGCCCGCGGAAATCAAGCACGCGAAAGACCTGATGAGTGGACCCGCGGCCGCCGCATTTCAGGAGACGCTGGTGCAAGATGCTAGTAGTTCTTCTACGGAGATGAAACCGCGCGGCAGCACTAACGCGGCCGCGCAACAGCGCGCGAGCGCGATCCAGAACGCCAGCAAGACGAGGGGCAGCAAGAAGACCCAGATTTGCCCAGAGGACCAGCAGGAGCTGTACGCTCTTTTCGCCAGGCTGATGCAGGTGCGAAACTACCGGGAGGTGCACAGCACCTCGCTGTCGGTGAAGAGCCGCGATCTCGCGTTTGTGGCGCTGTGCGTCAAGCCGGAAGAAGGCTTCGCGTGGCACAAGGGCTACAAGGAGCGGAGCACGATGGAGAGTCGTTTTCTCGATCCGGCTCACGCGCTGCAGCCCTTGGAAACCGCGGTGCGCCTGATGTGCGACTTTTTCTGCCAGTGGAGTTTCGACGAGTGGAGCGAGCGGTTGTGCCTGCAGCCCTGCTTGCCCTTGCTAGCTTTCCCGTACAAAAACCCCTTTGAGTTGGAGGAAATGCACGGGAGCGCGAGCCTGCTGCTCTTCGGGGACGAGAAGCTGCAGGAAGCCCGGCGACGCAAAAACGAGATCCGCAACGGGATTTTTCAGAAGGAAGCCGAGCACGAGACCAAGGTGCGACTGCAGTTGGCGCTCGAGGATCTGAACGCGGAATTCCGTGCGCAGCAAACCAGGATCGAAGCGCAGCGTCGGGAATCGCTCAAGCGGCTTTCCGCGCTGCAAGAGGCGCGGCTCTCCGCGGCCGGCGGCTCGGGGAAGCTGGCCCAAATGCGAAAAAACAAGAAGCAGGCCAAAGCCGAGAAGCCGACGTGGCTCATGTTTCAAGAGGTACAGAAACCCGTCGTAAAGGAGATTGCGGTCAAAAAACCCACGAAGAACCACAAAGCGCCCGTGTGGCTGCAGTACTTCGACGGCCACACTAAGGCGGTTTACCGTCCTCTGAAGATGTCGCGTTTTCTTAGCTCATGAATGTAGCTACGGCATCAAAGGGCGGTGTGGGTCTAAAATTTCATCAGTTCCGTGATGGAAATCGCAAATACACCACCATGGAAGAAACTGGAAAAAAAACAGATGAAATGCTGCGGACTAACGCATGCAAAAGTGCTGGACAGCTGCTGTTCCAGATTACGCTATTGCCCCCCGATCTTGAAAAGAAGAAACGCAAAAGTTGTATCAAGTACGATCCTGGCACTTGATGTAGCGGGTGCAACAGCCGATAGCAGAACTGTTTCTCGTTCTCGTAGTTCTTTATTTTTCCCTGCCTATTTTTATATTCCCGACAGCGTCTCTGTCATGATGCCACGTTTTTAGTAGTTCCTGTGATGGTCGAAGTCGCTGGTCTTGCGCCATGCGGCATCTGCGTGCTAGCTTTCTGAGGTTCTGAAACAGACACCTGATCTATCACCTTACTATTTCCACGATAGAACATCGTCGAGCAGAAAGAGAATCATGAAGAACGTTACGCTCGGCAGCGTGGTCGAAACCACGCTTCTGGAGAGCCGGCGCTTTTTCAAGGAGGACGTGCCCGAGTTGCTCGCGCTTACCGCGCGCTCCCTGCAGAAGAACAAACTTTTCCCAACTTCTTGGAAAGAGTTCTCCTCCTACTCCCAAAGCGACTGGCTCGACGTGATTCCGGTTGTATGCGGCATTCTGGTTGCCGCATCCTGGCTCCTGTACTACCATTGGTTTCCGAACACCAATTACGGAAAGGGGGCGGCGGGCCGCTACGAATACCGCGTCACGCGGTCGGTGCTGCTTCGCGCACAGGCGCTCTGCTATTTCTGCGGCTTTCTCACGTCCGTGTACCAGCACCGCACGCTCTGGGGCGAGCACGGGTTGCTTCCTGCGAATCCGCGCTCGAACCGCCCCACCCCCATGTTCGACTGGTTCGGCTTCGGCGACCTGCAGCTGGAATTTGTGTCACTGCTGGGCTTGTTTTTCTGCGTGTTGCTCGTGAAGTACGAATCGATGTTTCCGGCGGCGGCGTGCTGGGTGTTGTACTTGAGCATCGTGAACATGCAGGCCCCCTTTACGTACAGCTACGGCTGGGAGTGGCTGACCTGCGAGGGCGGGTTCTTGGCCATCTTTCTCTGCTCCCCGCCGTTCCTGCGGAAGCCGGCCCAGCCCTCCCTGTTCGTGGTGATGCTGTTCCGGTGGCTGGCGTTCCGGCTGCTGATCGGGGCCGGCATGAGCAAGGTCGGGCGCAACAGTTCCGCCTGCTGGCGCGAGCTGACCTGCACGACCACGCACTACTTCACCCAGCCGATCCCCAACCCGCTGAGCTGGTACTTCCACTTCCTGCCGTTTGCCGTGCACCAAATCGAGGTCGCCATGACCTTTTTCGAGCAGCTGGTCGTACCGTACATGATGCTGATGCCCTTCTATCCTATGTAAAAACGTCCCCACCCCATAGTTGTCATGCAGATCGGCGTGCTAAAAATGTTTGTCATGCGGAGCCTCATGTGAAGAATTATTTAGTCGTGTTTTGGAACTTGTAATGCTCCAATCAGCATAATAAGCTAGATCTGTGATGCTGCTGGACGAGCTAAACAGCATTACACTACGAGACCAAACTTATCATGCGAAACAACCAAAGCTGGTTGATTTGTATAGCAGATCCCCCATCTTGACTATGGAGTGGGGAGGTTTTTGCTCAGGATACCTTCCGCTGCACCCGCATCTTCGCGGGCCTGGTAGAAATTTTTTTCCAGCTCTGCATCGTCGGGACGGGCAACTACGCGTGGATCAACTTCGTGGGGGCCACGCCTTGCCTAGCGCTGTTCGACGACAGGTTTCTGCTGGATGTCTACCAGTGCGGCCCGCTCATGCTGCGGAAAATTGTTCTTGCACCCTTGACACTGTTTGCCAGTAGAAAGAAGGAAAAAAGAAATAAATCCGCGTCACTTCTAGTAGACACCGCAAAGCAAGTGCAAGAACTGCCCCAGGACGGCGCGCCGACCGCCAATCAGCTCGAGACGACACTGAAAAAGGGCGAAAGAAAGCAGGATTTAAATATGTCCGCAAGAGTGAGCATCGGTGCCATCGTCTTTGCCCCAATATCCTACTGCGCTACCGCGGTGAAGAAAGTGTACCTGTTCGTCTACGCCACTGCGGTAGTTGTGCTGACCCTGTTTATGGTGTACAAGAGCCGCGAGCCGCTGAAGGAACTGTACTCCCCCGCACCTTGGATCAATAATTACGACAACTACTTCTTCATGACGTCGCAGGGCGTGTTCGGGTTCATCAACAAGTTGCGCGTGAATCTGGTACTAGAGTACCGGTATGAAGACGACGAGGATGCGGAGTCTTCGTGGCGGCCCTTGGACTTCAAGTGCATCCCGGGGTCGCTTGGGAAGCGGCCCTGTTTGCTGTCCCCCTATCATTCCAGGCTCGACTGGGAAACCTGGATCCGCACCACTGCCTCCTTTGAGCACGTCATTGACCAGTATCCAAGGGAAGTTGTGGGCCAGGTAGGAAGTTTTCTTTCTTGTAGTAGCCCTGTGTGTCGCTGTCGTTGAGGTTCTGATCCAAAAACTCTTGGTGCCTCGAACAAATAGACGGAAATTTGTGCTGGTGGTAGACGACCGCCTGTATCGACTTGTAACTCCAAATCTAAGAGATAGAGAAAGGGATACATTTAATAAATCAGGCACTGCAGCAGAACCTGCCAGATTTTTTGCAAATCCTGATCGATCGCCTGCTTCATGGAGACGAGAATGTCGGGCGGCTAATGGACCATGCTAGCGTGCGTGAGATGTACTACCCTGATGGAACAACCACGACGAACGATAAAGCTGCAGGAGAGCAGCTGCAAAAAAGGTTGCCTGCCGCAATCCGGACCTCCTTTTATCTGTACGAGTTCCAAGAACTGAGTGACAAGCAAGACTGGTGGCTGGCGCCGAGCGTTGCTGTCTCCTCGGCCCTCAACTGGTACAAGCGAACCCCGCTGGACCTCCCCGGCCAGCAAGGAGTGCACACGCGCAAGGGGAAGAAGCAAACGGCGTACCCAGAGAGCGACGACTGGCGCATCACGATCTGTGTCCTCGCGGCCATTCTGGCTGCGACCATGATGCCTTCGTCTTCAGCTCCTAGTGCTCTTTCGCTGGTAGCAGAACTGGATGGCGCGCCAGAAGAGGAGCAGCTTGCGGTTTTTACTAGTGCTACCAGCAGAACATCAAGTACTTCTCCGTCGCTGGTAATCCGATCGAAAAAAAGTGGTGATGTCAAGACTGGTAAATCCGCAACGCTCCTCGATGAGGAAAAGGAGCAAAAGCAATCCTCTAAACAGGCGAAAACCTCCGCGTCCAGCAGCAGCAGCAGCGGTCCCTCGGCAGGAGGAGAGGGAGAGGCCGCTGGTGCCAACGAGTCGTTATCCACAACAACCTCCGAAACCGAGCCGAGTCCGAAGAACTCAGAAAGCCGCCCCACCGCAGCTCCGGCACGGACGGCGGTGGGATACCGGGCGACCAGCCTGTTTCGGCAGGTCGCGGTGCTCGTCTTGGCGTGCGCGGTGTGCGGACTGTGCCTGCTGGCCGATTATCCGGGATCGTGGCTCACTGTGTTTGACACGCGCGCCCGGTCCACCGGTCGGGCCGTGCTTGCAATAAATCGCAGAGTTGTCGGCGTTCTCCGCTTGGGGTCTGTGCGAGGCGGCTTTCTACCAACGGTCGTCGCGCCCGTGGTGGGCGCTCACTACGAAACCTTGTTTCAGCTGCTCACGCTCGTGGACACGGTCTATCTGCCCTCGCACAAAAGCCTTGTTAAGAACATGACCACGGCGATCGTCGTCTTGTCGTTTCTCAAACCGCCGACGGAAATCTTCCGAACTGGCAACCTCGCGCGCGGTGCGCTTGCGATTGCTCTGGCCTACAGCGTCTCACAAGTCCAGTGAAATAAGTATATAAAGCGACTCCGACTGCGAAGGTTGCGACAGCCATCATGCTCATCCTTATACATTATCTGAACGATGTGTAGACGACAGAAATTAAAAAGCAGACGGCGACGGCGCGCATCGACAATATTGACGTACTTCAAATAAAGACTTTCCCTTTCCTGTGGGTTTACTGTCGATTTTGAAGGAGCGAAGCACCTCCGCGACTACGCACGTTTGTTTGCGGGCGCAACGAATTCGTCATACGGATTGGCGCTCACGCCTAGCTCGGTGTTCCTCTAGAAAAACGCCTCGCGTTCTGCTTCCACCAAAGCAAATATATATCATGACCAGAGGGAAAATTGTGTATTCCCAGCGGACCTGTACGGTCAAAAGGAGAAGTCAGAAAGAGGGTTTGTTGCACAACTGCAAAACTTCGTTTGTTGAGTTGCGGACACCGTCAAACCGCTGCGACGGAACATATTACATATCTGTTATCCACTCACACTCTGCAGCTGGTGGTAAACAAGCTACAAAATGGTATTTTGTTCCCGAGACTATTTCTAATTGGAGTGGGACCTGGTAGCATGACCGCGAGTGATCTACTTGGGAACTAGCAGCTACTGGAAGATGAAGATGAATCAGTCGCTCGAGGTAGCACAACGCAGAAGAAGGGGCCACTCCTGAGGCGTTGGTGGCGGCCACGTACGGGACGGTCACGGGCAGCACACCCGCCGGCGGCTCGAATTATCATGGGTACTGATAAGCCTTTGTCCGACCACAGTTGAAAACTATGGGTAACCACATCAGTACCCTCTGTCCGACGGACCACTTGTATCAAGACCGGAACTTTTCCACCAAGTTCGAGGTCGATGAGTCGGCGGCGATCGGGGCCGGGAAGTTTTCCGAGGTGTACCTGTGCTGGCGAAAGGAAAAGCCGGAGAGCCGGTACGCGGTGAAAGTGCTAAATATCCGCAACGAGGACCACCAGAGCGTGGAGCGAATCTATGAGGAGGTGCGCATCATGCAAGTGCTCGGCCGGCACCCGGGCCTGGTGCAACTGATTGATTTCGACGACACCTCGCCGGCAAGCCTACGCGTGGTGTTGGAACTCTGCGAGGGCGGGGAGCTCTACGACCGCATTCAGCAGCGCACCTTCTACCCCGAGAAGGACGCAATTCAGTTGGTCACAAACCTGTTGGAGGCGGTCGCCTACATCCACGCGAAAGGCATTATGCACCGAGACTTGAAGCCAGAAAACATTCTGCTGCTCTCCAAGGCGTCGCACACAGACATCAAGATCAGCGACTTCGGCCTCGCGAAAGCCAGTATTTTTTCCATTGCCAATTTCATCTTTGCTACATTTTGATTCGAGAAGGTTGACTGGGGGGGAGGTAAAGAAAAATCCAGTAGCGTCGTGATTGGGGCAAAACCACTTGTAAAACAAGTGGCGTAGTAGCACCGTGATTCAGCTATTTCATGCGCGCCATTTCAGATGGTTGCGGGAACGCAACCCCGACGGTATGCTGGGTTCCCGGGCTGTCGTTTTTGTGCAACGCCAAAATCTTGCCAGAAACCACAATCACAACCCTTCCCCCGATGGTACAGGCTCGCTTAAGAGGTCGAAGCCGGATAATTGACCGAGTCGGCCACACCGGACGAATCACCGAAGTCCGCGGATTTGGGTGCTCTCGGCGTTCTCGTGTTCTCGCGTGCCCGCTTTTGGCGGCTAATCCGCACGCTACGGCCTCCGAGAACAGAGCTAGAGCAGTGCTCTCGCTCTGTTCTCGCGTGCCCGCTTTTGGCCGCTAATCCGCACGCTACTCGCCCGTATTGGGACGTCGGGCTGGAGCGAGTCACACCGGGCGACGTCCTGCCGGAGTTGACGCCGAGCACGGCGCCGGCGATGCCGGCACGAACCGGGTGCGGGTTGTGGCTGGACCCGGCCAAGAAGTGCCTCGCGTGTGGCACCCGGCTGCCGACTGATGGAACCACCCCGATCACGGCGCTCGTCTATGACGGGGCGAACTGGCGCGCAATCAATACGCGGCGCAGGCTCCCAAGCCCGGCAGAGACGACGCGGCCGAGAACAACAAACCCAGCGGCCCGGTTATTGTTTGCCTTGCTTGCCTTGCTTGCCTTGCTTGCCTTGCTTGCCTTGCTTGCCTTGCTTGCCTTGCTTGCCTTGCTTGCCTTGCTTGCCTTGCTTGCCTTGCTTGCCTTGCTTGCCTTGCTTGCCTTGCTTGCCTTGCTTGCCTTGCTTGCCTTGCTTGCCTTGCTTGCCTTGCTTGCCTTGCTTGCCTTGCTTGCCTTGCTTGCCTTGCTTGCCTTGCTTGCCTTGCTTGCCTTGCTTGCCTTGCTTGCCTTGCTTGCCTTGCTTGCCTTGCTTGCCTTGCTTGCAATGCCTTTCTTGCTTGCCCTTCTTGCTTGCCCTTCTTGCTTGCCCTTCTTGCTTGCCCTTCTTGCTTGCCCTTCTTGCTTGCCTTTCTTGCTTGCCTTGCCTTGCCTTGCGAAATATTCGCGGCCCGCCATCTTCGTTGCTTCGGTTTTGCCGTCTCCCGGGCTTGTCTGTCATTTTGACCCGTTCGACACGCCCCCACGGCCGAAAGCAGTGCAGCAATCGGAAATGCAGGGGCACGCGTCGGCCAGGGTTTTATACGCAAAACGGCGAACGCTACAGCACGACGACGCCGGAGCGTTTCCATTACGGGCCGGACGCGAAGGCGTTCGCTCGGTGACAAAAGCGCATCATCCTCGTGGCGGAGTGCTGCGGGTTCGCGCTGGGATACGCAAAGCAGTTGTGCCGCCGCATCCTCCGGACTAAGTGCAACAGCCAGGCGGAGGCGCGCGCCATCGAATTGGCCTCGTGCCCACATCTCGACCCGCTGACGCTCCGCAGTTACCTGAGCAGTCTTTTCTTCCTCTCCTGCTCGTGGAAAGATAAAGACCAAAGCCCAAGACCCGATACCAAGCGACCGCCCGCGGCGCGGGTCAGTGAGCGCGGACTTTCGCCGAGTCTTCTGCGCCGCGAATGACGCCCCCGGTTTCAGGCAAGACAAGCCGCGGCGCTTGAGTTGCCTGCCAGAGGCAGCGCCAACCACGGGCGGACTGCCTCCATTCCGAAAACAGGAAGCGCGACGCTTCCGCTCTTGCCAGGTAAGGCCCAGATCGCGCCGCGCCGCCGTGATTCACTTTTTACCTCCCAGCACTCAGCGGCCTCTTTGATTAAGTATGTTGTTTGTGTCTTTCTAGCGTTGTTTAGTGTTACTACAACTGCAAGCAAAAGTACGAATGGATTTATGCTGTGCACAACTTCACCCATTCTGGTCTTACAGGTCGAGACTTCCCTCGGAAACTGCCGCGATCGAATTCGATATGCGGCAGTGACTTCTATCTCGCACCAGAGGTTATTAAGCAGGAGGAATACGGACGAGAAATTGACGTTTGGTCCATCGGCATCGTGACCTACGTGCTCCTCTCTGGCTCCCTGCCATTCTTTCACCAAGTTCTGCACAAACTGTATAATTCCACACTACGTCGAGAATAATGAATGTCTTCTTCTGTTTAGTGTGTTTCCTTGAGCAAAAAGAAGCAAGATGCAGAAAAACGTGAATGCAAAACGCACTCTTGCAGTCCGATAAACACTCAGACGAATTCATATCGAATACATCCATTACAGGTACAGACAAATCGTGGAGCGCGACATTAATTTCCCAACCGCCGCATGGTCAAATGTCTCCACCGGCGCACAGGACTTTATTCTGCGCTTGTTGCAGATCCGCCCGGGGGATCGTTTGACGGCTGAAGGGGCGCTAAATCATCCATGGCTCCGCCGACAAACGCAATCTTTCTGTGTCGGACAGCAAACGATGGCACAACAGTATCGGTTTTGAAAGCAATCAGGCGATTTGTTGTCAAACATCGATTGGCGGGGAATCTTATTTATGTGGTGTTCGGAGTGGGGCTGTATTTTTTTCTCTCTCGTTTCTTTTTTGTAGAATTCCTTTTGTTTCCCGAACCGGATCAGCAACTGACAAAAGATCACATGCCCGCTTGACTGCCCTTTTTCCGCTTTTTTTGAATATCGGATTTGTTTCATCGAATTCGATTCGTTGCGTTTTGTTCTGCATTTTCATTTGAATTTCTATACTCTCTGCTTTCAAAAAGGCGCAGGATGATGAGGCGTTTTTGATGCGTGGCCGCGGAACAAAGTGCTAGAATGAGCCGCTATTGAGGCTCGTCGGCGTACTACACCGGCGTCGACGCACGCCAGAATGCTTTCCGTGCGCAGGTCAACGTCTGCGACCGCGGTGTGCCTGTCTCTCCTGGCAACCCTACACGAAAGTGGTCGCAGCGCGAATGCCCTCCTGGGAGCATCAAGCTCTGGAGGACGTGCCGCACGGTCTACTGCCAGAGCAGGTAGGACAACATTTCAGCGTCGGCAGGCAGTAGAGCCATCAACATCGCCGCCGACTGTGGCACCTGCTCCTACCGAGGCGGAGCTCACAGATGACGTCGATTACGCACGAGATGCACCGTCGTCAGCCGAAGCTTACCACAGGGCGGTTGCGCCCCCAGACGGCCGCATGTCGCTGTCTCCGCAAGATGCTGCGCGGGCAGCACAGACCGACGACGCTCTGGACCACCATCATGTTTCCGCGGACTTCGATCCCGCGTCGTCTTTCGTGGGTGCTACCTGTGCGCAGATCTGCAGCGAGCAGTGTATCCCAAAAACGGTTGGAGAGGTACATTTCCATCTAGCGCAAATAAAAGTTGTTGTAAAATACTTGAATACAGTTACAGCTTCCTGTTTCTCTTTCTGTCTTTCGTATGCCTGAACCGGTCTACTACTTTCAAGTAACTATTGCAAGTACGCCCGTTCTTCCCGTTGTTGCCAAGAACTACAACTATTTCTGAAGGAAGTGGCGTCGCTGAGTTTATATACGGCTTGCAGTGGCGAGTCCCTGCTCCTGTGATGTATGTTTCTAACTACTTTATATCCGAACGCGTTTCTTTCACGGCCAAACCTTCGTCCCTCGTGGAAACCAAAATAAATTTCCAAAACAGGAGTTCACTGACTTTGCGGGCGTTGTGGGGCACAAGCTGAGTTCGCTGATTCCCGACAGCTTGGAGAAGGGCGTTGAGGCAGTGGGAGACTATGTTACAGACGTCGGTAAGGCTTTAGCGGCCCAGAAGCGGTCCTTTCTGCAGCGGTCCGCAAGGACGACAACTACAACCTCTGAGATTCTAAAAACAAAAAATCACTCATCTGACTGTCAAGCGAGATGCGAGACGCTGGTGGACCGGTGCAGCGACCTGATGGACAGCTCCGACCGGATCCCGGAGCGTGCGGAAGATGTTGCGGTGGACCCCGCCGTGATGCGGTGCCAGGACATGGCGAAGCTGCAGTTTATCGCGAAGCACGGCAACGTGAAGTACTCGACCAAATTCGGCGTGCCGCCGACGTTTTCTCAGCTTGCCTCGCTGACGGAACCGATGGACCAGATCACCGAGGCGGACCTGCGCACGCTCTCGGTGTGCGCGGACGGCGGCGACGACGCGAGCCTCAACCTCGGCGGGTCCTTGCAGCTGCTCGACTGCATGGTGGCGGAGGCAAATGCGTACGCGCACCAGATCCAGCGCGCGGTGGCGTCCGCGCCGCGGAAAAATGCGACCAAGATTGCGTCCGAAGCGATGCTGGCGCCGCCGAAAACGATGAAGGAGGACCTGTTTTTCGTGAACGACGTCCGCTGCTACCAGAGCAAGTGCGGGCCGAAGTTCGCGCAAACCACGGTGAAAACGTGCGAAAAAGACGGGGTGTGCAGCACCGACTTCGGGCACCTGCTGTGGCAACTGGGCCTCCTGCACACGGAGTCGCCCATGATGCGGGCGCGCAAGGAGATGGTGAAGCACCACGTGGCCGAGCAGGAGGACCGGCTGGACGAGTTTGCGGACAGTGCGGGCACCGTGGCGGACGCGGACCGGGATGGTAAGGACGACCTGGACGATCTAGATGAGGCCGGGTTGCTCGACGAGGAGGAGGGCGACAATGGCCGGCCCACCTCGTTGGCGAGCAGTCGGTCCGCTGCCGCCGTGCGCGACGAGCAGAAGCATGGAACAATAAAACCGGAGCCGCGGGGGCCCGGAGCGACGCTCCTGCAAGCGGAAGTAGACGAAACAGACCCAGACCACCAACGCGCACTCAAAGATGCCGCAACAAGCTTTACCCCGGTACTAAGTGCGAAACGTTTTTTACGCTCACTCAGCAACTGTTTTACGTGTTGAACTGTCTAGCAAAAAATCAGAGCTCGGCTCTTGCCGAATATTATGTCACGGTCGCCTCTTAGGTGGCCTGCTTATGGTTATCTATGTACAACACGTCTCATGAACGGATGTGATTCTAATTGTGAATGTCAATCAAAATTACCAGCCCCCGTTTTGCCGCGCCCAGATGTGCGCTCCCTTCCCGTTGACGACTTTGACGGAAGTGGGACTCGCAAAGCTGTTCAGCGCCATGCCCGGCGAGAAGTGTCCGGTGATGGAGAAGATCGCCGACTCGCACCCGCACGACTTGTACGACGGTATGATCGACGAGCCCAAGGGCTCCATATCCGACGACATTGCGGAGAAGGTGCGGCAAAACGTCGCCGAGCAGGCGGAGCAGGCGAAAGAGGTGCCCCGGCCCAAGCCTTTGCCCACGACGAGACTGGATGCGGAGGACACGACAGCGTGGTCGACGAGCAGGCTCTTCCTCGACGGACACGCGGTGCTGGGAAACAACTCGCCGGGGGCCGCGCAGGTCGACCACCTCGTCGAGAGCGCGGCAGACTGGTACTCCATCCTGGAGGTTGTGGACCACCGAGGGCTTGCAACTTCTCGGGGTTTGCCCTCTCAACGGGCGGTGGAAAAAACTGATAGCAGCACGCACGCGGTGGAAGCCAGTGACGAGCAGCGGGAAGAACAAGAATTGGAAGGAGACAGTATCGGCGACGAGGACACTGGCGCGAAGCTATCAGACGAAACGGACCAACGAGACGAGGAGGCCGAAGCTTCGGACATGGCAGAAAAAGCGAGCACAGGAGGCTCGGATAGTGCGGCGGACACTTCTTCGGAGATGAACATCGACGATGTAGGAGCCGACCAGGCGACGTCGGAGCTGGCGTCCGTCGGTCCGTCGGAAGCGATGTCAGACGAAGAGGACCAGGACCAGGACCCAGCGAACACCCTTGCCGCGTCGCCAGAAATGCTCCCGTCCACCGATGTGGAAGACAATCTGGCAAACCAGATGGCAGACGTATTTGTCTTGGACGGGAAAGACGAGGTCGCCATGCGAAAGACGACACTGCTGCAAAAAGCACGCGCGAGCAAAAGCCACCAGGATCGCGCGGAAGACGACGATGATGACGAGGATTCTGGCATTCCGGGCACCGAAACGGAATTCTCTAACTACTGAACAAGTATGGAGCTGCCAGGTTTGATGCTGGATCAAGTACTTTCTCACTACTAACACAAGTGTAGGTAGCGATTCTCGTCACGTCCTCGAATGCATCTTCGTGTATGCATGAACACCATCTCCTGGTGGAACCACAGAGCCCTCGCGCCTGGCGCGTGCACGATTTTCATTTTACTATACATTGTTTTTTCCAGCTCCACCACTCTGTTTATCATGCAGCGTGGAAATCGAAATCAATTTCCAGGCCCGGATACAGTGAAAGACTTCCTATTCGAACTAAAAACAGAGTCACTTCTTTCCGGCGCTACCGAGCTACAGATTGCGACTTCTCTAGTTGTTCGAAGATGAATACGTTTTGTAACTCACAACTTGAGCGAAAATTTGAGCGGCTTGAGAGTTTTGGGGCGTTGACGGATTGGACTTTGTGCCGAGCTCTCTTTAATCTTGCGGACTAGGAGAGGAGTTGCGTTGCATTGAAAAACGAGTTTTGAAAATTCCCAAGAAATTTGAGTATCCCAAGCTCGCCATTTTTACCATGCTTCCCGTCATATTCAGACCCCCCAAGAGAGATAAAACATCAACTATCCCCTTTGCTAGAGTTATCAAGACCACCCCAAAAGCTACTACAAGAATCAATAACGAATGAGGAAGATGAGAGAAGATTTCGTTTTCGTGAACCTCGGTCGTACTTCTACTTGTTTCGAGTAAGCGCATACTTCAGTACATCAAGGGACACGACCGCGGTGAGATACTAGAGGCGACTGTCTTTTGTGTGGTCGCAACAACTTCTCGCTCTCGCCCAAAATCTGACGCACCAAAAATAGCAGCTCTCATTGGGACCGCGGCACAGTATTTCTCTCACTGTAGTTTTCGATTGGACCTCATGCGCACGAATACGAAAAAGGTACGCAATCTGCGCTTGGTTTTGCCGTCGCCGTGACCAGAGTGCCTGCACCTGCGATCGTTTTCTCCTGTCTTGTCGAGAAATGTCCCGCCTCGCCATGAATGGCCAACATTCTCCAAGCTACGGAAGCCCGACTCCAAGAAGCTGCGCCAGAGGACCTTAGTGAGGTGACCCCTTCATGATGAAGAGAAAACCTTGCAGTCGCTGGCGTTGTTTTCTTTGCTGGTAGCTGAAAGTGGACAATAATGACTAAAGATGGGATGTTGTGTTTCCGATGCTAAGCACGCAGCCTCGGCATACGAAGCTACCGCGGACATCTACGATCTCAAACAAGCAGCTGCCTTGGAGAGTATTTTTTCAAGGATAAAATTCAAATTGCTATGTAATTACTAGTTTGCAAAAATCTCCTGCAGATAAGTAGCTAGTATGTAACTCGCGCTTGCATGATCCTCTACAACGGTGCTGGCCAGGATAGACATCGAGACTTCGTTGAATATTATGAAAGAGCGTGCACCAAACATTGTCCTACAGGTGAGCTGACTGCTACCGGAGACGCGGTCTCTGACGGGCAAAGCTCGGTGAGTGCGAGTGGTGAGCGCTACCCGCCGCCGGACCGGCCTCTCGATCCAGACATGGCGAAGGTTCGGCCGCTCTACGCATCGAAGATCGAGGGCAACAAGAGTAACACGATGCTGCTGCCAAATGGCACACACCGCTCGCCCCTGGACAACGCCCACGGAGCTGCAGGGGGCACCTCCTCTGTGTCGCACGGTGACCTCCACCTGCAACAAGGCCAGCAGAACGCGTCCAGCAGCAGCACCACCGGAACGGATTCGCGAAGGCATAGCAGCTCGTCGAGCTCCTCCAGTTGCGCCGGGGGCCTGCAGCGATCACGCGTAAAGCAAGACCAGCAGCCACCACCGCCTGCCGCTAGCGATGCGGACCGCAAGAAGCGGTCCACGGTTCTGGAGCAAAAGCTTCGAGAGCAGTACTCGCAGATTCGCGACACGCCGTTCTGGCGACCCAAGGTACGTGACATAAGTATAAATATGCTGATCCAATAGAATAATCAGCAAGCCTAAGTGTGGTCCACATCGATATCTATGTCCACTGCACTTTTGCTATCTGAATAGAAGATCATCTTTTTATCATATCGTAGGCAGCACGATGAAATTTTGGGTGCCAGCATCCTCAACGAACCGCTTGTGGTTCGATCATGTCGAGGCCTGGCTGGTGGTGGCTACATTACCAGCTGAAATTTACCTTTTGATGAATTTTATCGTATTTTATGTTGAACTGCAACAACTGCGCATGCATCGGAGCTGCTGTAGCGAGTTCTTCCTGACGCGATCAAACAACAGTCCGAAAAAGTGTTTTTGTGCCGCTGAAATTAGGCTATTGAACGATCTCCAGCGTCTGGTCCTCTCTGGAAAGCCAATTTCACTCTGCGCAGCTTCTTGGCCATAATGATAATGCTTATGCTTTTCTCGCTTGCCCATTGCGTGCCTTTGCAGCATCGTTGCTGGATTTTTGTCAATAGATCACTTCAGCGACACAAAAACCAAAGCGACTAGATACCGCCACCAATGAATTGTTCTCGATTGGAGCAAGCCCAGCATGCCCTGGCCCAATAGAAAACTTTATGCGGCCCGCCCCGGAGTTGTGCGATTGCATTATGTAGTAGTAGAACAGTCTCGCTGACCCCGAATCCCCATCATGTCGTGCCACTCGTCGCCTTACAATCCTGTGGAGGAAGTGCCCCATCTGTCAGTGTCTGAGTTGCAGAAGTACCTGGATGAAAGAGGGTTGCCTTTCAAGGCGGAAGTAGCGCATTTCGACAGCACGCGGCATCTGATCAACGCAAAAGCTGCAAAACAGGTGCTACAGCAGAAGGACGAAAACGGGGAGAAAAACAAGAAAGTGATAGGTCTGACTCTCTCGAAACGGCAGCTGAACAAGTTCTACAAGTGGCAGCCCGTTGGGGGGAACCGCGCGCTGGAGGCCCAGACGACGAGCACTGCCGCCCCTGGCAGCAGTGGCCCCGACGACGGGCAGCCCAGCGGCGACTCCACCACCGCCGATAGTGGCGCGGGAGCTAGCAGCACGGACCGCAGCAAGAAGTTCTCCATCCTCAAGGTAGGCTCGAAAAGCCGGCCGATCAAGGAGGAGCACAAGACGGACCAGTACGGGTTTCTGCTGAAGCGCGCCCTCTCCTCCCGCCGCGTGAAGCAGGGCGCCGTCGGGGACTGCTCGTTTCTGGCCATCCTGAACTGCCTCGTGGACTTCGACGCCAGCTTCAACCACAACTACGAACTTTCCCCGAACAACCGGGGCGGCAGCCGCAACGCGTTTCTGCGGAGCCTGTTCGTGGCTTTCATCCCGGAGAAGAACGTCATCCTGGTCAAGCTCTACATCGACTGCGAGTACCGCTTAGTGCCGGTCACGCCGACCGTGCCCATTTCGCGCGAGGGAAAAATCCTCTGCGCACACTCCACCACGGCGACGGAGGTGTGGATATGCCTCCTGGAGAAAGCCTACGTCACCATAAGCGGTGGCAACTACGACTTTTTCGGAAAAGGTACTGTCTCTCGTACTGGTTGCAACTTCGACATCTCGTCCCGGCGATGTCAAAGAAGTAGAAGTAGGAGTTAAGGTTGCCCATGGTTGTTGCAAGAATGATCAATCTAAACCATCGTTTTTAAGTAATGGTCATAAATATCCAGGCAGCAACCCGAATACGGACGGCTACCACCTGACTGGCTGGGTCCCGGAGACGCTTCCAATCAACTTTTTGATGCAGCAGATTTCCGTCGGGCAGTACGACGCGGAGGCCTCCAAAATATGGGACGCGATCCACAATGGCATGATGACCGGCCGCTGCGTGGTGTGTTTGGGCACGGGCAGGATAAAGGACGCCGTGGTGGAGCGAGGCAGCGACGATCCGGAGGGCGTGTCCGTGAAGTACGGGATTGTTCAGAACCACGCCTATTCCGTCTTGAAAGCGCACGTTCTCCCCAACAGCCCCTACCACGGCACGCAGACCCCAACCAGGCTCCTCTACCTGAAAAACCCATGGGGCCGGTGTCAGTGGAAAGGTATCGACATTGATGTATCAAAATGGAAGTAGGAATTGGAGTAGTTGATGCAGTCGTGGTTCATCAGGTCCCTCGCGTTCTTTCAGCGTGAAAATGAATGCTATTGTCGTATCACGCAAGAAGGAGCCGAGAGACCTATACATCTCCTTGTTTCATCGCACATAATTCTGTCAGGGCGTTTCGGTCCGCGAGACCCGGTGTGGGAGACGTTAAACGAGGAATTTAAAAACGCCCACCTGCCTCCCGGGAACAACGGCACGGGGAAGACGGACGACGGCTATTTTTGGATGGAGTGGAAGGACGTATTGCAGTCAGGGACTTTTAGCCACATTTACATTTTGTGGAACAAGGACCGGCTCATCAGGAAGAAGAAAATATCGCGCCTCAGCTACGAAGTCAGGTACGACGACGCCTTCAACTGCCTTGGCGGAAATCCGCAGTTTCTCTTGAACGCGAAAAAGGGCAAAAAGTACGTTTCGTTTTTTCACTGCTTTACCTTTGATTTGTTTTGATATCTTCACAACTTTGTCCTTATTTTTTGCGAATTACTTCGCGCGTCCAGTAGTTCTCCTGCAGCTGCTGCAGTATCTAAGTATCTACTTCCACCACAACAAAGGAAGAGAAACAGAAAAGTGCGACTTGTAGATTCGCCGCCAAGATCGTTCGGCTGCTGCGGTTTTTTGTGAACTTTGGTCCGACGGCCACGGCGAGCTAGTACTGTTTCTATTTTTGTTCAAACAGGTACTACTTCGTGGTCTCGCGCGTGAAGAATACGACCTTATCCAGTAGCTACATCGCCGCCCACGCATACAGACTGAGAGCGCCGCGGTTGCAAAAGCTCCCTCGAATACGAAGCTCCCGTGGGAGAATAGGCAGTTCCATTGAAACCAATAGTTCCAACAGCGACCTGAAAAAGCGACGAACGGACGAAGAGGGCGAGCACTGCTTCACGGCTGCCAGCTCTCCGAACAGCGACAGTCTTGCCGGCGCACCCGAAAAAATCGTCGAGGAGTCCTGCAGCGGTAAAGAAAAAACGATGCTTTTTCATGTCTTAACCGACAGGGATTTCTTCACACGAACATATGGACCTGTTATACTCAAACTCAACCTTTGACGTCATCAGGAAATCCGCATGTGGTCCTTGTGGTCGTGGACTCGAGATCCGATGATTGTTTTTGTTTCCGCCCAGTATCATGACTACAGTAGGGACAACGAACTGACACCCATAATTCGTCATAAAAAAAATCAAATCAGAAACCGCCTCCTGTGTGTCTCTTATGGAAGGCGTGCACCATCACGGTGATGAAGAGGTGGATAATTGTCTCTGTCCCGGCAGCGCCTACTTTGACAGCTCCGACCAGAACGAAGAGCCAGGATTTGTTTCCGATCAAGGAGTTGGCTCTTCTGAGCAGTACGCCGAAGGAGAGCACTGCACTGACGACCACTACTCCACGGATCCACCCGGTCTCGACGGGTACTTTAGCCACCAAGCATTCGCGCAGCCGCGACACCAGGGCAACACTGAGGCCGCCGGCCCGCCACCGGAAATAACGGTTCCTAGTACCGAGGGTGGCATAGTAGCTGCTTCTTCTGCGAGCCCCGACGCTCCGGGATGGACATTAGGTAGTGGCATGCAAGTAGGTACAGTCGCAGAAGAACAAGCAGGTGAGAACGTCAATCCGCCTGCCTTTCACAATTACGGCTCTGACCTTCCGCCAGAAGGAGGAGCGAGTGAGGGCTGCAATCCCTCCGCGATAAGTAGAATACCAACTGCTAGAACAAACGGGACAACAACTACCACACCAACGGCAAATGACGGTACCACGACATCATCAATGCTGGTGAACAATAATAAAGTGCGGTCGGCCGAAGCGAAGACGCAGCTGCCCCTGCCACACCTCCGCCACGTGGACGGAAGCCACCACCGCAGCCCCGGCGGCAGCTACTTCGATCAGCAGAACGGCGAACCCAGTGCGTACAGCAAGACCGGACCCTTCGGAACCGACCGCGGGGGCGGGTCCGCCTGGGCCAGCTGGGAGGATCGGCTGTGGTGCCCGTCGCACGAGCAGGTGACCTACTTCCCGGGGGTGTACACGAACGGAGAGTGCTGTCTGATGAAAATCCAGCACAGCAGTGCGCCCACGGACGGGAGCGACGAGTGGGAGCAGTACGTGCTGCTGCTCTCGCAGCACGACTCCGCGGAGCGCGTCAAATTCAGTGTGGAGATTTTTGTCGAGGACGACGAGGACGGGGGGGACGTGGATTTTGAGATGATCCCCGACATCCCGCGGGCTTGGTACCAACACTTCGCGAAGGAGCAGTGGCCCCTGGACTGCGGATGCATGAACGACAAGGTGCGGTACCTGAGCAACCCAAGCTTCCTGCTGATGGCAGACGGGGAAACACCCACGGACCTCATGATGGTCCTCCTTTCCCTGCAAAACTCGCTGAACATCCGCTTCTGGGAGGAAACGTCGCAGACCTCGTTCTTCTTTCGCGAGCTCATCGATTACCACAGTCGCGAAGCAAGGAGGAAAGAGCGCAAGAAACTATCGCCGAACTTCCTCGAGGCGCTGTCCGAGCAGTGCGTGGGCAACAGTGGACCCTACCGCTACGAAATAAAACTTTTTACAAGTCAGCTCAAAGTGCGCTCGCATCTGCTTCAGGTAAAGTTGTGTGTAGCTGCCCCGCACCGCCACTGCTGGTGTTTGCATGCCATGTCGACTTGTTCTTTTACTTTTTGCAAGCAGTAGGAGTAAATGCCAACTATCTCCTGCAGGAATTGAATAACACGGAAATCTCCGATCGGCGCAGCTCAGGTCGGCAGGACACTTTTCTGTGTTCCAAAAGATATTATGTACAGGGACCGCAAGGCAAAACCAAAACGAAATGAACCGCGAAAGCATGTCCGCGGTAATACACCGCCACACGGAAGCAGAGGCACCTCTAGCGGTGTAACAAGTTTTGCTTCCATACACGCCACAATTGCTGCACGCACCTGATCAAAAATATGAAGCCGGGAACGAGGTAAATGGATGTTTTATGTGCCACATTATTATTTTCGCTTTTGCTCTTCTTATGATAGTGTTGATTCGGAAAACCACGGAATCACATGAAACCGCGGATCCAGCAGCACACACTCACGTCGTCTCTTAGTACCCTTATTTCTACCAAACCGCACAGGTACTTGTGCATTGTGTCGACATTCAAGCCCCTGCAAAGCGGAGACCAGCTGGACTACGATTTGGAGATCACATCGACTGCAAACGCTAACATCAGCATGAAGCAGCTTTCTGGTTTCACGAAACGAAAGTCCATTTTCCCGCTCCGGTAATCGAAACCGATTCTCCTGCACAATCCGCAGAGCCGCCATTTCCGACACGGTGTTGCCAGGTTTCACTTCATACGGACACCGAGACAATTGGCGCAAGTCAACCTTACACTAAGTTCCTGAAATTGATGTCCCTGCTTGTATCGTTGTCGTTCCCCCCCCGGTGCGCTACTCGGCATTTTCCTCTGGCACTTGTGGTCGTTTAAGAACCAACTCCGTGTCATTTCCCACCCGACCCCTGACGAGGACCTGCTCATCTCTACTAAAACCCACTCAAACTCCTTGCAACGATGGATCCCCGACCCGTTTCCCCGACCCGTCTCTGGCATCATTTAGGCGCTGGAGAAAGAAATTTTTGAACTCGCAAAAGAAAATTTGTACTATCTCTACTGCAGAGCTTTTTCGCAGCTTCTCGCCGTGGCCATATTTATTCTTGTAATCCCCCGCCATTCAATATCGCACGGTTGATAGCCGCGACGACGCACAGCGACGCTTCAAGCCAATGTGCATGGCAGGTTTGTAGTGACAGAAGAGCAGAACGCAAGCAAAAACATATAAATAAGCTGATGATCGAAACAGTAGCAATTTTCACAACTAGAAGAGATTTATCGCAAGAATAAGGTTGGAAGTGACGTAGCAGTGAATGTCTTCCGACTCCGAGAAAAGAGTTCATTGCCTACTCATTATTCCTTGTCCTATCGATTTCGTTTATATTTGTAACAGATTGGCGGAGCACAGTAAGTTTTAAGTTTTTCTGTACTTCATAGACTACATTTTTTGCTCGCGCCTGTGGATTTCTTGGATGAATAAGTATTCTGATTGGTGCTATGTATCGAAAGATCCCGTGTCTCGTGATTGTAGTTGTAGAGCTGTATGCGCCATGTTGTATTTTATTGGGTTAGTGGTAGTGTATAGGAACCGGGGAAGGGGAAACTAACTCAACGGTTTTCGCACAGCGCGGCAGAGGCAGCAGAGCCCGTCTCCCAGTCACCTCGACCTGGCTACAGCTGTACTTTTCGTATCAATCTCTCGAGACCACGCAAAAGGATCATACTTACAGGGATCTAACTAATTTCTGCGACGCACCCGCATCTGGACACCCGTGCCCTCGCAAATGTACTGAATTGGGAATGGTTGACCCATTCCTATGCGGTTCTTCTCTTGTATATACTCGCACCTCCCGCCCAGAAGTAGAGGTACAGGTAGTATGTCGATTACTTCCGCCGGCCTCCAAGCATGGTTGAGTACAAGAAATTTCTTCTGCCCCGAGTGAACTTGCTACACAAATGTACCTAGTATGTAAACTTTTGTGCTTAACTTGAAATTCAGGTTGTTCTGAGGCCGGCTGCCAAGAAGAATTATCGTTAACTGAAGCAGAACTTTTTTATTCTCCAACGCTCATGCGGTTTGATCAATACTTTATCTTGCAACGTGACGAAAATTTGCTCCGTACAGACGACTACGACCATGATCCAATTTCCATTGTAATACGCTTTCCTTCGTGCAGCTCGAGCCGCACAGTCTGCTCGGGAGTTTGGACTGCCAAAGGAGCAGTTTGTTCGGCACTGCAGGGGAGAGTCCCAGCTCGGTGGAATGCACACAGGCCCTGAATGGCCATGTGCGTGTTTGTTGTGACGACACCTTGCTCGTGGGACGAAGATGAAGATACCACAGCATGCTACGATCTCTTCGCGTCTGAGCCGATCCAGACAAGAAGTGAGCCGGTAGGAGGTTTTTCACCCCCTGTGCGGTTTTATTCAAAGCAGTGAGTGTCGATTTGCAAACTTGTTCCTATATACCACGAGAAAGATTTTCAAGATCTTTCTGATTTTGCGCAGCCGCATAAGAACTCAAAAACCTGGCATCGAACTAATGATGCGAATTTTTTCTTTTCGTACTACGATCACTTCTTCTTGATACTCGAAGATCTGTCGATCTTGCGCGTCGATCGGCATATTACCAGGACAGTGCTCGTGAGATCGTTGCTTTCGAGTAAGAATGAACGTGCGTATCACGACATACGTTTATACAAGTTTGTCCTCGTACACGTGTGTTGATTCCATCTCCGCCCGCGTTCGTGCAACGCTCCATGTTCCAATTGATGCGTCGGATCATTACCAAATCCTCTGTTGTGGCGTTTTTTTACAAGATTACGATGCTTGTGGTGCATATGATCAGGCGCGTTCGTTCCCTGAGGAAGCGCGCCATGTTACAACAAGAACAATGATCAACATCTCTCTTTGCAGCTGGTTTCGTCCGCTTCTACTAGGAACAGCAAGTGTGGTTGAGTTTTATTAGAGGAAAAAGAATCCGGCGGCACTCTGAACGTCCCGGAACACCAAACCGCATGCCATGCCATGGCTACTCCACTATGAAAAGTAAGAGCCTTGAAAGCGCAACCGACTCGTGTCCTGGAAAAGGCTTGTGCACCTCCACACAGGACGTCGATGCGGATGACCGATAAAACTAGTATTTCATCGCATTCTCTCGTCGACTTCGCAACGGATGAAGACCCTTGCGCTTGTGGTCTCGCAGCAGCTGCGAGCACTGTTTCTCCTGCTGCTCGTAGTACAGGTAGCTCCAGAAACGCATGGCGCACTCGCAGCGGCGTCAGCGAAAGCGGACCTCCGGCTCGCGGATCGCAGACATGGACAGGACAAAGGCTTTATCGAAGGAAATACGACAGGAAGGGGGCGCCAGGGTGTCGCGCACCGAAGGCATATTGACACTGCTACGATCGAAAACCACCCTAACCACAACCGTAGCTGCTTCAATCATGGTTCTGAGCTACTACAGGGTACTACAATTTGTAACTGCGGAAAGCAAAAATCACTATGTGCAACTTGCTCGAACAAATAAAAGGCGCGGTGGGTGATATCAAAGCTAAAAAAGAGCTCGCCTGGGTAACAGAGCTTGTCAGGCGCCTGGCCGGGCGGAGAAAAGCTCGAGAAGTATATGTGATTGTAACAACCCTCTTGTGTGCACAACTGCGTGGCGCCGTCTGGACTGATGACGCGCTTCCTGTCGTGTCGCATACTTGTGGACCTTCGACCTCTGACATTCCACGACTATGACTGCGTCCACCTGGGACCTTCGCCGTTGCTAGAAAACCGGAGCTGGTCGGAATGGCTCCAGATTTTCGAGCGGGAACCAGCGACGCAGTGGATCACCGCGAGCCACGATTTTCTGCAGATGATCGACCGGCTCGACATGGAAGAGTGGGTTGTATTGCGGCACGAGTGCCCCTACGGCTTTGCCAGCTTTCTGTCGGTGTACCTGATGCAATGCATGCTGCAGACCAAACGCACCTACTCAGACTACGATGAGGACTTCTGGGCCCAGGTTCGCGAAGAGAATGCTCTGAACAAAGACGGAGATGAGACCACGCCAGATCCTGCAAACACCGGAGGACACCAGGAGGCGCAAGATGACCGGTTCCCCGCTGGGCCCTTGCTAAGCAAGGCGCGAGAAGACGAGATGGGGTGCTACCTGTCCTTCCAAGTCGCGAACTTGTTTCATTCTATCCTCACGGAGCACCCTCCTCGCATCTTGTTCGGGACCCGGTGGCCCATCCTGACCATCCTGAGCGCCCGCAACCTACAGCATTCGCTACTAGCGCACGACTTCTGGTACAGCGCCGAAAAAAATTGTCTCGCCATCCCGGAAGACCAGGCGACCGCGAATTGGCCGAAGTTGCAGCGCGCATTTTGGGCGGAGGAGGAGGCAGTAGACCTTTTTCTCAGCCAATCTGAGAAAGTTGTATCCTCTTCCTCTGCTAGTAGAAGTACTACCGGTAGCACTTCTAGTAGCCTCCTCAGTCCACGAATCGACCGCCTCGCGAGGTCAACCTCGCCGAAAACGAATCCGCGGCGCCTCAACAGGGAGTGGTACCTGCCCAGCCTCAACTTCGTCTTCCACAGCCGCCTCAAGCACGGTGGGGGCTTCGCCGAGTGCCCGCTGGGCTACTTTTTTGTCGAGGTGCTCCGCAGCTTCACCTCAATGACCTCCGAGAGCCGGTTCTTCCTCGCTCACGAACCTATGATCGCACAGATATGCATCATGGTAAAGAGTGTCTAGTAGTTCGGGCGACATAAACTGCTAAGCGATGAAAAAGAACGACGCAGAATTACTAGGGAGTAGATGAAAACTACTTACTTATTTGGAAGGAAGTAATTCTTCTCTGCGTAGTTTTGATACGATAAGAAATTTTGGTTGTTCTTGTTCCTGATCAATTTACTTCCGCCCTGAGCCGGACACGGACACACTTGCTCTGAATACGACTTGCTCCTGAATAACGAGCCCGGTAATTACCTGTTCACCCGCTGGCCGTTCTTCATGGTGTTCAACCACATCCGGAAGAGCACGAGACACAAGTTTTATTTCGACTTTTCAGTCACTGAGCTCCTAGACAGCCGGACCGCCTTCGTGCACCGCCGACTGAACGGTCGGGGGCGGTCCGTCGACTTCCGCACCCAGCTGCCACCAAAATTCCTGCACGTCACCACCTCCGTGGCTGGGCTACGTCCTGGACACGAACCGACCTCCCATGCGGTGGATACGGCTGGTGGAACCGCTGCAGAAGTAGACGGAGAGCTGTTGGACGAGGCAGCACAGAAAGAAGTGGTCGTCCTGGTGGACGAGGAACCACTAGGGCCTGCCGACGTTCCCCTCGAGGGTACTGCGAGTGGCAAGCTGCAGTACTTGGCGACCCGTGGATCCGCGTTGCATCGGAATGTGGTGGAGGTCTTGTCGCTGATGCCCGACGTCTGGGTCGGGGGCAGCCGAGTCTCACGGCCCAAACGCCCCGCAAACATGGATGATGAGGAACAAGAAAAGGAAGTACAATCTAGTTCTTCACACGACGACGAGCAGGACGAGAACCACCTCGAAACAACTACAACAAATAATCCAGCCATCAAGCAAGAACTAGATGAAGATGATGACTTCGCAACTTTTCCCTCCCCGGGCTTCGCGTACACTACCATGGTGTACGGGGAGACTTTCCGGCACTATCTGCCCAGCTTCATCCGGCGCTGGAAGCGGGTGACGGGCAAGGAGAACCTGTTGATCTTCACGTTTGACGACGCCTCGTACAAGGAGTGTCGAAAGTGGCAGACCGGCTGCGTCGGCGGGGGCACGCCGGGCATCATGCAGAAGTTCACGATCCCCTGGGTGCTGGCGCTGAACGACGTGGACGCGGTTTGGGTGGATTTTGACGTGTACCCCGTGCAGGACCCCACGTTCTTTTTGCTGCAGCACCAGAACTATCAAATGCAAAAATGTCTGGGTCTGGAAACTTGTGATGCTGGGTGGGGTATCATGAGGCGGCCACAAGTGCTGGCTCAGCATCACAAGTTTCTGAGCTTCTAGGTGTTGCCTATTCTGAGTGACAAACTGCGTTTCTGCATGACAGAAAGATGGGGCTCTTGGGTAACGTGCATGACAGACTTTGGGGTCATGCTGGCAGAGCATGAAAGACCTTCCATTCTTCCAGACCCAGACACTTTTACAATCCATAAGAACCGGGCGGCGTTCGAGATTCTGATCAGCGGTTCCTTCGCCACCCCGTGCATCTGCAACGGGATCGTGTACTTCCGCAGCACGGAGGCGGTGGTCCTGTGGCTGGTGGACGTGCTGCACTGGATGTACGACCACCCCTACGAGCACGACCAGAAGTGCTTCTCCGCCTACTTGAACTACACGGAGCCGGTCACCATGCGGTGGGACCAGCTCCCGCGGACGCAACCCGCGGTGCCCCGTTGGGACACGCTGGATCCCATCCAGCAGTTCGTCACGGCGCTGGTCGTAGAAGGCAACGGGTGGATGGGGGACTCCTGGCGCGACATGGTGCTCTTCCACTTCCTGCACGGTGACTCGGACAAGGGCTCCGACCTGGACTCCTCCGGGGCGTGGCTGCAGGACTCGCAGCTGTACGCCAACATGATCCGAGCCGAGGAACAAACGGGTGCAGAAGCAGGAGAAATGACGACGAGTGCAAATAATAATCTACCTTCACCCAACGGCGCTACTGCCGAGCTGGAGGTCGTGCCTCTTACTACGGAACAAAAAAACGTCACGCTCATGTATGGCTTGCTCAGATGTTACAATCTCAAACGTTACAATACATAGAACCTGGAATTTGTCTTGCATGAACAGCATGAAAACCATACAGAGACTTGGGCTTTTCGCAATACAAATTTCGTCAGATTCCCATGGGGTTTGGGGCTCCGAAACTTGTCATGCGCGCTCCTTTGGGAGTAGGCCAGATGTTGCGCATTTTGCAACACAAATTCCAGATTCTATTGTAACGTTTGAGATTGTAACACCTGAGCGGGTTATATCATGGAAACGTTCTATGGACCGCGCTCCACCGAGGAGAAGCGCGTGCAGGCCCTGGAGCGGTCGCGGCAGTTTGAGCGAGTAAACATTCTGGAGGGCATGACGTGCGGCGTCATTGCCTACCCCTTGGATGATCTGGCGGGGAAGCACAAGCCGCCGGACGAGTGAGCCGCTACCTTTTGAATCCATCTAAGTATCAATGTAAGTATGTAAGTTAATAATTCGTAAGTCAGGACCAGGAATCGTCACAATCCAAAGAAACGAAGTATTTGCCCACAGCCGAGGGCAAAACCGACCTCGGAGAGATTCATTTACTTATTTCAGAGCAAGTTTATTTTACTTGATGCAGTTGCGGCTTGATCACGATGGACAATTTCCTTTGCTTTTCTACGACTAGGTCGGTAGGGTAAATTGTGCAAAAAAAATACCATGTGTTTGTTTTTTTTTTCTTTGACGGAGGCAGGGAGCGGAGCGAAAAGACTAAGAAAATGTCATTGGAGTTGTGGGAGGAGCGAAGCCTGCCGTCACACGGTTTCTGGAAATGAGATCCATCTGTCACTGCTACGTATCTATTTATGACTCTTGCATCCTCGAGTTTTTTTTTCCACTCGTCTATTGTAACAACAACAAGTTCTTCTTCTTGAGTCTGGACGTGGATCTCGAAGCAGGTGTTTTGGTTTAGTGAGTAGGAACCACTGCTCCTTGACACGGCGCGTCGTCGAACCGAAAGAAAAGCGAAATAGCCAGAAAGATGACGCGCAACGTGGACAAGAACTCGTATTTGCTCGTCCCATCGGACGTTACGCTGTTGGAGAACAAAGTATCAATCGGCCGCAAGTCGCTGGGCTTCTTGGAGTTCCTCGGTATAGCCACCACCTTTCCCATGTACCACAACTCCTACTCCAAGCTCGACGCCAGCGAGAAAAAGGCCGTTCTCACGAAAGAGTACAAACAAAACCAGCACACGAGACTTGCGTTTTTGTCTTAGACATATTCCGAAGAGGTTCATCTTTTCCATTGTATTACTTTCGCCCAGTGGCAGTTGGTTATTCGTGCACGTGCACGTAATACAATATTTATCGAGGAATTGATCATTGTTCCACTATGTCTGTCGAAAGCTTCTTCCTTTCATCGAAAAGCCAAAGTGCGTCAGACGCTGCGATGCTACTGAAACTCAAACACAGTTACGATTTCCAGAGCTCCAACCCGGAGGTAGAAGTCTGCAAGGCCCGGCAGCTCGCAGTCAGTCGCGAGGTAAGTAGGACAAGCATGACTTGTTCGTCTGTAGCCAAGGAGCAACGGGATGCGTAATCAGTTGTAGATGGTTGAAGTCCACCCACCTGGCACTGTCTACTCAGTCAGCCTTGTTTTGTCCAAATCGCATTGATGATATCATCTAGGTTCTTGATGTTCGTGCAATAAATGTCAGGTAAAAAGTCACCTCGGCTGGTGGGCGGGCTTTGTGGGATTTGGTTTCACCACCTTCTGGTCCGTCCGAAAGTACAACTGGCAAGCCAAGGCCATGTGCATTCCCTTCATGGCCTACGCAGGTACGAGTTATGACTCAATGATCGCAATTAGGTGAAATAGTTTAGCCGGTCGTGAAATGAAAATGACATAAAGATAAAGTGCAACATCATGAACTTCAAGTACCCGGAACCATTGTTCGGTTTTGTTTTTTATCACAGGATCCTGGGTCGGCCGGTTTGCGGGGGATGCGTTGTCGGGACGCAACGCGGAAACCTACCGTGACCGGTATTTGGCGAGCCTCCCCGCTAAGATGTACTACAGCCCGCCTTCCGAGAATCCGTAAAAACGTCAGCCGTGCGTCGACACCAGAAATTGATCGGGGAGACATGATTTTTTAAGACACGATAAGTGCACCACCACACACGACTTCGATTTGAAAATGTACAGTGAAGGAGCAAACGTCTTCTACGAACAGATTCTTGATGAAAAAAGTTGTAAACGCGCAAAAATACATACACATGCGAGAGGAGTGCGGCTTGCTATTCTTGTGCCTGAGCGCCGGGAGCCACAAAAAGAAATTGCTATTCAAGTAATCTCTTGATGTCATTTCAGCACGTCTCACAGTCGTTTTTTCGTGCTGCTTGCCCATTGAATTGAGATGATCGAAATCGAAGTGATCAACAAGATGTAGATTGCAGTGGTGCAGCGAGCTGCATGCGTATCAATACACATTCGTTCTTGCATGGGTTCTTAAAATAGAACAGAGATTTTTAGTCAATTGAATCGGTCGTGAATTTCTCTCTGCTTTTGCTTTTTCGAAATTGGAATTTCTCGAAGATCAAAAGGATCAAGATCATGGAAAAGTGTATGACAGTGAAGATCCCCTCGAACTAGATCCATGAGGAATAAAGTATCGGATACATGCAACGAGGCTCTCTAGTGTATCGATTTTCATTGCATTTTAATCCAGAGGAGTCAGTGTGTCAGTCTCAGTAGTTCCTGTATTGCAATCGGGCGTGTAGAGAACCGCTACATCAGAATCAGCGTCCGATATTTCTTGCTTTTTCCGTTTCTGTCACTTGTATACCGCTTAGACGACGTCCAGAAATTGACAACTCCCAAGCCTCTTGTGAAAGAATACATCAGCGACAAGTACTTATCAACATGGCCGAGCAGGTGGAGTTGTGCGTAGAGCAGTGGGTCGGCCCATTGCACGACTTGTTGCAGCTTGGGGTATTTTCGAAGAAGGAGATCGATCAAATCGTCGAGACCCGCCGCAATCAGGAGTACAAAATGAAACACCTAACTCGCACGGGCAAAACGGACCTGTATCGCAAAGCTACCCTGCAGGCAATCCAGTACGAAATCGCACTGGACCTCCTCCGGAAGGAGCGACTTGACAGCCGGAAAATCGACAAGAAAATCACGGAGTCAAGCCTTGCCGGGGTCCGCCGAATCAATGCCCTCTTCCGACGCTTGTGCCACAAGTGCCCCACCGACGCGAAAGTCTGGCTCCAGTACTTGGATTTTCTTTTGCGATCGGGGCAAACCAAGCAGCTAAAGGAGGTAAGCACTACACCGTGATTCGTTTTTTTAGAACTTAAATCTCGTGAATCAACTATACATCTGACCGCTACGACTACCGCTAAGTTGTGCGGCAACAATGTTGCAGCTAAGAATCTAAGTTATCTAACAATAGTTCCCTCTAGTAACCCCGTCAGTTGGGTAAATCATTCATTCATTCATTCATTCATTCATTCATTCACGAGAATCGTTCGCATTACAAACATTCTTCAGGTGTCCTTCCAAGCTCTGCGACATCATAGTCGCAACCCGCAGCTATGGCTGTTGGCGATCCGCAGAGAGGCGGAGGAAGGGAATTTCGAAGCAACCCGTAGCTTGTTCGTACGGAGTCTTCGGTTCCTTCCGAAGGATGTGCAGTTGCTGAAGGAGTATTTCAAATGGGAATTGAAGCATGGAAAAAGGAAGGCCGACCTCTTGCAGAGCAGAGCAAAGGCACGCGACCCACAGCACCCGCCCGGAACCGAGACAGGCGCTTCAACTCTCCTCTCCGAGGACGCAGCAAAGGTGTTGCGCCCCGCGGCCGTCGTGCTGACTGGCTGTCTTCGACGGAATGCGGCTGTAGCGGCCGACGTCCTGCCGTATATCGAGGCCTGCGGTGCCCCGGTGTGCAACCTGTTTGCAACTAGTGTGTTCGCAAGACATTTCGCGCAACGCGAGCCGGGAAGATCCGCATGTTCATCTTCTGAGGGCGGAACCACTAGTACACATCCGGAGGTGGTGGATCGAGAGCAGGCCAAGCTGATGCAGTCGTTCGTTGAGAAGTATGCTCCGCTTTCCAAAAATGGAGCGGATGTAGTTCGCAAGGAAACCATAGACGGACGGCCCTGCCCGTCGGAAAGTGTAAAAGAGATGGAAGCGGCGTTCCCGGTGCCAGCCCTTGCAGACGAGGTGGCGTTTGCAGATCTTGGGCAAGAGGAGGAGGAGGAGAGCGGCAGCGAGGAAGAAGAGTCGTCTTCAGAGATTGGCGGAGCGGAAAGCGTGCGCGGGCTTGCTGAAGAAGACGGAGCGACGATGAAGAAGAACGAAAAATCTTCACAGGCCGACCCCGAAGGACGAGCAAGAAACGAACTGAAAAACAACGAGCATTCCGCGGAGTCGAGTGTTGATGATGCGACCTCTGATTATACCAAGCGACAGCTTTTAGAGACCCTTCAACGAGGACGCGCCGCTGGCTCCGAGCACAGCAAGGAAGATGTCAGCGACGCGGAGGAGGAAGAAGAAGAAGAGAGTGACTCCGGTGCAATCTCCGACAACGATCTCGAATCTTCTGCTAATAATCGGGTAGAAAAAGCAGGTGTAAGCCCAGTGGACAGGGAAGATCTGTCCGATGAAGATTCGGAGGCAGCAAGCAGCGACGACGAAGATGAGCACCTAGAGCCAAATCTGAAACGACCAAAATTTCTCGACTGACGCCATGCACTCGTCATAACGTTGTAGAACATAAAAATGGATGAATCTGTCAGACTGGATCGCCTTCACCATCGTAACTGCGGGAGCTGCTCTATGAGAAAGTCGATTGCTTCGTCATTTGTCTATGCGTGTTCTGGGAGTGAGACAACACACAGGGTATCGTGGCCTACAGCCGGGAAGCTAGAAATTACTTACATTACAAGGCAAGTTGTATGTCGTTGTCGGTAGTACTTTCAACATGAACGGGCGCAAAACGAAAGATTTCGTAGCGCCGCAAGACAGCAAGGCGGTGCTTGTCTCGCGTCTTGAATCGAACTTTAGTTGTGCTTGGTAAGAAAAAGAATGGGTGGGGTTCGTACAGCGTCTTTTCGTGGTCGTTTGTGAATGGAATATTCGCAGCAAAAAAATCAAAAAACCTGAACTAACACTCGAAAGGTAAGTAAGTACATGGTCGTTATCGATTATCGAACTCGCACCTCGGTAGCTTGAGTTTTTTTTTGAACAAGATTCAAGAATGGAAACAAAGGAAACCCCCACTAGTACCTATGTCGGCGCGTTTCCACAAACAAACCGAAAGAACGCCTGCATCGCACGCTTTGATCGTGATGCGATAACGAAAATGACCACCCGAGGAAGAAGCCCCCGCTGGGGGGGAACCTGTGTGTGGTGCAAAAGCCGGGCGCTTTTGAGAGGTAGGACACAACAAGCGAGTGCTGCGTTCGTAGTTTCCTCTACTACAGGAGTCTGCATGTCGTGGGCACTCGTCGTCCTCCTTCAGACTTGCACCACCACGGCTGCTGGTGTCGCAAAGCAAAGCTCCTTTCCCGATTCTCGTGACGAGAATGACCCGGATGGCTTTTTGGAGACTCGGGCGGCCGACGCCGAAAAATACGGAGAGAATGAGCTGCAGCAACGGATTGTAGTTGACCACGACGGGCACACATTGGATGAGGACAGCTTCGCGCCGGAATTCGACACGCAGGTGGAGGACGACGGATTACAGAACGCGGGGAAACTACAGTTGTACGCCGGGGCACACGCACCAGACGGAGGAGATGAACAAGGAGGCTCTGGTGCATCGCCGTTCGTCCAAAAACATGAGCACGCGCCTGGGGTCACCAACAACTCCCCCTCCAAGCACGATCGTAAAGAAGATCTTGGCGCTGAGTCCTCTCGTCTTCCGAAATCCTTTGTCGCGACGGGGGAGGACACGTCAAGGACGTCCTCGGTGCAACGCCAGTCTTTCAGCCAACGGGACTCCAACGCCATATCTTCAAAGACGTTTTCCGCTGATACTACAACTCGGCGGGATCATGAAGATGGCTCCCCTTACAGCAACTCGACTTCCTTCCCTTCAACGAAAACTTGGCGGTTTGACAATTTGCAAGACAGCGACTTCGTCCCTTCCGGCCGGGCCCTTCCCAAGGAGGTGTTGGAACACGAAGCGAACTGGTTCCGCACAGACCACAAATTTAAGTATCTGATGATCTCGTACCCGACCTCTGAAACCACGACCAGGCACGCACTGCACGCAGCAAGTACAAGCAAACAGCTGGCTGGCAGTTACGACTTAGCCGAGGATCTTGCTTTTAACGTGGGCACAGGGGGGTTCTGGGGTCTCGTCGCAACGGCTGCAAAATGGGGCATCCGGACGGTGAAGTACATTTACGAATCCATGCAGGTACGAGACTCCTTCTTTCACGCCACTTCCACCTCGTTCAACACGTGGTGGCGGAGCCGGCACTGGTGGTGGAACCAACGTCGCACCCCGCAAAACGACACGGAAAGTTTGGCCAAACACGAAGAGGACAGGAAAACCTGGCACAGGCCAATCGTGGACTACCTCCGAAACAGGCTCGGGTACACGACTCGGGCAGACGACGACACGACTCGGCGAGACGATTTCGGGTACACGACTCGGGCAACCTCGATTTCGAAAGAAGACACCGAGAGGCTTCACAAGGATCTCCTAGAGGGGTCCATAGAGGGGCATCGGAAACCTCACCTCGGGCCCGTCCTGAAGGCGCACTTTATTCCCCACTTCCATTACATCTATTGTAGCGTAGAGCCAGAAATCATGAACGCACTCACGCTGCCCCTGCTAGATCCGGAAATCCTGGCGGACGAAAAGGAGCTGTGCGCGGAGATAGCGAATTCTACCACCGCGGCGAGTGAAGATGGAAGCGGTTTGCCAAAGAACGGTCTCTGCCAGGGAACTTCTAAAAATGCTACAGCCACTTCAACCAACGGCGGCCCAACGTGGAACACGACTGTAGCCACAATCCTGAACTTCGCGGATGCCCTTCTCGGCTCGTGTCGACGAAGAAACCCACAAACCGCATCTGCGGGAAGTAGCAACGCGACGGGCAAGAACACGGAGGAAGCCGAGGCGCCTTCCTCTTTGTGGGACACAGCGAAAGAAAAGTTGGGGCTCGGCAGTGCCAGATACAAAAAGAAAGAAAAAAGCCGTCCACGACGCACCGAGGCGGACGAAAGGTCGACCTTTTCGGATCTGCGAGAAGGTCTCAGTAATCTGGATCCGGAGACTATCGCGAGAAAAAACTGTTCAAACCTTTGCAGACTCGGAAACAACAACACTCGGTGAGCATGACACACAAAACTTGTAGTATTGCGCCAGACCATTCATGAAGAGAAAACTGGAAGAATGCACGAAGTACGCATGACTTGCTTCTCCAGCTTGATGCACTACTATGGGGATATAAGGTGCTTTCCCAGCATGACAAAAAAAGTCTCAAGGAAAACTGTCCGCATGATAAGTTGACAGCACTGAGACCATTTAAAATTTTCCTCGCGATAGAGACCGAGGAGATCGTTTGTGACTTCAAAGTGTACGGAGAGTGGCATTCGGCTAGTGGTTGGGCATTGCAAACCGCAGGCTCGCTGAGGCGGCGGAAGAAGTGGAAGTTCTTTGTCCCGCCCCGGGAAACGGACTACTCCCAGATGATCGGGCCCATACTGTCACGAAACATGCTGCCGAAAGTGATGAGGGAAAGGCTTGGTTTCAAAAAAGCAGGGGAACACCTGACTCCCGTGGAAAAGGAGGCGAAAGCGAACTTGCGCCAGGCGAAAGTAGCGACGCGGCCGCTCGGCGGAAAACTAAAACTGCCACAGCAGAAGTACTGCAAGGTGGAACTCGAAAAGTCGATCATGTTCCCAGTGAAGTCTCGGTTTCGACTGGGATTCGGCATGGGGCGACTCATCAAAGCCATGGTCATGAAGGTCGCGGAAGGAAAGACGGACTACAGCCTATTAAGAGGAAAAATCCCCCCTCCCCATATCGAACAGGTATGTTTCCGAAAATTTGTGTTGCTGATTTGAGACCCCAAATCGCGTGTGTCTTGCAAGAAGGCAACGCCACAACCTCCGCAGCATTGTGTAGGCGGTTTATGATGCTGATGGGCCTACAGCATGGACGTTTCTCATGCTAGACGCCTAGGCCAAAACCTCTCAGCTTAGGCTTATTATGGGCCTGCATTCCTGTCCAGCAAGACAAATCTGATTTGCGTACGCAAATCCTGCATCCACTTATCCCTCTCGGTATTCGGTCGCAGGGAAGGGTTGCCGGGGTCTCCCTCGCATCGGTTCTCGATGTCGGGTGTGAGTTTGTGACTGCGGGGGCAGTGGTTGGCTTAGGTTTGTGGAGTACTTCTGAAAAGAGGCTCCCATTCCTTCTTCCAGGCAGCGATCCTAGATCGCTGCCACGCGGAGCCACCCCCGTATTTCACCCCCAGGGGGTTGTGGACCTGGCAAAACCGATGAGTTCGGGCTGCTGACTGTTCCACCTCTTCCGAGTGCGATCATGTTACGCCTCACGCCTCACGCAAATCCTGCATCAGAGACTTCGTTTCGATATGGGGGGGGAGATTTTTCCTTTTGATACAGCCGCAACTTTTTCGCTGCCGTGGGAAAGATTTCCACAGTGTCGCAGCATGAAATAGAGAACTCCGCCCTGCAATACCGCGAGATGCAGAAGCTGTTGGCGCGCAGGCGCATGGAGCACAAGCGGTTCGTGACGAAGCAAAGTTTTGACACGCAAATTATGCAGCTGGTACAAGAAAAAGAGAACCAAAACTCGGCCTTCGCCCGCGGGTCCCAGCTCTCCGCGGAGCTGAGCCACCGGGTTGCAGTGCATGCGTCACCCGAAGTGAAGGAACTGTACTCGTCCCAGGACCTGCGCAGACTTTTTGCCCATGCAGACAAGAATGCGGACGGGAAAGTGGATCCGGCGGAGTGGGAGCTGTTTTGGCAGGAAGTAGTGGACTATCCAGTACAAATACGTCTGGGTCTGGAAAAATAAAATCGGAGCCTGTATCGTGTGTCTTGCATTCCTGCAAAATCTGTACTGATGGACCAACAATAGAAAGAGCTCTCTTGTCATGCAAGAACGCAGTTTGTTTCTAGTGAAGTGCCGTGCGCTCTACGCATGAGGCAGCGTGGTCTTAAAAACTTGTCGTGCTTCGTCGCTCGACTCAGGAGCATCATGCATGCTCAAAAATAAGTAATCGCGACACAGCATCACAAGTTTCCAGACTGACCCAGCCATATTTCGGTTTCATATGGATCTTGATCGAAGCGGCACCGTCTCGATAGGAGAGTTTTTCGAAGTCTTTGGCTTCGAATCCGTCCGAGTCAGAGGCCCGGACGAGCAACAAAGAATAAAAGCCGACTTCTGCGCCGAAAGGAGGCAGGAGCTGGAGGAGCTGCAACTCATCGAGCGTCGTAAATTGGAGGAGGCAAAGGCAGACATCGATAATTCCACACACGGAGCGGCGTTGGTCGAGCGTACGGAATTTCGGCTGGCGCAAATCGACGAGCAGCTGCGACTGCTGTTCAGCAATAGCACAAGAACGAATTGCACATCTCTCCTCGTCGACGAATCGGGGAACGACGCCGAGCAAGAGTCTTCAGGGGACGACCTGCAATCGTCAGGCGAAGAGAGCTCGGCCTCTTTCGACGAAAGGGAGGAAAGAAGAGCGGGCGATGTTTTGAAGATTCGGGTCATGAACACAACGATGACCATATCCTGAGGGAAAACGTGGTCGTACCCAGCCCAGAGTGAAGATGCGAATTTATTCGGCGACACGCATCAATTTGTTGCGCATGACAAGTATGGGCGCGTAGTGCGATCGTGTTTACGTACCGCCACATCACAACTCGATCGCTTCATGCTCTATAATAGAGCATGCCAAGTTCCCATCCTTATTAGAGCATGCCAAGTAGGAAAACGCAAACGCTCCGCATCGGATTGCGCATTACAAACATGTTAGGCATGCCGTTTTGCATGACATTAGATAGAAAAACCTGGGCTGGGGACGTTTTTCCACAGGATCGACCATCCCGGAACTGCGCGATATCTTCCTTTACACCGCCGATTTGACCATGCCGCACGGAATATCCTGAGTAAAAACGTACCCACACCAGAGTCAGGATGAGGATTTTGCAACACAAACCTAGGAGTTTTGTGAGTCACGCATGACAAGTTTCAGTCCGTAAGGTAGTGCAAGTTAGCAAGGAAAGCCGCATCACAAATCGACCTGCTGATCCTGTTCACAGCATCACAAATTCCAAAACACGATTGGAAATGGCTCTCATGGGAGTGCGCATCACAAATGTCTTTGTCATTGCAAATCTGCATTACAACTCTGGGGTGGGTACGTTTTTACTCAGGATACGGAACACTTCCCCCCACCGACAGCCTGGTGTTCTTCGAGCTGGGTGACACCGTCCGCAATGGCTTCCTCCATCTCGACGAGTTCGAAGTTTTGTTCCAGGCCAAGGCTTTGGGAGTCGACGAAAAGCGGAAGCAGCAGGAAAAGATCATCACAAAGCAGCTGGATTCCTTGCGGAAAACGCCAGCCTTTCTGACGGGAAACAGGACCATCGACAAGAAGAACGTGGAGCAGATCAAGATTATGAAGCAGGCTCTGTTAAACGCGAAGACCGACCCGCAGCAGCGCGTCGACCACAAACTCTCTGAGATCAACGCACTGAACCCCAAGTACGTTACCGACGCGGACAAGCAGTTACTATCCATGGCTCTGCTGGGGTCGCAGGAGAAGCTTTTTCCGGTGGAAAAAGAGGGCGCTCAGCTACAACCACAAAATTATGCGAAAGAACCCGAAAATGAAGAAGAACTTCTAAAGCCGGAGGACGACCAGCAGAGTAGCACCAGGACCGACAAACAAGAAGAATCACCGCAGAAATCCACGATCGCAAGTGATGCTAAACCATCAGCCGCGAAGGGGGACGAGCAGCAGAAACCGAAGAAGTTTGACGTCTCAAAATATCTAAACAAGACGAGACAACAACGCTAAAGAAACACAAACGGAGGAAAACACACTGAAACTTAATATTTGAGTTTGCCTTTACATACAAGAATTTTGAGAAATAAATACTTAAGAAGTTTCGCTAGGCAAACGCGTTCTCTGTACTAACGTTGTTGACCCCTTTTCCCCTTTGTATAATGATGTAACCTGTCGAAATACTCAGCAACTACAAGAAAGACATACGTGACGGGCCTCATGTGATGCCTGTCGAAGGCTCAAGCTTGCTGCTACGAGGAAGGCTGGAGTGACAAAGTTCAGTTTATTTCACTTCCCAATCACAAGGAACAAATCTTTCTTACTCACAATGTGCGCTTGAGAAAACGTTGAAAAAACAGTCCCCGAGGAAGGAAAGCCGAAAGAAGAAGCGGAGGCAAACTGTCTACATCTGTTCGGGCACCAGAACGACATACAAAAACGGGGAGAGCACGTTCCTCGCTGTTTCCATCGTCTTAAAGTCGGTCTCTCGCGTCTGATTTCTATATTCTTCTTCGCTTGTTCAAGCGCGCCCGCGCGCAGTGAACTAACGCCGGCGGACAAAAGTAATTCGCCGGGCACTTTGTCATATGGCATCGATCGTTCAAGAACTCCCGGATGAATCACTTTCGATCGATAGCTGGAAGAATCGCTTAACTATTCAAGTTTTCGAACTTATTCTTCGTTTGCTAATATGTAAAAGTGTGAATGTAATTCTGTTGCGAATGAATCGATTCGAATTCGTGCAAATCGGCCCAGAAGCAAATCGCTAACACTCGTCGTATTTGTTGTCTATAGCATGCATTCGAGTAGTCGTGTCGGTTTCAAAGGGTGCTATGATCGTCTTCGAAATGTCGATGAGAGTACGCCAACAAGTAAGTACCCTTACGAATAGGAGGGCTGTGTAACTGTAAGTCATCTAATTGAAATATATGTCAGCGTCTAAAAAAGGAACAAATTGCCTTCATATTTCGATACAACAGTCGAAGACTAATAAATACAACCAACCATGGGAGTTTTTGACTCGCAGAAGCTCTCGGGCCCCGAGCTTGGGCGGCGACTGCGTTTGCTGCTACGCAGGTACGCGGACATTGCGCAGGCCCTGGACCTCGCATTAGGGCCCGAGCACGGCATCCGCATAAAGGACGCATTTGACGTATCCAACTTTTCCGACGGGCAACTGGACAAGTTTTACCGAGAGTACAAGAAGGAAAATGGCATCGTCGACCCGCCTCCGGTGCCGACCCAACAAGCAGCCGCTCCTCGAGTGATAGTGGGAACGAGTCAGCCAACTTCCAGCTCCAACGATTTGTGGCTCGCACGCCAGGGACAAGAACAGGCCGCAAAGATGAACAGGGATGATCCGACCGCAGCTGATCATATTCCCACACGTGCGACGACTACGATCACCAAGGAGATTAAAGCCGCATCTCCTGCTGCTGCCGCAGAATTGCGGAAGCCGAAGCGAAACAGTGGCGCTCGCTCAGTTGAAGCCTCCGCGGCGAAGGCGGCCACGGCTTCTCAGGCTGCGGTGGCAACAAGCAGTGCGAAAAGTGCAGGAGCACGAGGACCGCAGCCAGCGTCAGATCGCGAGGTCGAGGGGGGCCACAGAAGATCCGCTGACATAATTCCCGCGGTTCTCGCAGAAGCCGATGAGAACATCGTGGACCACTACCTGGCAATGGATAGTACAGAAGGAAGTGCAAAGAGCAACGCGAAATCTGAGGTGAGGACCTCTACGGTGGATGCATTGGATGAGGATGAAGGTGCAACTGGTGGCCCCGATACTGCGCCCACCGCGGTGGGGAAACCAGCTGCAACCGAAGTAGCGACTGTTGGCAAAGAACCCAAAAGTCGAGGGGGGCCACCCGCGAAGTCAGCACCGGGTCCGAAAAAAGAAGTGGATGCTGAGCAAGCTGACCACCGCCGCAAATCTCGAGCGATAGTGCGAGAGACGCACGCAGCAAAAAGTGCCGCTGCTGCCGCGCACAGCAATCAAAAGCTGAGTCCGCAGCAGCGCTGGAAGATGCTGGGAAAATCGGCTGAAACTGCGTCCAGCATAAAGAGCGGTACATGTTAAAGATACAAGTCATTGTCGAACCACCTAACATAAATTTGTTTGTCCCTGCTGATCTTTCTTGAGAACGAGAATGAAACTGTAAAGTGAAGGGAATGCACATGCAGAAGATGAAGGCTGTACCAACTGAGATTCAGTAAGCGCAGTTATATCGAAATAAAAATTTCACTTTACCTTGCTTCGCTCGTAGCATAGTTAGAGGTGCTCTGAAAACCGATCAGGATCGTCGACGAGCAGCCCAACGAGAAAGTCCGGTGTTGGAGGGGTTGGAGTGCGCGGTGATCGAGCGAAATCGAGGTCGTCTGCTAGCGCGGTTTCCTCCACAGGAACGTCCGCACTGGACGTCAGAAGCTCGGGCGCGGACCAGAGTGGAACGACGTCCCTGGTAGAGCCGAGGAGCGATCCGGCGGCAAAAGACAAGCGGCGTGCGTCGACGCTGCCTCGAAGGTCCCTCGGACAGACGGAAACCAAATTCTGGCTCTACTTGCAATCTGCACTGGAAAGAGCAGCTCGAGCGACCGAAAACGCGGCTGCAATGTACTTACTTCTTTGTAGTCAATCTTCATCAACATCGATGCATGACGTGCTGGTAGATCTGGTTACAGACTAGACATTTCGTGGTTCATCACTACAACTTCATGCTCTTTTTTTGCGGGATCAAATGTGGTGGACGCCAGAGCGACCGCGACCCTGGTAGTTGGTTCATCTGTGAATACCACGTGAAGTAGAAAATGAACTACAGAGAATTCACGACAGGCAGCACATTGCGAGTAGTTTGCAGCTCGGCTACAGCGTTCTGGACCCGGAAGACACGGCACACGAAGATTTTTCGTCGTTCCGGCCGACGCAGCAAGGTCCGTTTCTGTACCTGTTTGACACCAAAGTCGACACCAGCGAGTGGCGCCTGCTGCCCGGCGTACTGGACGCTACGGATGTGGCCAAGCTCCGGCCCTTATTGAGAGGAAGAATCCCCCCTCCCAATATTGACAAGGCACGTTTTCGAAAATTTGTGTTGCTGATTTGTGGCCACAAATCGTCTCTGTGTTGCATGAGGGCAACTCCACAGGCGCCGCCGCATTCTACAGGCGGTTTGTCATGCTGTTGCTCCTACAGCGCGGACGTCTGTCATGCTGAGCGCCCAGGCCATAACCTGACTCGTGGCCGCAAATCAGCAGCACAGGTTTCCGCTTCGATATGGGGAGGGGGGATTTTTCCCTTTGATAGCCCTTCCTCTCCGACTACCTCACCACCGTGGAGGTGACCGCGGTCCCGCGGCACGAGCGGGACTCCAAGATGCGCCGGGCCACGGACGGCGACGAGCACAGCTTCCAAATCTTCCGCACCCACTCTTCCCATCTGAAGGCCCCCGCGCTCACGGTACTGCAGCCCGGCAAGCTCTTCTACTTGTCGCAGTCGTGTTGGCTGAAAGAGGACGGACTCACGAGAGACTTCATCGCGGGCGTGCGCATCTACTTCGAAACCCAGGTACTTTTATTCTTTTCCGATGGAAGGCCATGCATACAGTTTTTTTCTGTTTTCTGTTCTAGTTGCTTTCCGCTGTATCTTCATGAGGCGAGCTACTGTTCCCCTGAAGTGAGGACCGACCCATGGAACCGACTAGCTACGATACACGCACACATGTGGTAAATACAAACTTTTCTCATCGGCGATCTTACTCAACACTTAGGCACCTACGCCGGAAGGCACTGCGCAAGGACGGCCCTTCGTACAGATCCGGCCCTACCGCCTGTCGTTGAAGGTGTGGCGTCCCGACCAACAAGTGTGCACTACGGAAGACTTGCTAGATCTCATATTTCGCCGTATGGCAAAGTCAGCTTGAAGGATTGGAGAGCGTAGTACCGTAGACACAAATAAGAAGTCGCTGTTAGATGATGAAGGCTTGCTAGAAGCACTTGCGCCAGCACTGCATGCAGAGACTCCTTGACGTTTCTTCCAAACATGGACGATACGAAGGATCGATCATCGTCATGCGGTTTCTGAGTTCCAAGAAAATGGAAAATTGCGTGAAATTGCAGAGCAGCGGATCGATGCAGAAGCGGCGGCGCATTGCCAGAGACGCGCTCTACTCAGGCCCTGATAAGTATTGAGCCGAGATGTTGATGAAGCTGTTGCACCTCTCTGCTTTATTTGGCACCAGATCCAGATATTTGGAAGCGATCAATAGTAAACAAAATGTCCGACTCGTCAATGAGCGCTCGTTTTTCCTCTCGCGCAGATCATTGTGGTGCAGACCTGACGGGATTGCCCGGACGATTCAGAAGAGAGCAACGAATTCTAGATCCACTTTTTTTCTCTCTGTAAGTTTTGTTGTTGGTACAATGTTCTCGGACCCCAGCAAGAACCCCAGAACTCAGAAAAAAGAGTAACATGCCTGACATAGTTTTTTTACTTAGTGGACACACTTCTAGAAGCTGCTGTGTAGTAGAGTATTCCGCCAACATTTGCCTACAACAATATTTGGTTCCAACTCCAAGCGTCTGACTCCTGCATCTTACATAGGTGGTCGCACGTTTGTCATGTCTAGTTCCTCGAGTCCAAGTGGCACTGCGCGCGTCCGGATGCAGATAGAGGAGGCAGTTTTGCGGCGATGACGACGAGCGGAAGGGCAACGCGGATGGTGCACATCCCGTCGATGTAGCAGGTTGGAGCGGTTTGTTCTACCGCGGTAGACATGTGGCTTAGACACCGGTCGGGGCAGCCTTCCAGTTTCTCGTTCTCCTCTGTTGATGTCCCTCTCGCAGTTGAATCGGACGCTGCAGCCGGGTGCGCTGGAATGGCGGCGCCTGTCGCAGGTATCCGGGGGCGCCTCGTCCCCGAACTCTGTCGCGTGGTGTGCCTCGCGAGACCTGCTGGCGCTCATGACCGACACTGTCGTGCAAATCCTGGATGTGTCGGAATACCTCTCGACCGAGGGGGCGCCCGAGGCAAAGTGCAAGATCGTCATCGAAAACTACTGCCCCCGCGGAAAGCGCAAGGTATCGATACGTTTTGTTGAGTACTGCCAAGAAAGTAGAACTTCTTTCTTTCCACCCAATCATGCGCCGTACTTTTGCCGCCCGTAACCCGAAAGAACAAACGCACTCGAAGATTTTGCTGCACTCAACTTTTTGACCTCTCTACTTCAGGTGATCACGCCAGCCCAAGCCGTGCGACTGCGCCGCGATGCGAAGCTCAGCCAAGCGGCTTTGCTGCAGCACGCCCTGCTTTCACAGCAGACGAAGTCGCATTTCACCTCTATAGCATGGGACGATCATACGAGTACCAGTTCTTCCCTGAACAAGCCAGGCGGCATTCAGGTGGGGCCGGGATCGAGTCCGGCCGGTGCGGCAGACGCCATGAAACGGCGGCGGGCTGCTCCGGCCACGAGCAAGGGGGCCAAGGCGAGTCCGGGAAAGACTTGCAACACCGGCGAAGAGGACGAAATGGACCAAACGGAATCCGGGGTGCTGGTACCGAAGAGCGACGGCGCATTCATCGACGCCCGCCTCGCGGTCACCACCAGTTGCGGAAAGGTTCTCATTTTCGGAATCTCGGAGGTGTGGTCCGGACCGTACGACGTTCACTTGCTGCACCGCATCGAACCGCAGCTCGTACCGCAGCTGAAACAAGATCGCCACATGGTGTGTCCGGATCACACTTGCTGCGCGTTCGCAGCGGACCGTCAGTGCTTTTTCACGTCCTTTCACAACCACGTTCTCCGATGGGACCTTTCCACTACTACGGACACTTCTACGACCAGCACCGCCGCCGAGCAGGAGCATATAATTAGCAAGAACACGAAACTACAAACGGCGGGTAGCAAAGCGAGCGGCGCGGCCAAAAGCACTGGGTCCGGGGCGAAAAGCAGTAGTGGTGCCGCTAAGAGTAGTAAAGCCGTGGAGCAAGCACCATCCGCTGACGAGGCCGCTCAGTCCGCCGCGTGTAGTTGTCCGCGACTTGTGAGCAACTTGAAGCTTGTGGATGCAGAAGTGACACGACTCGCCTGCTGTGGGAACGCGATCGTGATCGGGCTGTCGAGCGGGAGGGTTGTGCATTCCGATACGGACTTCCGCCACTCCCACGTACTGTACCACCCTCGCAACACGACCAGTCCGGCGTTTTCGGCAAAAGTCGGGCACGACCGTCGCGAGTGCCCTGTACACATGTTGGACTTTCGGTACCCGAACCTCGTCGGTGTGGCCATCCAGGACAGTTTTCTCGTCTTGCGACAGCAGGGAGGAGAAGAAAAGCAATGGCACGTCATTCTGGAGTACCTGCAAAGCGGAACAATCGTTGGGATGCACGTGGAGCCTGATTTTGCTTTGTCGGTGGATGCAGACGCCATCGCATGTTTCTTCTCGCTGAGGGGAAACCGGGAAAAGATGTCATCGTCCTCCACACCGCAGGATGTTGACAAGGCCGGCCACCCGTCAACCAGTGCAGTTAGTAGCAGCGTGGCGGGAACGGGATCCCCCGCACGGAGGAAGATGTCGTTCGGGGGCAAGGAAAAGATGAAACGCCCCAAGGCAGCTGCAGACGAGGAGAACGGCAACGAAGGAAAGCAAGACGTTCACAACTTCACCGTTGTTGACAACCGACGGGCAAGTGCTAATGACAACATTTCCGTCACGGTAGGGCCACCCGCGTACTTTCGCACCGTGCCAGAGCCTGCGGAGCCCGTTCCGCAACCGGGGCAACTACCGGTGTATCGTCCTGTGGTCGAGCTTGTGTTGCCCTGCTGCGGTGCGGCGTTTTCTCCGGGCCGCCGGGTGCTCGCCTCCGTCGCCACCGCCACTCCCGAGCACAGCAGCTCCTACCGACGGCTGCAAAGCAGCTTTGGTACCCACACGGAACTATGGTTGTGCGGACTCCCGCATGATCTGTTGGACCGCGGCAAAACCACAGCGTACGCCTCCGAAGCAGGTCAAGAGAGCATTGGCACGGTCGTCACGCTGGAGCGAGGGCGTCTGGCGGAAGAGGCAGCCGGGGAGCCGTTCGAAAAGCGAGCCGGAGCCGAGCAGCTGGCCACCATTTCGGATTTGTGCGAGGTTTTCTGCGACTTCCTCCGTAGTGGCGGAGAGCGTTCGGTACGTGTCAACGAGCTCAGTTACAACGCCTTGCGTCACGAAATTTCCTGCAGCACGCGACTCTCTGCCTTTGAGTGGAAGATACTGGAGACGCTGCACGACGCGTCCAGCAGTGCGGTAGCTTCAGAGGACTCAACAGCGTTTCCATGCTTTCTCCACGGCTGGACGGACTTTCGAGGTCAAGTGGAAAACGCAGTGCGCATATTTGCGGAACGCGTCTGGAAGGCCTGCACCACGGAGCCGGCGCTTGTGGAAGGGGCGGAGGAGTTCGCGCAGGAGCAAGAAGAGTTGTTGGCGAAGCGAAAGGCTCCCGGGCCGGCGGTTGACTTTTGGTGCTGGATCTGCAATCGAGCCAGGAGGCTGCAGCCGGACGTCACAGGAGAATGGTTTGTCTGCCCGGGTGGCCATCAGACGCCGCGGTGTCAGCGTGGTGGAGACCCCATAGGCCCAGGCACCCACGTGGAGCGGTGTGGCACGTGCCAACGCATGTCGCGTCTGGCCCGCAGTACCGCCACACTGCGGCCGTGCTATTACTGTTTGAGTAAAACGCGACACTGCCTCGTATAATGATGGATAAGAAAGCACTTCTTTCTCTTGATCGATAGCGCAACGCGGACAAAGTACTAAAAGACAAGCACTCACGGAAGCGACTACTACATTGATAGTATGATCTAGGAGCGTGACGCAGATTGACATCGTGCACTCTGCAATTCTGCGTTAATGCGGCAATTGTTCAATCTCATCGTTTATACAAAGCCGCGGACCCAGCGCTGTCCGCTCGTATGCATTCGGTAATGGGGTGATCATCTATCATGTTGGACTTTGCAACAGGAAGGTTGGGTCGTGGAAAACGAAGTACTTGTTGTTTGGCCAAATCTCGTTCATTGTGACCGCTCGTGGCACATCGCGCGTAGAGCGCAGCGTATACCGAAGGATTGCTTGCGTGTTTATTTGGAACCTGTCTGTCTCAAGACAAAATGGGAAAGGACCCTGCAGGTGTGCGGGTGATGCAGTGGAACTTGCTGGCGACGGGTTTGCACACAGACGGGTTCGTCAAGGGCGATATGTTTGAAAGCGTTGCGGAATTGACGGAGCATCTGCACTTGACGAAGGACTACAAGGCTCGACTGATGTCCGCAGGGGTGGATTTGGATCTGATGAAGCCGATGCAGCATCTCCTCAACCTATTCTTGTTTTCAGATGGCGTGCCACTCACTGAATTACCAGCGGCGTTACAATACGGCGCTGAAGGCCTCTCTGACAAGTTTCGCGGCGTCCCAGTGGAGGACTTCTATGCCTTTAGCGACGTTCCTGCGCGACGGACTGTGTGCGACCAAGCAGCGTTGTATGAACGAATGTGGAAGCCCCTGGCGGATTTTTTCGAGCAGGGATTGTATGTCGGGAAAACGCTTCCTTGCTTCATTTGACTGGAAGACCGCAATCACATGCGGGAAACAGGCCCGTAGTGGTCGTTTGCTCTGTAAGTAGTACACACAGGCTCAGCATGTACATTAAGTCGATGCATGTCACTTTCTTATTCGTCGCCAACCGGGAAGGGGAGTGCGTCTGCGTAGCGTGTCCCTGGCTTCCAAAGAAGAGCAAAAGCGTTGACACCGATACTGCAGCCAGTGCGCTGGTGGAAGAATCGATCGAGACAATCTGGAGCAAGTACATCTCCCCGGAAAAGGCGCTGCACCCGTACGACGTGGTTCGTACAGTGTGCGACTTCTTCCGAGAACGATTTGCCAATCAGCAGGAAGCAATGCCTAACACCGCGGAATCTAACGCAGAAGCCGGCACCAGCGCACATCTCGCGGAGGTAAAAGTGGCCGTCCTTCCGGCGCCACAAGGGGAGGATCCGAGGGAGCTGAGTGGCGCGCTTGCAGACGGAGATGTGCCACCTAGTAGCACAGATCCACTTTCGCTGTTGCGGAAATACCGGCGCGCATTTGAGCAGCTTCAACCGTCAGCTGATGCACTGTCAAGTAGCAGCGAAGGTCTACGTGCAGAGTGCGAAGCTCCCCGGGGGCGCAACGCGCAGTTGACACGGCTGGTCGCAGCGTTTGTGCCTGACGTGCTGACACTACAGGAGGTAGCGGTGGATCAGTACTTTTGCCTCACACGTATGCAAAACGGAGTCTACTTTCCGCTCTGGGAGCAGGACAGCAGGGACACGGATGATAGCAGGTGGCACGAAAAATGGAGCTGCCTCGTCCACCAGTACGCAAGTACAGGAGCCGCTCGTATGAACCGGAGCAACGGCGCCACATCTGCAGACATCTGCAGTTACTATACTGAATCAGAAGGCTCGACTCGCGGAAAACATACACCAGTGCATGCCATAGCTGTAGTTTGCTTCCGCGGGAAGAATGCATGAGCTCACTCCTCACAGGGCAGTCTCTTTGTAGCCTTGAAACCTAAGGTTAACACGCGTGATGAAGTTCTGGCTGATTTCCCGTTGTACATTGAAGCAGCGAGATGTCGGATGGTTAAACGCGAACCTCTTCGGCAACCACCCGTACCGCGTACGCAAGGTGGGAGTCAGCGTTTGCGGGGTCGCTGTGCTGGTCAATAGGCACCGATTTAGACTGCGCTCGGGAAAGGCACTGGGAAGCAGCGACGAGCAACGGTTTGCGTACGCAGCTACGATAGCTCCTTGTGACGAGCGTGTAACGGACGGAGATATCCACGAGGACGCGGCGTTCACGGTCTGTGCTGCACATCTGAAATCAGGAAAAGCTGTTGACGATCGTACGAAGCAAATCTTCGATATATGTGACAGCCTTGAGGCGTTTGCTATGCACGGCGACGTCGTCCTTGGCATGGATGGCAACTACGGTATGGGCAGAAGCAGGTGCTGTGAGTCAGTCTCGTTGCGGAATCTGAAATGAAATTCAACCAGGCTTGCGCAACTTACGATAGCGGCCCGCGATCTGGTTGTAGGCAGGAAAAAATATGACCGCTCTCCTTGGACGAAATCCGCACAAAGACTGAATTTTTTTCTGGGTTTCCTTTCATATACGACCAGGAGCTCGGTGGATGCAATTACGATAATGGTATGTAGTGAGGTCAACGTATATTTTTGTTTCGTGCGTTAATACTCACAAGCACTTTCATTTCATGCTGTAGTGTTTCTTGAACATTGTCAAATTGTGTTGACTGCAGATACGGAGGCAGAATCGGGGGGCTGGGCGCGTCTTCGTTCTCTTGGCTACTGCAACTACCTGGACGAGCTGAGGCAGTCTCAGCGTTATGGATCACAGGAAGAGCTCCTGACGGAGCGACTGCATGCAGTAACGGTAAACAAGATGCGTGGCATGTTCTCTGTGCAAGTAGCGAAGTGGGGATGCTATTCGTTGCGAAACATTGACTACCTGATGCTGCGTTCTCGCCCGGGAGAGGACCAAGGGCTACGAATGTCGTATGTTGTTAACGCGCGGGAGCTTCAGGTATACGACAAGGAAAGCACGCTGAGGCAAATATCCGAGGATACGTCGATCGAGACCATCTTGGCGTTAGATGATCGTGTTGCGCGACCATTCATTCCAAGCATGATGCCGAGCGGATCGAATCCATCGGACCACAGACCAGTCGTGGTGCAACTGCAAAGACAGAGTTCGAGCAATCACAGTGGTTCGTCGCCGTGGTGGTGCTGTACTAACCGTGCGGCCAAGGGGAGGAAATCCTGACAGGGAGTCCCTGTTCGATTGTGCGGCGTGGACGAGGTGCAATGTGACGCTAATCACACCGGCGACGGCGCATCTCGCCATGCGGCGAGAACCGTGGCTAGATGCGTGGTTCGGAATAGCGAAGATAGGTAAGGTGCAAGGTCAGCAAGGAAGAAATCGTGATTTGTGTGTGAAATTTCTGCCAGCTGGATTTCGTAGGAAGGGAGCAGCCACATAAAGTTCTGATGTCTTCGCCCGTAGGATGAAAGTAAGTAAGTACTTAAGCATTTCATACGTAAGTGCAGTTTTCAGTCAGCCCACCATAAGTGGTTGCATCGAGGCGTACTAACATTGAAGTAATACCTACATACAGAGATATTCCTCGTGTTGGTTCGAGACAGGGAATGTGGTCGGTTCGTCATGTTGTTCCTTGGGTGAAACCTAGAAATGCAATCTTCACGTGTGATCGAGCGGGCGAATGATCTGCAACATACGTCAAGGGAATCTGAAACGTGAGTCAACATCTTTTTCCAGAGTTGCTGCGAAAAAAACATTGGGGTAAAAGAGCGAATTTTTCAATCAGAGGCAAAGTCATGCTAAGCCGCCAACTTTGAAGAGCGTCCTCCTCTTGCTAGATAACGACAAACAATTTTCCTCATGATCATCTGCCACCTGTTTCAATCCTGCTTTCTCTTTCCACAAAATTAGGGAAATCTTGTTTTTCTTTGGAAAACACAAAAAACTCGTCCAACATGGCCAAGATGATGAAGATGATGGCTGCCGCCCCGGCCCCGGTCATGAAGAAGATGTCCATGAAGAAGATGATGGCCATGAAGAAGAAGTAAGTCATCAACTCCTGCAGGATATCACCACAATGATTTCCCTATGCAGATGAGCGAGAGCTCGCGTGTCGTGGTGGATCCACGCATGCTTGAGCGAATCTCGCCGAAAATTTGGTCTTCTATCGTAGGTACGTTCTACGACGCGTAGTCCAAATAGAAAAAAGCCATACGGTGCCTGGCGGACGCACCATGTTGTATCTCATTGCGAAAAGTGTTCCTGTTGAACGTAGTTCAGTGCATCGTAATCGTCCGTCCAACACACCATGCGATTATTCATGTCCCGTACGTGTGAGTGGGATCTACAAACGTTGTTTTACTGCGTAACGTTCGTGAAGTAAATGTGGAAGATGATGTGATACGTGTTGTACGTTGTAATTTTGAGGAAACTGTGTCTTGGCTGAGGCGAAAAGATCATAATTGTTATTGATGTACACATGGCATTACCCCACACTTTTTGCTATTTCCTCTCCCCCTACTCTCGTGATTTCTACCCGTAACTTCAATTTTGGCTGTGCAATAATTTTCATTCAACCCAAAAACCGTAGGAATCGTTTTTGTAGGAGAGAGTCGTTCGGTCGACTTGTCTTGCATATAAAACTTTCCACCCACTTTTCAAAATGCGGGAAGCTATCTGCATCCACATCGGTCAGGCCGGTGTCCAGATCGGTAATGCGTGCTGGGAGTTGTTCTGCTTGGAGCACGGTACTTCATTTTGTTGTTTTTCAGCTGATGTTTTTTTGGCGCTATCATCATCATGTAAATCAACAGTTGTTGAGGCAGTTTTCACTGCCATGTTTGTAACACTAAAAATCGTGTTGCGCGATGAATTTCGATACCATTTCCATTGAATCTCCAGGTATCCAGCCGGATGGTCAGATGCCGTCCGACAAGACCATCGGGGGTGGCGATGATGCCTTCAACACCTTCTTTTCGGAGACTGGTGCTGGCAAGCACGTCCCCCGCTGCGTCTTCGTCGATCTGGAGCCCACCGTGATCGATGAGGTCCGCACCGGTACCTACCGTCAGTTGTTCCACCCGGAACAGCTGATCTCCGGTAAGGAGGATGCCGCGAACAACTTCGCCCGTGGTCACTACACCATCGGTAAGGAGATCGTCGACTTGTGCTTGGACCGCATCCGTAAGTTGGCCGACAACTGTACCGGTCTCCAGGGCTTCCTGATCTACCACGCCGTCGGTGGTGGTACCGGTTCCGGTTTGGGCTGCCTGATGATGGAGCGTCTGTCCGTCGATTACGGTAAGAAGTCCAAGATCTCCTTCACCGTGTGGTGCTGCCCCCAGGTCTCCACCGCGGTCGTCGAGCCGTACAACACCGTGCTGTGCGTCCACTCCTTGTTGGAGCACACCGATGTCACCAACCAGGTCGACAACGAGGCCCTGTACGATATCTGCCGCCGCAACTTGGACATCGAGCGCCCGACCTACACCAACTTGAACCGCCTGGTCGCTCAGATCATCTCGTCCCTGACCGCCTCCCTCCGTTTCGACGGTACTAATACGCTATTTGAATACTTTTTGCTAGAAGCGAGTAGCTGATGAACAGTGCTCCGTACTTATTCATCGAGCAGTGCTCCGTACTTGCTGATGTATTCATCGAGCAGGCGGTCTGGCTACGTAACAAGTAAGTTCATTCAAGTTCATTTATAATCACTGATCAATGACGATATTCTGTATTCACAGGTGCGTTGAACGTCGATGTGACGGAGTTCCAGACCAACTTGGTGCCGTACCCGCGTATCCACTTTATGTTGACCTCGTACGCGCCGATCATCTCCGCGGAGAAGGCCTACCACGAACAGCTGTCCGTGGCCGAGCTGACCAACAGCGTGTTCGAGCCGGCGTCCATGATGGTCAAGTGCGACCCGCGTCACGGTAAGTACATGGCCTGCTGCCTGATGTACCGTGGTGATGTCGTCCCGAAGGATGTCAACGCGTCCGTCGCCACCATCAAGACCAAGCGCACCATCCAGTTTGTCGACTGGTCCCCGACGGGCTTCAAGTGCGGTATCAACTACCAGCCGCCCACCGTCGTCCCGGGTGGTGACTTGGCCAAGGTCATGCGCGCTGTGTGCATGATCTCCAACTCCACCGCCATCGCGGAGGTGTTCTCCCGCATCGACCACAAGTTCGATTTGATGTACTCCAAGCGTGCCTTCGTCCACTGGTACGTCGGTGAGGGTATGGAAGAAGGTGAGTTCTCCGAGGCCCGTGAGGATTTGGCCGCCCTGGAGAAGGATTACGAAGAGGTCGGTATCGAGACCGCCGAGGGTGAAGGTGAGGAAGAGGGATACGGTGACGAGTTCTAAGTCGCCTGAAGGACTTCTTCAGTTGTTGTCGAAGATAGTCTTTTTCCTCTCCACCTTCGGGTGAGGGCTAAATAAAAAGATTGTTTAGTCTTTGCATGGAAACTGCAGTTCGACAATATCAAATTTTTCGGTTTAGATCAGCATCTTCGAAAATATGGTCTGTGAATGACCAATATCCACCGATGTAGTTATGATATTCAGCGAGGCGACTCTTGGATGTTATAATGCTTTAACCATCCGACTGGATTGGCATTCCTTTCCATGGAGCTGAATCTGTAAACCGTAGTAAGGAACTGATCAATGTGTCAGACAGAAAGTAAAAGCGTGCGCTTCCTTCGCAGTCCAGTGCCGACTAGCATTATTTTACTTTTAAAAGTTGTGTTGTTCAGAATGTCGCAGAGTTCGGTCACTATCAGAACGTTGATTGAGGAAAGGTCTTCCGAGGAGGCGGGCTTCGGCGCGATCCTCATGAAAACTAGCTCGGTCTTTCTGCTCTCCTTAAAAAAGCAAAATCGTCATGTCAGCGCATCGGTCTGATCGTTCGTTGTGGCAATAAGTATGTGAGCACCAAAGACTAGCCCATATTGGTCAAGAATGCTAGTAATACTGCACTCTAGCAAGTGTTTGAAATCGCATACGTGTGACGCACGACGTTAAATCACTTAGGAGGCTTTGTCTTAGTGTGGTGCTTCCGATGAAAACGTTGAAGTGGAATTTACTGACTAAAGAGAACATTTTATACTAGACTGTTTTGCGGCGCGATTTACATTGATTCTCGGGCTGTCCTGCGCCGGGTTCGCTAATTTAGATGCTACTTAAGAGTTTGTTCCAGCTATGTGACCACACTAGTTCTGCATAGCAAAATGAGCATGGAGGGCGGGACTGCGACATCTTCGGCGCCGCCGAAGAAAGAACCGCCAGGGGAAGACGAGGCGCGTCAGAAGTTGTGGTCCATCACCACAGAATACGAAAACCTGCTGCAGGTACAGAACCAGCATTTCGAGTCCGTTCTCGCGACGAAGGATAAAGTCATTGACCAGTTAAAAGCTGGGAAGCCGCCGTACGACTTTTCCGACCCTGGCGTTGTTAGTGTTGCTGTGGAGGAGCGGGATCGCGAGATACGGCTCTACAAATGCCTGCTGGAGATCCGCGACAAGCAGGTACCCGATATTTTCGCTGCGCCGCTGCATCATGTCGCATTTTGTCGTCTTGGACGAGCGGCTAACGATATTTTTGAATCCGCATATCCTTCTACCAACTACTACAGCTTATGGAGCTTCAACACGTCATCGATTATGGCGCTGGAACGGCAACTCCGGGCGACATGTCGGACCTTGCTTCCGAGAAAAACGCACAGATACAAACGCTCATGGATACGTAAAAGGACACGCTTTAATGAGGTCGCATCGGGTCACACACTTCATATGCATGTCGAAAGAGCTCCAATTTCTCTTCACTTCGCTTAAACTGCGAGTGGTCAACATTGCATGTCAATCTCATTGACTGAAGCTGATGGTGTCAGTTTTGTTCCATAGCGGATGAATTGCAAGTGCTACGGGAAGAAGTCTTGCAGATGGTACTCTTTGTCATTACCTTCTACACTTCGCGTTGCGCCATGTGCTTGTGCTCCGGGTGATGTTGCGCAGTATTAGCGAGAAGACGCAGTTCTGCGAATCCTCACAACAGTTAGACATTTTGCTCAACAGAAATCATCGTCGTCCGCCCGTGGGCCAGTAGCGGGTGTCACGACGAGCACCAGCGATGAGCTACAACAGCTACGGAAGGAGAAAGAAGATCTCGAGAAGATCGTGCTGCAAAAAGAAAAGCAAATCCAGGCCATCAGTACAATAGACACCACCAACAACGACATCAGTGCGCTGCAGCTAGGTGTGTACGATGTTTAGGCAGTTTGCTTGATCGTTGGGCATGCATGATGTTGACTATTTGTGTTTTGCACCGTTGCGCATCTTGAATCACCCAAACCAAAGGCGCGCGTGCGATTTCCATGTACACGGAAGCGATGCAGATGCGACAGGAAATCAAAGACCGAGATGGCACGATTGCAAGCCAGGGACAGGAGATCGCAGACTTGGAACTCAGAGTATGACGAGGCAGAATTGTGTCGAAGTACAATCGGCAGCCGCATTTACATACCGCGTTCGCGGTGTAACAAGGATAACAAGGCTAGTACAAGACCTATGTTCATGCAGTAAGATTGTTCAGCTAGCGGAAAATTGGAATATCTTGACACTGAGCTCCCTGTCATATCCTGACCAGCAGCGTCAAACCGAGTTGGAGCAAAAGCGCGGTGAAATAGGTGATATGACGAAGGTGATAGCAGAAAAAACCCGGCGCGTCCTGGAACTGGAGAACGCATTACAGGCCGCTCGACAGGATGTGGCAGACAAGACTCGTGAAATCGAGGGGCTGTACTGAAGTTTTTTTCGTTTCGCCAAACCTCCGCACGCCCTCCCCTAGTGCAGGATAAATGATGATGATGATGTTTCCCATTCGTTTTTTTCTCGCTTGCTTAGGTTCTTCTCATCTGTGCGATGCGCTCCTGCGGAATACTTTGCTTGCGTTATGATCTTCTATGTGCCACAACCTTCTTTTTGCAGGTGCGACGCGGTGGAGCAGGCACGCAAAAACACGCTTGCAGAACAGGGTGCATATGCAGATTGAATCTTCCATCAGTGCATTGTGCTATTGAGCTTCTGCGTTTCTACTTGTCAGCAGAAAAGCACTCGCATTCGCAGCATTGCCACCGAGCATCATCTCACCAGCATACCTTGATCTGGGCGACTGTCATCCCACCGTCCCAAGCTATGAAAGACAAGTGCAAAACTGCAGACTCACACACGTCATGAGATGGAAGGTTTTGCTCTGAAACGGAAAAGAATCGAATCATCGAGGAACTGCGAGAGGAGCTTTCCATCCGGGACCGAACTATTTTAGAGGAGCGCGCCGAGCGCGTCCGTATGGAGACGCTAAACGAGGAACTGCAGGGCAAGTCGGGTGAGACACTCCAGCAGCTCAAGGAAGCACAGTCGACCATGGACCAAATGATGGCACATACGCAGTATCAAGGTCAGCTCGTGCGCGACATGACAAGTCAGGTACTTCTGATCTACATGCGGATAAGTAATTGGTCGCCACCGACAACCGCGCAGTTGCAGGAGTCGGTGGTCTGGCGACAGTGACGGGCCCGCTCGTTCGGCAAGGTCGATCAGAATACAAACCAAACACAATTTTTTTGTCAGGTGCAAGAGTCGGAGGCGAAGCTACACACGCTGCAAGTGCAAGAGATGTATGAGAAACGGCGGCGTGTCCTGGAGGAAAAGATTCGCGAGCAGGAGACCGCCGAAGTACTGCAGAGCAAGGACATTTTGCTCAATCAGGTGTCTCTCGAGTTGAACGAAACGCGGGAACGGCTCGGAAACATACGGCGCGATCTCGAACCGGCCAACGCAGCGCTCAACCGGTCGTTGTTGGGCGGTACCACCAAGGTGAACCTGCATATGAGCACGCGGTCTCAGGCGGCGTCGGAATTCTCGCCCGCCGCCGGCAACCGCACAGGGCCGAGCAATTCCCCACAAGCACAGCTGCTGCCGCAACCTGCCCAGGTCCTAGGTCCGGGCGACGAGACCCAGCGGCAGCTAGTTGCCGCGCTACAGCCGAATCCGGCCACCCTTCCCAGCGCAATTTCGCTGCTGGGAACCACGCAGGAACAACCGAACCTGAGCACGCTGTCGATGGAGGAGGAGCAAGTTCAGTACCAGCCGTATCCGGACGATTTGCTAGATGCCCAGCTGGCAAACTACTTGCTGGAGAACCCGAAGCATGTGCCGCTCTTTTGCCGTCTCTCGCACGGACAGTACCTCTACGGCACACACCGCGTCAGCATGCGGCTCCAGGAGCGGGCAGACAACCAGCGCGTCATCGAGGCTTTGGGCAGCGGCGGCAACTGGGTTCTCCTAGAGGAGCTGCTCCGAGACAAGCTGGGTCAAGCGCAAATGTTGTATAACAGCCAACAAGCCTGAAGTTGACCAGTATTGGCGGACGTCGCTTCTCGCTGGCGATAGGAATTATTCGAATAGTTGTACTCGCAAGACGAGAAACGGAAACTTGAAACTGAAACATCTGATGCATGGAAAAAGCACACGCAAGAGAATTTATCAAAATGCAATTTCGTGTTGCGCAAGTAGTGCGCATGCACAGAGAATGGTTGTTGTAAGTATTTTCAATTTGCAATAAAAAATCCGATTGTAGTGAACTTCGCTGCATCCGCATCGGTAGAGACAGAGAAAAGTTTTTAGTGTAATCAAGGCAAAGGTCCGTCTTTGTCAGTAAGTATTCAGAAAACAAGGTGCACAGATCTGGTAAATTTTTTTTTACGAAATGTAATTGAACCGACTTTCTGGTTAAAATGGATAGTCGCGTTCGCAACGAACAATGGCCTGGGATTGAAGACGCAGGTCCACATAATTGTACCAACTACTTGTTAATTTAACTTTTTTTCACCAACAGAAAGACCAAACCATCTTGTATTGAACCTTTTGTCCCCATTTCTCCCCGACATCGTGCCTTCTGGACACCCGTACTCGTGTGGCCTGGCGCCATGCAACAAAGTTTCCTTTCTGGTAACTGGAGGCACGTGTTTCGCTTGACACCTGCACGACAATAAGCGGAGCAGCGAGCGACGAGCGTGCGTCAGCCTAACCAAAACGGTGGACGCATGAGAGGGCAGCAAATCGTGTGTGCTATCACGAGGAGCAATGATGAATGCTTCTGAATGATATGTACATTCTTTAATGAGGTAGCTCCGAGAAAACAAGCCTGCGCGTGGTCTGTGCTTGCAGAAGCTTTTTCGCAAGTAGAAGCAGAGAATTTTACGCGGATGCGTAAGAGCGTGCATTGATTGTGTGACAATGGTTGAGAGCGTGCAGCCGGCCGTCCCGCCGGACCACGACCTGGAGATGGAAGCAGCGAAAGCCGCGAGCGAACCTTCTGGGTTTGAAAAACTGGCGACGTTGCACGCAGCTACCACCTCCTCCCTCGCTTTGCCGGTAACAACTAAACTCCACACGACGACTGGCGAAACTTACACGGTTGTGCCACAGCAGAGCCAGGAAGTGGCTGCCGTTTCCCAAATTATGAGCACTTTTGCCCACGACCGCAAACTTCGGGAGATAGTCTCGCTTGCAACGGAAAAGTCCCCTGCTTCCGCGGCGTCACCGGTTGTTTTCTCGGAGGATTACTTCGAAGCGGTCTGTTCCGCACTACCACACACTGACCTCACGACAGGTATCTTTGTTGCTGCGGGACCGCCTTTGCGTGGCGCGAACCGTGCGGATTTCGAGTGCGCCGCGGCAATCCATGGTGCTGGTCGACCAGGAGGACCAACAGGAGGTACTACGGAAGATGACACCGAGACCACGACGGTTCCCGACTACACCGGAAAAGATGTTGCGGATCAGACCGACTGGTTCTTTCGTCCTCCGCAAGTGGCGTCCCTTCTGTGGGACGAACGCATCACGGGGTTTCGCTTCGACGTTCGGGCATTTCTGCGCTCCCACGGGGCGCTGAGCTTTCAAGAAATGGTTACCGGTAAGGTGCTGGACCAATTTCTGCTCAAAGCGAACGAGCACCTCTGGCAAGCGCAGCAGGAAGACGAGGACCAGTTCCTGAACAGCAAGTACTTTGTAAAACCAACATCCGTGGCGTCGCTCTGCTCATCTACTCCGGACCACGGGTTGTCTCCCAGTCTATTTCCGGGGCTTTTCGTCGGTCCCGGCGGGGTCTTCAGCCTGTTCACGCGGAAAGAATTGGCTGTGAACGCCCTCGTCGCGGAAATTCTCAACCTGCTCGCACGAAATCCGCCCAAGGCACTGATTGAGGGGGAGCGGGCCGCGATTGCGGCGACGGAAGCGGAACGACAAGCGGGGCCGGTGGTGCTGCTCGAGCGACAGCTCGCCGAACTGCAGCAGTTGATCGGTCAGGAGGTAAAACAAGGAATCAAGTTGAGATCATGGAATCAAATTAACTGGAATCAAGTTAAACCTGGAATCAAGTTAAGTACATGGAATCAAGTTAAACCTGGAATCAAGTTATATAGAATCAAGTCACTACCTGGAATCAAGTTGAATGGAATCAAGTAAACCACCACAACTTCACATCCATCAACCCTTCGCCTCGCAATGCCTCCATGGAAGAATCTATCTGTTGCTCTTTTTGTGTTTTGTGATTGCCATACCCTCGTGCCTAAAGTTCTCCGCTATTTTTTTTCAAACGCGGCCACTTTTATCAAACGCGTCTGGCTTTTCTTCCTCTGGTCGATAGAGACGTCGCGGATAATGTTAGAGCTAAGCTTCGCGCGCTTGTCTTGTTTCACGACCCTCTTTCGAAAGTTGTCGGGGCTTTCGCCTTCCGAAGTTCCCGGGGTTTCATTTGTGCTTCCTTCCTTCGAAGGAAGGGTGTGCGTCTCTGGGGATTCCGCGCTTATTTCGCCTTTCCTCGGAAGACGAAGATCCATCCGTCCCTCTCGGAGTTCCATGCCCGCTTCACCTCCTCTCGGGAGACCCATTGCTCTCGGGATTCCGTTTTCATTTCGCCTTCCTGGGACTGGTGTGTGTCAGTCTCGGAGGATTCCGCTTCGCCTTCCTGGGGAAGGTGCTGTCTCAGGGGACTCCATTTCGCCCTCCTGTGGAAGGTGTCTCGGGGCCTCCATTTCGCCTTCCTTGTACTTAGGCAGGTCTCTCCGGGGATTCTGTTTCGCCTCTTTCGGAAAGTATCTTGGGGGATTGGCAGGGATCTCCTTCCTGGGAGTTCCATCTTGTCTTCCCGATGTCCGGGGTTTCCGCCTGCAGCACTAAGGGGCCGAGCCGTTGCGTCAGGTGTTTGGCATTCGCCAACTTCGGCCCCTTCGCCTTGGGGAGATCCGGGGTTTGTACCTTCAGAAGCGCCGAAGGAAGCTTTCACCTCCGGAGGCTCCGAAGCTTCTTTGGCTTCGGCAGCCTCGGATATCTCGCCTTCGGAAAGCCCTGGCGGGTCTCTCCCCGGCGGAAGGTCCGCAGCTTGATTGCCTTTCGGGGGAGTTGGAGTCGTTTCTTTACTGGCTGGCGCGAAGCTTTCGCCATCGACTTCCGATTGAATGGCCCGAGCTTGTTTACACCTCTTGCGCGACGTGGATTGTTCGGGGTTTTTCTGTGCCCGGGCTCGCCGAGGCGTTTTGGATTCGGTTTCGGAGGGCGCGAGTTTGCCGCCCTCCGGGGCTGCGCGCGTGTGCTTACAGCTTGTGCGCCGGGGGCCCCGGGTTTTTTCTTTTGTGTCCCGGGGCCTCGTCACATCCACGCCCCGGGGGCCCGGAACATGGCCCGTCGGAAGGCGGGCCGGCCAGCCTTCGGTAGAGGTAGGCGGGGGGGCCCGGGGCATGAAGCTTTCCTTTGCGGAAAGGCCCGGGGTTTTGTCTTCCGTGAAGCCAGGAATTGAATTCCGCTCGAGCGACAGCTCGCCGAACTGCAGCAGTTGATCGGCCAGAAACAGGACCGCGATGTGGCCCGCTTGCAACAGGAGGTGCGGCGCGAACGGGAGAAATTGGCAGAAATGGAGGAAAATCCATTTGGACCAAACAGCGACCCAGACAAGCAAATGCACGTCGTCGCGTGGAAGCAGGACGCGTTATCGCAAGTCCAGGCCGAGTTGGATAAACTGAAGGAGCAGGAACTTGCGCTATTGCACCAGATCGACGATGTCGCGGAAAAAATGAAAATGGCAGCCGGAACAACGGACGAGGGCGGGGCGCTGGCGAGCGAAAGTGCGGACGAAAACGATGCGCAGCACCTACCTCCGTTTTCTTTTCAAAGCGACTTTCGCTTGTTTCATACGTACGCATGCGACGCTGGTTCATCTTCGCAAGACACCCCGACCGCAGATCTGCCTGCAAATCTCGGTGGTGCGCTGAACCGCAAGGAATTCAGCATCTACCTCTTGCGCGCCGGCGAAAAGATTACGGACCCCCGCGGTTTTCTCGAGGGGATCATGAGCGGGGCGGCAGCGCTCTACAGCCGATCGGACGCCTCGGTGAACGTGCCGAAGCACAGCATGGAAATCTCGTTCTCGCGAAAAGCCCCCCAGGCCGAGCTGCTGTGCGTGTCTCCTTCGGCACCGGATGCGGAGGAGCAAGGAAAAATATACTATCCGCTCTGGCGACGTTGCTCGACAAACACAGAGGTCGTCAATGACCCAGTGCTCTTCGGAGACGGTAAGTGCGAGTTATTCTTGAACGTACACAATGTGTATGTGATAAGTTGTCCATGTGATACTAGTTCGCAGGCAGAATGAAAAGAAAGCCTGCGACATCTTTGCTTGACGTGCAGTTAGTATCGCAACGCACTTTCAGATGCTGTTTTCGACGTGCCGGATCACTGGCTGGCCTTGCGAGCAACGAACGGGCCGCTGCGGTTTCAGGTAGGATTTTCGGAAAGCGGGCTCTTTCACGGGGCGAACACAGCCGCGAACTTTTTCCTCGGCTTACGACACAACGCACTTGAGGTGTCAGATTTACTGCTGAAGGAGGAGGCGTTGCAGTGTCTGTCCCTCTTGTCGGCCTGCTTGCTCTCCACGCTTGTCTATTGAGAGGAAAAATCCCCCCTCCCCATATTGAAAAGGCATATTTCCGAAAATTTGTGTTGCTGATTTGAGGTCACAAATCGCGTTTGTTTTGCAAGAAGACAAGTGCAGAAGCTTCCGCACCATTATGGAAGCACTTTGTCATGCTGTTGGGCTTAAAGGGCCGCCGCTTGCCATGCTGAACAACTAGACGCATACGCCCCTCCCTAGCTTGGGGATCTGACCGCAGTGCTTTCCTGCAATACAAGTCGGATTTGTGTACGCAAATCCAGCATCTTTTTGGCTCAAGCCGTTTTGTCTTGTGGCCCATTTCCCACTTTAGAGACGGGGCCGCACCCCCGTAAGATCAACTCGTCGGACTCATCGTGGAGATCAACCCCCGTGAGATCCAAGATCCGTAGAGGCACTCTGTAACAGGCACCAGGTGCGGCTGGTAGACTTTTAGACTCACTCCGGGTAAGTTCCTAGTAATTCAAAGCAAAACAAAAACGAAGACACATCTGCCCTCCACCTGAAGCGCGCACGTGCGCAAAATGCTTCGGTGGCTCCAGCGGGCGTTCGCCCGGCTCTTCGTCTTGTCACCAGCGGCGGCGGACGGCGCATCTACTTTTGGTCGTGAACAGAGTACAATGACTCCGCAAACACAAGTTAGCGAAACGGACGAGGTGGCCGCCGGCACTCGCTAGTTGTGGACTCCATCCCCGAGCTGCCGATGGTGGATGAATTCTGCCGCCCATCTCCGAGTCACGAGGATGCCGCGTCCACTAGCGGATCGCCCTGCTGCGCTGGAGATCAGGGACTTTTATTTATTGTTTTCGTTCGTCTCACACTCACTCGCATGGATTCGATTCGTAGATCATACTAGCACCTGCACCATATCCAAGTTTATTTCTTTTGTATGTGTTTTTTTTTTCAGCCATCCTAAAACAAAGTCCGTCTGTGTTGTAGCAGCGGGTTGTCTTCTGGCCCTCCTGGTAACCGCATTCGATATAACTGACCTCAGGCTTGTCGTGGTGGCTGTGCGAGCAGCGGCTGTGCGCGGCTCTTTCCTCCTGCGCGGTGCGGCCTTCTCGATGCGGACGGGCCTTGAGGCACAAAGGTGGTGGTGGTGGTGGTGGTGGTGTTGACGGGATGGCTACGGAGATGGTATTCGGGTTGTCTTCATCGGATTTTCTTGCCGGGGGTACCGGGGCTGACCCATCTGTGTCAGTGCGCGGACCACGCCATCAGCTGTGATAGCGGCGCCCCATCTGCGGCGTTCGGTGTCCCCCGTGCGCCGGGTCCTGCGCGGTGCGACATTCTCGGAGTGGCCGAGCTTTGCGGCACCAAGTTACCATCTCCGAGTGCGACACCAGGGTGGAGGTCGTCTCGTGGAGGGCGTCATCCGGCTCTGGCCACGAGTGGTGGTGTCCAGCGTGATGCGCTGTCTGTTCGACATCGCCCGCAGTTCTCCGTCACAGTGTTGTTGCTTTCGCAGTTGCTCTTCGAGATGCAAGCTGCGCTGGACGATGACGAGGTGGAGCAGCAGTTTGGGACGCGATTCCGTTTCATTCGGCTCCGAGCTACATCGAGGTCTCAGTCTCACGCGCGGCTAGCAGGCGGGAAAGGACTCTCCGATATCGACACCGGCTGCAGACAGGCAGAGTGGGAATTATCCACTGCCCATTCTTCATGCGGTCCTCCTGGGGTCTCTGGGGCTGTCCCTTCTGTGACAGTGCGCGGACCAACCCTTCTGCGTTGATAGCGGCACCCCTTTTGCGGTGTTCAGAGACCTCGGGCGCCGGTTCCTGCGCGATCCAGGACGCAGCGGAGGCAAGACAATGGGGTGGCCGGTAGGAGGGTGAGGAGTTGCCGCTCTACGCTTACAGCGGACGACGGTACCTGGTGGGCTCGTCACGTCATTCCCCGGATGCTGGATCAGGCAGCTCGGCCACGGTACTAGATCACATCAGTAAGTCGTCTTTGCATCTGCCTCTCTTTTCTGATTAATTTTCGTTTGTAGTTGCTCTGTGTGGTAGGTTTGCATGGTTACTTTTTGTTTGTACGTAGGTTTGCATGTGCATGCGTGTCGATGAATGATATCGAAACCTATGCCGCCATCCTGCGGGACGGCGGCGTTCTGGCTTTCCAACTCTATCCTCCCCAGGACCGTCAGCCCCGCCTCCATCTCGATTGGTCAGCGACTGCGTGTCCGAGCGATGGGTTGCTCTGGAGGCCAAAACCACTCCGCGTCCGATAGTTGCTCTCTCGTTTGGGAAAACGATGGCGATATGGCTTACGTCGGGGCTATGGTACGAATTTACGCTCTTGGCGGTCGGCTGTCTCCGGGTGTCCTTCCCAAGCTGTGGCTCGCGGCGTGGTGCGTTTGCCGGTGCCGACCCTTTTCTACGGAACGCTGTGGTGTCCTACTCTTCTGGCGGTCCTTCAAGAGCCCTTTCGCCTTCATCCCAGTGCTGTCGTTGACAGACCTTGGGCTGATAATCCCGTTGCAGGAGGTTCGGTCCTTGGCGCGTCTTCGCCACCGGCAGGAGTCAGGATGGGTAGATGGGTCTCCTCGTTGTTGCTTGAGCTTGCTCAGGTCTTCGCTGCTTTCGGTGGCTGGTGGCCGCTCTTGGGTTTCAGGTGTGGGTCGGAGTTCGTTTGCCTCTCGTCAGTTTGGACGGAGTGCTCTCGTTCAGCCACCCCCCGGCGGTCGACTGTCGGCGATCTGGCCCCCCCAGCTCATGATTGCAGTGTTGGCTGGTGATGACGAGGTTGCGGACAGTTGACTTGTCATCTGTCTGGTTCGCCCATTTTGCTGCCACGACTGTTTGGTCCCCGGTCCCCTGAGGCGGGGGGATACGGGTTACCTGGTCGGGATGTCGCGCGGAAGGTGTCTCTCACGTCCCTAGCTCTTCGTACTCGCCGCTGAGTACAGTCGAGCGCCTTGGTTGATCGCCACACTGTTTCATAGTGCTGAAACGACCCGGCTTTCACTAGGGGGAGCATTCGTACACTTTGTGCCCTCCGGGACTATGCCTCTGCTTCCGTCTAAACTGAGGGGTCCACTTATCCCTCTCGGTATTCGGTCGCAGGGAAGGGTTGCCGGGGTCTCCCTCGCATCGGTTCTCGATGTCGGGTGTGAGTTTGTGACTGCGGGGGCAGTGGTTGGCTTAGGTTTGCGGAGTACATCTGAAAAGAGGCTCCCATTCCTTCTTCCAGGTAGCGATCCTAGATCGCCGCCACGCGGAGCCACCCCCGTATTTCACCCCCAGGGGGTTGTGGACCTGGCAAAGCCGATGAGTTCGGGCTGCTGACTGTTCCACTTCTTCCGAGCGCGATCATGCTACGCCTCACGCAAATCCAGCATCAGAAACTTCGTTTTGATATGGGGAGGGGGGATTTTTCCTTTTGATATTGTCTTCCAGAACGCACCATCCCTCCGAGCGGGGAGATCAGTACAACCCTCGACGCCACGAGCAGCTACACTGGGAATGGCACGCCTGCCCATCCTGCCGCTGTTACAAGCAGCGCTGTACTACGATGTAAAGATGTACCCAGTTTGCTTCGGCGCAGCAGCAGAGAAAGAGAACGATACCCACAGCCTGCCTCCCTTTCTCCTCGAAGTCATTCTCTGGAAACTGCGAGAACTCTCGCCGGAGCATTCCTACGAGGAGGACCACTTCCAGCTACTGTTGGAGACGGCCTACCCGAAAGTTTTGAAAAGTACTGGGCAAAACCGGGAGAGCCATTTGGACCGACTGAAGCGCATGCAGCTGTCCTTTTTGCATTCGGTGCCGAAAACCAACAAGCACCTCTCGGCTTCCAAACTGCGGCGGGCCATCGACATCTACGAATCTTGCACTAGCTTGCGTTCTCGGACGTGATTGCGGAGCGGACCACTGGATGTTTTCAGTATCTGTAGGTCGTGGTGCCAACTCTTCACAGAAGAGCCTCTGTGTAAACAAAAATACAACCACCTCCACGCCCCAGTCGGGTATCAATACGCGTCAATGATTAGCAACTGTCCCCGGAAAAAGTTCCGTTCTCCTCGGCTGCTTTTTCATGCCCTTGCGCGCCGCGACGGCCGTTCGGACGTGGCATGACGCAAATTCGTGTAGATTACTGCAAGAAACGGCGTGGGAATCTCAGGTCATTGATTTTGCAGAGCTACTAGCGCCCTTTAGATTCATTACCACGCGAGACCGAAGCAGCTGCTCATGCGCATCAGCATTTGTATGTCGACTATGTGTTTCGTGCGCACACGCAGTACGCTAATCCGGTCGAGATGAAGGAGTTTGGACTGCAAAAGTCTGTCGAGCGAAAATCGGTCCAGAAAAGTCGGTGGTGTTTGTCAGTCACTTTGTTTCAGCACGCACCGTCGGACAAATAATTTCACAGTCTTCGTTTTGATAATTACTTATCTGATTTGGATGATTTAGACGTGCGCCAGAGTCTGTGCTGTATGGCCCTGCTCTCCCCACCCCCATTACAAATCAAGAGAAATTCTGCCGACCGTAGACGTACTCTATACTCAACACATTATTTTTTACCATGCGCATCTCTTGGACGTCGAGGTGACACGATACGATACCAGATGACCGTTGCCAGTGCAGTTAGGTCTCGTCAAACATTCTAGACACGTAATTTTTGTAAAAAGACCGAAGTAGTCTGATAGCGAATAAAGCAACTCGAGTTATCTTTCTGCCTTTCTACACATAACGATAAGTAGTACGACACAACAAGGCGTTTATTTCCGTCACAGCCTCACTGCCTTCCATCGCGTGTGTAAGGCGTCTACGGTCTCTCAATCTCAACTAGGCAAATATTCGCAATGTCGTGTCATCAGCCAGGAAGGACTATGAAAAGCGACAACGCGAAATGGAGCTCCGGGCATCCTCCACACATTTGCGCAGCGACAAGCAGTTAGTATCGCTCTGTCACGAGGACGGGGTAGGTTTCGGTTTCTCGCGAAAGAACCTCTACCTAGGGCACGCTGGCCTATCGGAAGTGCGTACTTAGACTGCAAAGCCAGGAAGCGACATAGCTACTAGGACGCCCGGCAGGAGACCACCCTGCGGTGATTATGGGCGGTGCGGTGGGGCAGCAGAAGAACGCGGAGGCGCGAGCGCTGAAGAGCAAGCAGGCGGAGCTTGGTTTTTTCCGAGACACGCAGGAGCGGCGGGACATCGAGTGGCGGGACCGGCCGGATGCGGAGGTAGTGGTGGGCGAGGCAACGCACCCCGAGTGGGAGCAGACCGACAGTATCGTGTTCTCAAAACCGGTATCAAATGTAAAAATGTCTGGGTCTGGAAGAATGCATGTTTGTCCTGCTTGTCTGGCATGACTCTTAAATCTGTCATGCACATTGCCCAAAAGACGTTTTTTTCTGTCATGCGGAGACGCAGTTTGTCATGCAGAATAGGCAACACCTACAACCTCAGAAATTTGTCATGCTGAGCCAGCACTTGTGGCCTCCTCATGCTACGCCACTCAGCATCACAAGTTTCCAGACCCAGACACTTTTACATTTGATAACCGGTCGACTTCGCGAAGAAGCAGCAGCGGCAGTATTACAATGAAAAATGCCCCCACCCCAAGCTTGGCAGCATTTGTATTGCAAACCTTTCCAACAGAAACATTCCCCGTCTTGCATATCTCAGCATCACAAATTTGCCATGCTGAATAGCTCAGATTTGTGTTGCGAAGGAGCCCAACAGCAGCCGGATCTGTTATGGACAAGGCACCTTGCGCACCTAGATTCTGCATCAGAGAGGCTCGCAATCCTTTTATGCAAGACAAAAAGCTTTCATTTGGAAACTTTGCATGACAAACTTCTGCGAATTCCGGGTTGGGGGCATTTTTCATCGTAATAGGCAGGGCCGGTTCTTTTCCAAGATGTATCGGTTCATCGGCACCTGGAAGGTGGACCAAAACTGCCTCTTCCTCCGCTGGGACGGAAAGGACGGCCAGATGGATGTGCTCCGCGCGGAGCGGATAGAAATCGAGTTCGCGAACTATGGCGTTGGCAAGCGTTTTTATTTACATAGATCGCCGTCAATTGTACGTGAATCCTACTCCATTTGTGATGCAAGATTAGCAAACGCTAAAAGGGTCTTGCGCCTCCAGCACCACAACGAACTTCGGCACGGATTCTCACGTTGTTGAGCGCGTTGAAAGCTTAGCTTGCACAAAAACCTGGGCCACATGCAGATGAACGCGACACAGGTTCTGCATGACAGGATCCACGTAACAGCGATCCATGTAATATAACGTTTGAGGGTGCCATACGAACCCACAGACCAAGATGATGGTCAAGGTTACGGAACCTAACGTCTTGCCGTGGTGGTTCACACCCGACTGCGTGTCGAAGCGCTTCGAGCGCTCGGACGAATCTCTGAAGAACTTCGAGTGCGGCGTCTGTTACTTCGAGCTGTGGAAAGCCCGCGGAGCAGCATATCCTATTGCACGACTCCGCCTACTGCTTCGTGGACCCGCCTCGGCTGTCATGCAGAGTGAAACTAATACACATTGATTTGTGCAAGTGCGTGTAGTTGTGCTGTCACTTCAATTTATTTCGGCCTGTCTGACAACGCTGCCTTGTCGCACTACATTGTTTGAAAGTCCTCTGTGCCTTTACAAAATAGAATCAAGCGTCCCTTAATGTCGTGCGTGAGCGTGTGACTTTCGTTTTCCGTGATTTACTTCAAATGTGGGTGAAAAGCACGGCGAGTTTTGCGCGCTCATACTGCAATGCGAAGGTACACACGCCGGGTATGCGAGCATTACATACACTACGAGTGTGCTGCGCATTTGCTGGAAGAGGCTCGGACAGAACACGGTAAGATTTTCCGCACTTTAGGCTGCGATGCGGTTCTACATGATTTTGATTTATTGTGCTCCTGCGCGTACTATTTTCTATAACGACGTTTTGTACGTCGTTTTGGTCTTCATACATTTTCAAGCTCAATTTTGTGCAGGTCGAAACGAAGCAGAGTGCCCGGTGTGCGGTGCAAGATTTAATGAGGTCAAAGAAATTTACGATACAGAACGAGCTTCGAGAAGTAAGTCTTTTTGCTTTATTCAATCAAACTCACTGCGGTGCAACGCTGCATGCCTGAATGCTGCGGAAAATGGTCGCGATTTGCGAGCAGCAAAGTTTCGATTCCGATCTCGATCGTCATGTATGACCACGCAGTTAAATTCTGCAATGTGGTAGTTTTGAAAAAATGCCAAAAGTTCGAGTAAAGTCTTGCCTCTGGAAGCTTTTCTAAGCATATTTTGCCCGATATTTTGAAGGATCCGCGGGGGTGGTTTCAGATCGTTGATGCGGATTACGGTGGCGAGTTGAATCGAGTCGAGGTGCTGAACGGGTTGGGTACTACGATGCCCATCTCCCGCGAAAAACTTGAAGATGCAATAGAAAATCACTGGCACGAATGGGATCCCGATGGTACTACCACAACATGAATAAATCTCATCTACGTCGCAGCTACCATCTGTTGCTAATCGGATCCGCTTGTTCATCTACTCCTGAGTCGTATGTGGAAGAATAAACTGAACAAACTTTATTTGCAGAGTGGGTAGATAAGACCCGACGTCGTCCCGAGTTCGTTGCGCAGTCAGATATACGAGAATGAATGCGTCGGTTGAAAGGAAGAAACTCGTTCCACAGGTTCTGGCACAATCACGGCGCGCGAATTTATGCTTGCGGGTAACGGGTTGAAGGACTACATCGTGCGGCACATCAAGGAGCTCGAGGGAAAGACGTCGGGCAAGGGCATGGCCATTCTGGACATCCCGGACCTGGATACCCACCCCCTTGAGTGGTTTGAGTACTGGGACGCGGACAATTCGGGCACGCTGGAACAGCACGAGATGGTGCGCGCCTTCGTTCGCACCTTCTGCGTGACCAACTGGGGCGAGCCCATCCTGCGTCGGGCCTTCGACATGCGCAAGCTGGCGGTCGTGGTGTGGAGCGAGCTTGGGTTCCACGCTCTGGATAGCATCGACTTCGAGACCTTTCTGGAACCAGACGGCCTCGCCGTATGAGAGTGGTGCACAACTAGCGACCCCTCTCCCTCGTTTGCCGATTTTTCGTGCATGAAATATATACGGTTTAATACAATTACAAATGAGCGAGAGGCGGGGCGGGAGGTGTGCACCACTCTCATACGCCGACACATTTATTCACAATCAAATCCATCTTAATGCTTTCGGCACGGGTTCGCAGGGGTTTTGAGTCCGACGAGGAACACCAGCGAAACCGCAACTTTTGCCGTGCAAGCGCCTTCGTTGGCCTACTTGCGCCTGCCGATATCGTTGTTCTACGGTGTAAGATATGTTCCTTCTACTTCCTTGCAGCCGAATTTGTCCATGGTCTCGCTGGTGTCGAGCAGGCCGAAAGTGCTTAGGAAGACATGCGTCGGGTGCTTGCGCTACGTTTGCATTTCTCGGCGGTGGTCGGGATGGGGGGTGACGCCGAGCCGCTGTTGCTGGGTGGGCGCCGCGGTTGTAGGCGGTGTGATGCAGACGCGAGAGACGCGTATCGGCGGGGGCCTCGGGAGAGGAATTCGCACTGTGATGTCCTCAGTACCTGCGAAAGGCATTTCCTTGCTTCAAAAATAAGGTGATGTGCTGGAGCTGCACACTGCCGCTGCATGCCAAGATGATTTGAATTTACTAGCTTGGGAGGTCGGTGTGATGACAAATCTAGCGACACTAGAAGACGAAACCAAACTTAACATGAGTGTTTTCGTTTCCTCTCCGCATTGTTCGTGCTCATGCGAAGCCGTGACCATGGTTACTGGCTCGAGTCGGTCATTTTTGCGTACACTTGTAAAGAAGTACTATACGCGGCTCCGTACCAAAACCAAACGGGTAATCGTCCTCACCCAGAGAAATGAATTGATATTTTTTCAAATCGTACCCAAGTTTTTCGTTCGGTTATTGACATGTTTTTTCGGGTAAACAGTCTATACGCAACTTACTGTAGCGGAACACAATAAGTGCAAAGACGCAAGCAAAAATGAACGTTCCCGCTATTGCTCTGATCTGCAACAATCGGACCACTCTCGTGCATTCTGCAAAAGCGAGTATATTTTTTCGTGCAATCAGGCTAGCGAGCTGGGTTGAGAATCACAGTTCGCTGCGCAAAGTGGCAGGTCCATGCACAGCTCCATACTGATGAAACAAAAACTAACAGTACCCTCCCCGTGATCTTCGGAAGAGCGATAATTCTATAGTACGCCGACACTGTAAACTGTATACACCGACATCTTCTAGTCCGCTGATTGTCGTGTGAAAATTTGCTTCGTTCAGAACACCTTTCCGCCAGCTAGGTGCGGAGATACGACAACGCTATCGCATTGCTTTCAGTAGGTGTACAATAGTCAGGGCCAGTAGACTCAGATTCAAAGTGCAAACTGTTCAAGTTTGTGAATTTTGATGTTTTGTGGTTCAATTTTTAGCACACGTTGCTCACTAAGTAGCTTCCCTCTGCGGCCTTGGTAAGAATTACATTCCAGCATCCTGTGTCGCTGCATCTACCCAACCGTGCGTGTGAGTGCTGCACTTGCAATCGACGGCAATTCTGATTTAACTACAAGCGGAGTTGAGACGCATGTAGTACAGCTGCGAACATAAGATCATGTCCAACGATACCCCTGTATGGAACGAAAAGGCCGCTTGCAGCTTAACGTGGAGATCGTAGCGCGTGAGGCACAGGCACCGCACTTGCATTTCTAATGACCGCCTTTGTTTCATTTGCCTCTGTGGCTGCGAAGCTATTTTCTCAACAGAGTGAGACTCAGAAAGAGAAAAGATAAAGATCAAATTAATGCAGTGAAGATCTCTCTCTCTGAAACAAGAACGATAGCGAAGCGAAAGCGGTGCAGCTACGATTTCCCGGCAGTGCGAATGCAAGCGGCCCTTTGTGCTCTTCCATAGCAGACAACCGGAGAAGATCCACAAGACCCGGACCAGCAATCTTCCCACAGCAATAGTACGAGTGTGCAGAGCCTGCGGGACCTCCAACACCAGAAATGGCTGCAGAAGAAAGAAGCGGCCGCGGCCGAAAAAGCCAAAGCAGCACCCCCGCCCGCGGCGGCGCACCAGCCGCTGACCGGGAATTCGAGTGCCTCCTCTTCCTCCTCCAGCAGCGCGCGACCAGCGTCAGCACAAGAGGCGGACCACTCGATGCGGAGTCCGATATGACGGATAAGTTTGTAATGCACCCACAGCCCCACAGAGTACAAACTTGATCCACTCCAATAGTCCAAAGATCTAGATAGCCTAAGGACATGAAGACGTAGGAAGATCCTTAGTGATGTAAACAGCGTGAAGAACTAGAGGAAGACACTGAGACAAGATGACGAACATATACACACCCAGGGCCCTTGAGCTAGGTTAGACATAGACATTCAGCATTGCAGTACTAGTAGTCATGGCGCTGTAGATGCGCATAGTTGTTCTACCATTGTAGTTTGTAGTGCGTACTCCGTGGGAAGTTTGCGTGCCTATGCAGATTTTCCCTTTACATCCGAAGCTCGGGGCGCGTTCCCCGGTGCGGCCGTTGCGGGAACTAAGCAATCCGAACGCTGAGTTTCTGAGAAAGGTCCACATCTTGCCCCTGGGGCAAAGCCAGAGCGCGCCGAACGACATGCTGCAGTTTTTGAAGCCCGCACTGAGCAACTTCCGGAAAACAAAACGCGTCCTCTACACCGGGATGGTGTTTGAGCACAATAGTCGCGACTTCATTGTCGTGAAAACAGATCTATCAACTGTAAAAATGTCGGGGTCTGGAAGATTCCGGGATTTGTGATGCATAATTTGTATGATCCATGATGCATGTAATGCATGATCTAGCATCACAGATTTTTAGAGGGCTTCCTGATGCCTATTCCGCATGAGAAATGCCCTCTCCGCGTAACACAAACTGGGCTCCTGTTGCGGGTCACGCAATACAGATTTTTTTGGAATCCAAAGACAGCATGACAAGTTGAAATCTTCCAGGGTTCCAAAGACAGCATGACAAGTTGAAATCTTCCAGACCCAGACATTTTGCAATTCATAAGATCCAGAGGGCGGCAAGGACCCAGGGATACTTGGGCCCGACACCGAGTACTACTTTACAGGGCCCGCAGTGGCGCGGTTCAAGCGCATTCAGTTTTCCGCACTGACCAATGTTCTGAGGCGCGTAAGTGGATCCGACCAGCTCGAAGAAGATGAAGAGCTGAGCGGCTACAGCACGGAGAGGCTATTTCAAGAGATGATCGCGCCTTACTTTCAATCGCATTCCGATAACGAGAAAACCGGCGGCGTCTTCAAACTCCTCAACGTCAACGAGAGTATAACGATCAACGGCGTCCAGTTTGTCGTGATGGCAACCGACCCGGAGGCTTGCTACGGTACTAAGTCCTATACGCTTAGTTGTAAAGTTTGCCGATCGCGGGCGCTTGAGGGGTGTGCGCTGACAGGAAGCGACATCTCTTTGCGGACGTGAAGGACCGCGAACGCGGGAATCGCGTTGGCAAGGACGAGTAGCACATCAATTGTTCAGGCAGTGTCACACGACCTAGGAGTGAGTATACATCGTATTGACCACTGCATCATATCCGTGAACGAAATCCAAATCTGACACACAGGCATCGTCGATAAGGATACACTTATTTTTGTGGACAAGGATGAAACGCCGGAGTACCGTCGGATACACATCGTGCCTTTCCAAGACACGCTACCCCGGAGCTACCAGTATTGCCTTCTTCTCTTTTTGGTCACGTGCAGTTCGTTGTTGAAACTATTTGCCTGTAGTTTCGCCCAGTTCTTGATTTGTTTTTGCGGTGTCAAAACCCAGCAAAAAAAAGTAAGTAAGTAAAAAACTCGGCGCAGGTACGACGTCTTCAACGACTATTTGAAGCCGTACTGCAAAGCGCACGCGAACCAGCGGTATCGGGTAAATGACGTTTTCACCTACAATGCGGTGCAATTTAAGGTGGTCTGCTGCGACCCGGAGGAGCTTGGTATCATGTCTTCGCGTAGATGATTCAGATTCTTCAGAATTTCTTGTTGTCGCTAATTTTGTTGAACAAGGCACTGCTATCGACATTGGTGAGATCGCAGAAAGACACTTCCGGCAAAAATGCTCTATTTTCCAACACTGCACAGGCGGCACAAACACTACTCCGGGCAGCGGGGCGCGCATCGGGCGAAATACCACTGTGTATTGCGAAGGAGTGCTGCACCCACAGCTTCGTGATCTGCTTCCGCCAGAACTCGTTACGCAACTCGCCTATCTACCGCCCGGTCTACAGATGCTGCTGCTCTCGACGGACGCAGTCGGTGGGAATCAGGAGCTCTTCGAGAGGCTGATGGAAGTCCAGGATATGTTGCAACAAAGACGAGGTATGATAGATGATGAAGAAGCGGAGATGCATTTTCTTTATTTCATGTCGTTGCTTTGGGGCGCGAAGTTTTCGATCCACCTTTCTAAGTGAGCATAGATACCAGTACAAGGTGGAAATTTAGATCATGTGTACCACAACAAAGCAGGATCCTTTATGGCATTTTTCAATTTTTTTGTTCCAGGTATGTCCGAGGAAACGATAGCAAACGTGGAGAAAGTAACAATCGACAAGAAAAAGATTGAGGAGGAAGAGGGCCAGCTGACCTGTATGGTGTGTCTGTGCGATTTTGATGACGGCGAAGAAGCGAGGATGCTGCCGTGCAAGCACACTTTCCATGCAGGTATGATCTCCTACACTTGAAGATAAAGATTAAGATTCGTTTGTTTTAATTCCTACGCGAGGTCTATTACCGTTGGCGATGTCTTTGTGCTTTTGCAGATAAGCCGATGAATAATGTCGGACCCTGCCACCAGATGAACTCAGCGCCAAAAATTTTGATTTCAGATTGCATCGACGAGTGGTTGAGGCGAAGCTGCGAGTGCCCGATATGCAAGCATAACGTCGACCGGACCATCCGCCAATACTAGCGCTGCAAAAATACAGTGCGAAGAAGAATGCCGTGGCCGCGGGGTTTCTCATAGTCAGCGACTTTCTTGTAAGTGATTTTCCTGAAGAGTGCTTGCGGAGTGCGCGTTTCAACGGTTAGTTGTACGCACGACTCTTCAACAAGAGGGACAGCATTTTGGAGAAACACACACTTCATGTTAGTTTCGAAAACCGCTACTAGTGGTCTTTTTTGCCTACCGTGTGGGGAGACCTAGGAAGAAGGTATCTGATATTCGAAAACATTAACATTTAGAATACAACACTTCGGAGCTGCTTTAGATGCGTAGCAAGAGGACAAGGCACGACTGCGACCTTTGGTGTCGCTGCCGCCACTACTGCGCTTGCGACATATTTTACTCAGCAACCAATTTTTTTTGAAGTGTGAGGTTGGCTCACAATGAGCAGACGCGACATGAAAGACACGAGAAGCGGGGACGTGTAAAAAGCGACATTCACATTGTATAGTTGGACAAACAGCGTGTCAACCGTGAGCTCAGTCCTCGACAGCCCTCCAATAACCTGTGTTCAAGGTCGTGGGTACGGAAGAGTTTCTTTGTGTAATACCGTTTTAGGACTGAGACCAATGATATCAAGAAAATATCCCTATCCGAAATGTTCTGTTCGTGCACTTCGAGGTATTGAAGCCAAAGGGTCAAGAAATGCGACAGCTCATATATTTCAAGTGACAAGAAGAACAACAAAAGATGCGGTCTTTTTTGCCCAAACCCGTTGGGGGCTGTTTAGCCCTGCAAGTCCGGGCTGAAGACCTCAATGCCGCGATGACGGACCCTGCGGAAGGCGAATTCGACATCAAGGGCGGGGGGGGGGAGCGAGCACCGAAAAACTCGGCGAGAAAGCACGGGTGCCGCAGTCGTTCGTGGAGACGGGGAAGAATAAGGTAGATACTGCGGAGTTAGCGTGAGTTTGTTCATCTTTGCCAAATATTCGACTGAATGCCAAGCAGAAGAGCATGCGGACATGATGAATGAATCACTTCCGAACCGCCTTTGTGTGATGCATAGATAAATGTGCGACGCAGCAAGCTTACAATCCGTGAAAAGTTCTTTGATCTACCAAAAACGCGGCTCGCAGGCATCAGCGGAATTGTACAGCGCCGCGAACTCGACTGTTGTCAACTTTTTTGCCAAAGTCATCAAGGACGAAACGGGGATGACCAGCTTGTCGGACCTCTTTTGCATGAAGTGTGCGATCGAAATGGAGGCGCTTAAGCGCGCCGGGGCGGACGGAAATGGCGATGACAGGGTGGACTACGACGAAAAACGTGCGTTCTGCTCGCGCTCATCAGCGTCCGGAAGCGACGGCTCGTTTCTCCAGGTACAGTTTTCGCTAGTGCTAGCAAAAGGAAAAGTCACCAGATTTGTCTTGCAGTGGCGCACTACAGGCATATGCCAAGCCTGATTCGCGAGGTTTTGACGTAGGCGCATGGAGTGACAGATGTCTGCGCTGCAAGCCCAACAGCACCACAAACCGCCTGTATAATGTGGCGGACCCTGCTCTTTCTAGATTTTCTCTCTTGCGAGACAGACAGGATTTCTGGCCACAAATCTGCGACGCAAATTTTCAGAGCATGGGCGCGTTTTCAATATGGGGAGGGGAGATTTTTCCTCACAATAGATGCAATTTATTTTTGTGGGCCATCGATTCGAGTATACTTACAATATTGATATACGAATTTAGCAGCCTACGTTCTTGCAGCCAGTGTAAAAAACCAAGAGAAGATCCGAAAACGGAATGAAATGACGACATTCTGGGCAAAGTCTCCATGCCAAAAAAAAAACAACAACATGGGGCTGGTCAGTCCCCAATCCAACCACGCCCGGCCCAGCAACCTTCATCTTCTTGGATGCCCTCTTTATTTGGTTGCTGTGGCAGACAGCAGCCCAATACAACGAGTACTCCAACTCCGGCAATGAAGCTGAAGAACCTGAAGTGGTGATTACTCGTGGGAGCAGTATGGAGGACATGCGCCAGCAATTGAGCTTACCTTTTATTTTTCCAACTTGATGCACGTCCTATTCCTGAGCGTAACTTCGAGGTTTAGGATTTGCGTCAACTCTAAAAGGTTAAAACTAATCTCCAAGCTGGCGCCTGTCCCTCCATGACCAATGGCGGTGTCGAGGAAGTGTACGACAACGGCGATTTTAACATCTGCGAGCCCTCTCCGGCCTGCTGCTACCGAGCGGGGCGCGGTTGCATCCTCACTTGCGGAGGTCATTGACGTTTTGAAGTCTGATGATTTATCTTGAGGTAGCCCATGGCGGAGAGGGCCGGCCACTGTCTTCGAGATCCGCCTATTTTTGTCTTGTGGCGCTTGTCGCTTTTGGTTTTGATGCGCGCGCCGCGCCGCCTAGCTTTCTTGCCATTCGTTCTTGCCTCTTAGTAGTGTCCATTTACTTTTATATTCTTTTTGACCTTTACGACTTCAGAGTTTATGCGATTAAGTTTGTATACTTCGTTCCACTAAGTACATTTTTTCAATGCACAACGAAAGACGAACAATGACAGCTACACATACGTAACGAAGCAACAGCATCTCTGTTAGCGGAAGAACGAAAGGCAACGGTAAAGCAGGCGCGTGTGGATCTTCATTGAAAGGAACAACTTGCAGCGACAGCGAATGTCGGCGGAAACCCAGACAAGATAAAGCCCCGTAGCGCACAGACGTACTCCTGAGGATGATGCCGTGCCCCTCTGTTAGCAGGAGCGTGTTCGACATGCAGTCTGGACTTGATCCAGAACTTCCGCTTTTTGTGCCACTATTTCAGCAAAGATTGAGATATTCTTACCGAAGTCTTCTCGCAATAAGGTCCCCCACTTGACGTTGACTGTCCGACGGTCGAGTTAATATGGACTCGAGCTAATTTTCCTGAAAGAGGCGACTGTGCTCCTAAAGTTCCGACGCGCCAGACGTGTAGGCTAAGACTTTCAGTCGTGTGGTTGTCGGGTTTTACTAGCGATCGTATGCGTTTTCGAGCTCTGGTTCATGAAAAAGTCGGCTGTATTAAGCCTTGGAGTTCCGACACACCGAGTCCTTTCTTTGCTTCGTTGCTTCGACGCCTCCAATCCGTTCTAAAAATACGCCGCGCTAGATCAGTTGACTCCCTTGGTTGTTGCGCAGTTCCTGTGGTTCGTGTGTTGGAGTTTGGAATGGTGGAAAGAATTATTGTTGACTCGGATTTTCGGTAATTATTTCGGAGCTGCGCTGTTTCGCTTTCGACGACATTTTTTTCAACGAAGCCGTTGTTTGTAGGCCCGAGCCTACCACGCAGAGGAATAGGCGGCCGTCGTAGTAAAGGATGAGAGGTTTGCTGTTAGCGTCGGCGTTGGCCGGTCAGGCCAGCGCCGAACGCAGTTTGCTGGCGCAGAAAGAACGACCAGTAGCGAAGATTCTGAAGTTATTGCGCGACATGGCGAAACAGATGGAAGCAGAGAAGGTGGACGACGATGCCGTCCACGAGCACTACCAGTGTTGGTGCAAGCAGCAAAAAACAGTTACGGAGAGAAGAAATGGGGGGAAAAGCTAACTATTTTGGCCCTATGTAGTAAACCGAATGGGTACAACAACTGGGAGCTGTTCGCGAGAGGCAAGACGACTCCTTCTAGTTTGTCATGATGTTTTTGGAGGATTTGTGTGCAGCAAAGAGGCAGAAAGCTAATCTGTTAGTCGCACGCCAAAGCGAACTGCCTCTCGACTTGCGCCTTCGGTACAGGTTTCGACTCATGCTCTGAACAAACTAAGCAGACGTCGCCGGTTTTGCTCGAAAAGCAGCGTGATCGCTTTTCCCCTGCATTTACCCATCTTCATAGCCCAGAAAGAAAACGTTGTAAAAACCGAGACATCGAACATGGAAGCAGCTAAGGCAACGGCGGAAGCGTCGTTTCAAGAGGAGAAGGAGAAGCGGGCGGTTAGAAATAAAGCGTATGATGACATGAATTCGAAAAAGAAGTCGCTGCAGGAGGTAAATACTACTTACTAGGCGTTCTCCTGTGTCTTCAACTAGCGACGCAAACCAAGGCTCGATCGTTTTGTCGGTCGCAGTTGGATTTTGTTGCCCCGCAACGCAAGTGCGGCCAACTTTTTCGTTCTTCCTGAATTTGTTCATCATGTATTTCTAAATTGTGAATCGCTTTTCGATAGTTCTAAATTCTGATTCGAGCTTCACAAAATTCACCCAGACACGGGAGCGCTGCATGAAGGAGGCGAAAGAGGCCTCAAAAGAAGCCCAGGAGTACGTCAAAACGATCACTGCGCTGAAGTCCGCCCTCACCATTCTCGGCGGCCACAACAAGGACCTGATGCAGCTCTCCGGGGCTCAGGCGTCGCAGGTTAAGAAGGTCGTGAGTGATTTGCTGGACGGATCCGACATGATTGACCGTTTGACCAGCACCAAGCCAGAAGACCTCATGGCGCTGCAGAACTTGCTTTCTGCAGAGCGATCGCCGAGCTCCTTCTTGCAGCAGCCGATGTACTCAAGTTACTCTGTATGCCGAGGAATTTGTTTGCCCTAAGAGCTTTTCGGCAAGCGGAGAATTGCTTGTTTTCCACATGCATGTGAGAGTGTATAATCTTCGCTGAAAAATTACAAAACAAAAGCATTTTCTGTAAAAATAATTCCTGCCCCCGGCCGCTCACCGTGAAACGGGATCGGGTTTCTTTAGGTCCCAACATTACTTAGAGCTCCTTCGTATTGAGAAATACACGAATTCTCCGATTGCGTTTGCGAAGACGTTGCTTGTGGCAAATTTAGATTCCATAAAATAGCCAAAGCGGTCGCATTTTCGGCATTTTGTCGCAGATGCTGGATGAGTTTGAGCGGGACTCCTCGGCAGCCGCAAAGGCGGAAGAGGAGCGACAGGCCACCTGCGCCACCGTGATCAAGTCCACCCAAAAAGAGATCAGCGCCCTGCAGACCACGGTGACCGACTTGGACGCCCGCCTGAGCGAGCTGGAGCAAACCAATGCGGATGCCAAGGCCGACTATGCCGCCGCCGAGGAAAAGGTGGACGACGCGAAGGAGTTTTTGGACAAGCTTGCCGCGCAGTGCAGCCAAAACGAGTCCGACTACCAGTCGCGCACCAAGAGTCGCGGTGAGGAGCTGGTGGCCATCGACGAGACGATCAAAATCCTGGACAGCGACGAGGCTTTTGAGGCTTTCGGGAAGAGCCTGAGCTTCTTGCAGGTCAAGAAGGATGTGTCTTCCGACCAGGAAATGAAGGACGCCGCGGTCTTTGCCCTGCGACCCTTTGCGCAGCGGTCTCCGGACGCGTTTTTGATTCAAACCATGATCAAGGCAGCGGACAAGGGCTCCATGGGCAAGGTCATCGAAGCAATCAAGAAGCTCATCACGAAGATAAAGGCGGAACTGAAAGAAGAAGTGGCTTTTCGGGATTCGTGTGTTTCCGACCTCGACGACATTGACGCAGACATGCGGGTACTGAGTTCTTAAGATATTACGACTTTCACCTTTCGTCCCTTTGTGTGCAACACTTCTTTCCGAAAAAGAGCGAAGCAGAATTTTTTTCATCTACACGTTCTTTGCGCGAGAATGGTGCGTACTACCCGTGATATTTATGAGATTGGGCTGACGATCTAAAAATCGCACGTGAATCTGAGGTAAAGACCGCGTCGCGACAGAAGAAGGAAACTGAAGCCGGTGAGCTGGAGCAGAGCATCGAGGCTTTGACCGCGGCCCTCGAGGCGTTGGCGGCTTCCACGGCAGAGATGCAGAAGGACCTGCAGGATGCGGGTAAGCAGCGGGAGGAGGAAAACAAGGCGTTTGTCCAGGAAAAAAGCGAACACGACGCGACGCAGGCGATTTTGATGAAGGCCATCAAGCGGATGCACCAGGTGTACGGAACCACGCAAACGTACGAACAGGAGGCCCTGGTGAAGGAAGAACTGGTGCAGCAACCCGGCGCCGACACCGTGCAGTTCTCTGCGACTGCGGACACCCCAGGCTCCGCCCCGGTCGCCTTCGCGAAAGGAGGCAAGACCGAGCAGAACGCGGGCGGAAACAAGGTAAATAAGTAGTAGACACTGAGATGAAATAAAGCGGGGAGTGCTGGTTCAATATTTTAGAGGAATGTCCGAAATAGAACAGGAGTAGAGACATATCGCGCAGAAACAAACTAACGCGTAGAGTCGCCCGCATTCAAGTCGTTTTAGATGGTCATGCGAAAGTCTACATCAAAGCCATTGATGAGACGAGCTTCTAAGTAATTCCAATCTGTGAGTTTTTTAATACGACAGGTCATCACCATGTTGGAGGATGTGATGAAAGATTCGGAAAAGGATGAGGCTGCAGCGGAACATATCCTGAGTAAAAACGTACCCACACCAGAGTTGTAATGCAAATCTGCATGCTGAAAATGTTTCTCATGCGGAGCTCCATGAGAAGCATTTTCTAGTCGTGTTTTGCAATTTGTCATGCTCCAATCAGCGTGGTATGCTAGATCTGTGATGCTGCTGAGCTAGCTCAAACAGCACTACACTACGAATCCAAATTTGTCATGCAAAACAGCCAAAACTTGTGGATTTGTCTAGCCGATTCCCCATCTTGACTCTGGTGTGGGTACGTTTTTACTCAGGATAGAACAGGAGGAGGCAGACTCGCAGTCCGCGTACGACGACTTTGTGCGAAAGACGACGATATCAAATGTAAAAATGTCTGGGTCTGGAAAAAAAGCACGTTTGTCATGCTTGTCTGGCATGACTTTTAAATCTGTCATGCACGTTACCCAAGAGCTCCGTTTTTCTGTGATGCAGGAGCGCAGTTTGTCATGCAGAATAGGCAAGACCTAGGAGCTCAGAAACTTGTCATGCTGAGCCAGCATTTGTAGCCTCATCATGAGACGCCGCCCAGCATCACAAGTTTCCAGACCCAGACACTTTTACAATCCATAGACGAACATGCTAAAGACGAACGAAAAGCAAACCGCACAGAAGACCGAGCGGAAGGCGGGGGAAGAAGTTGCGCTGCAGGACACCACCGCCGCCATTAAGTCCCTCGGCCAGGCCATGTTCGACCTGACAGAGGAAAACAAAGATGTCCACGCCAAGTGTGACTTCGTGCTGCAAAACTTCACGAAACGGCAAGCATCTATGACTTCGGAAATCGAAGCCGCGCAGACCGCCATCCAGTACCTCCAGGGGATGGCGTAAATACGGGTAGGACTACGCAGAGAATAGAGTTTTGCACGCTTTTTTGGATATTTAGATTCTCCGCAGTATTTTGCGAAAGGCGAGAGCGTCATGTTTCGGTGAATGCACTCATTTTAGCGCGCTGTCTTTTTTATCATTTTAGCGCATTATTTTGCACGCTCGCATTCCCATACGTAGCGTTTTTTGTTTCTATGAATAGGCTTTTGTTTCTCATTTTTAATTTTTCTTTAGGCAACGGTTTTAGGCAACTTTTTTATAGGCATATAGGCAAATAGATTGGAGTGAATTTCTTTAGGCAACGAAGTTTCGAACACGAAAGTGTGGGGGTGCGAGTGTTTGAGGATGTTACGCACGAGTGCTTGCAAGAACTAGAACTGCTCACGCGAAAACGAGAAACTAAATACTTTCAAAAGGCTTTTCAAAAGAGCGAGCACAATGATATTCGTCGTCCTAGTTGCTCAACCGGAGAACTACACTGCTGTCACTATCGCAGATCGAAGGCGTAGAAGCTCGGTTTTTTCCTATGCAAACCATTGTCCAAGACCAAGTTTCAGTCAGCGATAGTCTGATCGGTCGTGTATCGGCAGGTGTGTCGGTTTTCGTGCGTTCACTGCAGTAATCGTAATAAGTACTTTCGGTTGTCGTGCGATTTCAATACGTATGTGTCGTGACGTAAAAATGTTCGTTCACGTGTACCAACGTCGAGTCATCGTGTGTATGTGTAAGGACTCCCTCAGTAGAGCAAATTCACGTTCATTATCGTTCTTTCCGTCTTTGTCTCTTTTTGCTCACAGGTTTTCTCGTTTTTCCCGGTTGGCTTTGTGGTACCCCCACACGACCCGCCTGGTTAAGTAGCCTATTATTTCCGCCTCTCTTGGTCTTCTTGTTTTTCACGTTTACAACTACTGCTTAGTGCTCTGGCTTCATATCCAGAGCTATGAATTTTCCTATGACGGCTCCGACTCGTCGTGCGTACCTTTTTCTTTTTGAGCAGGCAGCTTTCGTCTAATGGTAATGGACGACGACGAGAGAGCCACAACAAAGCCGCGGGGGTCCCTGTCCTCCAACCCCATCGGCATGACGAGCGGCATGGTGTCCGGCCAAGGAGGGGCGACGTCTGTAACTGGTGGTGCGACGTCGGTCATGGGCGGTGCTGTGCAGCAGTCCCAAATGGGCATGATGTCTGGAGTGCAGCAGCAGCCGGTGATACCCATGAATCAGGCTACCCTGTACTCGAACTCTCCGGGCGGGGGACCGCCGGGAGCGCCCGCGATGATTTCCGGAATTGTTTCCGGACAGAACAATGCGCCGATGGTGTCCGGCATGGTCTCCGGCATCGTTCCCGCGCGCGGCCAGGGGCCCATGCTGAGTGCCGCGATGGCTCAGCCCATGTTGAGTGGCATGGTGGCTCCGGTCAGCGGGCAGCCCATGATGAGCGCCCCCATCGTGTCCGGAATGACCGCTACGCGGCAAGCGGCGAAGCAACAAAACAAACCGAAAATGGGCGGTTACACGCTTGAGCAGATCGACCGGCAGTTCTTCGAGCAGGCCCAGGACATGTGCAACCAAACCAAGGACGAGGTGCTCGCCGTCTGGCGCATGAGCGAACCCAACGAGGACGCCAAGAAGCACGCGATTGGTTGGACGTGCGGCCTGTACTTGCTGATCGTCGTCTGCCTTCTGGCGGGCGCGCAGGCCGTGTTTTGTTGCGTGGACGAGAAGGTCAACGAGGTTTCGCGCACGGAAGTAACGGTCGGGGAGTCGGATATGGGAGTGTCAGGATCGAAATCGACAAAATCGAAATATTTGTGATGCATGAAATGCATGACGCGAAATACGTGTGTTGCAGAGCAGGCAAGTGAGGCCGATTGTAAGCCTGTTTGGGGTTATAGCTCGAGCTGCTAAAGCAGCATGAGAGAATCAGTCTTGTTTGCCTAAACAGCATTACAAACTGGATTTTTTTAGGCACCACCAGAATTTGTGATGCGCCACTTAGAAACTGGGTTCGGGCTGGAATCCATTTTATGCATGGCAAATTATTTCGATTTTGCCAATTTCGATTCTGACACTTCCATATCGGAGACCGACACAACCGTCGAAAAGGAGTACGAGTGGACCCTGCATTGCGGGCTCACTTGGGCGGCCCTCGGGTCGTTGTTCCTGTTGCTGGTCCTCGGGCTCTTCTGCCGGCTGGCCGACGCAGAGGACGAGGGCGACCACACCTTGTATGTGCTGGGTCGCCGCAACTTCTACCGCCAAATCAAACCCAAACGATCGGGATGCTGCCGCTGTCACCCGCTGCCGAAGAACGGAATTCAGCCGCTGGAAACCATCGTGCAGGTTAGTGGTCTATTTGTTCTTTGTGCGTCGGATATGTTGATGTCGTGGCATTCGCACTTGCTATTCCTTTGTGTGGAATAGGAATTTGTTTTTGATCACGGCGCAATCCCCTCCTACGTTAGCGATATGATGATGATGATGTTAGTGGAAGTGCGACTTCTGAAAGTACAAAAACGTATGAATTCGAATCCCCAATTTTTTCTCATGTGCGTTCGTACAGGTTACGACAGATACGGTGCCGACAACCGACGCGGCGGTTTTCGAGTTTACGATGAATGCCGTGGTCATCGATCTGCCCCTGGGAGCAGCGTTGAACGACAACAAGGACATGCACGGGGCGAAGAAGGCGAAAGGCCCCGTCCACTACAATTTACACCCCCGGGTTTATTGTTTCATGGACGACCCACCCCGCGCCGCCGCGGCCATCATGGAGGCCGTGCAGCTCCGGCGACAGGAGCTCGGCATTTCCGGCTTCCAACCCACGCCAATCAGCACGACGTATGTTGGGGGTCAGATTTCCGGGCCGCCTCCGCAGCAATCCGCAATGCCCGCAATCAGCGGGTATGGTGCAATCTAATACAATCAAAAAGCTAAGCAAAGCTATCAAAAATAAAGCGTTTTCTTTGTTTCGATTGGTTTATTTTAGTGTAGGTTGTTTTCACCTGTGCCTCATGACATAGTCATTCTCATTGTCATGGTCTTTGACGTTCCCCGTTTCAACTTTTCCGTTTTATTTGCATTAGAGTTTTATTTTACATTGAAATCATGTGTCCTGTAAGTATTGCGTAACATCAGTTCAATTATCTTCATGTTTTAGCACCACCTTTCTTTTGCTTATCAAACTTTTCGTTTGCATTGTCGATCCCCAAAACCCGAGCAATTAAAGACGAAAAGAAGGACGACTGACCTATTCGCAGTAAGAACCGTTCTGGATCCCTTCAGTAAGAACGATAGAGCGACGAAGGACAGTGGATTTGCTCCGCTTTGAGGGCAGATAAAACTTTGCTGTAAACTATTTCGATCCTGACAGAATATGCGCCGGCGCCGTTTCCACCAAGTGATGCTCGGTAGTGACGCCTGTTTCCTTCTTCTCTCCGTGAGCATTGTTGCGTTTTCAAATTGTGTGCGTGTGTGTGTGTGTAGTGCATTCATTTTCCGTTCTGTGTGTCTGTCTTCTCCGTTTACTCGTAGGCGTCTGTCAGTATCGTAGCTGCAGCTTGTGAATTGAAAGAGCGGTCGAATATACCCATGAGCAGGGAACGAAAGCGAGTTGTTGCAGAAACATTGCCGAGAGAGGACGAGGTGGCCGCGTGTGCTGGAGAGATCAATTCTTCAATGAGTTCTCGAGTTTGCTGGAGGGGAGGCAGTGTGTAGAAATCACAAAAAGCAGAAGTCAAAGATTCTGTACATTGAGATAAGCATATCGTGGCACAAGAACAAAGTCGCAGCGACAAATAAGTAATCGCTTTCCAAAGCAACTACAGCGTTGCAGATGATCCAGTAAAAATAGTGTTTTTTATTGATTTAATTTGTATGTCGTAGTGGTCAACAACTCAACAACATCTGAAATTACATAATGAACGGGAGGCATCCGCATCAGCACAATACGGGTCTCAGCTGGCTAACGCCTTCGGAGGAAACGTTCCTGACTCCTTCTCCGGATGATGGGTCTTTGCGGGTCCCGGTAGCCGGCGGTAGTAAAGCCGCCTCGTCTTCCTCCACGGCGGCGCAGCACAAAAAGCAGTGCAACGGGGGCAGAGCCAACCCTTGGAGCGCCGAAACCAAGCAGGTGTTCGCGTTCTATCCGCCTACAAGCGGCGCCGAGGCTGCGACCCATGGTAGGGGCAGCAGAGACAGGCTCAGTGCGGCGAGCCGCGAGATCGAGAATTCCCGGAGAAAGCACAAGAGCGGCGCGCACACCGGCGAGAATAAGCGAAATAATCCGGGGGACGACGGTATCCAATGTGCAGATATTTTGTGTCCGGTTTTGGAAGGATGCTGCAAGGTTTGATGGCACGCTTGTCTGGTATGACTGAAGGGCTTGTGATGCGTGTCAAAGAGGACTCGATCACCGTTTTGCTTGTCACGCAAAAACGTAGTTTGTCATGCAATGCTCGTCAACATGCGGAAATAAACGTGCTCGTGCATTACAGGGCAGATATTCACATTTCTCATGCTCTTCTGCTGTGCAACATTACATATCTAGGGTATTCAGTATTCACAACCCAGCATTACAACAAGTTTCCAGGCACATTTGCAATGCATAGACCGCACGTTTGATAGCAACGGCTTCGTGGACGAAATCCGGGATCGGAGTCTGATGGGGCAGTCGCTGTTGATGCGGAAGCGCGCCGAGGCGCGCAACGCGCAGCCCGAAAAGCCGGTCCCCACCTCGATCTACGGGGAGGACGACCCGCTGCTGCAGTCCGAGGCCGGCCTGGGGCAGTTCGACCAGCAGCGCTACCTCCCGCTGGACCCCAAGCAGTTTGAACCGGACGTCCTGGCGGCATTGCGGAAAGCGCAGCGGACGGAGATCCAGAAGCTTGGCAAGTATTTTGCCATCGAGGACTATCGTACGAAAAAAGTGTTACAGTTAATACACATCGTGTTGCAGACCAAGCAAGACAGACAAGCTCTGTCATGCCAAATGTGCATAGGAGCCTGGCTTCGTGCGTGTTACTTATTTTCCCGTTGGATTTCTGCATTGCAAGTTCATCTAGCGAAATTCGATGTGTTGCTGCATTGACAACAAATGCGTAACTGCAACAGCACTTTTTTCGTGTGATAAGGACGCCGACGAAGTAGCGGCGGCGCTCGCCGCTGCGGTCAGCGCCGACGAAAAGCGGAATCTGTTGCTGAACGCACCGGAGCTGATTCCCCAGGACGACGTCGACTACGATGTGGAGGACGCCCGGTTGTATCCGCCAGAAGATGACATCAAATTTGGGAAGAAAACGCGTCCGCGCACCGCCCCGGGGCCTGGTCGTGGAGCGGGTCAGCCGCAGCACTTCCGCGACAACAAAAAGAAAGCAGCGGGGTCCACCTCCTCCGTGGGGGCGGGGCCGAGCGCGGCTCTCTCGGAAAAAAGCAAAGAAGAAACGATGGACGCGGCAGCACGGTACGCTGCCAAAGCGGAGGCCTATCCCGAGCACCATAACTACAGCTTCGAGGACACAACGGATCTACTGAACTACAAATTTGACCCCGAAGCCGGGGCCGACCCGCCAGACTTGGTGCGCAGAAACATCCTCAGCGAAGCGGTATTTGTTTGGTCCTCCCGGTATTATGATCTACAACTCAAAAATCGCGACACGAACATAGTATTTATGCTGATGTTCTTGAGTCGGAGTCGCGGCTGGTTGCAGTAGTATTAATTGCAGACGCAGAAGCTGAGGCTCTGCATAACATATCAATCAGCGGACCTGTACTATGTAAAGTATGCAAAAATGTTGTTCTCTTGTGCTTGTTTTTGTACAGTTTTGTTCTTCGAGAAGTCTCTCTACCATTCTGGAAAAACATGAGATTTTGATCATCCGAACAGGTGTACGCGCACAGCGATCGTGCAGAGCTCTGGTTGGAGCACGCGGAGAAGGAGGGTATCGACCTGTTCGCCCGTCCGGAGGGCGAGTATGTGCGCCCCTTTGAGCAGAAGCCGTTGGATCGCGACATGAACGCCACGACCTCGGGCAAGATGGTGCGCATGCCTGTGATGCGGCCCGCGGTGATGCGGCGGCTCCAGAAGCGGTACTGCAGCCACCACTTCGCGGCTGCGCGCGCCGTGCTGGCGCAGAAGCGGGAGGAGGTGCGGGGGCTCAAGGGTGTGAAGAAAGCCCTGACCTCGCAGGGCCGGGTAGAGATGGACCGCGCGCGGGAGGAGCTGCGGGGCGCGGAGGACGACGACGCGGAATTGAACGACCTCGCGAACGCGGGGGCCTGGTACGTGCTCCAGCGGCGCGCGGAGCTGGACGAAGTGGACGAGGCGGAAGCGAGCAAAGCAGGCACCAACATCGGCGCGCGAGGAGAGCTACACGGCCCGAGCCTCGGTACGAATCCGAATCTGTGGAGCGACGAGCGGTTCTTCGGCGGCGCAGAGGAGGTTGAGGAGAAACGCTGGAAGGAGGCGGAGCCCGCGCCTCCTGCACCGTCGACGGCAAACAAAATAACCGGCGGCAGGGGCCGGGCGTACCGTGCCGGGTCGCCCGGAACGAGAGTAGACGGAGGACGCGGTGGAGTGGACTCAGAGGAGGAGGCCACCTTCGAGCAGACCGACCGGTCCAGTACTACATTAGAGGGGCAGACAACGATAGAGATCCCCTCCGCCGGGGTGGTCGTTGCGCCACAACCGCGGCCGCGCCCACAAAGTGCGGTTGTCTCGCAGCAGCGTGGTCCCGCGCCGGGCGAAAGTAGACCGGCGAGTGCGGCTGCTCGCCCGAGAAGCTTCTCCGCACGCGCGCGCTCACCCAAGCATCAACCAGGCCGGGAGGGCGGAGGTGCTGCAAGGCCGCGAAAGCGCCCGAGCCGACACCCCCGCCGGCCCGGGTCTGCCACGGCGTACCGCCCGGGCTCGGCGAAAGATCCGCGAACGCCGCCGTCCGCCTACGAGGTGGTGCTGAACGTAGATGATCTACTTCAGCAGGTAGACGAAGAGGAGCTCGGCGCGGAGGAGTTTTTCGACGAGGATGTTGAGAGCGCGGGGCCGCCCTCGAGAAACATCACTTCTGCGGGGCAGCACCGCGCCGGTTCCACCACGGCCAGCGAGGAGCTTCGACGAAGACACAGCGAACTGCAGCGGCGTGGCGACGAGTACGACGGCGGCCCCACCGTGGCGGCAAACGGTGCGCTGGAGCAGCTGCGCGAGCCCAAGGACGTGCAGGCCCTCCGCGGTGCGGTGTCGTCGACCCAGGTCCAGGAGCGCGAGCAGGTGCAGGAGCAGAAGTACGGGTACTCGTCCCAGCGCCGCCGGATGAAGTTGTCGGAGCGGATGAAGATCCCCATGGCGGTATCAAAAGGAAAAATCCCCGCTCCCCATATCGAAAAGGTATGTTTCCGAAAATTTGTGTTGCTGATTTGAGGCCACAAATCACATTTGTACTGCAAGAAGACAAGGGCAGAAGCTTCCGCCCCACTATGGAAGCGATTTGCCATGCTGTCGGCCCTAAAAGTGACCCTTTTGCCATGCTGAACAACTAGGCCCATACGCCCCTACCTAGCCTGGGGATCTGGCCGCAGTGAGTGCCCGCCTGCAATACAAACCTGATTTGTGTACACAGATCCAGCAGCAGAAGTTCCGTTTTGATAATATGGGGAGGGGGGATTTTTCCTTTCGATAGGCGGAGTTCCCGCAGCGGCCGTTGACCAGCGTGCCACGGCTGGACCAGATGCAGAAGCCGCCGACCCCACGGATCGTGGGTCGGCGGGTCCACAACGGGGTCACGATGGATCCCGCCACCGGGCGCGAGTGGCACGGGGAACAGCCGAAGTTCGAACCGCCGCCGCCGCTGACCGGCACGCTCACGGACGGTTTTCTGAACCCGCGCAAGGCGGCGCTCCCGGAGCTGAAGGAGAAGGGCACGGGCGGCGTGGGCAAGAATTTTCAGCTGATTACGCCGTTGCAGCGGCGCGAGTGGTACGACTACTGCGCGTTCGCCGAAACGAATCTGGACCGCAAAGCGGCGGACCTCCGGGCACAGATCCGGTACCACCGGGATGCCATTGCCATTCATCTGCGGCGCAAGGAGGAGCAGAAGCGGCGCGCAGTCTGGGAGCAGCAGGCGCAGAAGCAGACTCTGCGAAACCGTGTGAACCAGGAGGGAGCGCACCTGCGGTCGCAAATCTCGTCCAAGCGGCAGCAGTCCGCAGATGAGAAGGAACGGGAGGCGCGCCAGCGCGGGGAGAAATTTGGATCTGAGAAGGAACGTTACGAAAAGATGAACGCTTTCTTCTCGCGCAACCAGAGGCACCTGCAGCTAAATCAGTAGCGCGGTGTTTCAGTTTCAGTTTTCCCAGGGGGAAAAGTATTCGATGTAAACTTCAGATTTTGTGTTGTCGAGGTAGCAGGCAGTAAATCTAATTTTTCACCTAGAGTCCATACATCTGCCTGCTTCAGCCCTGACAAGAGATACAGATGTGGGAGGAGATGAGCCTACAACTTGTTTGTCTCTGTTTCTGTATCACCCTTTCTCGCGCTGGATACGACTAAGAGAATTAAGATTTCGCGGAAGCAAGTGCAAGCGATGTTGTAGCCGAAAAGCAAATAAAGACGAAACAACTTTCCATGAACACACTGAATTTATGCGGGATCTTCAAGAAGTGCAGGAGGGACTTCATTGCGAAGATAGATCAATCAATGATACAAAGCGATTACAGGCATCGAAGAAGTGGCGTTGGCCCTCAGCAGAGCAGCCAATGCTTCTTCGTCAAGAAGCGAAGTCGGAGTGTGGTGTGTGAGACACGGCTCATTTTTTGTTCCCTCCAGCTACCTTGCAATTTGCAATGGATGGCGAAATTACTATAGAGAAGCTGGGATTTGTATTTAGTTTTTGCGTTGAGCAGTCGATTCATTCTGAACGACAGAGATCACGAAATTATATAGCTTTTCTTCCTTTGCCCACTCAATTCACAGTCTGATGTCTTTCTTCTTCAGCTCTTTTTATTCGATATCCCTGTGCTTCTGTTAACTCAGTGTCAGTGCTGTACAAGAGGCGGCAACCAAAAATAACATCCGCATTCCACGTTGTGTACATGGGAACAAAAGGAACATCAAAAGGAAATCCTGATCGCGTGAATGTAAGCAGTGGATATAAACAAATAGCGAATTATTAGAGCAGGTTTGTTTCCTTGCGTAGGACGCACGATGATTATATATGCGATTCCACTGCCAACGACAAGGGAAATGTTTTGATGAGCAGGCAGAAACATCATAGACCCCTTTGAGAGCGAACGCGAGCACTGGTGTCCTTGTGTAGCATCATAGATGATACGCTTTGCATTGCGAAGTGCAAGGGTGTGCGTCATTGTTTCACGATTTGTCAGAACACCAAGACATGGCGATTTTCCGATTAGAACTTCCAGGGTGAAAAAGAAAGACAGGAGGCACAAGAAAGCAGATAAAACCAGCAAGAACGTCAAAATTCTGATCGAAGCGGAACGATAAGTAAAAGCTGTGTGAACAAATACAAGGAAGATGTTTTCACCATCAATGAATCATCGCGAGTTAAGCCCGGAGGAGGCACTGGACAAGGGGGTCTTGGAGGCCAGCAAGGCGCACCAATCTCCGTGCGCGGAGAAGGGGAAGATCTTCTCGCATGCGGATGCCTTGGGTTTGACGGCTTCGGAGCGGCGCTTGGTGTATCGACAGCAGGAGCTGTATGGAACCAAGTGTCAGGTGGGATGAAAAAATTGTCAGAAAAATGGAAAAAACATAAAATATTATAGGTTTGTTACAAACCCATAATGCCCAAGCAGCTGGAATATCGATTCTATTACAAATTGTAACAGAATCGATATTTTTCCAATTTCAGCTGCTCGGGCATTTCTAAGCGGCGCCTGACAAATGTTGCAGACACTTAGAGCCAACCTTTCCTACTTTTCTGGGCAGCTTGAACTTTGTTTTGTCATCCCGGCCTGACTGCAGTAATTTTCTGTATGCAAGGCTTTTTCCAATCGGCATCGGCTCCGCTTGTCTTCTTTGCAAGAATAAAGACACTTGTTCAAAGCTCATGTTAGAGTGCCTAGCACAATTTCACTTTTTTCTTGGACGATAACTACTTCCCACCTGGCACAACTGCCAGCCGAATAAGCCGCCGCTGGAACAACAAGAGCCGCCTTCAACGACCGACGCCGAGCAGCTGAATACCAAACAGCCGGATGTGGGCGGAAACAAGAGCAGTGGCGCTGCCGGGGCCGCGACGGGGAGTGCCACCGCCGCGCCGCGCCTGAACGCGGCGTACTTGGCGACGTTGAAGCCGCCGTGCGTGTCCATGCCGCAGCCCGTGTCGCAGGTGTACCTGCAGCAGCTTGTCGACCACAAGGAACGGGAGCACCAGCTGGCGCTGGCGCGGGACCGCGAAATGGTAGAGCAGGCGCTCGCGGGGCGGAGCTGGGAGGAGGTGGCTTTGGAAAACCCGGTAGACCCCCTGCTCGGCAGCAAAATTGCCCAGCAGTTATGCATTGCAAATATGTCATCTGGGTCTGGAAGATTCCGAGATTTGTCATGCAGTTTTTCCAAGCTCCGCCAAGTCTGGAATGCAGCGAGTAGCATCACAGGTTCTGCAGCCCCTTGCGGATTCCTATTCTGCATGAGAAATGCCCTTTCAGCAGGGCCAGAAGTGGGGACCTTTTGCAAGTCATACAACACAGATTTTTGTATGATCCGCAACACGCATCACAAGTTCGCATTCTTCCAGGCGCAGTCATATTTGCATTTGATAGCAGTACTGGCTGGACGAGTACGGGTCGCTCCATCCCCCCGTGACCCGCACCCTCGAGCGGAAACGGGACCAGAAGCTCCAGGAGAAGCTCGCCTGGCAAGAAGCGCAGGCGGGCTGGCGAGAAGCGCAGGCGGGCCTGGCCGCCGAGAGTGGCGCCAAGATGAACGCGTTCCTCGGGGGGCTTAGTACAACTAATCCGAATGCTAACATCATTAACCAGCAGGTGCCACCAGTGCCCGAGAAGGAGAACGTCGTCAATTCGTCCTTCGCGGTCGGTCATGGCCCGATGATCCACAACCCATTGGCAGGACGAAGCCGTCCGGCGCCGTACGCGGGCGGAAAAAGCGACGCGATCGTTCCGGGGGCGCGGCCGCGCAACGCTAAGGAGCTCCCGCCCACGCGGAGGCATGACAAATTGCCGGTCTTGCGAGAAGAGGAACGACCAGGAGAGCAGCCAGTACTCTCGGAGGACGAGGAAGAGGAATTGCTGTGGCCACCGGACCCGAAGAGACAGTCGAAGTATCAAAATCACATTCGGAAGTACAACGCACCGATGATGATAGATTCACCGCCTGCTTCCCCTCGTGCTGGGGGAGAGTTTGGAGGGAATAATATTTCCTCAGAACAGCGCGATTTGCTGAGCGATGATCCACCTGCTCGCGGGAAAGACCGTACTAAACCGCTCCTTCCCGCCGTCGAGAAAAATCCGAAACCCAAGAGCGGCGCCGCTGCGACCGCGGCGGCGAAGAAAAAGGCTGCTGCCGAGTCGGCGAAGATGAAACCGGCTGCTCCCGAGGCGGAGAAAAAGGCGGCTCCTGCTGCGACAGCAAAAAAGTCTACTACTGGTGCTGCTGCGAAAAAGAGGGCCGGTGCTGAGACGGCGAAAAAAGCGGTTACTGCTGCGACGACAAGAAAGACCGCGACGGCGAAGAAGGAGCCTGGTAGTACCGCAGCGGTGAAAAAAGCCACTCTGAATGCCGGGACTTCCTCGATGAAGAAGGCGGCTACGATCGCCGAGACAAAAAAAAAGCCCACTGGTGCGGGGGCCGCGAAGAAGACTGCTGCTGTGGCTCAGAATGCCAAGAAGAACGGCGCGGTAGAGGGGGCTGCGAAGCACAAGGAGAGCGCGGAAGCTAAGACTGTGACGAACACTAAAGCACCGGCGGGACCCGCGCCCAAAGCCAAGGCAAAAGTCGCGAGAGCCGCGCCGGCGTCGACCAGCAAATCCATGAAAAAGGACCCTCAACAGTCTGCGCCGAGGAGCAAGCCCGTGCAGAAGCAAGGACAGAAGCCGAAAGCTGCTCCGAAGGCAGTGATGAAAAAGGAGAACAAGTGAAACTTGAAAAAAATATTGCAGTGGCACAGAACAATATTAGGCCGTCGAAGCGGATGCAAGGACTTCGCGTATTTGATCGGTAGCGAGAGCGACACTGTCCGTTCGCTGCAGAAATTTTGGCGACTATATTTTGCTTTTTCTTCTTCATCTTTAAAAAGCTGTTACACAGACAAGAAAAATGTGTGCAACGTCCTCGCTGAGTGCGAGTACGCTTCTTATGTGGTAAATAAGCATAGACTTCAGTTGTACTTGATCTTCGACTCTTCCAAAGTGGGGGTCTCGATTCGGAACAAAATATCAGAGCTGCTGTGCGCTCCTTGCCATCGGCGATGGTATGACGAACGCAACGACTGCTCTCCGCCGTTTGCTGCGTCAGACCCGCGCGCACCAATAGTGGTTCAATGTTACACAGCTGGAATGATGACTCTGGTGCTCTGTATTTCCATCGTGTAGCTGCATTCTTCATGAATGTTTATCGCGTTTCCGTACGTATAGACAACATAAACTTAGTCCCTGGCCGCATCGAGGTTTTTCGGTCGGTCTAATTTAATCTTTTCGGTCCTGACTTGAAACTCAAAGGAGGGCGTAAAGTCGTCGGTTCTGCTTACTTACTTAGGTCGTTCACAGCTCGCTGCAGGTCGGCTACGTCGGTCGTGCATTTCAATCAGCGTGAGTACGTTCAACATGCAACAGTCCCCTCGTTCAGAGCAAACCTCAGCCGTTACTTTCGTGCATCGTAAATTGAGAAATGCAAATGTACAGAAACGAAGTAAGCTAAACTAAACTCTACAGTTCCCAATCGACCACGCGTTTACTTCTTTCTTTTCCGCGTAGCGTCGGGTTTAGCTTTCACGTAGCTGACCTTGACTCTCTCGCGTTCGGAGAACACCGAACCGCCCTAGACATGTGGAACAAGAGAAAAATTTGAGTTTATTTGCAAGGAGGAGCGCGGGACAGGAGGCCTGCAGAACTGCTCATTCCTGATTCATCTTGACTGGATAAGCGAGTTAACGAAGCATTCGTATTTCCTCATTTTCGTACCGAAAGGAATTCTCCCCCCCAAGCGCGCAAGCTTTGATCATTGTGTTGCACCAGAATTTTGAAACAACAAAAATGAGCACCGCAGACTCAATGGCCTACGAAGTGCTAGTGGCGAGTGCGCCATTGCTCCTGTACTTCGGACCGGCCCAACTTTTTTGTCAACTTCGGAAACAAGAAGAGAAAAACAAAAGGCAGCGAGAGCAGGAAGCGAACAAAGGCGCAGAAACAACAGGAGTTTCGGGAAAAAAATGCAGCGGCTTCTTAGGAGATGGAACGGAATTGACTGGTCATTTTTCTGACGACGCGGAAGTAGGACAGATGGGCGGTCGATATAATTCTACTGTGGCTCCCGCACCGGGCACTGAAAAGAACGATGTCGACAGCCTCAGCTCGCGTACAACCCCGCACGAAAGTAAAAAGTGCCAGATCAGAGCCGATTTTCTCAGAAAATTGGATGAAGAGGCAGAGCCGAACTTGAGTGAAGATGCACTTCTGCAGATGAAAAACCACCGCTCGGAAAATGATTTCACGGCGTCAACAACGGATACGTTGGTCGTTGGACGACCCGGACTGGCGGAGGTTTTTCCGCTCTCACCCACACCATCATCAGGCGAGCTGGTGATTGCAGAGAACCTCCTTCATCACGCGGACCAGGCGGAGGACGAGGAGGTGGCACGCCTCCAAGTGGTCACCGTGCTACCTGGAGTTGATCCGGAGAAAGAGAATATCAATTTTCCGGAGATGGTGGACGAGGTCGATGTTTGTAGTGCACAAAGCGTGTCGGCTCCTTGTACACCTACAGTTGAGCGTCTACCTCGAGAAGCTAGTTGCAGTACTCGCTACGGAGAGGAACAACAAATCTCGACTGCAGACTCGGAGGAAATTATAACGCGGGCGGACCACAGTTGTGCTGAGGAAAAGCAAAAGTTGGAGACGCCGCCGTTGCAGTTTGTTGCGCAGTGTGCGAACGGCTGGACTTGGTTGTGCTTCTCAATCCTGGAGGGTATGCGTGAATTGACGGCGCCTTGCGTGGTCCAGGTACTGACCGGATTTCTGTGGTTGTTTCTCTACTGTCAGTGCTACCGCGCCGATCTGTATCGCCGACAGTTGCGCTTTTTACTGGTTTCGCTGGGCTGCTACTTGACGCTGCTGGGGGTTTTCTTTGGTTTCGCACTGGCAGAGTCCCACGGCTACGTACGCGGCACCTTGCTGGAGGCAAAAGAGCCCGAACGGGTGGCGCATGAACGGACGGAGTTTTCGCGTGCCGTGCAAGCGACCATCGGTTTCTTTGGCACGGTGACATTTGCGACCTTGATGGGGTCGCCGGCGGTCTACGCGTACCGTGCCTATTGCGAGCGCAACGCGTTGCTGATGGGGAGCTGGTGCAGTAATGCGGCCGGGGTATTCGTCTGCACGATTTGGGCGAACCACGGGCTCAGCGAGGGGATTCTCACCATCGCGATCGTCAATATGTTGTCGGTGGCCTTTTCCTTCGTGTGCCTGCTCTTGCGCCTGTGGCTGTACTGCAGTGAGAAGGGGAGGTCTAGTGCAACGGGAGGAAAGTGCGTATGACTTTGGTGATAACCTTTCATTGTCGAGAAGCTGGGATGAAGATTCCTGATCTCCTCCGCTGCGGAGTCCGCTGTCGTCGAGGAAAGAGAGGACAGGAAGCGCACTGCTCTTTGTCATGAGTTTTCTATCGTTTTGTTTCAGGTTTACCTTTTCGTTACTCTGTTTGAATTCCAGTAAGAACCTAGGCCAAACGTTTTTTTTTCTTGTAGATACATATATAAGTACATCATAAATATGCGCTTCTCTCCTGACAACTCTGATTCAGCATACTCACTCCGGCTGCTGCTTTTATTGCTATATGCGCCCCAAACACAATGTCCATGAACAAACCAAGTAGAAGTACATAAAGATCATGAGCGTATAGATACGTCGATCCCGAACAACTTGTCTTGCGGCTTTGTCCGAAAACTAGTACCAGCAGTACGACGGAACGCTTGAGTGATTGCAGAACCTTTGCGCGGCTACGAACGAGAACATCGATTGTCCAAGATTACCTCCGTACGGCCACTCAAATTCGTATCGCATGTTCAACGGTAATATGAGCGCCCTCCGCGTCCGGAAAGCAAACATCGCAAGGAAAACTGCAAACTCGCTTTGTCTTCAGCATCAAACCGCAAAAAGTCGTGTCCCGTTGTTGCAAAAATCGTGCGTACAGCCGATTTGAAATCAGGAAACGTGATTACTTCTCTCTTTTTTCTACCTGACGTGCGTGACCGCTCAGCCACAGGTTCGCACGCTGGTGAAACCTACTTAGTAAGTAAGATATTTTTTAGTGCCTTCAGTACTTCACCTTTCAGAAACTGAAATAAAAGTGAAAGCAAAATAAAGCCCAGTTGTATAGAAAAATAAAACTCAAGAAGATGGATAGGGACGTTCATTCCGGCAGTTGCGCGATGGATATTGATTCTGTCGGTGACGATGCAGGTGCTCCTCCCAATAGGCGACCGGAGGAACAGGAGACGAATAAGCGTCGCAAAATTGATGACTCTGGCTCAGCCGCCGGCGGAGCGAGTAGCGCTAGCTCTGAGCTCCCAGCCACTGTCGATGGTGTGCGTGCTGGTGTGACAAAGCTGCGACAAGTCTGCGTGTCGCGGCTCGGTCTGGATGATGCGACCAAGAAGAAGATCGACGGCCTCATCGAGGATTTTGCGGAGTTTTCCGAGTTGGACGCCACAGATTTGGCCTCGCTGGTAAAAAACTTTCAAGATTGGGCTGCGTCGCACCGACCGGGGGCTCGCGAAGAGTTCGTCCGCTTTGGGAAACTTTGCGCTCGCGTCGCAAGTGCCACCGGCAACGAATGCTTCACCGAGCTCTACCAGGCGGCGTGTGTGGAGGAGAGTTTGCTGGACCAGTGGGGAAAGACCACCACCGCCCGGACCTGCCGGAAGTGGCGTGAGAGGTTCGAGGCACTCTGCGCCGGAGATCCGCACGGAGCACAGTGTGTGCTGCGGGAGATTAGAAGAAGCATACTCAGCAGCGCCTCACCTGGATCCGAGCTGCAGCAGGTTGGCCGCACGAGTGACGAGACGCTGCTCAGTTCCATCCTAGAAAAACAAAAAGGAATAAGCGCGACACTGTCTGAGGACCACGTCAATGTGATAGTCGAAGTTGAGAAGAAGCTGACGTACGCAAGCTTTTTTGCCGCTGCACCGTCTGGGCCGGACGATTTTCGGCGCCACCAGGCAATATTGAAGATTCTGCGAGAGTTGGAAATTGGTATAGAGGCCCGGGAAGCGGAAAAGGTGAATGAGGACTTGATTCCCGAGTTGAAAAAGCTTCATCCAGGGTTAGCCCGGAAATGGGTCAGTGACGCAGCAAAGAAGCATGCGTGGGTCCAAGCGGGCGAGGATTTTCACGACAGAGTTGTCAGGCAGCAGAAATTGTGTGCATTGCAAAAGCGATTCTTTTGTTTCGCGGAAGTAACACTTTCCGATTACAATCGCGTCACGCACCGTTACTCTGCGGAGCAGATGCGGCAGGTATTGATTCATGTATATAAATAAGTCTAAGTACTGAGCAGGTCAGGCTATTCCTGCCGCTCGTCGGAGGAGGGAGTAGTGCCGAGCCCAGATCGAAATCATCATCGTCATAGCTGAGAACCCTATGTGGGTGGAAGAAAAAGTGACATGCCGATTCGCATTCCTACTGACTTGATATCAAAATGAATATAGGTAAATCTAAATTTGTTATGTATGTCGGAGGTGGAAAATGAAAATGTGCATTTAGAAATGCTTTGCTTCGGTCTGTGCCCAAGGAAAGTTTCTCACTGCTTCAGCGTTTTTTTCGAAACATTCAACAGTGCATCCGCGCCTGGTTAGCGTCGCCGCAGGCTTCATTCAAGACGGAGGTGCTACCTATAATTCTCAACATTTTGAAGCGCGGAGAAGCTTGGGACGAGTTTTTGGCCGTCGGCATCGACGAAGTCAAGACTTTGCAGGACGAGGAAGGGCGCGTCGGACTGTCGGCGTTGTGGACGGCGAAATCGTTATTCTGCATTGTTTGCGAAAATGCGGAGCCCGGTGTTCGTTTTCGATTGCTAAGGGATTTTCGCGATTCTCTTCCTCTTCTGCATCCGTCATACCATAAGAGTTTTTCCGGATCAGATGATGGCACCAGGAGTGGTACCAGTTTGCTGACTTTTAATGCCGACATAAGCGCACTGATTCCGAAAGGTGAGTGCAGGGGCGCCGTCATCTCATTTGGCATCGGAGAAAACTCGCCCCCGCTTGGTAAAAGCGGCATTCTCAACACGCTCTTCCGATGCAACTTCGAGGAGTCATCCAGAAACTTTGCGACGTATGGAACCTGCGACGTTGACCTCGGTTTCTCTTTCAAACCGCGGAGAGATTTGGTCTTCGGGGACGTTACTGGGAGTTTGTCTTTCGAAGATGGGGACGCTGAGCAGGCCGCGGCGCTGCTGTCGTTCTTCCCGTCGTGGCTGGTTCACGTGCAGGCTGGGGAAGTTGACAAGGTGGAAGCTTTGCTGCAGTCTTTGAAGAGCGGAAAACTTTTTAAGTGTCCGCAGTCAGTGCTGGTTCTTATCCGTGACACAGATTCTTTCCAGGAGGCTCCTTTGCTGCGGGTCCGTGCCAACGGCGACGAAGGCAATGTCACCGACAATGCGTTCTTGGAAAAGCTGGTGCGCGTTGAAACGGTATTGAAGGAGGTGCACGGAGTGAAGCACGCCTACTGCGCAGGCATTCGCAATCTTACAAAACTTGCTCCCCGCGAGCGGGAAAATGTTTTGAAATTCGAACTGCAGCCGTTGCTGCTCTGTGATGTCATGCAGTCCACCGACAACGAACGCGGAACGGGAGAGCCATACGGCATCGGTGACCCACAGGTTTTCCACGATCGCGTGCAGAAGATCGCGCCCAAGCACCCCTATTTCCGCGCTGACCTTGTCCTTGTGGCCAAGGTGATGAAGACGCTCGAGTCCTTTCGCGATGATTTCTACAACCCAAAAGCGCTCGCCACGCGTGAGCTGTTAGCTCAGCTTCGGCGCTGTCGGCAAAAACTGGAAAATCCGAGCGCCACCTCGGACGCGATTGAAAAGGCGCGAGCAGAAGAAAAGCGGTTCCTTGACACCCTCGCTCAAACGAAGATGACGCAGCTGTTGGAGCATTTCCAGAGAGTACTGCAGTCTCCGAGCCGGGTTCTCCTCATGTCGGTTCTAGCTGAAAGAATTAAGCGCTTCTCCGACGATAACGTTGCGGAAAAAATCGAGGCGCGGAGGCGTACTAATGACGAGCGCACCGCATTGTACGCGGCGGGAGCGCAACCCGGTGACGCAGGGGAGCGGAAGTACGCGGCGCAGATGGACAAGCTTACCAGTAAACTCACAACTGTCACGAATGACATCGAGCGTCGACGGATTTCAGTGGAGCTGTTGTGGCGGGAGCTTTTGGTTTTTCATGAGCATGGCATTACCAGGAGTAAGTCTTTGCCAAAGAATCCGGTGTCCGAGCTTTGCAACTTTTTGCGGGTAGGAGAACCTTTCGAACTCATTGACGGCGACACACTGCAGATTCCGCACCGAACCTTGCAAGAGGCCTTCAAGCGGGTGGCGAGCATCGGGGCAGGCGATGCGGTGGTTCCCATGAATTCGCGGGAGTCGTTGCAAAGTGCAAAGCTCGCGGGTAAGAGAGTCATGGTGATTTCCATTCTCGGGCCGCAATCTTCAGGGAAGAGCACGCTGCTCAACTACCTGTTTGGCTGCAAATTTAACACCGCGAAGGGTCGGTGCACGAAAGGCGTCTACGGGAGTTTGATCGAGATTACTCACGAGCACTACGACTACCTCCTCATCTTAGATACCGAGGGGCTGCAAAGCCCAGAGAAGCTTGACCACGAGTTCGATCGGAAAATCACGCTGTTTTGTTTGGCGGTGAGCCATTTTGTGATCATCAACGTCGCGAAGGACATGAATGCGCACATGCGGGACTTGCTGGAGATCTGTTTGTTTTCGTTGGACCAACTGCAGAAGGCACGCATGGCCATGCCGACGAACTTCATGGTCTTCAACCAGCACTCAGGTGACACCGCCGACAAGTCCGTATTTATGGACCAAGTGAAAGGTATTTCCGAAGCTATCATTGCGGCCAAGCCAGAGGCGGTCGACGCAGCGCGCGCGATGCAGTTTCCCAGCGAGCGGATTAAGGTGCTCCCGCTGGCCACAAATTCTTTCACGGTGCCGAAAGACCCGGCGCGCGGCGTGCACAGTGACTGGAACCAGGAGCGCCCGGCGACCAAGTTTGCAGTGGAGGTTGCGCAGTTTGGTAAGGAGATTATGGACCTAGCTTTCAAAAGCACGGAGCGAAGAGTTGCCACACCAAACAGCGTCGCGCCTGCCGGCAGAAAGGTTTTGCACCAGGAAGACCTTGAAAGTTGGATCCGGATGGCCACCGACAACTGGACCACCATCACGGCTTTTCCAGACCTTTACCGCTTTGCGAATGTAAAGCTATTGAAGGACCACAAAAGGCTCACCAACATCGCTCAGGACAAGGAGCAGCACTTCCTGACCTCGTCGGCCGCCCAGCTGCGGCACGTGAAGGAGAAGAGGGATGCGCTCGCAGAGTTGGTGGGTAACGAGTCGCAGTTGTTGAATCGCGACTATTTCCAGAACGTCTCTCTGAAGGTGGAAAATCGAATTCGGGGCACATATTTTGAGCACGTTTTGGAGAAAATCAAGCGCGACTTCGACGTGGTGTGCCGCGGAGAGCAGTTTGACAAGGACCTGATCGAGCAGTTTCTGAAGCACATCCGGATACTTGTGAAAAATCAAGCCGATTCGATCGTCGGCGCTGCGCACTCCGAACTCAAGCAGAAACAGATGAACCAGAGCAAGCTGCGCGGAAATGACAAGCTCAATGACCTAGAGCGAGACTTGACGAAATCGGCTCTAACGCAGAAATCCAAGGCGCAACGGACGAAGTTTGTCAACGATAAGTTTGAAGAGGTGTGGAAGAGTGTGATAGATGAGCTTGAGGGGGATTTGTCACGCGGTGGCGACGTGTCTTCCGCGCAGTGGGAAACGCTAAAATCAAATTACTCGACATTGCAGACTTTGCCGAAGTCTCTCGGGGGACAAAAAGAAACAGAGTGGGAGCTTCAAGCAAAGTTGCACAGTGCCGATAAAGCTGCTGCGGGGAAAAGAAGACCGGCCAAGTCCGAGTCTGCAATCGGACCGCAGTTGATTGAGCGTCTGCAGCAGAAAGATTTCCATTTCCTCACCCGTGCACAGGGAAGTGCTCTGGATGCCGCTGCGAAGAGAGGTTTGCAAGGGATAAACGAGCTCTTAAGCCGGTCCAGCGAAGGAGGCACGCTGTACACCATCAACGTCTTTGATCACTTTGACGTTTTTCTGGAAACACGCACATGCGTCCTGGATATCGAGAAGCATATCAACTACTTCGAATTGCGAAATCAACTCGAGCATCTCGGCCGCCTCACGGGTATGTTTAACAGTCAGGAAACCGAACGTCTTGCTCAGTTCACTGTTATTCGCAACCAATTTTCTTCCCTTGGGCTGTGGATGCAGTCTGAATTCATCACGAGCATTGAAAACGTTTTGCGGGAATCAGGTTGGAAGGACTATGTTGGTCTCGAAGGTGAACGGGTCGCAAAAATTGCGGAGATACTGTCCTCCTACTCGTGCTTCAGTGTGACTGCGCCGGCAAGTTCTACTTCGACTCCGCAAAAGAGCAAGCAGACGGGGAGTCGTAAGACTTTAAGCCGCGTTCCCTTTATTTACCACGCCCGTGCAGACTCCCCGATCAAGCTGACCGTTCCGGCATGCATGGCGGAAAATTACCGACACAATACCTTTGTGCCGCCCATTTCGGAGATCGAAAGAAAAACCCAGCATCTGCTCGCAGTCTCCAATCGGGGCCCAAAAAGAAGTCGCGCCTTCAAAAACCCCGATTACATAACGGAGGACCAGCTAGACGGAAGCCAATGCTACTGCTTTCTTGCCAAGCAGGACGACGAGCACAGGCATGTGCTAGACGAGTTGCAGAAAGCGGATTGCCCCGTGCCCGCTGAGGAGATGCACCGTTTTTTCAAAGCCAACCAGAAGTGCTGGAAACGGTCGCTAACCACTCTAGAACAGCGACTGGATGAAGTTCTTCGTTGTGTCGACAGCACCAGCAGCGGTTGCAGCAAGCTGGTGAAACGTGTGCACGAAGTGGTGTCGACTTTTCTCAAAAACGACCTTGGGGGGAACTTCGCGCTCTTCGGAGTGGAACTGGACATGGATGGAAAGACGATTTTCCACAGTTTCGCGCTCCTGCATGTCCATCGCGTGCTGTCCGGCAAAGTCGTCGAGCGCAGTCGAGCGCCACTGCTCGAGTTTATTGACACGAAGGACAAGTGGCGAGCGCATTTGCTGGAGGTGGTGGGAGCGGATCCGGCAGGAAAAACAGTTGCTGCCGCGAAGCGGTTCGTTCAAGAGCTGAGTGCTCACCTGCGTCAAGCGGAGAGCGAGCGTGCAGCTGAGCTGGCAAGTCCAGAAATGACCGAACTACTTGGAGAAAGCTTTACAGGCGCGGCAATTCAGGAACGACTCGACCAGACGTTGCTGTTCAACCCGAAAGCCGATCACGATGAAGTGGTACGGTCGTTTCTTGTGTTGCAGGCCTTTAGGAAAACGCTGCAGTTGTAGGTGCGAAAGTGTATGGTTCATCCGTTCTCGAATGAAGGAAATCCACAGTTATCCATTCGAAAAATTTCAAATTCAGGTTCGGTACGTGATCGACCAGCCAAATGTGATTGAGGAAGAATTCGAAAAGAAGTGGGAGCAGGAAAAAGCACGTTTGCAGAAAAGGCTCGTTGCTGATTGTGTAACCAATGTAAAGCGGGCACTGTCGCGAGTTGTCGATCACGTAGCCGGAGTGCTACAGTTTATCAATCAGCGAGAAGAATCGGGAACGGGGTCATCAAGGGATTGCGTGGTTGATCATTCAAGTGATACCAGTGGCACTGCGTATTACGAACGCGACAACCAGCAAGTAGCCGCTGCACAGGCACAGTTTTTCCTAGCGACGTGCAAAGGAGGCACAAGTGGCATCGCGGGGACACACTGGGGGCACAAAAACGAGGACGGCAAAAAGTTCGAAGTGGCGTTTCTTTCTTCGGTCGATCCGCAATCGAACGGCAGGAGCGGAAAGATGTCAGTTTCCGAGATCAAGTCCAACGTAATTACGACGTGGGGCTCCATTTCCGATGTGCTGCCGTCGGGTTTCACGATATCCGACATCCCAAAGTTTGAGCTCTTTTTGCTTGAGGTGAAAAAGATCGTGCACACAGAGTTGGCAAGTGTCGATATTCAGAATGTGGATATCGTTTGGGGATTGGACGATCTATTTGATCGCACAAAGCGCAAGGCAATCGGGTGTTGCGAGCAGTGTCCCACATGTGGAAGGAAGTGTGACCAGCCGGTAAGTGACCACTTTGTTGCAGGTTTTCGTGTGAGGAAACCTAAATTTTAATTTTGAACATTACGCTGCCCTTGGGTACGAGCGAGCGGCTTTTCGCCGAGTACCGCCCAATTAGAAAGTAAATTTCTGTTTGTTAATTTTCTATTTCAGGTTGATGGCCCCGTGGAGCACAAGCATGCGTGTCGTTTGGGGCATCAGTTGCGCTGTATGGCGGGTGTTACGGTGAAGAAGAACCCGAGCTTTCTGACGTGCGACGAAATCCCCGGCGACAGCCAAGTGCAGGACCTCAAAACAGGAGCTTGGCGCACTTGGGAGGAGCAGCAGAAGAAATACCCCACCTGGGAGTTTAAGTACAGCGAAAACGCTGCCGACGAGCTCCGCAACGTTCGCAAAATGCGCGAGTGCTGGAAGATTCACGGAAAGCACATCTGTGCGGCCTTTGCGGATTCGGGCATGAAGTACAGCGATGTGAAGCCCCGAGATTTGCACATAGTTTTTGTGGTGGAGGACGAGCCGAAAAGCTTGCAGCGTCTTTACGAGGAACTCGGTTCTGGCAGCATTCAGGAGCAGTACTGCAGTGTGGTCGTCAGCACTGCGCATTCCCAAAAGTTGATCGTTACAGAGAGGCGGGTCGCCACTGTACTTGACCGAAAAGCCCAACGCGTGAAGCGAAACCCGGCGGACGAGCAAGAAGCGTTGACCGTTTCGGAGCTCGTGCAACGATCTGAGCAGTACTACTTAACTAAGTGATTCTATCGATCCCGCTTAATAATGATAAGATAATGATTTGGAATGTACAGCGACTGCGACAGCGTAGTTATGTCATGAATATTGTTCACGTTCAGCAATTCAAGTAAGTACTTACGATGGGTACGTTTACCTTTTCGTGATAGGAGTGGCAATCTTTTTTGGTTTGGTACGTTGTTTCGCCGCTGCTTTTCCACCGCGAAAAAACCCGAAAAAAAAACCAGCTCCTACTACCGTCAGAAGCTGTGGCTTCTTGGCATCGCATCGTGGCCGCAAGAGGCTCTGGAAGACTTGTTGCGGAAGGAAAAGACCAAAGTCATCAATTTCAATGAGGGTCAAGTCTACTCCCGTTTTAACGACGCATACGGAAAGTTTGCTAACCCTTACGGAATCCGGCGGGCGCAGGTGATCGACGGAATCACGGAAAACCCAGCGGAATACATGGCGAAGTCGCTTTGCGATTTCGACGAGCGAACCTTGGCGCATCTTCCAGAAGAAATCGGCGCAGCGGGAGGATTAGAGGGACTTCAAAAGCAGCTTACCGAGTTTGGCCCGGACGTCATGAAAAGGATAAAACGAATCGAGAGGATCAATGAAATCAAGGGCACGCTAGATGAGAAGAAAGCTCGAAAAATACTCGAATTGGATGCGAGCGAGGCGCTTACAAAGGCCAGCCTCAAAGCCGCGCTTAAGAAAGTCCAAGTGGACATTCATCCGGACCGCGTGCCTTCGAGGTTGCGACCTGCCGCGAATAAAGCGTTTCAGACTGCGACGGCAGCGAAGGATTACTTGGATCCGAACTAAATTTCGCGCAACGGCACGGGTGCTACGATACAAGCTAGAGCTGACTGTGATTTGTGATTGTGAGAAGCGGAAAAAGTTTTTACATACTCTTATGCAAACGAAGTTTATGCAAACGAAGTTGTGCCATACCCATTCTTAACGCGCGCTCTTGAGAAGTACCTATTCCAAAGCTGCTGCCTTTACAGCGCAATCTGACACTGAATTTTTTTGAACTTGCTTGCAAAATGGTGGTTGTAGTGCTATCGTACATTTCTTGCTGACTGAGCTTAATTACTTACTTTTTTCTGGTGCAGTGTAGTTGGTCCCGATGGTGAGCATAAATATCCATCAATTCAGATGAGAGGAGGTCTCGTGAAACCTGATGACACAGTGATAACGTTGTCTCCACAAATTTACTTGGAAAGAAGTAAAAGTTTCGGTGGAAGGAGACAAAACGACAGGTCCTGGAAACATCGACGTGCACTAACCACAGCATCGGTGAAGACGTGGTCGATTTATCGGTCTCGCCGTGGTAATTCAAAAAGGAAGCCAGTCCCAATGAGGAATGTGGACAAGTTTCATCGGTGTGCAGCCCTCAATCTCCGTTCGTGCTCAAGTTTTCCACTTTGATCGTTATTCCGTCTTCGAAAAGGAAGAAAACAAAGACTACAACGACGAGTCACTCATACACGCTCGGGATCGCAAGGAAAAGAAGTTTTGCGGCATCGCAATCGAAGTCAAACTATGAAGTCACTGGATCTGGAAACTGTATCTATGTGTATCCTATTCATCGACATGATAAATAGAAATATCAATAGATTTGGATAGTTTTAAAATTGAAAGTTTGGTTGATGCCTCGTGCTTTTACTGTCACATTTGCAGAAGTCCGTTCGTGAGATCATGGGCTCCAAGCAGGCTTGAGTAGTGCTTTGTCAGGGTCTCGTACCACTTTTAGTGTTTACTAGCTGCATATTAGTGATGGTGCATTAGCAAATTTTTGATATCTATCAGTATTATCACCCATACCTTTGGTCTTTGTGCGATATTTCAAAAGATAAAAAATGTCCGCGAGTAGTTCTAATTATGTGCCCTGCACAGGTGGCCTGGGCTACATCGGCTCACACACGGTGATCAAGCTTCTCGAGAAAGGTTATCGTGTCGCCGTGCTCGATAACTGCGCAAACAGTTCTCCGGTGGTGCTGGACCGGATTGCGAAGATCATGGGTAAGGATGGCCTTGTCAAGTTCTTCAAGCTGGATTTGCTGGAGAAGGAGAAAGTCATGGAGCTTTTCAAAGCGGAGAAATTTGATGGAGTATAGTTTGTTACTCGTCAGGTGGATGTTTATACTTTTTCGCAAGCTTTGTATTTGCTTTGAAGTGGTCGCGCCTCTGGAGTTTCAAGTAGATGGTGAAGTACTCATCGCAGCACTTTTTTTCTGCCTTTGCGCAGATGAAAGAGTGAAAATAGAAGCTGTTTTTTGTAGTATTTAAGTGCGATCATGAAATTCTCTCAGGTGATCCACTTCGCGGGCTACAAGGCGGTCGGGGAGAGCGTGGCGAAGCCCCTGGAGTACTACCACAACAATTTGACGGGAACCCTGTACCTGTTGGAGGCCATGAAGGCTGTCCCCAACTGCCGCCGGTTGGTGTTCAGTTCCAGCGCTACCGTCTACCAGCCCAGCGAGGTTCCTCTCGACGAAGGTAAGCCTCTAGGACCCTCGAACCCCTACGGGCAGACGAAGTTCATGATCGAACAGTTTCTGCAGGACCTCTGCGTTTCAGACGCCACCTTTGCGGTGGACATTTTGCGGTACTTCAACCCGGTGGGCGCGCACCCCAGCGGTTTGATTGGGGAGAACCCGACCGGGCCGCCCAACAACCTGATGCCCTTCATTCAGCAAGTGGGTGTGGGGCGCCGCGAAAAGCTGACGGTGTTCGGCGACGACTGGCCCACTCCCGACGGCACCGGCGTTCGGGATTACCTTCACGTTGACGACCTCGCGGACGGCCACCTTGCGGCCTTGCAGTACATAGACGGAAAAACTGGTAAGTGCAACATGATATCGTCGACCCCTGCCTGGCAAGTCAACCAAGTTGGAGCCGTTTCACATTATTTTCTGAAAGTAGAAAGGCGAAAAAAGATACATAGATTCTTGTTGTCCGAATGTAAAAACTCGCATAAAAGTTTTTGGGCAACTACCGAAGTAGGCAACATACACAGAAGTAGAAGTTGCTGCAATGTTCGAAAATTGCTGAAAAACTTTCAGGGTGCTTCGTACACAACTTGGGAACGGGAAGCGGCGTCAGTGTTTTGGAGATGGTAGCAGGATTCGAAAAGGCCAGCGGAGTGAAGATTCCCTATGTGATCGGACCGCGGCGTCCGGGTGACTTGGCGACCGTCGTTGCTGACCCAGCCAAGGCACAAACGGAGCTACAGTGGAAAGCAACGCGCAGCATCGAGGAAATCATGAACTCGGCCTGGAAATGGCAAAGCGGGAATCCGGAAGGGTACCCGAAGGCGTAATTGGAAGTGACACCGCGGTCATTGTTTTTTTATCTGCTGGCTCTTCTGTCATAGCATTGCAAACGCGCACCCGCACGGAATTGGCGCACCCGCACGGAATTGTTTACCGCAGAATCAACAGAAAAACAACAACAACAGAAAAACTCAACCCAGCAAAGGTAAAAAGGAGAAGGAGTCAATCCCTTCATGATGCGGAGGTGGACGTAGGTTCTGTTCGTGATCGTTTCTGGAATTGACGTAACCAGAATAAATGAATCAGGTCCCGAAATAATGCGTATCGCGTCCGAGGCTGAAGAGAGTTCTTCTGTTTTTTCTTGACCTGGTTCGTGGCGAGTTGATTTTGGATTCCGAAGTATTTTCAAAAAAAGCAACCCATAATTATGGCGACTTCGACGCGTAAATCCTTGCACTTTTTCGTGAAGAAGGTTCATCCGGATTTGAGCCAGACGTTGTATCAAATGCAAAAGTGTCTGGGTCTGGAAGAATGCAACTTGTAGTGCGTATTTCAGAACACAGAAAAGTCTCTTATGCATACGCAGCAAAAGCTGCCCACTTTCTGTCAGCAAAATAGGGGACTTGTCATACGGATTCGGCATTGCGGAAGCTTCTCAAAACCTGTGATGCTAGAGCTTCCATGCCAGACCTTCTGCGTCATGCAAAAACAGCATTACTCTTCCCGACCCAGACATTTTTACATTTGATACGTTACCTGCCCACGCAAAGCGGATCAACCAGCAGAGCCTGATGGTGTTGAACCAGTGGATTGATCGGATCGACTGCAGTTCAGCCACCAATGCGGGTGGAGGATTGTCTGAAAGCAACAATGCGGGAGGGCGCGGTGGTGCGGACGGCGAGAATTCACTGCGCGCACCATTTGTGCAGACCACGCTGGCGTTTTTCCGTCCGGTGACGCGGCGCAGCACCGGCGAGGTTTTGCCGAACCGCGCTGCGCCCTTGTCGCTGGAGCTACCGTCGCTACCGCCGGGGAGACCGCCTTTCGCGCTGCGTGACCGTCTGGTCTCTGACTTGCTACACCAAGCCGAGACCGCCTTGGAAACAAGCTCGCTAGCCGCGCGGTTCCGCGGAAACATTGATCCTGCAACGTGGCCGCAATTCGCGCACCCCGCACTGGGGCTATTCCGCCGCCCAGGAAACAATCAGAGTTCTGCTCATACGAGCACACATGAGCACGAAAGCGGCAGATCAGAACACCCCGGAGTAAGTAGAGACGGGTCCACGACAGCTGCCTCGAATCCAGGATGCGACTTCAGCACGGGGTCGCCGCAGCAGCAGCGCTTCGAGAAGTTCAGCGATCTGTGGCACTCGCAGACGCACGAGACGATGTTTAAGGATAGTCTGTACGATGATCCGGCTGCGACGCGGCGCTGGGCTGCCATGGAATCGTTTCGTCGCAAGTATCGCGCGCAGTACTTGCGCAAGGCGTTGAAGACCAAAACCAAGCAGGCACGGCGGAAGCGGCTGGAAGCAGTCTCCGCCCACGTCGAGGCCAGGGTGCGCGAAAAGTTTGGCACCGCGTACTCAGAAAAAGAAGTACACGAAGAAGGTGGAAATACAGGTGCAGGCGAGGCATGCAGCCCGAAGGAGGGAGCTGAAAGCGAATCGGTAGCGGGAGTTGGAGTAGACACCAGTAGAATGCGGGTCCGGATGATTGAGGACGGCTACCACCCGGATCTGGTATTCATGGAGCCGGGACTGACGGCCTCGCAGCGCCAGGAGGGCATGCGGCGGTGCTGTGGCATGCATCTGTCAACACCGCCACAGGGTGCTGGCATGCTTAGCGGTCAAGGTCTCAGCGAGGATGTTGATGACAGTTTTGGCAAAAGTTGCAACGCAGAGTTTTGGCTGCTACGAAATTTGCTGACCGCCATGCGTGCGGACCCGGGTGCCCGCATTCCCTTGGTTTTGTGTGCAAACGAAGAGGATTATCGGGCCGAGCGCGGCTGCGTCTTCGTGCCCTGGAATTTCGAAGTTGCCGGACTGTGCACTCTGCTCGAGGAGGAACTTGATGTGCTCCGCAGCGATATTTCCCGACGCCTGCAAAGAACATCGGCATCTCGAACCCATCCTGAACGAAGTAACAGAAACAATATGTGTACGGTAGCAGCAGGAGGGGCAATCGCATGAGGAAGATGCGGCGTTTACGATCGAAATAGAACAGCAAGAAGGCAACGTAGGCATTTCTTGTAGTGATGTTCAGTGGGGAGTAGGATGCGCACCTGCTGCCACCGCCTCTTCAGAGCCGGCACGGGGCAAATTAGACTGTTCACGAACCACGTAAGATTAATTCAGTATCGATGAGACGAAGAGCACGAGGATACCCTGGCACTAACCAGCTGCGCTTGCGAAATGCAGCTGGAATTGGTCTGAGAGAGAGTCGAGGGTTGGGGTGTTTATCTCCGATCCACGTTGACAGGGGAATGTCGCGTAAGTAATGCTACCGCTCTTATGAGCGATTGCAGTGCCGGACCCGGAGCATTGATATTGTGGCTCTCTGTAGTAGTTGCGCTCCTGAACAACTATACTGGCTGCGCGACAAATAATTCTACTTGCTCTCGAAACGGCGTACAGTTGTTTGAGTTTTGCGAGCACACTTCATCAAAGCTCGATCTAGGACGAAGTAAAGGCCGACTGTGCCGTCAGTTTTGACTCATGCTGGGGGCTGTGGCGCGGCGAGCCGGCGGTCGCGTCGCGTCGCGGCGCTCCAACAATTGGCGGGAGAAAACTCGACCGAAAACCGGGAAAACACAAAAAAAAGAAGCAAAATGCGAAAAAAAGCTGCAAAAAACGCGAAAAAAAGCCGCAAAACGCGAAAAAAAGCTATGAAACGCGAAAAAGAGCTGCAAAACGCGAAAAAAGGTTGCAAAGCGCGAAAAAAAGGCTTTCTCTAAGCAGTTGCGACGGGGCCGCTTTTGTTTCCCTCCCGCGAAGGAACCGGCCCGGAAGCCTTTCCAATTTCCCCAATCAAACAAGAGGGAAAGCTGCAAAAGTTTCAGCTCCCGTTCGTGGGAGAAGGAAGCAGCTGGCTGCGACCGTAGTGCCGCCGTGTAACCGGCGCCGCGCGACGGCAGTAGGTTGGCAGCCAGTTTGTTCTCTTTCCCACGGGCGGGCGCTGGAGCGCTATTTTGCAACTTTTCCAAAAGGAAGAGGAAAAGTCGCAACAGTTCCAGCTCCCGTGCACGGGGGAAAGAGCAAAATGGCTGCGACCGTGGTGCCAATGTGTGAGTAAGCGCTGCCACACGACTGCACTACGTGGGCAGCCATTTTGCTCTTTCTGACGCAGAGGGGGCTGGGGATTTTGCAAATTTTCCTAAAGCAAGAGTAGCAAACGGCCCAGCTCTTCTCTAGTGCAAACGCCGCGCAAAGAATCTCATCGCGCGGCGCCTCTTTTCGTTCTTTGCCCCGCTATGTCGCTGATTCGTAGGCGCGATTTTGCGCTGAGCCGTTGTCGCGAAGTGCATTCGTGTTGGGTCTAGTCTAAGCTGGTTGGCATGCTGGAAAGAAGACCGATGGAAACTTGCAGAACGCATCAAAATGCCATCGGTCTACGTATGGCAAGCCAAAATAATCAGAACAGAATCCAGATACCAATCGGCTTTTGAAGCGAAACACGACGGGAGTACATTTAGGAATCACTTCGGCCAAATAGTCCTTTATTGAGAAAGTCCACTAGTAAGTTTTCACTCATGCTGGGGGCTGTGGCGCGGCGAGCCGGCGGTCGCGTCGCGGCGACTCCGCGGAGGCGCCGCGGTCTTTTTCAACAAGCCTCGCCCGGCGGTCTTTTTCGACAAGTTGGGGCCGCCAGGTTGTGGAGAGCGCTCGTCTTTTGTTTTTTCGCAGCTACCGCTGCCAGGAAACCGGCTCGCACCCAACCGCGCGCACAGCTGCGCGCCCAACAATAGCCAGGAAACATCGCCCGAGCCAAAGAAACCAATCCAGACAAAGCGCGCGCGCTTGCTCGCGGCAATCATCTAGAGGCGTTTTCTGCAACTGCGGGCCGCCAAGTTGCAGACGCAGGCCTCTTGTCATTTTCCCGGGCGCGTCGTGCTCTCGCCCATGCCGGCCAACCCCCGCCATGACTCTGCGAACCCAGCAGGAGCCGCCAGAGTCTCTGTGAGGGTGGGGGCGCCGGCCTTGAGTACTTTCTGCAACAAAGCATACGCCGCGGCATTTTTTTTCAACTCGGAGCCGCCAAAGTACAGGGAAAAGCCTTCTTTGTTGTTCAAAAAAGCAGAATGCGGCGCAAAAGAGACAGCCGAGCTCGGGAATAGAGGGAGCGGGGTGATGGCGGCGCGCTGTTGGCGCGCCTCTTTCTCGTCGCCCTGAGTCTGCGCGCGCCTTGTTACGCGTCCCTTGTGCTTGCCCAAGGCGGTACGGTGCCGCGCGCAGCCGCAGTCAGTTCGTGCGCCCCCCTTCTTACCTTCTTCTCTCTCCGTTGTCCAGTTCGATCACCTGCATACACAAAAACTCTCCTTTTCTCGTCAGTTCGAACCCCTCCAAGAAAAAGAAGCTTACTTTTCTCGTCAGTTCGAACCCCTCCAAGAAAAAGAAGCTTACTTTTCTCGTCAGTTCGAACCCCTCCAAGAAAAAGAAACTTACTTTCCCACTCAGTTCGTTCTCTCTTTATTCATCTTCTCTGTTTTCAGTTCGTTGTTCGTTTACTAAAGTTGTAAAACTCGAAAACTAGAACCACTATCACTTTTGACTCATGCTGGGGGCTGTGGCGCGGCGAGCCGGCGGTCGCGTCGCGGCGACTCCGATTGCGCAGCAGCGGCGAACCTTTCTCAACTGTAGCAAGCCAAATATGAAGGTTTATGGCGATGAGCCTACCATCGTACCTGTTGCTGACGGCTGGCGGGCTTATCGTGTAAGTAAATTTTTTATGAGCCTTTTGCACTGACGTCGCTGAGCATTCATGACAACTTTATGAATTCTTGGGCTTTCTTCATTCCACCTGGACACTTCATCCGTCTGTTTCAGTTAGTAGAAGGTTCAGATATGTCAGCATCGGTACTACTTACCCCCATCCCGCCTGGACATGGATTCCATGTTCAAATAATTAACGACAGGATAATACCGGTCAAGGGCCGACGTGGTGGTTGATTATGGCGCTCGGCACCTATTGCTTCATCGGGGGAACCGGAGGGATGCACAAAAGCGTCTGGAGCAATCAGAAAGACCTGGGTCCCAACTGTACCGACGACTGGCAACGTACGCTTGGTGGCGTTACCAACCGGGACTCCGGAAGCTATGGACGGCGGTGGGTCGAAGTGCCCGACGAGAAAGGGCGCTTCTGAAGAAAAAGTTCAAGCGCTCTTTATATCCGTTCCTCCTGAAAAGTCTCTCTTTAGCTGTACTGCAGGTGTAGTGTGGCATCGCATGTTGATGTCTCCATCTTCGTTAAGAAATAGGAAGCAAACAGGATATAATCATTTACTTCTGGCACTACTCGATGAAGGTCACGATCGAAGTGACATTGATAGAAGCTAGGGCAATCCTTGTGCACTTCGTTTCGTGCTCCTCCTGCATGCCTGTCATGCCGACTCATCTTTGGCATTGGCTGGAGAAAAGCTTACGAGGAGGTGGAAATTTGAAAAACACTTAAATTAAGTGTTTTTCAAATTTCCACACGATAACGGCGAAGATGGAGAAGCAAGCGAATCGTGAGCCAGGTGTTTCCTCCCTCGGGAGCTGCTAGGGATACACTGTCGTGTTTGAGAAGTTTGTCAGGTCGTCTGCAATTTTCTGGTGGTGGATCGCATTTATTGTCTTCTGACTGGTTCTAATGTTACGCTTGCATTCACTCTGTGATCATATTGGGAATCTCAACCTCAGATTCGTTCCAGAATAATTATGTCAGTCAAGCAACTAAAACCACGTACGTTGTTGAGCGAGCAGCTCGAGCCACAAGAACATCGTCCACAGGCTGGATGATTTATTGAAGATCCGAGGCCCAATGAATACGACCTCTGCGAGATCTTAATCTTTTTGAAAGATGCACAATCAAAATCGTGTGCCTTGTGAAATGCGAAGGGCAGTTCCTTTGGAAGTCTCGCTTCTCCTTCCCTCATTCCCGCCAGGCAATTGATGAAGTTTTAATCCGTGATTACTTAGTAATTTATTCGAGTAAAGTTTTTTCTTCTATTTGCTGCCCAGGTGGATTCACGTCCCGCACCAATCGATAATCATGGCGACGCCTGGAGTTTCGCGGGCAACAGAAGCGACTTGCTCATCGGCCAATTTAGAACGTCCAGCTGCGGATGAGCTGATAAAGCTTTCCAAGCATGTGGGCGCCTTGAAGCGAACGCTGCGTACCGGATGGGTGCGCCGGAAAGTGGACGATCCCGAAAGCGTCGCGGAGCACTCCTACCGCATGGCCATGCTCGCCTTGCTTTACGGCCCCGGCGTGAAACGAAGCGAGGTGATGTTGTCCTCCACTGCAAGAACATCTTCTGGTTGTTCGACGACAAGAACTACCGATGCGGCTGGTGGTGCGCGACTTGCAGTCAAGAAAGATATGTTTATTAGTGAAGGAGCATCTACGGCACCACAACCACGAGGGGACGCGGAGGAGCAGTGCATTGACGTAATGCGTTGCTGCCGGATGGCGCTGGTCCATGACCTGGCGGAGGGCATCGTCGGGGACCTCGTGGTGGATGGGAGCGCGGAGTGCCGAGACAACATTTCGAAGGAGGCGAAGCAGCGCCTGGAAGAAAGTGCGATCAACGAAATTTTGCTCGGGACCAAGAGGAGATCTACTTCAGACGGGACGAGAAAGAGTCGGAGTCCATCGCCTGCAAGCGATAGCAAAAATATTAAACGGCGCAAGGAGATTCAGAAAATAAATACCACCAACACAAAATCAGACGGAGGCACTGACGCTTCAGCAAGACCAGATGTAGTTGAATCGCGGCCAGAAGTGGACGAGCCAACAAGAACGAAGCCGGATCTTTTGCAGGAGGTGCCAGCGTATTTGCGGCGACGCGAGATGTGTAGTGAGCTACTCTCGCTCTGGCACGAGTACGAAGCCCAGGAGACCGCCGAGGCAAGGTTCGTGAAAGACCTAGATCGCCTGGAAATGCTGCTTCAGGCCGACGACTATTTGGACGAAAAGCAGCAAAGTCCGCAATTAAACTTAGATGACTTCTACGCGTCGACCAAGGGAAAGTTCAGATCCGATGTCGCGCAAGCAGTGGATGCTGCACTCAGAGACAAACATGCGCAACGGAAAGGCTAACGCTAACAAGGCTCACTATCTTTGTCGGCGGAGGCTCAATGCAATAGTGTCACTTCGGTGTCGTGCACTTCCATGCGCATGGCCGCTACATAATGAGAAGTTATTATTTCGTCCACCTCCAACCACACCCACACGGTAACGCTAATGACAACGAGAACGACCAGCGACTGCGACAATCTAAGTTTGTGAGCATATGCATATGCTCTTCTTCACAAACAGCTGCTTCCTCTGAAAATTAAATGATACGCATCTATGAGCGTGCAGGAGGAACTTACTTGTAGAACTTGCGTTCATGTAGATGCTGATGGAGCCTGCTCGTAGGGATAGCTTCACTGTTCACTCTCGTCCGTATACCGTTTGTGATTCGTCCGTACGAAACCAATGTCTTTCATTCGTATCAATCGTTCATGTGGGGTTTCGTGAACTACATGTCAGCTGAAATTTCGTGCCTGATAAGTGGGGGTGGGTGTTTGCTAAGTTTATTCGCATGCGCATCTTCATCGTCATGACAGACTTCCAAAAGATGAAAACGGTTGTTGATGTTTAGACTTTACAGTATCAGCTTTCCCTTGTTTCTCTCGTCACTGCAGAAAGAATCGGACCCCGATCGCACACGTCTACTTAGTCTCAAGCACTATTTCATATATGGTTCTATGTCTATCTATCTGTAACTATCTCTAACCATATCTGTATTTTTTCCCACAACTTCGTTCTGAGGCGGACCCTGTATCGTGTTCTCTTTTCATCGAATGATTTTTTCTCGAAATCGTATGTAGGAAGCAAGCTAGGGTTACTAGTTGAAATTCGATAGCAGGAGCGTGGTCTAAAACGTCAACGTCTTTTGGTTGTCGAAAAGAAGACACAAGACGCGTAGAAAAGCTAGGCGTCGCAAGCGTAAAGCAGAATAAATTCGTCTGGAATTTCTTTGTCGTGGCGTCGTTGTAAGTAAAGTAAGTACTTGAGTCGGAGTCCTTCGTTGATGTCAGAGCTTTGATTCAAATTGTGAACTGCTGAATTGATGAGACCATTTCCATTTTTTTCCGTGGCGAGGAGTTGGTCCTGCCACCTCGAGCAGCAAGGAACCAACATCAGCGGGACAACTACTACATCTACTACAACTGCAAGGGCTAGTGCCACGTCTAAATCAACATTAACCACAGCACGATGGTGCGACACACGCCTCGCCCGGACTTCACGTGGTTCGAGTTACTGAAGTTTACGTGGATTTTCGTGGTGGGCGCAACGTTTTCCCTGGTAACCTCGTTGCTCTCCCTGTTGGTTTATGCATTGCAAAAGCATCGTACTAGTATGAATTGCATTACAAATTGGCTTAGCATTACAAATTAAGTTTGTAATGCGGATTTGCCTTAAGAAAAAGATTTGTAATGCATAAAAGCAATTAGTACGAGTACGATACTTTTGCACAGGATATGGTTTCCGCGATTATAGTGCTGCAGTTTTCCCACTGGTTCTCCTACGCCTACTTTCTGTACCTGCGGCTCCGCTGCGTGGCCGTTCGCTGGAGCACCTGGCTCCTGGAGAGGTCCGCGAACGAGTACGTCCCAACCTACTTCACCGAGTTCCGGATCCCGTTCTTCTCGGTGTTTCTCGCGCACAGCACCCAGGTTCTCTTCCACGGCGTAGTCTTTGACAACCCGGAGCACCCGGGGTCCCAGGAGCGCCAGGTCGGCTTTTTTTCGGTTGACAAGGCGGCAAATCTACTCGAGAACTACTGAGCAGGGAGAACTAGCACCACTCGGGGAGAAAACAGCAAGTACTTGTTCTTGGGTAGGACCTGCCGAAAGGGAAAAAGAAAAAGCTTTACAAAGAGGAGTACTTCTAGGTGGGCAAAACAGGACAAGAAAGCTCACAACAACCCCACCAACTACCACCTTCAAGTTTCTTCTACCACGACCGAGTGCTTCAAGATCATCTGTTTCGAAAGTACTACATGCGATGAACAACAATAAATTCATAATCAAAAGGGAAAAAAGGTTTTTTGAAGAAGTTAGTTTGTACATCAAGGTCCTCTACCTACCATCAACAAGCCAGGAACGAGCATGTCGAAGAGTAAAAAGAAAAGCGGAGAAGCAGTACCAGTGCCGGGAAGTAAAACGAATGGAGCTACTACCTTGCTGGAGACCGCCGATGAACCGGAGCAGGATGTGTTTGGGCTTCGCGAAAAGGCGCGAAAAAGGAAGGAGCTGCGATTTTCGAAGCTGCCACTGCCTGATCAGACACCCGTTCGCTGGTCTATGGAAGAGCACCCCGGAGGCTTTCGCACTTACCGCAACATTAAGCGACCAGCTAGCGCTTCAGCGATGTCGTCGTTTCGCGTCCGCTGCCCGGAATGGACAATTGACGAGAACCGAGGGCCCTGGCACGCACTGACATTACACCAGGGAACGCAAATGCACAACCGTTACGCATCGCCGTTTTACCGGCCCAAGTTTCTTCGAGGAGTCGCGTACTTGATGTTGTTTTTTCTTTTTGGTCGTTGTGGTTGTGATTAATGATAGTTTTTAGAAATTTACTCTTACATTTACACTTTTGAGAAAAGAAGAAAAAGAAATTCCGTTCGGATTCCAGGTCGTGTCTTCTTGTACTTTTTCAGGTTGGATCATCTCTGCGGCGACAACCGCGGTGCACGTAGTCACACTGCCCGACGCATACGACGACCGCGGCGCTACCTGCCGGCTGGACCGGATTTTTACAGCGCCGGCATCGGGTGTGCCAGAAAGGAAAATTTCACTATCCGGAGCTCCATCTCGGGCAGTGCGCAGTCCCGTCCAGCCACGGCTCCGGCAGATAGTAACACGGCTGCTACGGCTACGGCTGCAGCGAGTCCGGTAGTTCATGTCAACCGGGATGAACGGTATGCGCGGGCAAGGGATGCACGGAAGCAGCAGAGGACGTTAGAAAAGTGGCGGCAGAACATCACGGGCGTCGATATACTTCTGCGAAAACCCCCGGGACGGCCCCGGACTGCGGAAAATCCAGCAAGAGCTGGATGCGGATTAACGTGAACGTGCTGGCTTGTTGTTTGCTACGATTATTTTTTACTTACTTGGTCTATTTCTTCGTCTTCCCTCTCGGGGGACGAAAAGTGTTTTTTTTTTCAATGGGCAAACGTGCATTGCTGCACATCCTCATCTGTGCTCTGTCGTGGAAACGAGCTCGAGAAACTGCACGTTTTAGTTGGGCTAGCTTCCTTTTTTTCTTCAACGACCATTAGGGATCATGATGTTGCAATCCTGATAATCGTCTTCCTGTTTGGCATCCGACATAACCACTGTACAATTTTTTGTATTCCGCGCTTCGCGATGATAATAAAATATGTAAAACTATGAAGAAACAGAAATTGCCATCGAACAGGTCTCACACTCGATGCTGATAAAAAATAGCTACGTGCTCGTACTAGGAAGAGCATCATGTTCGGGTGAGCGAATTTCTCTTCAAAATCGGTACCATGCGACAAGGGGAAGATGACCTGCCTCCATGCTTATAGAGGTGTTTTGGATGCTTGCAAGGGCATTAACGTTGAGAGCATTCTGAAAAAATATGAGTTTGCAACAACTACCCATAGCCTGCGGATCGGTCTCCTCCTTACGCTACTGGCCCAAAAGGTGCCCAGTGTCGACATCACTGGGCATCTCCGCTGGGCGTCCCCAGTTATGATCCTCTATTACGGTAGGATGCGTAGCCTGTGGGAGGTTTTGGACCAGGATTGTTGCTATGAAATTGTTTGAAAAATCATGCTCCTGGACCGTTCTCGCTCAGAATTCCTTGGCTCGAAATTTCGATCTGTATTACAAAAACGGGGCCAGCTGCGCCAGCCAGTCGTCGGGCACCGGGCTTACATCGGTGGTACGCTCTCCCCAACTCTGCCCGGCTGGTAAGCTCTGATTGGGAAAAATTTTCTCCGTCCGCTCCAGCTTATTGCTGCCGCCGCGGAGCTATCCTGTGCAAAAGTATCGTAGTCGTACTAATCGCAATCATGCATGACAAACCTGGTTTCTTAGCAAAATCAGCATTACAAATTCCATTTTTCCTTCTGGAAAAATTTGTAATGCGATTTATACTAAGTACGATAGTTTTGCAATGCATAGGAGCACGGTGAGCACGGAGTGGCAGCCCCCTCCTGTGCGTCCGTTGTTCGCGCATTCGTGAAAAAGCTCGTCTATCCTGAGTAAAAACATAACCACACCAGAGTCAGGATGGGGATTTTGCAACACAAACCTAGGAGTTTTGTGAGTCACGCATGACAAGTTGAACTATGCAGTGTAGTGCAGGTTAGCAAGTGCAGCCGCGTCACAGATTCATCTGCTCATCCTGTTCACGGCATCACAAATTCCAAAACACGATTGGAAATGGCTTTCATGGGGATGCGAATCACAAGTCTTCCTGTCTTTGCAAATCTGCATTACAACTCCGGTGTGGCTACGTTTTTACTCAGGATATCGTCGACCCGTTCTTTAGCGCATTTGAAGTGCCGGTCCGCGACTTGAGCGCCGGTGCCGGGACAGTGCGTCCAGGGTTTGCCCGCAGTGATTTGTTCGCCCGCGCGGTCGTCATGCCACCCCACCCCACGGCCGGTGTTCGGGTTGACAACGCGAATCACGTTAAAGGACCGACAGGTCTCGCAGTACCACCCGACGGAGGTGTGCGGCTTCGTCTCTATCGTACGAAAAGAGTGTTTCACTGTAAGGGTTTTATTGCAAGTTTTGCATCACAAGTTTCTTCTACATCGATCACAGAGAAAATTTGCCATGCGAGACTCCTAAGGGAAAGCACAGCTAAACATCCATTGTCATCTTCCATGTGTAGCAAGACAAACACTTCTGAGTTCTCTTCTGACATACATTTTCTGCATTACAAGTTCACAGAGAAACAGTTTTTTCTTCGTGATAGTCTCCTCCGTCCGGCCAATGTCCAGCGGGAGGGCGTTATGGATCTGTCAGGATTGAAATCGTCAAAGTTGAAATAATTTGTCATGCACAAAATGCAAGGCATGAAATGCCTGTCTTGCCGGGATGGCAAGTGAGGCAGATTGTCAGCCAATTTAGGGTTTGGGATAGAGCTGCTAAAGGAGCATGACAAAAGCAGTCTTCTGTGCTCAAACAGCGTGACAAATTGGATTCCGGTGCTCCGAAAATTTGTCATGCGCCGCTTAGAAATTGGTCTTCCAACTGGTGTCCATTTTATGCGTGGCAAATCATTTCAACTTTGTCGATTTCAAACCTGACGCTTCCATAGGCGTGGGCGGTCCTTCGGACGATGTCACCTGGCTGGATGTATTATCGTAAGGAAAAATCCTCCCTCCCCATACCAAAACGGAGATTTGTGTAGCATGATCTGCTACCACAAGTCATATTGTCATGCTAGAAGGCAAAAGATGCGGACTGTAGTGCTGGCTGGCGTGGGAAAACCTTGCACCTTCAGCATCACAGGAGGTCGCTGTAAGTGAGAAACAGCATGACAAATCGCCTACGATTTAGGCCGCAACTGCGTCTCTTTGCCTTCTAGCAATACAAGTCGATTTGTGTACGCAAATCCAGCATCACAAATGTCCTTTTCAATATGGGGAGGGGGGATTTTTCCTCACAATATGTATGCAGCCGCGCTCCGTGTTCGCGGTTTCTGGCCGGAGTTGCTGCCCCAATTCGACAATCCTGTGCAAAAGTATCGCACTCGTATAAAAAATACGTGCAAGTCTTGCATTACAAATCTTGTTGCGAAGGCAAATCAGCATGCATGACAAATCCCATTTCTCTTGCTGAGGAGATTTGTAATGCATTTATACGAGTACGATACTTTTGCAGTTCATAGCGACCCTAATTCGTGCCAACGTCGCCGCTGGTTCGACTCTGATTGTGCGATGGTATTGTCGCACGCATATGCGAAGACCCTGCGACGACGCCCACTCCCTCCTACACCATTGTTGCTCGACGCCCAATATTGTCCGTTGCAACAGATGTAAAGGTGCTGAACTACTTCTCCCCCCGTCCCGCATGTTTCGTAGAAGTCACGCAGCATCTAAAAATACAATGCAATATTCAAAAGCTGCTGTTGCAGCCTTTACTCTTGGTCTTGGAGTTGGACTTGGATGTCCTATGTTGCATGACAAGTCATCTACGTATTATGATATGAGTAGGCCTGCTCTAAACTGCGGCGCTAGCGCCCGTGCTTGCTGGATCAACGTTTGTGTTGACCACGCAGAGGCCGCTTCGACCCTCCTGCTCGACCTGTTCGGGTGAGCGAATTTCTCTTCAAAATCGGTAGCATCATCAAATAATAACCGGCGTCCCCTGGAAGCCTTAAGAACGCCGTTCGAAAAGGAAACTCTGCAAAACAGCATGAAGAATCTGCTGCGGAAAGAGCAGCAGAAGCGCCGTTCTACTTCAGGTCCAGGCGGGGCTGAATCTGGAGGACAGCAAGCTTTATTTCTGGACGACAGCAGCACAACTTCAGCAGCTTCTGTTGCAGAATTTTCAACATTTGAGCACGAGCACGACGGGGAAGTTGTACAACTTCAAGCTAGTACCAAAGAAGGTCAAGAAGTTGTTAATAATACAACGGGAAGATTTATTTACTTGCAAGAGCAAGACCAAGAGACAGCAGCAGCACAAGTAACACGCAAACAAGAAATAAACGAGCAACGTCTTCTCCGGAACACAGTGGTTGAAGAGTTCTGCGGGCATTTTTGTGATTACCCGAAATTAGAGCAGATTTACGGGCAAAATTTCGAATTTGACGCTAAGTACGCGGATACGTTAACCTTGGTCGACGCCTTTGATCAGTTTGTCAAGGACTTTTTCGGCGGGGGCTCGTCTCGCGGCGGTGTAAGTGGAAAGGAAGAAGTGGCCGCCGCTCAGAGGCGTCGAGGAGATTCAGCACAGCAGCAGGTAGTACTGCAGCGTACAGAGGAACCAGGAACTAGTAGTACGTCAACAGGAGAAGAAGTAGAACACGTTGAAAAAAAACACAGCAAAACTGAAAAATCCCCTCTTCCCTACTCCCTCGCCTACGGCTCCCTGCTCGGGTACGAACGGCATAAGTCGTTATGGACTGCCAAAGTATCGTACTAGGTAGTAGAAATCGCATCACAAATTTGTCAGCATGACAAATAAAATTTGTAATGCGGATTCAACTTGAGAATAAAACTTGTAATGTGAGAGTAGGATTACTACGAGTACGATACTTTTGCAGCGGATAGTCGTTTATCCCCTACGATTCGGATGCGGACATCATGCTTCCTTTGGATTTCTGGGAGCAGATCATCACGTTTGTGGTGCGGAAATTCGTCGCGGAGGAGAATGAAAAGGAACTACTTGTTGTTTCTCCACCATCATCTTCTAAAAACAAGCCTAGAAGAAGAACAACAACAGCACCAACAGCAGTTGCAGCCTCCTCGCTGACAGAAGCACAGGAAGTAAAACAAATGGCAGAACGAAGTCCCGAAACAATGGGTGGTGAAAGAACGAAAATCACAGCAGCACCGCCGAGTTCTTATTTGCAGCTGCTGGGGAGTAGTAAAATAGTGGACGCAGGTATCACAGGAAAAAAGTGTATACAGTTACACACTTGTTGGAGTTTCTGCATCACAAAGTTGCTCGACATGGCAAAGAAAACCTGTGATGCGCAGACTATAAGGGAAAACACGTATGAAATGAGGTTGGCAAGCATTTCCTGCATGACAGAGGTTATCTGTCTTGCTTGTCTCCCATCAGAGTGTGTAACTGTAACACTTTTTTCTCACGATAGCAGGGAAGGAAATGCTGGCGGAGGTAGGAAGGGTGCTGCACAGTGTGAAAGATCATGTACTATCCTGAGTAAAAACGTACCCACCCCAGAGTTGTAATGCAGATTTGCAATGACAAAGACATTTGCGATGCGCATCCCCATGAGAGCCATTTCCAATCGTGTTTTGGAATTTGTGATGCTGTGAACAGGATCAGCAGGTCGATTTGTGATGCGGCTTTCCTTGCTAACTTGCACTACCTTCGGGTCAGCGAATTTCTCTTCAAAATACATCGTTTCAAGTGTTTTTTTTTGTCGTACTTTTTTACTCCGAAAGCGGGGGTCGTACAGTCCATGGTGCCGAACTTGGCTACTTCTGGTTCGGAAGTCGCACAACAACCAAAAACGCAAGAGGTTTTTTCTGTGCCCCAGGTTATTTTGTCGTAGCGCGCGTGGCTCCAGTTCCTGCGATGCATTTCTACTTCGCAGGAGTGTCTGGCGTAGCGCCATGTCTTGCGCGCAGCGCATCATTTCTTTCAAGGGTCAGAGGATGGAGAATTTTTTTGAAAACCACGACAAGGATCTCTGATGCAGATCAATTTGAAAAAATGCTGACGATAGTCATACTGCGTGGCTGTGATAGAGGTAGTGATGAGTACTTGTGCGAATCGAATGAAGGTGGTGTCGAGCTGTCTCTCGTGCCCGAACACCACGCGAAGAATTGATTGATGTCTTTTGCGTATAGCTATTGCTGTAGGTGTTGAACGCGAAACTGCTTGAAGTCTCTTCGCCCAAGAGAAATAAAATGACAGACGAGAAGGAAAATCGTGCTGATATTGAGCACAAACTTTTGCCACTCGGGGACCTTGAGGTCGTGTTCGCACACGCTTGGACTTCGACCGCTGGCGGACCGATGAGAAGCGAGCCACTTCTCGTCGCAACAAGAAAGACTCTGGCGCCACAGAGTACAGGCGCTTCGAGCGCGAGCGCTAGCTCGCAGCCGCCCGGTGCCGGAGTCAATCATACGCGCTCGCTGTGCGCTGCGTTCGATTTGGGACGTCGCGCAGGCAGGGTGCCGAGGAGTACTTACTCGCAAGGATATGGCTGCTGCCCTCCTGCGGCGCGGCCTCATGGCTCGGGCGAGCGAATTTCTCTTCAAAATCGGTACCTACATCGTTTCAAGTGTTTTTTTTTGTCGTACGTTTTTTGGCATGCACGTATTTGCGCTGATGGAAGAAGATTCCAATTCGGTCTGGATTGCGGTTTGAATCTAACTTAACTTTTTCGGTCTCATTCCGTTTCATTTTTTCAGAGTGTTGAGCGGTACGCCTTTATTTCGTCTCTCTAGTCCTCTCTCCTCGGTTTTTACTTTGTGGCTCTTTTCATCTGCGCGAAGCCACAAATCTCCTTTATGTTTATCTAGAAACTTCTATGCCTCGGTTTTTGTTTCGGCAAGCGCAAGTCGGTTTTTGGTGCCGTGCCTTCTCGGCGTGTGTCGTCTTTTTCTACTGCAACTTGCTGACGCGGCAATGTTTGTAGACTCTTCTGCAACTACCTAAACTACAGGACCTCAAGAATCCCCCCACACATTTATTTCCCGATTTGTGACCACAGACCGTCGGTACTACTAGGTCGCCTTTGCTTCGGTGTTCAACTACCAACCGTACTGAAGAAGAAAAAGGAGAAGGAGTCTAGTAAAACAGAATATGTCTTCCGGAGCAGACGCAAGTGGCACTGAGCCGCCGATGACGCCGCTGGCGAAGTCGAGGTTTAAGCCGGGATGCGCCGACCACTTGTCCCCCCCAGAACCATGGCAGCCCCTGGTTCTGGAGTTGACTCCCGGGAAGCAGCGACCCTACACGAACATTGGGAGCCCGACTTACCGCACCCCAACGGAGCCGTCCCCGCTCGCGTCCGAGTGGGTTCCGTTCGAGAACCGCGGCAGCATGGTCGACCTGGGCCAGCACCCCGGGGCCTCCTTGCGCGACTTCTACCGCCCGAGCAAGGTGGATCCGATGGTGGGCCGGTTAAACCACCTCCTCGGGAGCTACAAGGGCGCGAAGGTGGATCGCACCGTGAAGTACTTCACCAACCCCTCGCCCAAGCCCTACCTGTCGCACCGGGCCACCGGGGACTTTTACCAATCCAACGCGGGCTCGGCGCAGAAGGACGACTTCGGGCTCGGGAACGAGAGCTGCTTCGTGCGGTTGTTCGAGAAGGAACTCGAGGAGCCGGACGCGCTGACCGTCAGCCGCGCCGAACTGGAGCGGGAAAAGCAGGAGGACCAGCGGGAAACGCTCGCGTTTCTGCAGCGGTACCGCACCAACATGGAAGCGCTGCAGGAGGTCCAAACCAAGCAGAAGCGCGCCGCCGAAGCGGCGGACCGGGAAGAACAGAGGAAGGAGCGGCAGGCGAAGAAGGACCTGGATTTCGTCGAAAACGCTTCCAGAAGACAAGAGATCCTGGATCGCCGCCCCCCGTGGAAGGAGCCGCACCTTGCGCCCGGGCCAGGTACAACTACACAGACATGGAGAACAGATTATACATCTCTGCAACTAGATTGCAAGGCTACCACGACATGGCCGCGTGTTGTAGTCACGAATTGGAACAATTTTATACTTGTACATGATAGTAGATTAGTACCACGCGGTTTAGTGAACATGTGGAGGAAATTTCGCCATCAGCTCTCCGAGTTTGATGAGCGAACGTGTAGCGGCGCACTCTTCTCATTCGACATTCGTCGCGAGCTAGAAAGAGCAAAAAGCAATGTATACCGTATACATTTGTTCACAAATGAATTCAGGCGAACGGCATCCAGTGTTGACCGATCCGAACGAAGCCGGTGGTACGTACAAAGAGTTGCTGTACGGCATTTACACCGACGGAGGCAAGACGCTGCCGCCACACTTGATGAAAGACGACCTTTGTCCGGAGCTCCACGGTATCAACTGCAAATATATCAATCTGGGTCTGGTGGAAGAATGCATATTACAGTTGTCGATGCATTTTTTCGATGTGCGCAAAGGTCTCGCATGCACGACACAGAGAGCATGACAAGAGCTGCGGAACAAGCTTCTTCATGCCTAGCCTGAGTGATAGATGATGGCACTTTGTTCAGGAGATGAAGAAGAACTTCTATGCTATACAGATTTTTGTCTACAACGAACTCCAGACTCAACAGCATCACAAGTCCAGACTGAGATCGATATTTGCAATGCATACGCAGCCTGACCACACGGTTTCAGTACGTCAACCGTGCCAGCGGGTCGATCAACTACGAAAAGCGACCGCTCAAGCTGTTGTCCCCGAAGGAGAAAGAGACGCGGCGCAGGCTGAAGCTGCTGACGACGAAGATGTTCCGAAGCGCCTCCATATGGATTGTAAAAATGTCTGGGTCTGGAAGGTTGGAACTTGTAATGCTAGCTTTCCATACCTAGCTAGAAAATCTGTATTGCGTAACCAACAAAAGCCGCAGCCTCTTTTGTCATGCAAAAACGCAGTTTCTCATGCGGATTGCCTATGAGAAAGGCAAACGGTTTTGGGAAGTTGTCATGCCGAACTGCATTCGGAAGTGTTTTCATCATGCACATTTTAGCATCACAAGTTTCCAGACCCAGACATTTTTGCATTTGATACTCCACCGACGCCCTGAATGCCTCGCTCGGGTTCAAGCGCCGCGAGCGGTGGGAAACCATGAAGGGCGAAGAACTCGTATCGTAGTTAAAAACGTCCCCACCCCATAGTTGTGATGCAAATCTGCATGCTGCAAATGTTTCTCATGCGGAGCCCCATGAGAAGCATTTTCTAGTCGTGTTTTGGAATTTGTCATGCCCCAATCAGCACGACATACCAGCTCTGTGATGCTGCTGAACTACCTCAAACAGCACTACACTACGAGTCCAAATTTGTCATGCAAAACAGACAACAATTGTGGACTTGTCTAGCCGATTCCCCATCTTGACTATGGTGTGGGGACGTTTTTACTCAGGATAACTCGGGAAGTGGATGACCGATCCGGTCACCGGCGAGGTTTCGCCAAACACGTTTTACCACCTCAACGGGCAAAAACTAATGAAGTAGTAGTCGGGTGGAAGAAGGGGATGAGGAAACGGCTGCGTCATGAACTGTCCCGCGCTGTATTTCATATTTGTTCGCAACCCCAAGTAAAACGAAACGAGAAACTTTTTCCCCCGATACACATTCATTATTCTCTCACACACTCCTACTCTATTTTTGTTTTCTCTTACCGTGGAGTTCTCAGTTACTCTCGTTATCCTTATGTCATGATAAGCTTCAGCTTGCTTAGTAAAACGTCGACCCAGACCTGGAGTTTTTATTCCACTTGCTTAACAATAACACGACGACGCCCACCAATGTCGTAAAAATTATGTTCCGGTTTTACCGGAAAATATAAATATCCTTTGTTGTTTTTACGTTTTCTGCTTTTACAAGTACATTCACATTGCTACGGGACCGAGGAGAAGTAAATTACTGTAGGAAAGATCGATAGCCAACCAGTTTTATCCCTGGGACCAAAGATCTACAAAATAGAGACTGCTGCAGTATCTATCACGTAAGCATATCCATAGCCGTAGCCCGCAAATTTGACTTATTTCATAACCCAGAGAACGAAGAAGTCACTCCGTATCCCGAAACAACTTTTTACTTACATGAATACCACGTCAAAACGCAATCAGTCAGATTGGTCGCCGCGCCAACGTGATCACGTTGCATCTATTGGCCGTCAACATCGTCGGTCCGTATTGATGTCGTTCGAATTGAGAGGACCTCGAGCGCTTACCGCTCGGTTGTATCAAAATGAGTTGAGGATTGAGTGAAGAGAATGTCTGCGATGTGTGTTTCTTTTCTGGAATCGCCATCTCGTCTTTCGTTGGAAATTGAGTTTTAGAGTAATAGCAAGGTAGCAGATGAGCATAGTATTTTCGGCAGTTCTCTTTCGTTCACGGGTCGTTATTGGTCGTACTATCGAGGCACCTTGCGCACACTTACGCAGGATGAAAATGCACGTTTGTAGCACATTAATATTGAAGAGTTCGATTTACTAGTAAGATCTAGACACTCAGAATAGAAGGTTTCCGTCGGCATACGGCAACAGAAAGATATGCCTTCTCAACGATGGGGACGACGAGCGCATCGGAAAATAAAGACGTCGACCTGACAGTCAGCCTGATTTTGAACTCCTGTTGACGGGGAAGCGGAACATAGGAGCCGATTAGAAGCCCGGGAACATCATGTCGATCTTGGCGGAGTTTGGCTTCGGCGGTTTCCACGACTGCGAGCGGAGTACGAACTTGCTCGCGAATTTGTACACCCAGCTGCTGTGCGAGATGAAACAGAAGAAGTGGAACGGGCGGCGCATGGTCGAGCAGGTCCCGGAGGTGCAAAACTGCAACACGACAGACTGGATCTTTGAGAAGTCCACGCGTAACTGGATGAAGTGCTGTTCCCAGAAGCTGGGAATGATGACGCAGGGGGATTACCTGTGCCAGCACGTGGAGCCTTTGTACCAGCTGCCGCCGATGATGAAGACGAAGGACAGTCTGATGACGAAGGTGATGAAAGGGATGCTGCTCATGCTGAACGGTGTGCTAAAAACGAAGGGCGAGGGTGTGCGCGGGCCCGATCGCCCACCAAGGGAGGAGGACTCGCAGTCGGACGAGGGTGCGCAGCTCTGTTTCCAAACCGCGCGACCCGGGCGCTACCTGCAAGAAGGCTGCTACTGCCACCGAGGGATGGAAGAGTGCATCGACACTAGCGAACAAGGAATGTTCTTCTTCTGAAGCTGCTCCTTAGTACCGCAAGCAGCACAGAACTGGCCTCGGCAACACAGCAAGTTTCATGTCCGGAGGTCGATCAACTACGAGCAGGCGACTCATCAAATGAAAATCGAAATAAAGATCAAAATTATCGGAGTAGATGTTTGTCGACCCGCAGGCTTATTATACCGTCATTTCATCGCCCGCGGCGTTTTGTGAGTACTTGGACTACAGATTTGTTTCTTCGAAGTGAGTAGAAAAGTAGAGAAATAAAAACAGAAAGGAATGCAGATATTATAGCAGAGCTTTGAATTTTGCCGAGGACAAATACAAGTACCCAATTTTTGGTTACTGAGCAGCACCACTTGGCTCAGTGCCTCCAGCCGTCGATAAAGGGCGTCACTGAAAGAACTGAAGCATGAGCCTCGAGGTCGCACCGGGTCGAAGATGTTGCAAACGTTTGTTCAAATATCACATCATGGTGAACTGGAGTTTAGTTGGCATTGGCGAAGCTGGATCAATCGAGAAATCAATCATGCTTTGGTTGTATGGTCCTCGTATTATAACTGCATAGTACGCAGGTCGTGTGTGTCCGTCACCGTTGCTGACTGACACTGAAACAACTGCTACGTGCCAAGTCCCTTGGCAAAAGATAATCCATTCATTGCGTCCCTCCATCACAAAACTAGAAAGCCGATCTTCCGGAGCAGGTCGTCGTTGACATTGAGATCAATATCATGGAAATAAATTTCCCGAATGCTGCACTGTGTCTGCATGAGATCAGTTCGAACATGGCGAACGCAGAAGATGCGGCAAGCCGTAGCGCACCGACGTTCTTGGATCATTGCGAAGGAGTGCTACGCGAATGCCGGGTAGCTTCTTGCATTGCGGAAAAATGCCGGACGACCAAGGGCGGCAAAAACTCGTGGTGGGCCAAGGGTGTGGATCAAGCCGTTCAGTTTCTTCCCCTCGTCGACGACACAGGAGCAGTAAGATGTACTCGTAAGTATGCAGCAGCAACGGAGGGGCATCAGCATCGGCAGGATCGGGGAGATGAAGAGGCCTGCCGGACGCTCTCTCGCCGATCTATCTTTGCGGATGATGTAGACGTCTGTCCTTCAATACTGCGAACTGCAGCTAGGCGGGGTCCTCTGCTGGGTGGCACTACCGCGAACAATGACACCGTCGGACCACCTTGTCTGGGCAGTGACGCGTTAGGCCCTTGTGCGGAACAAGGCGACAGTTTATTTCTGCTGTCCTCTCGCGCCGGGGCAGATGCAGAAGGAGCCGCGTCAGATGTATCATGGGATTGCGGAGGTGGACCACATCATGGTGCTTTCGGATCACCTTCCGGAGGAGGACCAGCAGGAAATGACAGCACGTATGAAAATACAACAGTCTCCTCATCGATCGAAGCACTTCCGGACACTGCCTTTGAGCTCGTTTTTGATCGGCGCTTTTTCTGCCAGACGAGTAACAGTGCCACGTCAGTACTATGCGCGCCGTCAGGCCTGAAAAGGCAGTTGGCGCTGCAAGCCGTGGCACAAGAGGCGCAAAGCCAAGATTTTTCCCGGTCGGCTCATAACAACTTCTCAGGACCAAGGATTTTTCCTTCTAACAGCGACTCCGTTCTACTTTCCCGAAGCAATACCTCGGTTCTGGAAAGTACGCACAAAGAAATGTGCTCGGCGCGTCGGTCTCAGCTGCGGCCGGAAATTACAGAGGTCCACCTCCTGGAAGAGCAAGCCTCGGTACAGCGACGGCGTTCTTCTACGAAGTATGGCCGCGGTTGTGGAAGATTTTTTTCTGCAGGTCGATTTATCGACGATGATTCTGAGATCTGCCCTCCTGGTGCGCGCAACATTGTCGCGCAAGTGCAACTCTTCCTGCATTTCTGGCAAGGCCGTGCAGTAGTCTCTTCGTACTCGCAAGCGTTGCGCATCCAACGCGAGCTGCCGTCGCCGCTTCGCGACACTGCGCGCGCACTTCTGGACTGCCAAAGTGCCGTGACTGCCAGTGGAGCTGGTGTTGACGTCCTTGGGAGAACCGGTAGTACTCTTGAAAACGCATTCCATTCACAACGTCAGGAGAATCATGAGACGCTTCCACGAGGAGGAAACCAGCACGACGAGTTGCAAATAAGCGGAAGTCGGACTGCTGCAGACACGTCAACCTTCGAGGCGACACGAGAAGGTTCTGCAGCTGAAGAAGAACTGCTGGAACGCCTGCGATTGCAGACCCAGGCTTTGGTGGGCTTTGAACAACAGGGGCGCGCAACACAGATACGGTCGCCCGCCTCCCACCAGGGCGTTCCGGAAAGACGAGAAAAGAACCGTGACGATGTTGACCTCCGTAGTACTTTCAGGAACAATAACTGGGCTAGCTTAGGCAATCATTATGCGAGAGGTGGGCAAGCAGAACTACAGCACTCGCGACATCAAAATGGAGCCAGCTTGACGAGCGACGTTAATTCGGTTCGTGAAACTCTCGACGTTGAGATTTTGCTCCTAAAGTCAGACATTTTTGGAATCATCACATCAATAAGCGACTTCGCGATCATCTGACAGATAAATGTCGCGGCCACAAGCGACTCTTTGATTGAGAGTAAAAAATACGCGCATGAAGAAGATCATCACGACAGGTCGCATCTAGTGTGATCAACATAGACTACTTGAAGCACCCTCTGCAAAGCACCTCCGCGAATTCGAGTCACTGAGACATAATCCAATAAATGAAGGTTTGCAGCAGTCACGGCAAACTCACAAAAGCGATCAAGTGCAGCTAAGACGTAAAATCAGGCACTCAAAATTCCAATTCCTCACGCGGTCGCGCAGATCTTATGAATTTGCACTTATCTAGTACTAGTGCATTGTTCATTTAGTCTGCCCCACGTACGATCGATGCATGTTGAAATCTCCTGCTTCTGCTTCGATTATTTTAGGTTTAGTCTCTCCTGCCTTTGCTTTTGCACCAACAAGCATTGCTTTTGCTTTAGAGTATTTTATATGCGAATGCGTAATTGTGTAAATTACGATTACGAATCAATTGGACACGAAGATTGAAGGCAAACAGAAATCAAAATCCAACAAAGTAAATCAGAGCGAGGAGTCGAATACCAATACAACGTAGAAATGCGAAAAATGACGGGTCGGCGCCAATTGGAGCGTTCTGTTCCAGATGTTCTTTATCGCGGGCAAAGAAAGCAAGCCACAGAAATTGTTCCACTGAAGTACTATCGGCAAGAGTCCACCACTACTAGCATAATGATAGATGTAGATCTTCATTCATGGCGCAACATCACGATGTTGCACGAAAGTAAATCATGAAGATCATTCGTAGGATCTTCAAAAACAAAATTGTTGGAGAGACACACGACACTCACCATCAATCGAAACTTCCTTACGAGCTGCAAATGGCGTGAGCGAGAACACTACGTACCCCTGCGTGTATCAATCAATGCAAATGCTTTCAATGATTCCGACATTTCCTTAGCCCATAGCGTCCTTATGAAATAAAGAAATGGATGAATTGGAAATTATACAAGAATTACCCCGAAGCCGAAGATCCCCTCTCCTACATTGCGCTAAGTACTTACACATAAGCAATAGATTTTAGAGTGTTTCCTGCACTTGCTTCGTGACACGAGAAGGATTTTTTTACTTCTGGAATCGCCTGCGGCCTTTTACAGTTCATTTGACAATCATGTAAGTTCTGTGTGTCTGCGTTTGTTCTTTATTCTTTCCTGTGCTTCCTCTTCTATCATTTCTTTTTCAGATTCGATTCAAATTGTATCGGGCAGCTCGGTTTGTGTTTGTTCCTCGGAAACAAAGAAAGGGAAAGGCAAGGGTGTACTTGTCCGAGTAAGTACAACATGATTTTCATCAGGCACACTGGTTGTGCTTGCTCGAATTCTTTGTACTCGGAAAAACGCGAGGACCAGCTGAACTCGGGGAGCTGTCGCTCTCAGACAAGTTTTGAAACCGACCGGCGATGATGTATGGTGCGGGTATGTTGCGATCCTGGGCGGGCATGCGACGCCATGTGAGCATCATGCCGGAGCGGGCGTCTGGATGATATTTCGGAAGGACGCAAACGAGACAGCTTTTTTCCTAACCGTGTTTCGGACGCGACTTATCGATTTCACAATCTTCACAGGGATCTAGTTAGGCTCGTTTGATGGTCTATTTCGCCCATGATTGATGGAAAACAAAACTAACTACGCAAAAAAAGAAGTCCCCCGGAGGAGGGTTCTTCGCTTCATCAACGAGCTTGATGTTGAGAAATGAAGGATAGTTAATACATCCGACGAGAGGGTTTGATGCTAGAATGTAGAATGCGTGCTGGACGAGGCGTGCAGCGATGTTGATGTGTGACGTCGGCACTAGGCGATGACTTCAGCGTGACTTGCTCGCATCAAGTTCTGTGCTGGGCTCAGAGAGAGAGACCGCTACAATTATGCATGTGGTGCCGTGAAGGTGAAGGTGAAGCCAGGCAAAAAATCATGTCAGTCCGGCGGAGATGATAGATTGAGATCTAACGCGTGTGCTTGCATTGGTTTCAGTCCCTCCGGTGCTCCTTCCGGAAGTGTGATCAAAAATCTTGCCTTGAGCAAGCTCTCTGTACCGAATCCGAATCTAAGTAGGACGATTGAAAAGATTGCGTCAGCGCTCGGTTCATGCACGTGACAGCTGCGGTGGGGGTGAATAGATAAAAGGCAGTCCAACCAGGAGCTCTTTGTAGGTGTGGTGTCTCTTCTACTTCTTTGTCTTCCTTCATTCGTCGCTTGGCATCTGGATAGAATAAATCTCGAAACGAAGCAAGAGGCATGAAGCAATTTATTAACTGAAAAATGTTGCGTCTTTTCTCCTTTTTGAAAGACTGAATTCGTATTTTTGATTTTTTTGTACGACCAGTGTGGGCGGACGGAACTCGAATTCGATCTGATTTGAAAGATACACATAAACATTTGCATTTTCTGTACTAGGTGTAAGAGCGTCGCTTTGGTCGTGATTCAAACAAACTATTTTTTTCTATGACTTCTGCAGTGGCTGATACTAAAGGTAAAGTGAAGTTTCGTGGTCATGTCTTCAGACGTAGGTCGTAGGCGCGCACTAACTAGTAAAGGACTGATCTTGTGAAAGAAGAAGAAGATTCGGTAAGTAGCTCGTTGCCCTTTCTCTATCTCGCTAAATAAGTTACCTTCAAATTGAAATTTTACTTTTCTCTACAAACTCTAGATCGCTCCTTTACATATGATTACTTGTCCACGGAATTCTCAATATACGAGACTTTTGAGCACCTCTGGGGTACCAAAGTTGCCTGAGTCGATTTCTTAAGTTCTCGCGTTTTGGTTTTCGATTTCCTTGTAACAAGTACTATTTTCATCAATTCAGATTCTAAAATGAGTTCCAAACCCGAAGAACGCGATGGAGATGCTGGCGAAGAATCAGAGGAGGAAGTCTTCGCAATGCCGCCAGGTATATATCATTTTATATCAATACTAGGGTAGTATCGTGAGAGTTTCTGCGCAGCAAATAAGGAGTTGAAGAGAATGATGCAGGACGAGGGCGATTGTACTTAATTGCAGCGCACGCCTGCTTGGCACTTTTGCATGGCATTTTTTGCATCCAGCAAAGGGTAATATTTTGGGCATTTTTTGCATCCAGCAAAGCCGCGCCATGTAGTTTCAGCTCCAGACCAAAATGAAATTTCAGGTTGGGACGCCGCACCAGGGACACGGGAAACAGCAGAGGATGACAGCGACCAAACGGAAGAGGAGGATGAGGAGGCGGAAATCGGGGCTGACATCAACGAAAACCTGACAGCCGGAGTCGTGGTGGGTGGCTCTTCTGGTTCATCGGCTCCAGGACCAGGACTTAAAGAGGAGCAGCCTTCTACTGCGAAAGCTGTTGATAAATCTGAGGCTGCGAATGAGATTGAGAAGAAGGAAGTTGTGGAGGCGGCAACCGAGATGAAAAGGGAAGTTGCGGAGCCGACGAGTAGGGTCGAAGGCGAGGTGGACCAAAAATCTGCAGCCTCTACGACCTCTGCCAGTGGAGCGAAAGTGGCACTCGAGAATAGAACAAGTGCGGCACAAGCTATGGAACGAACAACGGGACGAGGAGATGCTGCGGTTGCAGCGTCGGGAAGTGCGACTGCCGCGGTGGCGGGAGGCGGGCCGAAGGCGCCGGTCGGGCAGAGCGAAGAAAAGGTGGGGTCGCCCAAAAACAAGGCGGGCAGCCCGGGACTAGTTTTACTACCGAACAGCGACAACAAGGCTCTGGTGCCAGATGGGGCCGAAGGGGACTCTGGAAATAACCCTTTAGAGCGCGCAACAGGTCGTGGCCAGCAGGGTACTGCTGATCAGCAGCCGAAAATAAATGCTGTCGAACCGAACAAGGCGAGCCCCGTATTGACAAACGGTGGGCAGCAGGAGCAGGTACCTAAACCTGCCGCACCGGAGCAGCTCTCCAGTAGTACCACGAAAGCTGATACACACATGGACGCAGCGCCGCCCACCGCAGCACCGTCAGGCACTGGTGGCGCTGCCACAGAAGGGACCAAGGGTACCTTTCGTCCTACAGTCGGGAGCACAGCTAGACTAAATGAGAAAGAACCACAACTGGGTGCTGCATCTTCTGGTGCGCTACCCACTACTTCTGCACAGCAGCCGGCAGTCTCTACAGTTGCGAGTCCATCGGCCGGAGAAGTAGCGCAGAAAAATGCCGAATCTGCAGCGGTGAACACAACTTCGAGCGGCAGTTTGATTCCATTAGCAGAGGCGAGCGGGCTTCAGGCGGGTCAGGCAAATGCCAACTCGGTAGGAGAGTCGACGACCATGGCTTTCAGCCCAGAAGCATTTGAAGAAGACGAGGACGATGACGACGACGAGGATGAGGACGAGATCACGCCGCGAGCAGTTTTCGATGATGATACCGGAGAGTTGCACTCCTATGAAACAGAGCAAGCTGTACCTCTACCTCTGCCGGCGCACTTATCAGATACAGAAGTGCGTGTTGCAACATCAAGTGAAGCTTTTTTTTTCTGAGGACAGCAACAGGTGGCGTGTTGTAACCACAGAAGCAGAAGTAAATCTCGTCAATCCGTTCAGTGAATGCATGAAGATCGAAGGTGGGAGCTAAGGCTAAGTAAAAATGTATGCCGTTTATCAAATATCAAGTACAAGAAGTTCCTGAAATGGAACGTATGTTAATGTTACACAGCCAATATGCATGTCTTTTGAGTATGTGAGAGGATTAAGGCTCACGCATTCGTTATCTGACACCAGGCAAGTTCAGGTACTGTGGGGCTTTTCAGTTTCACAGAGAAAGCGTCGCACAACTCACCCAGTTTCCGCGAAGGTGTCTTGCGGATCTCACATGGCCGCCACCGCAACTGAAGTGTGCCAAGGTAAAGATTTTAAGTTTTTTCCTTCATTTGCTTTTTGTTTCGAACTCCGTGTTCTTGAGAAATTAGTGCAACCAATAAAAGTTGCTGCGGACGCAGGATGTGCTTTGTATTTGAGTATGAAGATTAACAGGCGACTTAAGTAATAGTAATTGAAACCTTGTCCGAAGGGTTCGTTTGTCGTTGCCCATGTAGTTCGTGAGTCGTTTTTCTTTTTTTCCTACGTATTGATTGTCTGCAGCCGCTCAGTACTTATTTGCATGATTAATGATTTGTGCACAGGTTCTGCGCCCAAATCCGTTTGACGACAGCCGAGCGGGCGAGATGACGGCACAGGGCCACTGGCGCGTAGTAATCGACGAGCAGGACCACTTGAAGAACAAGCCCAACACGGCGGCGGCGGACGGGCAGCAGTACGCAACTAACTTTGTGGCGTTCTACCTGCACCGGCGACTGTTTGGCGAAGACGTGAAAGAGATCCCCGGGGCAGCTGACGGTGTGGCGACCACGTCCGGCACTACTAGCACTTCTACTGCCGGGACTGCGACTGCCTCCAAAGGAAGCGAAAACAATAAAACGGGGTCGGCGACCACGTCGAGCAGTGCAACCGCATCTTCAAGTGGCACCACGGCAGGTACAACTACTGCGTCGTCCTCCTCGTCCGCAGGTGCGCCGGACGAGGCGTCGTTGACGATCAGCGCGAAACTGCAGGAGCAGTACCCGGTGATTCACTTTCTGAAGCGGGGGAGCCAGACTCTGCAGGAGAAGCTGAAGCTGCTGATGTCGTTGCTGCATGATAACAACAAAAACCGGCGGCGAGAGCCCAAGGAGCTAATCGAGGCCCTGTGGTACACACTGAGCCCGGAGGAGCAGCAGCACGTGCACAAGAATTTGCCGGATTTGGCGAAGTACGCGAAAGTAGCGAAGCGACCGCGACCGGCAGCGGAGGCTGGCACTGCTGACCAACAACTACACCCGGCGAAGCTGCAAAGAGTGTCGCCCGGAGGTAGATCGGGGGTGGGCGGCGGGGGGGCCAACAAAGCAGCGCCGGGGTCGATTGCAGCAAGCAGTTCCGCGATTAGGCCGGGAACAACCTCCACTTCGACGGCCACTGCAGGTGGACTACAACAGGTCGGTCCTTCAAGGACTGCTGGCGTACTAGGCGCCCCACCACCCCCCGCGGCGACCGCGAAAGCAGCCGCACTGAGTACAAACAAAACCGAACAGCAGATCGTGGACGACGCAAATTTTGTGGTGACGGACGACGGCGTCACGACGCTGCGGGTCATGAATCTGCCCGTGGGCGTGAAAGCCCAGGAGCTGGGGCAGGTGTTCCAGAGCTATTCTGTCCTGGGGGTCAACGTGAAGAAGTCCAAGAAAAACGACCGCTATGTCGGCTTCGTGCGCGTGGCGAACCGGCCCCAGGCCAAGCTCGCGATAGAAGCAATGGAAGCGAAGAAGCTCAAGTTCGGCGACATTCTCCTCAACATTGCAATCGACGAAGCCCAAACAAGGGTCGCCCAGCAGGCCGTGGAAGCCCAGAGGAAGCAGGCCGAAAGTGCCGCGTCTGGCCTCTCCAATGTCAGCAAGGAAGAGATCCAGAAAAAGGTATTTTTTCTATACTTTCATATACACGGCATGATTCGGTTTCGTTACGGTTCTTGCATCTGGTGTTACTGGTACAACGACTGGAACTACAAGAACTTCAATTCCAACCGAAGATCAGGAGTAATCGAAATCCCCGATCTTTACTGTCTCGGAGCCGTATGTTTCTGCGCAAACAGACACGGAAATAGAAACTGCAAGCGAAGCTTCAAGATAAACATAAGCACAAAAAATTCGAACACAGGTTTGGGTACCGCGGGTCACGTTCTCAAATCGGGTTCTGGGGATACAGATGTCACGACTAAAGTTGACCGACCAGGGTCTTGCAGAGTGGTGCCAATGGGTCCCGAAGGTTCTCACCGAGCTGGAGAAGCATAATCGAGGCAAATTAGCCAATGCAGTGCTCGATTTTTCGCACAACCAGCTAACCGACGCCGGGGTAGGACAACTGGTCGAAATGCTGAAGAAGCAGCGGGTGCACGTTGCGGACCTGTCGCTCGGTCACAATCTTCTCACAGACCAGAGCATGCGCTCCCTTGGCGAGCTGGTCACAAGCCAGACAGACCCCATGCACAAACTGGGGCTCGAATCCAACACGTTCACCGCTAAAGGCATACTTTACCTGTCGCGAAAGTTGAAAAACAACACAAACAGCAGCTATCCAAGGTATGACTACCACCTAAAGAAATCCTTTGACTTCCAACACATTCACATTCCCATAGCGATAGCAGAACAGAAGTACGATTTCAAATTCAGTTTTATGTCGTGACTCAGGTAGTTCATGTTGTATCGAGACGCTTGCGAGACCGAGAGTATCCGTACCCGCTCCCTAGCGTTTGCGATATGAGCTGAACGTGAGCATGAGGATAAGGAGTTGAATGCACATATAGCTTATTTGTATGAAGATACTTCTGCTACTGGCTCGAAGCTCAAATTACGTACACCTCAGGTTCGACCAGACGACGCTGAAATACGTGAGTTTTCAGCTGTCGGTCCGCGGAAACGAGAACCTAGACGCCAACGAGCTCCTCGCACTCCTGGCGCAAAATGACATTGCGCAGTGCCAAAAGTTGCAGGAAGGTCGAGGGAGCACGTCGCTAAACTGCCCTATGCTCTACCTGCCCGGCCTCACCTCCGTGGAAGTCTTAGGTTCTTAATATTGACAGCGACTCTAGTACTAGAGATGTTCAGTTCTTTTCACGATTTCTACTCCATTATGATGATGTTTCTGTCTGTCCATAGCTGCCAGTTCAGTTTGAAATTGGAGTGCACAGACATTAACGAAGGGAATTTTTTTACTTTTCAAAACGAAAATCGGAACTACAGGTAGCGAGATGCCCACGAGAAGCAAAGCGGCCGGGCCCGCATTGATGCACCCAAATGTGGATGAGGATGTAAGTCGCGCACTGGGCCCTGAAATGATGGCAACGGTCTTCGGGAAAGCCCCTCCGGCGAAGGCGTCGGCGCACCCCGCCGGATGGCAGATGGATCCCTGGCGCAAGGGCGGTGGGGGTGCCCACCCTTCAGCAGGCTTCGGCCACGGGCACCACGCCTATCATGGCGGCTACGGCGGCGCGCATCCCCAGGGTGCGTATGGACTTCACCATCCCGGTGCGTACAAGGGAGCAGGGGGACACCCGGCAGCGTACAAAGGCGCCGGAAAGCGAACGGTCCGCGCAAGCGATTTCAAACCAAACGGCAAGGGCGGCAGACTCTACTAGAGCGGGATTCATTCTGTAATATTGTTGAAATAGGCTTAGACGGTTTAAACTGCGTAGTCGAGTAAATCTATCTATATTGAAACGCAGCCATCATCAAGAACAGGTTGTAGATGTACTTATGTATCCAAAGCACCCTCCTCGCTCTTGGTATACTACACTTGTTTTCGTCGGTGGCGGCTCAGAATCAGATGACGGAAGATCGAATCAAGCGACGATTTCACAACTGAAGCAAACATCAACGTCTGTGTAGAAAAATAACGTGTCATATGGCGAAAAGGTCAATGTCTGAATCGCCCGAACGCCCCGTTCGCATTTTCAGAGATTTTCATGAGACCCGAGCGACCCCCCTCCAGCTGGACTAGCGGTATGCGACAATAAACCTGAAAGGACGCCACGCAGGGTCGTGATTATCAGCGCTCTAGTACTGCGCGACTGATTCTCGCAGCTGTGCTGCTGAGCCCTTATTCGAATCTGATGAATTAAGGGACACGTATAATACGTGCGTACACAAATTGCAGTTGAGTGTTGTTCTAGGACAGCATGGATTTCTTTGTTGTCCAATCATCTTCGTTTACGAGCACAAGTGCGAAGTCAGGTGGTCCTTGACACAGCATATGACACAAACGTAGTTTTATGAAGTGACTACAAATCGGTCGTTAACATATCAACGAGAAGTCTTGATGTCAATCATTTTATACGGTTGTTGTGTAACCACACTCGTATGAATGAAAAACGACCTCGGTGAATGTTTTTTGTGACGTTTTTTCCGAGCTGATGGCTGAATGCGCGGCGATTTACGTGCTCGATATTCTTCGGTCAACATTGGTGGAGAAACCCACTGAGTACTTAAGTAACTTACTAACCCCATTCCCACGACAACGCCGACCCACCCTCAAAGCGAAATCTCTGTAAGAATGTTCGGTCTCATCTAGCGTGATACTTACGTCTTTCTTAAAGAATCTTTTTCGTTTTCGTTACATTTTTCTTTGTTCTTTAACGATCTTCGGTATCGCCAGCGCTAGGTAGTATCTTGTTTGTTAAAGAGTAATACTCTCATTCTCCGGTCGTGAGCATATTGTCACCGTCTCTTCTAGGGAGCGGTCCTCCAGGACTTGCACGATGGGAAACGGGCCCTCCGGGCCTAGCGGTACGATCTTCGAGACCGAGTACGGCCTTCCTGCGCCGGCCGATGTATGTGCGCGCGCTCTCGCCTCGCCGGACTTCTGGCGTCGAATTCGCGATTATATGGATCTCCACGCTGGCGGGCGGGAACACGTGAGTGACCCAAAGTGGGACTGGGCTCGACGCGTCACTTGGGACGGAAACGAGATCCCGGAATGTGAGCTGTCACAGGAGGTGGAGCTGGACCGTGAGTGGTTCGTCCTAATTGACCGTCGCGAGAAGGTCGGCTACTGCGGCGCCGTACTAATTCGCGGAAAGACCACCCGCCACGTGATGTTCCCAAACCAGTTCTGGGTCGAGCTGACGGTGCATACGTCCACCTGTCACGACTCCGGGATGTTCCTGCCGATGAACTTCGCGAAAGGCCCGCACGCGCGCATGTGGACCGTGAACCTGTGGCTAGAGCCTTACGAGCTGCAAGATAGTTCGGGCGCTGCGGTCTCCACCGGAGTGGAGTCATCGAGAAGATTCCCTGCACCCGAGTCATCGAGAAGATTCACGGCTTCACCAAGAATCACTATAAGATTTGCAACTGGGACCCAGTGATGAGTCCTGCGGGGCTCCGCACGGAATTTTCTTTGTCCCGACCCGGGGAGATAGAGCGCTGGAAGGCGGCGATCCGGGAAATAGAGGAGTCTCGGACCCGGTACGCGCACGTTGACTAAATTTCATGAGGGACCTGTCAAGGAGAGACCGTAGTGGAAGACAGACCACAATTATTTTCACTGTCAAAACGTATATTATATGCAAGTTCTTCAGACTTTCTTGTCCAACCGCATAGTAACACAGAGTAATATGCAAGTTCTTCAGACTTTCTTGTCCAACCGCATAAGTAGTAACACAGAGTGATATGCAAGTTCTTCAGACTTTCTTGTCCAACCGCATATTAGTAACACAGAATAACGCCGAGAGGCACTCAGCCAATTGGAATTCTAGGGTCCTTCAAGCCTGGGGAAATTACGTTTGATTTTGGCAGTGCCAGTGTTCTCCTCCTCATCAGATTGATCTAGACCGCCGTGCACCAGGTTTTCTTTGGTGTCCAATCATCTTCGTTCACGAGCACAAGTGCGAAGTCAGGTCCACCTGGCCGCTCTGAGGATACATTTTTATCAGGATGTTGACGTCGGTCTTCGATTCTTTGATATCGCATCGATTCGAAGGTTTTTCTGCGCCCGGAAGCAGAAGTACATTAGCACACACAGATATTTATTGAATTTTGAACACGTCGGTATGGTGCAAGGAAGAGCAACTGCTGTTTGACCCTAGCAAGGACCTCGGTTAAATCAGATTCGGTCGCGTGGTAGCCACCAACACAATTCCAAGAAAAGGAAGTCTCAACAATGGTATATAGCATTGCGCAACTGCTTCGTAATCGTTCGTGCTTCGTTTTGTCGTTCGTGCTCACTCTCGTTCACATCCAAAGATGAGAATTCTCGGTTTGATTTGCAGGCGTATTTGCTGGAAAGCCAAAGCAACTCGGTAGCCCAACATCAAGATGTGTTGAAGCAGCAAGTTTACCACGAAAAAACGAAGTTTACCTGAAGGAGCTAGTATCGTGTCTATCCCCGATCAGGACCCAATCATTATCATACCCATACAGACACAAACGAAACAAACACTGTTATGAATTTTCAACAATTTTGCTTGGAGTGGTTAAAAACTGCATGATCACGTTTAATATCCATGCATCTACTCATCATCATCTTCTACGGTTATTTTGGTAGCTTTGTTTCCATGACAGTGGCAAAAATGGCTGCAACTAAGGGCGGGCCGAAATCGAAGAGTAGGATGTGAGTGAGGATGAAGTTGGAGACGAGCTCGAATTCCGAACGTGTGAAGGAACGACGGGTGCAGCGGCGGTCGCAAGGCGACAAGCGGGTGCAGGCAATCCAGGCAATGTCGAACCAATCGTTTACGCCCGCGAGCCGCGCGAGTGCGGCGGGCGCGGAGGACGCCGCGTCACGGACCCGCGGGACCACAACCAGCAACAAGGATACCGTCCTGAGTAAGCAGCAGGTGCGGCGCGAGGTCGATCCCCGCACCGGAAAGGCGTTGCTCTACCCGGTGGGGATCGGTCGTAGCACGGGGAGCAGCGACCTTCGCAAGACGAATCCAGCAGTAGACCGCAGTAAAAATGGTTCAAGAACTACGTTCTACTCGTCTGCGAACATGCGATCGACAGCGGCGTCCATCGGCGGGTCCTCGAGTGCTGCTAAGCGAGCCGCTCTCCCCGTGCACCACTCCAACGCGAGCAGACCGTCCCGCAGCGGCGAGGGTGGTGCACCAGCGGCGAGGGATTCGTCATACTGGCAAAGCAGCAAAGGGAGTTCTTCGCTACCCGGGGAGGTGTTGACGCAGGCTAAGAGCAGACCACAGTCCGCACCCCCGATAAACAACGTGCCCAAGGTGCAGGTTACCAAGGTCGTCAAGCAGCACGCGGCGGGACAGGACGACACTGCCATGCCACACGTGCTTTCTGCGCGCGGGCACATACCAGTTCGATTCCCCCATAAGACGAAAATAGACAAGCCGATCCGATTCTACCTAAACCTAGTGGTGATGAACAAAAAAGACTTGGTATAGAAATTAATAACCTGCGTTTCTTGATGTTAGTTCGTATTATTCCTTTATTTCACAGAAGTCATAAAGATAATAATTTCGTATCTATGTATAGGTGGATCGTGGACATGTTCGGGGTCAGCATATAATTACCGGTAGTGAGCGGCTTTTTTTTTTGCTGCTGGTCCTGGCTGCAGGAAACTATATGTCACTAACTGTTGCATGAGTAGGGCGGCAACGCACGACAGTAATCGTGCAAAAGAAGATCCTGGAAGAACCTACTTGAGCTACGACGTGTTCAGTTAGTGCTTCATGTTGAAACTACTCTGAATGAAAAGAACTAGCTGGCACACTAATCGAAGTAAGTACTTCTTCTATATGGTCGACAACACATCAACTATCGATCACAGGTGAAGAAGGAGGTGGGCAAAAAAATGGAGGACGCTTGGTACGGCGGGTCGCTAACCACGAAGCTGGCGGGGTCGGCCGCGGCGCGCCTCGTCAAGGACGAAATGGTGGTGCATGGGGTGCTCGGGGAGTTTCTGAACAAGCTCCCGGAACTTTTCGTCGTGGCGGGGGTGGAGGCGGAAATCGAGCGGAAGCTGGTGGAGGGGCTGCTCGGCGTGGTTCGCATCACGGTCCTCGACGTGGAGCCGTTGACCATGACGTGGGCAGAGGCTCCGGAAAAGGCACCGCATTTGGAAAAGATGATCGACGCGTTGAAGGCTCTGAATCAGACGAAGGAACTGACCGCTCTCTGGGAGCAGATGATGCACCGGGCCAAGGTATCAAAAGGAAAAATCCCCCCTCCCCATGTCAGAGCGAAGTTTCTGATGCTGGATTTGCGTACACAAATCAGATTTGTGCTGCTGGAGAGGACTGCAGGCCCCTGTCGAGCCTGGGGAGAGAGGTTTTTGCCTAGGCGCTTAGCATGAAAAACGTCCGCACTGTAGGCCCAAGAGCATGACAAACCGCCTGCATAATGCGGCGGAGCCTGCGGGGTTGCCTTCTTGCAACACAGATGCGATTTGTGGTCACAAATCAGCAACACAAACGCACCTCGTCAATATGGGGAGGGGGATCTTTCATTTTGATAGAAGGACGGTTTGATGCTGAAGATGGAGACCGTGCTACCCGACCAGGCCAAAGAGACGGAAAACCTGGACCTGGTCGCCATCTGCCACCACGAGGAGAACGAGGCCGAGTTCCTGTGCGAGTTTTTCGAGCGAGACACGCCAGCGGAGCGTGACGCCTTCTACAAAATTTTGCAGGAGAGGCTGGAGAAGAAAAACATTGAGCGCAAAATTAGAAAAGAACGCGGAGAATCGCCCAGGTTCGAATATAATTCACCGCGAGCTGCGTCAATATAAAAGTGGCGGCAAGGTCGTAGAGTTTTGCTCGAAAAAAGATATGTACACAACTGCCAATATCATCACCCACTTCCACATCCACTTAGTATGTCGTGAGGATTGAAAATGAAATTTTTGTAAAATATTTATATTTTGCGCATGGATCGTTCGATGAGGACGTAAGTACACTTTTGTTGTGATTTGAAGGATGTATGCAAGTACTGTAAGCATCGAAAGAAAAAAATCCAACGACACGCCTGCCTTCGCGCCAAAAATATCGAAGTATTTTCTGTACTGTTCTGTGATCCGGAGCGGGAATGGCCTTCTCATGCTTCTTATGCGCTTTGCACATGCAAGGATCCGAAACTACGAGGCGAAAGCTGCTCATAAGCCGATCTCCAGTTTTCCGATTTTTTTTTATTTCTGATCATGTGCAGGCACGCGCCTGTCGCGAGCGACTTCGCTTCGTACTCTGAAGCCAGTTGTATCTCCGTTTCTTAAAAATCAACAGTCACTCGCTGGCCTTCAGCAGGGAGCATAAGATTGATATTGCTGATTCGTTCTTTTCTTGTTTCGCGCACTCGCACATGGTTCTCTGACGACGCGACGAAAGCGAGGTTTACTATTTCTACTTCTGAAAACAAGCCATGGGTCCTCATTTTGATATTTTTTTTCAAAGAGTTGTAGTTGGTTACAGTCCTTTAATTGTTTGTCTATTCGGCGCAATATGTGTGTATACGCGGTACCTCGCTCGTCCAACTGGGGGCCCCTATCCAGCCCCACACAACGGTGGTGCGGTGCTCACGCGCGCGGCTCTGGATGCCCGCTTGGAGGACGAGGCTGCTTCCAGCCTGCAGGATGCCATCGCGTCCTACGCGGACATCCTGGTACCGAAGTCGAGCTTGGTTTCGGCATTGCAAATGCTCTTTCTGTTCCCGCCCGGAGTGTCTATCTACCCGTCGGGCTTCGGCGGTGGCCCGGCGAAAGGAAGTGTGGTGGATTTTGACGAAACGAGTGCGCTGCTGCGACTCGAGCGAATCTTGAAGCAATGCGATGGAGGCCCTGGAGGTGCCGGCACGCCTACTGCTCCGACGGTCTTGCCGTATTCTCGGGCGGTGGGTTCGTGGGGCAACGAGATTTGTGCGCGGGACGCCATTCTGGATGAGATCCGGCAAATTTCCTCGGACCTGGAGGTCGAGGTGAGCGCGAATGACACTGGGGCCTTCCACGTGGATTTCATCGGGGGCCTCATCAACGCATATGAAAACCTGACGAACGTTGCCGTTCGCGTTTCGTCTCGAAGGCGGAACAAGATAATATTGGCACAAGAACAGGAAAAGAAAGGAGAACCTGCACAAAAGGACCTTTATTCTGCCACCAGCTTCGACGACGTCGAAAAAGATCGCAAAGGTCCTGAAACCACATCTGGCGACGAACGGAAGAACAAGGTCAGGGCAGGTGGTAACTTAAGCACCGCGGAAAAAAATGCGAAGAAGGTCGCCTCCTCGTCGGCGGGAGTCCTTTCGCACTGCGCCCCTCCTTACGCTATTCTGCTCGGCTCCCATTTCGATTCCGCGCCTGGCTCACCTGGCGCCTCGGATGCGCTGGCACTTGTGGCGCTGCTGCTCGAAATTTTGCGCGTAATAACGCAGTTTGACGTTCCAGCGAATTTACTGAGAAACGTGGACGCGATTTTTCTGTTTAACGGGGCGGAGGAAGTGATTCTCAGTGGCGCGCACTCCTTATCCAACAGAAAAATACGACCATAATAAATTACAGGACAAAAAATACGATTTGCGTCACTAAATTTCTGTCACTAAAAGAGAGGCAATATAATAAATTCTGTCATGCAGAATGCAGTGACGAGTTTGTGGTGCTAGTTGGCGACTAGAGATTTTTTTGATTTTGAAAGAGACAGAGAGGTACCAAAAGCTAGAAAGTTTACCAGCATGCTGAACGGCCGAGGAACATGAAGAGAGCTGCTTTCTTCTAAAAACCGTAGCACGCTCGTTTTTTCCGGTATTACGCGCGTGTTTTTCTGTTGGGTACTCGTTTGTGCGGAACCATCGGTGGGGGCGGCACATCTGCGGTTTCATCAACGCGGAATCGGTGGGCAGCGGAGGGCGGGAGCAGGCCAAGTTTCAGTCGCGGGGACACGCGTGGGTGGTCGAGAGTTACGCCCGCGCGGTGCGCGAACCCAACTTCAACGGCATCACCCAGTTTGTGTGGGGGGACTCGGGAATCATTCCGGGGGAGACCGATGCCCGGATTTTCCGCGATTTCGGGCACTGGCCAGGGGCGGACATGGCTTCGCTGGGGAACGGGTACGTTTACCACACTAACCAAGACACGTTCCAGCACCTGTGGAACGTGCGGGGAGACCTGCTCATCTACGGTCGCAACGTGCTAGCGCAGTTTCGGAGTATGGCTCTCTACATCCAGGAGCAAGAGGTGGCCCTGGCAGCGGTCCCGCTTTCTGGGGGAGAGGACGGATATAATCATGATAAACCAGAACACGATGATCATCATGCGGATGAAGACGAGCATCGCGGCAGAAAGGTCGCTAGCGGACCAGGTCGTGCCTTGTTTGCGGAAGTAGACATGTCGGAAGAAGATGTTGTTGAAAATGGGACCACTGCTGCAAGCCGCACCGCACGATTTGAGAATTTCTTGCACTTGTTTGCGATCTACTACGACGATAGGCACTCGAGCCAGGTGTGGGGATGGGTGCTGACCGTGATCATTCTTCAATGCTCACTCGCGGTCCAGCTTGCACGAAAATTCTCGAACAAGGGAAAAAAGACCGAAACACAGTCGGAGCACGCCACCACGACGACCTTTGCTGTGGTCGAAGTTGCGTTTCCCTTCCTGGAATCGATTGCAACCCGTGCAGCTGGGCTGGTTTTGCGGCTCGTCCTCCTGCTGCTTTTTGGTGCCCTGTTTCCGGTCATTACGTTGGACTTCTGGGGGTACACGCACAGCTATTTTGCGCAGCCGCTCCTACTCATGCTTTTATACGTGCTTCCGATTTGCTTGTTTGCGGACGTCGTATTTCGCATGCGCAGTGCTGGTGCCTCATGTGGTAGTACGAGTTGGAAGGCGTCAAGTCAAGATGGTCTCGGTCCGCAGCAAGATGGAAGATCTCTCGCCCAGGAGGACCAGGACCACCTGTCTGCGGATCATGTTGAGGAAAACAACAACACAAGTACAACATCCGAGAACAGCAACATCGCCCCGCTTCTTCGCGCGAAGGAGGACTACGGGGCGCTGGGGTTCGTTTTGGGCAGCGCGTTCCTACTTCGTTCCTTCACCGCCCTTATCAAATGTAAAAATGTCTGGGTCTGGAAGAGTCCATGTTTGTCATGCGTGTCTGGCATGACTCTCAAATCTGTCATGCACGTTACCAAAGAGCGCCACTTTTCTGTCATGCAGAAACGCAGTTTGTCATGCAGAATAGGCAACACGTAGAAGCTCAGAAACTTCTCATGCTGAGCCAGCACTTGTGGCTTCCTCATGATATGCCACCCAGCATCACAAGTTTCCAGACCCAGACATTTTTACATTTGGTAGCCCTGTCCATCATATGGCAGAGTTGGATCGTTTCCCTGAGTACCCGCGCACTCGTCCAAGTCGTGGTTTCGGCTTTCGATAAAGACCTGCACGACCACGAAAGCTCTGTTTCTGGGACAGCAAAGAACCGGGAGACGAGACCCCCCGGAATAAAAAACGCTGGGCCGCGCGCCATCCGTGCATTCATCGCTCCCTACGTCTCTCTGTGGAAAGCGGTAATTACACTTCCCGCCTGGATTTTAACCGCGCAGCCGCTCCTGGGCAGCGGAATCGACATCTTTGTTCCCCTTTTGCGACGGAGTAGCAACAAGGCACCGCCTGGGGCCATTCTGGGTGCTATGCTGGCACTGCCGGTTTTTGTGGCCTTCGCGTTTCTCGGTGTTCGTGTTTCTTCTGCAGAGCCCCGCTTTAATATCGCCGCGCCCAGCGTGGATGAAGATGACGGTGACGGTCCGGAACCGGATCGGACGGAAGCCATGAAAGCAATCAAGTCCTCGAGGGCGAGGTCGCGTTCCACCAAACGCACGAGGTCGATGAGCAGGTCAACTTCCGGCGTTGCTACGAAACATGAAAAGATGAGAGAATCATCTGCAAAGAAAAGCTTTCGTGGCAGCTCCGGACGTGCAGGAACAAGGGTGGACCTTTCTTTACTGGGATACGTGAAAACAACGTTAGTTGATGCGGCGTCACCGCTGTGGTGGTTTTTGTTTCGGGTCTACTGCTTACTGTGGGTTCCCCTAGTTTTGCTGCAAGCGCCGGCGGGCATTTTTCCCGGATTCACCCAAGACAAGCCAAAGGTAGTATACGCGCACCATCTGGAGCACCGTTTTTGCGACGCCGCCCAGGTTATCAAGTGTAAAAGTGTCTGGGTCTGGAAGAATTCATGTTTGTGTTTGTCATGCTAGTCTGGCATGACTCTTAAATCTGTCATGCACGTTACCCACGAGCTCCGTCTTTCTGTGATGCAGAGGCGCAGTTTGTCATGCGGAATAGGCAACACCTAGGAGCTCAGAAACTTGTCATGCTGAGCCAGCATCTGTAGCCTCATCATGAGACGCCACCCAGCATCACAAGTTTCCAGACCCAGACATTTTTACATTTGATACAGGTTTGCTATGACCGGCGGGACGGTCTCTGGTTTGCGGCATTGGATTTTCTCGGGTTGGATTTTCCGGGCACAGGTTTCGCCGGCGCGGCGCGCACAGATCTTGCCAAGCGTCTGACCTTCGACGCGCTTGTCACAAATATTTCAGGAGCAAGTGCGACGACAAGAGATGAAGGAGCAGCAGGAGGAGGCAGCGATGAACGAGTTAAAGATGTGGCCTCCAGTGGTCCTCGTGCAGATGCATCGATGAATCAAAAAATTCTTCACGAGCCCAAACCAATTTACGGACCGCTGCCATTCGCGTTGCCCCTACGGAAAGTAGTGGAGGATGCGAAGACCCGTTTTTTACCCTTGCCAGATCCATCAAGTAGGTTTACCAAAGAAGAAAAAATAGGCACCACAACAAGAAGAACATCAAACGGAAACCCCGAAACCGCAAAAACTACAAGCAGAAAAAGGAGTAGCGAGGAGCAGGAGGAACATCAACTATTACAGGAGGAAAGGTCCTTGTGGATGAAAGTTCGGCCTCTCGAATTCAAGGTCCGACACGAATGGGTCGAGTACAACGACAACAGGACGGAAGACGCAGATGCTCCCCAGGAGCTGCACTTCGAGGACGCCAGCCAAGAAATTTCCTTCTACCGAACGTGGCCCAGAAGTGCCGCGTCGTTCACAACATCTTCCTCCTCGCGCGGAGGTGAATACTATAAAAATGGTGACCACATGCACGTCGAGGAGGAGATGAAAAATAGTACCACAACATCAACAAGTACAAGTTCCAGCACCGAGAAGGAGAATGCGAAGAAGACCCTGCGCACGCATGTGTCCCTAACGTGTGACCAGGGTGCCCAGGCCAAGCTTGTCCTCCCCGCCGCCGAGGTCGTGGATTGGTCTTTTGCGCACGACCAGGTCATTGCGGGAAGCGTCAGCGAGACGTCGGGCCGGCGTCTGCCCCCGCCGCGGAACGACTGCGACTGCCACTGGATCCAACTGCAGTCCGTCCACCGGAACGGAACCTGGTCGTTTTCGTTCGATGGTGCCGTCGATCGTTTTGAGTTACTCTGTGAGCGCCCGGACTTCCTCACGGAGTCGCTGCAGGAGCAGGTTTGGAAGCGGCATCCGCCCTGGGTCAGCATCACGTATTTGGCCATGGAGTCTGTGTACGTATGGAACCGAGTCGACGTGGCGGCCCCGGAGAGCTAGCTAGCACACAACGTCGTGCAGTGAAATCTGCTGCAACCTGGCGAAGTGCAAGATCTTGTTTTACCAGCAGCTCTAATGTTGAAAAAAAAAGGAAAAGGAATATTATGACTCTTTTTGTATAATTTTCGTCCACCTGCAGGAAAAAAAAACAAGCTCGACAACTCGAAGGTGCTGCTTCGGTTCTGGCGCAAGGAAAAATAGCCTTCCTGCGCGCCAGGCTCCATGTTAACCTATTGTTCTGGCCCCGATGTGATCATGGCCAAAATGTTCGCCTTTTGATCTTGTATGCAACGCCGTGTATGTGACTTGATGTTGATTCCAGCTGAACTGCTACTTTTGTTCCGAGAGTGAATGATGTTATCTGAATCGGTTACTTTCCAGATGGATTTGGTGGTTGTAAAGAAATAAAGATATTTGTAATTTCATGATTTTTGTAGTTGAAGCTCGATGAGGAGAAACGCAGGTGGGACAGAAGTCCCACAGGCAACAAGCACACAAAAGTCGGTTGTAGCAGAATTCGCAGAATTACGCATGTAAACAAAAAACAATCGGTGATGCACACGCGACGTATTTGGTGTCAAATGATGAAGATCCTATGTCCATTTTCATTTGGATATTTTTGAAAAATTTTCACAAGAGGGCGATTGCGATCCTTGATCAAAATTTCTACTCCCGGAAACTCAGATTCACCATTGACAAAGACCCGCAAATCCATTCTAAAAAATATCGCAGGAGCGAACCGATCCCTGATATTTCTCTAGCGACAAATTTAAGCGATCCTTGAATAAGATCACGTTTTTCCTCGTTCAAGCTTTTTTAGACCTACAAAGTAGTTTATTACCTACCCGAGAGGCGTGGCGTGTCGTCGACTGCTTTCTGTATTCCGACGCGCACTCGATCTCTAAACACCGTTTTTTAATACAATCACGCTCACTTTTTCGTGCTCGTCGCGTTTTTTTTTTTCGACTAGACAAGTATATTCTATACCCCCTATTAATTACGGCGAGGACTCTGACACTTTCCCAATTCCCCTGCCAGTTTTGAAGGAAGTATAGTATTTCATCTTAACAGTAACAGAACCCTTTGCAACTGTTAATATATCGATAGCATAGGTTTGTCCTGTTCTTCCTGTGACTTTGCGGCAGAACCATGCCGAACAGTCGTCACGAGCACGCGCGTGGCTACGTGGGCTCTGCCTTCCAGCCGACGGCACATGCTGATGAGGAAACGTTGCTGCTCGCCAAGTATAATGACGGGGCCCGGGACACCGTCGAGGGGAACCTGAAATGGACCCAAGCGGAGGCCGTGGAGCAGGTGCAGATGATAAACCGAGCCTACCGCAAGCAGGCCGCCGCCGAAATCGATTCCGACCTGAGTGACGAAGAAGCTGCACCGGAAGTCTACACGTACGAAGAGTACCACGACAAAATAGACAAGGTCTGGGAAAAGACGGACTGGAATGCCAGGGGGGACGAACAAATCTATAAGCTGTCCACGTTCGGAGCAATTACGTCGCTGCTCGCATGTATCTTAATATTTCCATTTTTTGTCTTCATCAAATACAATTTGCGAGTATACTAGGTAGTTCTTGTTGACCTTGACGGTTTACAACTCGTCAGCAAACTGAAAGAACTGTCTATTCATGCTAAAAATCATTAGATATTTGAATGATTTTTCAATCATGTGATTTGATTTTCCACCACTCCACCTCCACACAGCGATTTTCGGCGTGGGCATTTTGGAGCAGCCGAAGGCCGTGCAGGGGAGCGGGTTCCTGGCCGGTATGCTGGCCTTGGTCTTGTCCACGGTCGTGTCCTACTATGGGGGCGTGTACCTTGGCTTGGCCGCGCGCATGACCGGGAAGAAGTCCTTCGGGGAGATTTCTCGCGAGGCGGGCGGTGCGTTTGGCGTCTTCCTCTCGGTGTACGCCCTGCTGGGGCTGTGCATTTTGGCGTCCGTCGCCTACGCGGTGTCCTGGTACCGCTACACCATGTATGGATTGCAAAAATGTCCGGGTCTGGAAAATTGCAACTTGTCATGCTGTCTTTGGATTCCAAAAAAATCTGTATTGCGTGACCAGCAACAGGGGTCCAGTTTGTGTTACGCGGAGACGGCATTTCTCATGCGGAATAGGCATCAGGAAGCCCTCTAAAAATCTGTGATGCTAGATCACGCATTACATGAATCATGGATCATACAAAAATTGCATCACAAATCCCGGAATCTTCCAGACCCAGACATTTTTACATTTGATACCATGGAGCTGTACGTGCGCGCGGGCTGGCTGACCAGCGACCAGGCGGGGAGCACGGACATTATCTCCGCGCGGTCGCTGGTGATCACGCTGATGCTGATGCTGCTGTACCCGGTGTGCTGTCTGCGGGACCTGTCCGCGCTGGGCACCGTGTCCACGGGCGCCGCCGGCGTGTACGTCAGTTTGTTGTTCCTCATGTTCTACTACTGGGTCAGCGACTACCTGAATCAGTCGGAAGAGGGCTGGAACAGCACCATCCGCAAGGACTGGACCCCGCAGCTGGACGCCGACGGGAAGGTGGCCGACGTCGCGGCGTTGAACCACCCCTGTAACAACATGTTCGACTACAAGTTGGAGTGGGTCTACTCCGGCGACTGGAAGGCGCTTTTCTCCGCCCTGGCGCTCATGAACACCGCCTTCGCCTGCCACTTCTCCTGCGTCGACGTCTTCGGCAAGGAGCTGAAGAACCCGACCAGGAAAGTCATCAACAAGGTAGACTGGATGTTAATGATGTTCTAGAGGGATCATTTTATTTTTACGAATGTGAAGATCAAGATGTCGCTGACTTTTCAATATTTATACGCATGTGGAAACAAACTACTCCTTGCTTTCTGGAGGGTTGAGTTGTTGTACTATGTGAAACCAAAAATGGTAAATGATGTTGACCAAGATGAAGGAACGAACGATATAAACATCAAAAAGATCCTGGTGTGGACCATGGGGATTTCCTTTTTCGTGTATGGAGCCTTCACCTGCATGGGATGGGCGTACGCCAGCAAATTCCAGGATTACACATCAAAAGCACTTTTCACCGCAGACGGCGACAACCAAGTCCTCGACGATTTCAGCGGTACGATTTCAGCTCCGAATATACTTCTTTTGGGTTTGATGTTTTGTTCAAATTTCATCATCTTCTTGCTACGCCTTTTTCTATAGCAAAGTTGTATTTCAGGGCCGCAAGAACCGAAGACGCAGGTCTACCTCGTCTGCATTTGCTTGGAGAAGTAGACGCCGAGAAAATGGATCTGCATGCTGTAGCACAAAAATACATCTCGGTGCTAGATTTTTTCGAATCAAAATTCACAGCGACGTGCAAGCAGGGTGCGCAGGACAAGATCTTGGGCAACATGAGAGAGCCCGGCATGGAATTCAACCCCGCTTTGGTCGCTATCGCGGAGGTTGTGGTGTTCCTCGTGCTGTTCCTCACCTTCCCCCTGTTCATCAATGCCTCCCGGTCGACGATTCACGGTCTCGTTTGGGGCGACAAGCCGAGTAGCAATGGGCTGCACCTGCTGCAGACCCTGGGGTTAATCGTCCTGATCTGGCTGCTGGCGGTCTTCATTCCGGGCGTGACCACCATCCTCGCCTACGCGGGCGCGGGTCCGGGCGTCACCCTGGTGCTCATCCTGCCGGGATACCTCATGCTGTGTCTCAACAAACACCTGTCCTTCTGCCACCCTCACCGCATCGTGCCCCTGCTCGTGCTCATCTTGGGTATTTTTAGGCTCTGCAACTTGTTTTTTCTTTTTGTGTTTTCTGTACTTTTTTTTCCATCCCGCTCTGACGATCTTGATCTGCATCTGTCTGTTTAAAACTTTATATCTTGATCTGTCTAAACTCGTACGCAGCCTTTGTTTATTGATGTGTAGGTGGCACCAGCTGCTGCCCGCGTTGGATTTTTATAGCTGCACGACCTGGAGGTAGAGGGCGTAGTTCTAGTTCTCATGATCCAGAATTACAATATTGATTTCTCACAACTGCAGGCGTGATCGTGTCGGCGGGCGGTATTGCCCTAACCGCCATGTACAGCGACGATCTGGAGCGGGGAATGAACTTGATGATCGTGGCTGATCCTGTGTCGTACTACAACGTGAAGCCGGCGACCGTCAAGATCGACCTGGGCTCCAACCCGCCCGCCACTGTGTTTCCGGACCAAGCCCCGGACCACAAGGAAAGGGTGCACTGGTTCGACCTTCAGGAGCAGGCCGGTCAGGGGAAAATTCTTCTGACCGAAGACGTGGACTCGGCGGAAAAGGTGCGGCGCTACGAGTTTCAGCACCGGCTGCCGAGCGAAGAAACCGTGCTGGACTTGAAGACGTTCCCGGGCGCGCTGCAGTACTTCGTAAACCGTCCCCAGCAGATCGCTGCCAGCGACGCCATCGCGGCGGACGACAAATCTGCCTACACAAACTGGTGGAAGGCCGCCTCCCGGTGCAACAAGATCAGAGTGATCACCACCGCGCAAATAGCTGCCGCTGATACCAAGATTCAGGAACTTACTCTGGAAATCGCGAATAACCCTGCCAACAAGGACGAACTGCAAAGGGAGCTGGACGACGTCAACAAGGTCCGCACGCAACTCGGATCAGACCAGGCAAAGATCTGCATTTGAAACGACCCGACGAGAGGATGATGAGGCGGTTCTTTCATTTATGGGAGGGCCAGCAGGCCTATTCTGCACACGTGTTCTGCGCAAATTAGAAACATCGGCAGCTCTTTCATCGTCAATATCTTCATTCAGTTATAGATATCTAGTGATTGAGACTTCAGATGAAAATACGACGAGAGTAATCTAAAATGCAGGACTTTTTTGAACAATTGGTGAAACGCATTGGAAATGACTCAAAAAGCTGTGACGGTGAATACTCACTCACGAGACACCAGACAGGCGGGGCACAGGGAAAATTAGAAATTTTAGCACGAACAAATCTCTGTCGCTCTGGTGGAGCATGTACCCACCAAGTATAGCTGCGCTGTCACCCTTTCGAATCTGCTGCTACGATTCTTGTCAAATGCAACATTGTGTGTGCATGAAGGAAATCAAGAAGAAAGCACAAGAGATTTAAGGGTGAAAGTAGAGGATGCAACGACAAATGAACTTGATCGACGTAGTTCACTACCACAAAGTGAGTGGGAACTTGCAGTTCTTCCACCCGACGGCCGGGGCGATGGGTGAAAAGAGTCTGTTCGAATAGATGGACTATTTGGATGATGGTTGTCAAAAGGGAAAGACAAAAGAAAAAGTGGGTTCTCCAGGACAGTTGGCGATGGATCCAATGATGATCAACACACGAGCAATACTGACTAAAGCACAAGCTGCTTTAAGGAATGCAAACTGCGTTGTGTATGTGTTGTTGTCCAATTTCTCATTTTTTTTACGATAATCATAATTTTTATTTTACCACGATGATCTACTAGCCGCAGTTTGAAGATTTTTTTAGATTGCAGTTTTTTTCGATGAGTTTCTACACCGTCCATGACGTGAAGGAAGGAATGGGATCTAGTACATCAGGGAGAGTCAGCTAATAAAAAAAGATATAAATACTTATGCTCTTGTGGGTCTAGAACTAGATCTTCTCCATTCGTTCTTTGTCAAGCCTTGAACAGTAACATTCCGGGTGTGTTTTGACTACACGACAATCGATTACATCTTGATGAGCCAGCACCAAGCCGAAAGAAAATGAATAATTCAGCGACATCGACGTCATCGTCTGTCAGAAAACCTCCTGGCTCGGTGAAATTGGACCGTCGTAGCGCTGTCGGTAGTAAAAATGGCGAAAAAAGCGGGCGCCCCGCCTCCGCGGCCGCATTATTTACCGCGCAGCATTCGTCCACGAGGGAAGATAAAGCAACAGCAAGCACAAGAGGCGGCGCGATACGTTTCGAGGACTCGAAGAAAGAGGAGGAGAGCCATACCGCCGAAGGATCTTCAAAATCGAACTCGAAGTCCACGTCGACACGCAACGCAGGAGCTGGCGCGGGAAAAACAAAAAGTGCGGGGGAGCAGAAGGCAGCGTCCGCACCATCAGGAAACAAAACGAAGGATGGTGCAGCAACGTCGAAGGCCGTGACGGTAACGAAGAGCGAGTTGTCCAAGCATTTCCAGGGGTTGCCGGGGTTCGATCAACTTTACGCTCCGTTTGGAAAATCTCTACGAAATCAGGCGACCTGGGTTTTACGGGAGTACGAGCAGGCATTTCACGATGCAGCTTCTGCGTCACTCGGCGGAACGTCCTCCCGGGCGGCGCTCCCTTCTGTGGGCGCTGTCGCTGCAGCCCTAAAACTTTTCCGCGAAGACCATGACATTCCCTTTATCGCGCGGTACCGAAAGGTCCAAACCGAGCACATGAATGAGGGACACCTCCGCGCCGTCAAGAAAGGGCTGCAGCATTGCGATGAGTGCGAACGGAAACGCGGCAGCGTCTTGCTGTTGCTAGCAAAGAAAAACGTGCTGCGTCTTGGAGCAAATAATACTGCTCCTGACGAGGGTACTAAAAACAGAAGTAGTGCGATAATTATCAAAAGTGCGGTAGAAAACGCGAGGAACTTGGAGGAGCTGGAAGAGCTCTATGCTCCATACAAGGACTCGAAAGAAGACAAAGCAACACAAGCACGACAACTGCAGCTCGAGCCGATTGCGCTTGCGATGCTGCAGCAAAGGGACCGCGAAGCAAGGGGTCTACTGGACCAATTTATAGCGAAGAGCCAAGGTAGGGGTAGCGCTAACCACGTTTCAACAACCGTAATCTCCTTCGCACCATCAGCGTATTCCTCGTCGTCGGCCACTCCGCAGGCACTTGCTGATTTGACACGAGTGGAAGTGGAGGAACTAGCAGTTTCGCTTGCCGCCGACGCGCTTTTCTGTGCGCGGCGGAAACCTGGGGACCTCAATGATCAGAATTCGTCCGCAGAGAATGAGAATGCGGATATTGGAGGTAATATTACGCGGAACAACGACAAGCATTATGATCAAGATCCGATGTACGGGACAAAACATGGGCGTTCAGTACGGGAAACCGACGTACGCACGTCTGCGAAACAACAAGAAATCGACTGGCCGCGGCGGTGCGTGGAGTACAGCAGCACTTTTTCGGCCCAGGCGAGCACAGCGAGCAAAGCAGCGGGGCCTGCTTCTGCCAAGGGAGCAAAGGCAGGGGGTAAATACGCAGAAAGCGGGTGGTCTTCGGCACACAAAGGGTCAGGGCGGGGCTACTACCAGGATCACAAAAAATTCGCTGAAGTCAAGAAGACGAACGACAAAAAAGACGCGGCCTCAACCAAGGCCGTTGATGCTCGCTTTCTTGCTGCAGTCGAGAAGTACGAACAATACGGTTCGTACTCGAAGCCGTTACACTCCGTGCGGGGGTACCAGTATCTTGCCATCCAGCGTGGGGTGGAGGCGAAAGTCTTGAAGGCGAGCTTTCAGTGGCACAAGGAGGAGCGCGCGCTGACGGAGGTGTGCTTCTCCGGGTATGGAGCCGCCTGCGCGAGTTTGCGAACCAGTAGTAGTGGGGACGAACGGACGGGCGGTGGATCATTTTCGTCCACGTCGCATTTTTTCCCGCCAAGGTGGGCCGAGCGTGACACGTTTTTGTCTGCGATCTTGAAGAAATGCATGCAGCGTCTGAAGTTGATGCTGCAAAGACAATACGGTCGGGAATTGCGAGACCGGGCTCTAGACGAAGCGTTGCGCCAGTTCGGCGTGAACCTTGCGCAGAAGCTGCTCACGCCTCCGGCGCGGCTCTGGCTGGAAAATAAAGTCGGGGAACAAGACGACCGAAGTCGAGCGGGGCCGGATCTTCGCCAGCACAATATCAGAAATAAAGGAACGCTAGAACAACTAGATTCCACTGCCCCGTCCTCTACTCTGCTGCAGTCGTACCACATCCTGGCGCTGGACCCGGGATTTCGGCAAGGCACGAAGATGGCCGTGATTCACAGCGCCACCGGCCGGGTACTCGAGACGCAGACGCTGCATTTTCCCAAGGACAGCGAGCGACTGAGGGAAATCGTGTATTCCAAATACAAGCCGCGCATCCTCGCACTTGGAAACGGCTCGGGGTCCCAGGAAGTCGAGCAACATTTGCGCAAACTGGTCACGACAGGAGCTGGAGGTGCATCTCGTAGTTGTTCCACGACCCGGAACATGTCGACGGACGCAAAAATACTAGATGAAGAAGTGATGTTTTTCAAGTTTCTCGTGGTGGACGAAACGGGCGCCAGTGTGTACTCCGCGACGCAACTCGCGCAACAGGAACTGCCCGATCTGGATGTCACGCACCGGTCCGCCGTGAGCCTGGCGCGGCGGTTGGTGGACCCCCTGGCGGAGCTGTGCAAGGTTCCGCCGCAGTCGCTCGGGGTCGGCCAGTATCAGCACTCCGTACCAGAAAAGATGCTCGCGAAGGAGGCGCAGAGCTGTTTTGAAGAGAGCATCGCCGCCGTCGGGGTGGACCTCAACACCTGTTCCGCGGAGCTGCTCCAATACGTGCCGGGGATCGGGCGGCAGCGGGCGCTGGACATCATCCGGGCCCGGGAGGAGAATTCTGGCTTCCGGACGAAGCTGGACCTGAAAAAGAAGGTGAAAGGCATCGGCGAGAAGGTGTTTCGGGAGTGCAGTGGGTTTCTGTACGTGAGCACGGCCGAGGACCTCTGCGATCGGAACCCGCACATTCACCCGGAGCAGATGAAAATGGTGCGACTCTTGCAAGACGCCTTCGGCGGCACCGATCTCCCGTGTTTGACGTCTGTGCGCATTGATGACGAGGATGATCGCAATCAGAATTATTCTGGACGAGAGCAGGTGGAAGTTGGTAAAAAAAGTGGCGAAGTGGATGTTGATCTCCGCTTTCCCCTGAAGTCTTCCGAGGGTACACGCCGATTGGAACGGGCGCTCGAAGCATATGTCGCGAAGAACTCGAACAACACGAAGGGTTCCATATCCATGGACGGACCGACAAATAATCATGACTACGACATTCAGACCTTGCGGGAGCTTTGTCGTCAACTTGTTCCAGCGTCCAGAGGAGGACTGGCGGGGGTGGACCCCCGCAGCGAGAGACCCAAGCCTGTTTGCAGCTCGCTGGTGGCCCCGTCATCTACTTCAGGTTCTTTTTTCAGTAAGGATTCGTCCCGAGGAGGAAAAGGCACTGTCGGTGCGCGGCCGGGGGCCTCGACGTCGAGCCGAAAATTGGCCGCGGACGTGCGCCCGGGCGAACACTACGAAGGCGTGGTGCGCAACTTGACCGAGTTTGCGGCCTATGTCGACATCGGGGTCGGTGCGGACGCCTTTCTCCATATTTCGCGCTTCCAGGGACGGCGCTTTCAAGTTAACGAGGTCGTGCGCGTTCGTGTAGACACGAACGAGTGGAAGGGCGGAAAACAACGCATCAGCATTTCGCTTGTTTGACGTACTATATTTCGACGGAAGTACAAAGCGCAGCATGTCGCTAAAGTTGATATCGATTCAAGATTAATACCACAGAGATTGTTCTCTGTACCTCTGATGTCGATTGCGTCGCGGCAGCGACTCAACATGTGTTTGTTCGACTAGAATGAATCAGAATCGAGAAGCAGAAGGTGGTTTAGATGAAAAGTCGGTCCCGGTTCAAGTACGTTTCTGTCGGTGCTACTAGTAGAGTAAACGAAGACATCAGTAGAACAAAGTGGCGTCGTTTATGTCGGTATTATCGTGCAACAAGAACAAGTCTACTGAAACTCAAATACAAGCTCTGCAAGAACTTTTCTCTTCGGTGACTCTCGTACGCAATATTCAGCAAGAAACCAACATGGAATATAGTCAGTAGAATGGAATTCGGTTTCGTGCACTAATGATTTTGAGTACTTGATTAGTAGAGCCGTCAGCCTTGGATATGAAAATGAATTCGGTGCCGTACAGACTTGTGTTTCATCAACAGAAACTACACGTTCAATCGTCCGTTATGTCGTGCAGTTTTGATCGTTTGTTTTGGTTTGAAATACGTGCGTAATACTATGTAGATTTCCCGCTTCGTCGGTGCAGATACAACACGCGTCCTCCGTCCTCAATTGCCAGAACATCAACAACACACCACAGATCACATTTTCCCCAAGAAAACTTTTTCCCCTGCTCCACTTTATTTTACATTATCAATTTTCAACCTCTCTTCACTGTCAACATTTATTTCTTCTACTGGAATCGCACCCAAAATTTTGCCATTCTAGTACTATGTCCGGGTACAACGGTGTCCGGGGGATCGTTCCGGATGGCGCCAATAACGGAGCGAACCAACCGCCGCTGCGAGGGAGCCGATACGACAACATTGGGCGGGCCCGCGTGCAGGACGGAGCCGGGAACAACGACGGCGACGGCATGAGCCGCAGCGAGCGGCGCGCGCGGCTGTCGCGGAGACGGCAGAACGGGGAGATGGGCTCCGGGGACACGGGCGGCGTGGTGTCGGACCCGAATATGGACAACTCCCAGAACAACAAGGCGCCCAACATGAACCAAAACCCGAACATGATGATGGGCACCATACCGGAACAGGGCCAGGCGGTCAACCTGCCGGGGCAGGTCCCGAGTCCCGAGCAGGTGATGGCGAAGGCGATGCCGCAGCAGTACAACGTCCCCTACCAGCAAATGCAAAATCCCGCCCAGCAGCCGGTCGCGCAGCAGCCCGCCCCGCCGCAGCCCCCGGCTCCGCAGCCACAACCCGTCGTGGCGCCGCCGCCCCCACCCCGGGAACCCACGCCCTACCTCAGGGGAGAAAATTTATCGCGCACGCCCGGATTCATGAGCAAAATCCTGATGGACGAGATCCGCGTGCACACCAACCGATCCGTCGTCACCGTGTCCCGCGCGGCGGCGGAGGATAGCGAAACCATATCCTTCACGGGCATGTTCCGAGACAAATACAATACGGTATTGTCACTCAAGATTTCTGCTTCTTTTTTGAAAGGACTTAAACTAGTAACGTGTCATGCGACAGAAGATGAAGAACAGGAAAATGAAAACTCGTCTAATTTTCAAAAGATTTGTTCCTGTTGCGTTCAGACGAGGGGGCCAGCTCCGCCAGAATTACTATGTCGATAAATCAATGGTATTTCATGCATGGACGCGGTCCGACTTCGGAACCAAGGGGATGCGGTTCCTCGTGTTACCCGAGTAGAATGCATGCCCATGCTATCCTAGACCGAACGAGAAAAACAACGACGGTGAAGTGGTTCAGGGCCGCGAAGGTCGTTTCATACAATGTCGTAAAAGGAACACAGCTAGTACGACCTCTTTGCTAGTGTCGCCGAGACCGCCGTTGCTAATACGAATATCCAGAAATAGAAAAAAATCATCGCATGACAGGTACTGAGCACGGTAAATTACGTGGTGACCCTTTCTTGGGCCAACCGAGGTTTTTGTATCCCGGCCTTATTCTTCTACTTTATCATTGCGGGCCGCTGCGCGCTCGCAGTCCACATTGATAGCGAGGGCGGCGACGAAAGCTGGCGGGACGTGCTCCGAACGTGCAAGGAGTGGGGCGAGCGTGGTAGCGATTACGTGCCATCCATGTTGACCTCCATCTTGCCTATCTTCCTGGTGGTGTTTTACGTGAATGCGGCGATCAAAAGGTGCGTGTTTTCCTGTGATTTTTCAAATTTTTTCATGACAACCAGCTGCAAAATCGAAATCGCCTGAGCACAACGAACTACTTCTGGTTCAGCCACCGAGGCAACCGAAGAACTTTTTGGATAGCTTTCATTGTTTGTACGATAATAATTCAATATGCACATAAAAACTCGAAGAAAAAAAAGACAAAAAATGGAAATTTCGAACCCCGCACAGGTACTACAAAATGTACGACGCCTGCCGCGAGATGAGCGACATTACTGATCAAGCCGTGGGAATCGCGCTGATCGACTTCCGCAAGCACCCGGAATGCATCAAGGAAGAGGTGCGTTGCCTGCACCTGGCACGCATGCTGGTTTTACTGCACACGGCAAGGGAGACGTACCCGGTGAAGACCTTTTTCCTCCCCCTCTGCGAGTGCTTCGGGGACAAGATGCACGGCATGCTCACCGAGAAGGAGACCAACATGATCCGCCGCGAAGGCTACTCAGAACACTTGGCCCAGTACTTCGTGGTAAAAGCCTTGAACGTCACACACGCCGCAACACACAAGGGCCTCATCTCGCCACCCGGCTGCGCGGCACGGACCATGCACTTGATGAAAATGATGTACCGATAATGTTTTGCTGCTTGTGTGTAGTCGTTTTCTTTGTAGATGATCTTGACCCGTGATCATGATGGAAGCATGCAAGGGAACAAGTGTAGTTCCAGTGACCAAATAATTGTGCCTCAATGATGTTGCGGCCCTGCTGCGTTATAATTTCGTGGAGCGGACTGATAGATTGGTGACTTTTTATGAATAGGAAATTTGAGAAGTTGTAAGTGCCTAAGTACAACAATGTCTTTATGGGGCCAACATCGGACGACTGAAACTACAGGGACTCGTCGCAGAAGATCAAGTCGCTGACCAGCATGCAGTACCCGCCCACGTACACGTATTTGGTCTCCTCCACGGTCGGCATTTCCTGTATCCTGGAGATCGCCTTTGCGGGAACCCGGGTGGGGCTGCAGTGGAACACGATGATGTTCTGGGAGTCCTTCCTGATCACTTTCTCCCTCCTCGTCGCGCAGCAGGTGTGTCTGTTCGGTATCCTGGGTGTGGCCGGTGAGATGATTGACCCCTTCGGTCGCGACATTCGCGATTTCCCCATTCTGCAGGTAATGAGTGGTTTGTTTTTGGAAAAACAAAGTTGTTTATTTTACGGAGGACTCTTCAAGCCTAATGTGCTAGTATCGACCGGTGAAGGTCCGTTACCGTTTCTTTGCCTTCGTTCGAAGATGAATTTGAAAATTAATTCCATAAGAAGTAAATACGAACTACTTTTTTATGGCGTTTTTGGTGCAAAGTTGTAAAAGTATTTTTCTACTATCGTGAAAAAATAAAAAACAGATGTGCGTGGCGCCGCTGCAGCACACGGTGCAGTTGCTGTTCGAGTACAAGGATCTCCGAGACGACGCGGAAGCCAACATGTACCAAGATGAGCTGGGTGTCACGGAAAGCTGGGGCCCGCAAGGTGACCAGGACCTCACAAACAGACACACACGGCACGTGCAGAGGTTCAAGGAGAGCAGTATGCTCTCCTCCGAAGAACTTGCGAAAGTCGACCCGAAGCAACTCGGCGAGTCCTATTCTGCGGAGGCTGAGCGCATTTTGAACACCTTGAAAATAATGGCAAGCGAAGGCGAAACCGATTAAGGGGCCGATTGAGACGGAGTATGAATATCCGGGTCTTTTTTTCACGCTTGATTTTTTTTAGGACCACCACATTAGTTTTTGTATACACTCTAACACTTTTAGCAAGTTGCGAGACACACTCAAGATTCACTGTATGATTTTTTGATTTAGCATTTTTTACGATTACGATATTTTTTCCGTTATTCTAACTATTATACAACAACAAAAAAGTAGTTCGCTTCCTTCAGAACCTACGATATTTCTGCTTGAGTAATTTTTCCACTAGCGTTCTGGACTGGTCTTATGTATTTCTATTTATCACTTATTTTGCTTCTTCGCGTTGCTCTTGTTTTTTTGGGATTTTTTTGCATATCTTTTCTTTGTCTTCCGCCCAGCAAGAATATAACGGGACGAATACGTTTGTCCGAGATTGCATTTGGAAGCATGTCAACATGCATTCGAGTGAACCTTGTAAGCGCAGAGTGCGCTCGCTGCTGTACTACATCTGTGCCCGAAGAAGACATGCGAAATGAAAATCGATGAGCATTTCCTGTGGGCATCTGTGTACTAGGACATAAAGTAAAATATAAATTGCCCTGCCAAGAAGAGTAATAGTAACGATCTCCCCCCAACCTTCCGTGATTTCAATTTCTGATTAAACTGCCAAGTCGAGGAACAAGAGTGCACTAAAGCTCGCAACTACATGCGTTGAGTTGTAGCCGCGACAAGAGAAAACTTGTAGACGTATTTTCATAATCAGGAAGATCGACGGGCTTCAACATCAATAGTTTTTACCCCGGCGCTCAAATAGTATTACCCGGCACGAACATTTTGACAGTGCACCCCACTGCCTGAATCTTCTCGGATTTGTTTCTTGCGCAGATACTCCCTTTTTCTCTCTTTTTCTTCATTCTGTCAGAGCTTCAAGAACTGACGCAAAGTTCGCACTTCATGCTAGTTCGCGGTATCACTTGCAAAGCTGTGTTCTCGCCATTTGCTATGCTGTAGTGTGCTTGGAGTACGGCTCTCTCTGGCATTTTTTCTTTTTGATTGGACATATTCTTATTCGCTGCCACACATTGTTCAATTTTTTTGGGTCAGTCTTTGCGAATTGTCGTTCACATCAATTGCCTTTTTTCGTGCAAAATGAATGCTCCCAATGCGCATTGTAAAAGCAAGGGCGAGCCGCGCGAGGGCGTGCCGTGCCTCTTTTTTCGTGCTTTTTTGATGACCCGTGGTGTCGCTGTCGTTTGCCAGCAGTGCATCGTTCGTGCAAAATCGTCCTCCTCGTTTATCGTGCTTCAATCATATCGTTTTTATGTTTTTTCTGACTGGTGAGCTTCCTCTTCCACCTTGTTGTTTTTGTGACCATTTTTTTCCGCTTGGATTGATCTTCACGCCAGTGCGAACTTGTCTCATTTCTCCAAAAATCGAAAGAGCAGGTAGGTAGCCCCGCATACTGAGCCACGTGCTCCTCAACTCGATATCAGTACTTTACATCGATTTTTTTTTGTTTTCGTGCTGCTGGTTGAGAAAATTGCAACTCAGAGTAAGTACTATTATTACCGTCGGCACGTAGGTGATAGGTTTGTTTCGAAGGTGAAGCTAATTTAGGTCCCTGCTAGCAAGTTTTTTGTCTGTCATTTCCATGCGATTTGTACATATTTTTGGAGCGCCAGCACATACACATCCAGATATTTTCATGGTGCAACCTTGTTGAAGTCTTTGTCATATGTTTCCGGAGATGTTGAATGTTGGGATCTTCGGAGGTTCTCTGTCCGGTTAAGTTGTAATTTTCGGGCCGATCAGGATCAAAATCGAGATCCACACGTTCACTTTTGGTTTTTAATTGTTTACCATCTTCGACATCTTCGGTCGACCATGCCGCCGAAGATGAAGGTGAACATTCCGCCGAAGGGTGGGGCCCCCGGCGGCAAGAACACAGACGGTCCGGGCAAGGCGGAGGTGATTCTGGGGAAGCGCATCGACCGCGGTATCAAGGAGTTTGAGGAGGACGCGCCAGGGTTTGGCGACGCCGACGGGCGACCCGAGGACCTGGACGGGAACCCCGAGCTGAAGGCTGCGATCGAGTGGCTCGAGGCGTTACTGAACGACCCGAACAAGCGGTTCGGGAAGAACGAGATGGCCAAGGTGGTGTACTTTCTGAACCGGTTCTACCACGTGAACTACGTGGCGCGGCTGTGCATGGAGATCATCCTGAAAGTGCTGCAGTGGCCCTACTGCAGCCGGTTCGTGATGCAGCGGCTGCTGACGCAGCTGGACCTGCACCTGCTGATGGAGACCTTCCCCAAGCTGATCCGCGTGCACGGGAACCGCAACCAGAAGATGCTGGGGTACACGCTGGCCGTGATGGGCTGCGTCGCCGACCTGGACGCGCGGCACTTCACGACGATGGACAAGAACGGGCAGCTCTACTTCCACGTGATCCAGTCCGCCCAGAACATGTACAAGTCGGACGCGGTGATGCTGAACACGCTCCTGTTCCTGCAGCGGTTGTGCGCCCCGTCGGCGGTGGACTTCTACCTGACCCGGGCCCAGAAGGCCGCGATGATGAAGCTGAGCCCCGCCCGGTTGGGGATGCCGCTCCGGGAAACTGAGACGCAGCAGACCACCGAGGTGCCGGAGAACCTGGACGCCACCGCGAACGCCGGCGACAGTCCGACCGACCGCAAGCGCGTCCAGATGCTGTCCAGTGTCGGCTTCGCCGACGAGATGCTCACGCAGTATCTGGTGTCCACGCAAACGGCGGGCGACATCTTCCTCGGGAAGGTCCAGTACTACTCCTACGGGAAAACCGAGGCCGACTACGAGGCGATCGGCGTTCGCAGCGGCCACCAAACGCAGCGGTTCGCCGCGGAAAAGTTCGTGGGGAAGCAGCTGGGGGCAAAGTACAAGGTGCCGCGGTTGCCCCGCTCAAACGTCGTCAGCATGATGCCGGGGGGCCGACTCCCCACGCCCGACGTTTACACACCGACACCTCTTGGCAGCCTGTCGGGGGCGGCGACGCCGTTGTCGAACACCTCCCGCAGCAGCGCGCGGACCCCGCTGCTGAGCGACGTGGACGAGCTCGCGGAGCACAGTACGAGCCTTGCGAAGGCAGGTCGCAAGACCGGCGCATCTTCCGCTACTAAGGGCGGCAAAGGTGCTGGACCGGCGCCGAATAAAGCCGCTGCTGGCGGGGGCACGAATATAATTAAAGCTGCAACTGCTGGGTTGGATCCTGCGGGAAGTAGTAAGGAGGACAGCGAGATCTTGCCACCCGTTTCCGCGAAGGCGTCGTTGAAAAAGCAGGGAAGCAGCGCGAAGAAGGTGGGAAAGGCCAAGTCTTTTGCGAAAAGCCGAACGTCCACCTCACTAGAAGCAGCGCTCGGGTCTCCGGAGGACGAAGTGGAAGTGCCTCTGGTATATGATTTGGACAAGGACGAAGCTGTGCCGAGTGAGGTCGAGCGCATCCAGGAGGACCGCGAACGCAAGGCGTGGCTGGATACCAAGCAGGCCACTCTGGAGTATTGTGACTTCTACACGCGCATTCGGGATTGCCACCTGAAGAACCAGGTTCAGCTCTTTTCCTCCGGCGCCCTGGAGTGGTTGCTGACCGTACTGCAGCAGCTCGCCGTGCCGCCGATCTACCACCGCGCGCCCAAGTCGGTCAAGACCAAAGAAGAAAAGGAAGAGGACGCGCAGCGGGCCGCGGAAAAGAAGGCCCGCGAAGAAGAGGCCCGTCGCCTTGCGGAGGAGGAGGAGCGGAAGCGCCTGGAAGCGGAAGAGGCCGCACGCAAGGCAGAGGAGGAGAAGAACAAGCCGCCTAGTAGCGCGGGGAAGCGGTCGCGTACCCCGCCGTCTGCGGGAAAAGCCGGCGGTTCCTCCCGCGGGCGCGGCCGCTCCCCCCCTCGCTCCGGTAGCACGGTGGGGAAAACATTACAGGCGTCTGGCTCTGGAGGTGGTCTGATCGAAGACGGCATAGATACCACTACCGGATTGCCGGTGGACCCTGCAGCAGCAGCACTTCCGCAGGCAGACGCGACTGCGCCTGAGATCGCGGACGCGGCGGAAAATGCGGGGGAAGTAACAGGCTTAGCGGATCAACAAGAGAACAATTCCGTATCGCAGGACGTAACCGGGACGGAGCAGGGCCAGGAGAGCAAATCGATTTCGCAATCCAAATCCACCGAAAGGGCAAGCACGCCGTCAAAACAGCGAACTCCACCAAAGACTCCGCCGAGCAGACAAAAGAGTCGCGAAACATCTAGCCGACCCGGCACGCCCGGAACGCCGGCGGCCGGAAGTGCAAAGGACGCCGTCATGGCTGCGCGACGCAGTGCGACCGCTGGCCAGCTGTCAGACGGCATTGACGGCGACATAACTCTGCAGCCCGTCGAGGAGGACGAGACGACGTTAGCTGCGCAGCAAGCCACTGAACAACAAACCATCGGCACTTCTCCGCAGCGGAATGCAGAGGAAGCGAAGCCTGCGAGTCGGCCTGGAAGCGCGAATGCCGCGAGCGGGGAGGAAGGTAAAGCGCGACCTGGGTCAAACGCGTCGTCTCGGAGTTCTCGTGGGGTGCGGAAAGCCAAGACGTCCCCGGCCGAGCTGTTGACCGGCGCTGGAGAAGGTGGTGCTTCAAAGTCGGGACTCTTTGACGAGCCGGCGGATGATGATGTTGCCATGCAGACCATTACCGAAGAGCAGACGGACCCGAGCAAAGCCAGCGGTGCGGCGGCAGCGGGACCCACGCTATTGCAGTCGGACGGCGCGGCGGCGCCCGGCGCAGACGAGAAAGACCCCGCAGCGGACGACGCGCCAAAGCAGGCCGTTGCTGCGCAGCCGAAGCGAGCTGCGGCCGGAAAGAAGGGCAAGGGCGGTTTGTCCAAGAAGGAGCAGCAGGCCCTCGCCGAGGAGCGGAAGCGCGAAGCGGAACGGAAGAAACAAGAGGAGCTGCGGCAGCTTCGCATGCAGGAGATGGAGAAAGAGACGCGTGAGGCCGATGTTTTGCTTTTGGCGACGCAAGCGCTATACCTGCTGATTCGCGAGAACCCACACACGCTCCGCCGCCTTTGTCGCAGCGAGGTGTGGGAACACGGCACGAGCGGCGACCACGAGGACGGCGACAACAAGAAGGACGACATCGGCGGCGTTCCGGTTGGACTCGGTGGTCCGTCCTCCTCGGGGCCAGCCGCGGGAGGCGGTCCAGGAGGAGCTCCTTCGGGAGCCGAAGCGGGCAATGCGAAGACCGCCGGGGAGCAGAAAAAGAAGAAAAAGAAGGCGGCGGAGCCGGAACCGGAGGCGGTCGACTGGAGAACCTTGTCTCCCACCGAGCTGTTCGAGCGCGCGAAGCAAAAGAAGTTGAGTCAGATCACACAGATAGACGACATCCAGAAGAGCGCCATCGCCACGTTCGCGAAACTGCTGCGGGGTCGGTACGCGCAGGACCGGGTCGACATCATCATCCTGCTGCTGCGCGTGATCAAGATGTGCGTTGAGTACTGGCGCAAGGACGCGGAGGTGGGCCCCTGGCTCGAACTTCTCAGCCCGATTCAGGAGGCGTTGTCCTGGTTCTGCGACAACATGGCGGTGCAGATCGAGGGCGCCCAGGTGCTGAGCGGGATCATCGGGATGTCCCGGCAAAAAAACGACCACCGGGAGTTCCTGGGGCTGCGGGTGCCCGTGCTCCGCAACGTGACGGACCGCATCAAGGAGGGGATCGAGAACACCAAAACCATCCTGGAGGTGCAGCAGCGCATGGGCTCGGGCGAGATGTCCGAGGTGCTCCAGTGCTTTTCGCCGCGCCTGCTGCACACGGCCCAGAAGGCGAAGGACGCCTGCGACCAAGTAATGATCGAGGCACTGGAGGAGAAGAAGCGGTTCGACGAGAAGTTGCGCATTCAAATGGAGAAGGCCGAAGCGAAACGGCTGAAGGAGGAGGCCGAGCGCGAAGCGGAGGAGGCCGAGCGCGCCGCCGCCGAAGAAGCCAAGCAGAAGAAGAAGAAGCCGCAGCCTGCGGACGGCGAGGGAGGTGCAGCCCCCGAGGGCGGCGCGGAGGGAGGTGCGGCCGGCGAACCGGGCGCTGCGGGCGAAGGAGATCACGGGGCGGACGGCGCGGGAGCCGCGGCTGGTGACAGCCCCGCCGCAGCAGGAGCAGACCCAGCGCAGCAACCGCCCGGCGAACAACAAGACACATCGGCACCAGCTGCACCGGAACTTCAACAGGCCGAACCCGGTCCGGAGGCGCCCTTCGAGGGGCCGGCGGTCGGCGAAGACGGGGCGGAGCCGGCGGAGCTCGACGAGGACGGCAACCCGATCGTGAGCGAAGAGCTGAACGCTAACGCCGCGTACGACCGGTTGGATCCGGTGACGCAGGCCAAGATGGCGCTGTACAACGCCGGGGCCTTCCACGGGAAGCTCGGCGACAAGGACCTGGTCGGGCCCACGCAGTACGGGCTTTTCGAGCCGAGCATCGTGAAGTCGCTGAAGGCCCTGACCGAGCTGGCGGGCAGCGACCCGCTGATGCGGCCGAAGAAGCAGACGGCGAAGTCGCTGAAGGTGAAGGTGTACTACCGCGCGGGGGAGAACGAGGAGGTGGCGAACTTTTTGAACATGTTCGCGGGCGAGGGCAACCGGGTCCGGTGCCAGAAACTGTTCGCCCAGGCGGTGAACTCGCAGGGCTACGAGCTCCCCTTCCACGGCCTGGAACTCGGCCTCAAGGGGGTCCAGTACACGCCAGAACAGCGGGAACTGCACGACGGGTCGGAGGCCGGCAGCAGTTTCTTCTCCGACGACGGCGAGGGCCGGGGCGCGCTGAAGCGGGCCAAGAATTACGAGGCGATGATGGCCCAGATGGAGAAGCGCGTCGCTGCGGGCGAGGCCGCCGCAAGGAAAGAGCAGCTGGTGGGCGCGACCATCGACGATCTGGATAACCTCGATGAGCAGCTGGAGGCCTCGGCCGAGATTCGAGCCCGGTTGAACTCGCGAGAAGGGGCCAGTTTGAAAAAACATAGGAAATCGCGCGGCAATGAGGGCGTTGCAGAGGTGGAAGAAGACGAGGGGGAATAAGAATAGAAAATTTCATTTTCATGTTCCCTATTTCCTCGGCGTTGGCTCGAGCTCGAATAGGAATCATAGCGATGGTGCTCGTGGTCGTGCTGTCCACGACGACTTTTTCTCATGTTCTCGCTCGACGTCCACATTCAACTGCTATCTTTACCAAGAAACAGTAATTTTTTCGACACTTCTGATTATGTACAATTTTAACCGCGTTTGCGTTTCCCCTAGATACTCATTCGTTCCCAGCATCATTTCGATTTCACAGGGACCCCGCACATATCATGGCAAATTTTGCATACATCACAGTTGGAGTTTCTTCATTCATTGGGTACTAGATGAGGCACTAGTACCTGGGGTACTGCCAAGTGCTTGATGCTACTACAAAATTTCGAAATAATATTTAAAATACATCACAGAAGCGCACGGAGATTCTTTGCACCTGTACTTTACTTATTGGAAAGTTTCTTGAAGCCATTCGAAAAACTACTAAGTACCCGTGAAGGACGAGCAGGCTCCACTGCGCTCGCGTAGCCATGTAGTCATCCATGCCGGGGATAAACTTGCGTGAGTTCATTGTTTTTGCTCAGCAAACTCCACAATCGGTCAACATTATTCAAAAACGCATGATCATCACATGTTTGTGTTTCGCATTCGCGCCGCCGGTGCGCCATTGTCAAAATCCGATTGCCGCGCTTGGCCTCAGCGATCTTTGGAACAGAAATTTACGGTATACGTACAAGTACAAAGTGAAATTCCAATGGGTGTCTGGCTGTGATTTCAAGTAAAAGTAAAAAAGAAAAAACTAAAAAAACATCCGAAAAATTAGCCGAACCTCGCCCTGGATCCATCGCTCTTTTGGTTGAGCGCACGGACGTGGATGAAAGTACTGTACTTATCTTTACCTCGTAAAAAAACAAGGCATTTTCTTCTCTGTGGTACAGAACCATGAACGACAACAAGGAATTTGCAGATGTGCAGTCTGAGAAGGGGGCACGAGAAGTCAAGATCGCAGTTATTGGTGCGGGAGTGGCTGGACTGATCGCCGCAAAAGAGCTGGTTTCCGGAGAACGGCTAGGCGGCAACGTGCATGTCGATCTGATAGAACAAGGCGAGCGTGTCGGTGGGCGAGTACAAACTGAAGAATATCTGACGGATCAAGGCGAAACTTTCCTTCTGGATCACGGATTCCAGGTGCTTCTAACCGCGTACCCGGAGGTGCGCCGCCATCTGCGTGAACTCTTGTATGCCCGGCTTGATAACTGCTACGTCTTATTCAACATTTTTGTCAACTAGTTTGTACCACGTATACATTTTGTACGTACTAGTAGTGCTCCCGTGATAAGAACAAAAGAGACCACAGATGTTGAAGCATCGGCTTTGGCATTCGCAGTGTGAACGTGCATGTCTATGCCATGTTAGTTTATCAAAAGCGTCGTCTTCGTTTGAGCCGGGCATACGCTGCCTGAAGTGAGATGTTTTGCGCAAGGCGCCGTGCTTGCGTACGATGGACGACCTGCAGCTCGAGTTCTTGCTTCTGCCCCATCAACCAAGCCGGATGAGAAAGAACTCTGGGTGGTCGCAAATCCGCTGACTTACCCGCGAGGCATTTTTGGCACGCTGCGAACTGTAGTTTACCGCTGGGGTCTTCTGCAAACGCTTGCGGATGTTTGCCGCTTGGCCTGTCGCCTGATATTTCCGCAGTGGGTCTTCCGAGGAGCATACACGGAGCATACCATTGGTGAGGTATCTACAAATTGCATCCGGGGGCTGTCCAAATCAACCAAGGTCGCGTCGACAGTGGCACACCACCAGCACACGATTGTGACTGCAAAACCGCCAGACACGCAGCTGGAGCCCGCAACTCGTCCTGACGGGCTGCACTTGACTACAGATCTCTACCTTTCTCAGCATGTGTCTTTGTCGCCAGCGTTTGTCAACGGGTTTCTGCGCCCCTTCTTCGAAGCCATATACGTGAGCCCACTTTCCTGCCAGCGCGCTGCGCTTTTTAATTTCGTTCTGCGGATGCTTGCGGTTGGTGGCGCAGCCCTACCACCGCGAGGCATACGAGGGGTACCGGAGCACTTGCTGGAGCAAATTCAGGATAGAACCCGTCACAGCAAAAATCTATCGCTCAGTTGCGTTTTTGGAACTCAAGTTTCGGCCATCGAGCAGGTTGCGGGCGGCTCGCGGCTCTCGGTCCGATGCAAGCCCTCACAAGGAAACTCGACGAGAACCACGCGCGAACTAGTATATGACTTCGTCATACTTGCAACTGACTGGGCTGCTGCCCACCGGCTGTTGGAGCCTTATTTGTGCAGCAAGAAAGCGGCGAACGAGCACGATGCTGCAGGATGTTTAGAAGATGAAGACAAGCCACTGTACACTGAGAGCGCGACCTACTATTTCAGTCTCCCCGCCGAAGAGCTACCGGTTACCGAGCCACTGATCGTGCTCCACTCTTACGATGTTGACGAAGCAGCGGTACTAGCGGCAAATAACGATCGAGGGCCTGCTCCCTTGGAAGAGCCGCTTCTAGGAGGGGGTGCAGCTTCAGCTTCTACTGAGCGTGCTGTCGCTGGCAACAAGCCAAAGGACTTCTATCCGTTCCGGGTCTCTAATGTGGGCTTTCCCTCCGTCGTCCAAAGCTCGTACGCCCCGCAACGGAAGCACCTTCTTGCTGCCACTGTGATGCGAACAGACTACGGGGCGATAGGCGCAGCCGCGGCCCCAACCGGGACGAGAGGAAACGATGACAAGGCGGCGACTGCGTGGCCGGGTGAGGGCTGGGTGTTGCAAGAGGTAGTTTCCATGCTCAGACTCGACCACCATGGGCGTGGGACGAAAAGATCGCCAAATAAAGAAAATATGAGTCTGCTGACTTCGTGGAAGTTTCTGAAACGGTTCGTCATTCCCTTTCACCAGCCTCACCACGGCTGTGGGATGAGCCGAGTGGTCTTCGGCCACCAAGGTCGGATCATTGCTTGCGGCGATTACACCTGCGACCCGACTCTGGATGGAGCCATGCGGTCTGGTAGTAGAGCGGCCGAACTAGTGGCGCAGTCCGTACTATCACTTTAACTGACGACGTGAAGAAAGCCATACTTTGAAATAAAAGCGTTGGTTCGTTCTGCACAACACTTCTTCAATACGGTCTGTCCTGCTATCGTGCACGCTTTCCGTTTCTGGTCGTACTCATTTCTGAAGATGGCGATGCTCTGAAGACACTATGTGCATGCCATGAGCTCCTGTCACTTTAACCGCATGGGTTCATACCTTTGGACAAGTGGAAACTGCGACAGGATTCATTATCAAGATCGGAGAGAAAGACGAGAGGAACCATTCATAGTATTTCGACGTTATACATTTCGTCGAAATTATTAGTAAATCGGTCCAGTGATCAAAGCAACACCGGCGTGCAAAGCGCGTTTCCCAAGCTAGCATTAGTACGCCCTCATTAATTTTTGTCAAAAATAGCGTGTTGTAGGGGTGGACTGGCAGGTGCAGAAAGACATAGACGTCATCTCATACTCACATGAACTTGACAGCAGTTAACCCTCCCACCACATATCATCGATTACGTAGCGCCCGCAGCTAGGGAAGTAGTGTCGTTTCTAAATAAACACGGTAATTATCCCTCTCTTACTTTCCCAAGGCCAAGACCCCTCGGCATTGTCTTCAGTGCCATTCATCTGCTTCATCTGCATCGGGTATTATCCGTATTAAGACGACTAACTATGGCTACTGCTGGCGATCAATATGACTTCCGAACGGGGAATATCTGGAACTTCGCGAATCGCGACGACATACAGCAAGTCAAGCGGTTGGTTGGAAGTGCCACTAGAAGGGGCGCAGCCGGCAGAAGTGCCGGCGACCCAATGAAGACAAACGGCGATGAACTTCTAGTAGGAAATTATGAGGAAGGCGATGCACGAAGGGGAGCAGGAGTTCGGTCTGGGAGAAGTTCTGAAGAAAAGAAAAGCAGCGTTGGCAAAAGTCAAGCCAGTGACGATGGTGCTCCACCTGTCGGCGAGGACACGAACACAAGTTTTCAGAACTACACCGAATTCGGGCTAGGACCCGAGTCCCTGTCCCCGCAACTCACTACAGCCGTGGAGGCTAGGAGAGAGCAAGACAGTGCTTCGTGCTACTTTTCGTCCGAGGTATCTCCAGAGCTGCGCAACAAAGTGGGGTGGACGCCGCTCCACGCAGCGGCCCATGGAGGAGCGCTCCGCGTGCTATCGTGGCTTCTGTATACGTGTCGCGTCGAACGAAATCCGCAGTGTAACGCAGGCCGAACGCCCCTGATGGATGCGGCTCGGACGGGTAACTTTCACGCCGTGAAACTGCTACTGAAGGCGAAAGCGGACGCTCTGGCGGAAGACAACCAGCAGCGAACGGCGTTGCACTACGCCGCTAAAGATCGAGCCACGCGCGACCTCCTGGCTGCCAAAATGACACAGAAAAACACTGGCCCTATCAGCGAAAGTCAAAATGTGTTTTTACCAGGCACAGGAGATGATGTTGTCAGGAAGAATGCCCACGCAAGAGCGGGCGGCCAGATAGACAACAGTCCGGCGGCGGGCAGAAAAGCGCAGCGCAAGAAAAAGTTTGGCCGCAATGTCGTCAGTTCGGAGGACGACGAACAAGGCAAAGCTACGGGTAAGATCGTAAAATAGATACAAATACAATAGAGATGCGCCCCTGCATATGGTTAAGAAAGCTTTTTTCTCGCATAAAACTAAATTAAAATTCGCTTCAGATGCGCGTTTTGCTTTTGAAATAAGTAAGTAAAAGAAATGCGCGCGACCTGCAGACATTTTCATTTTCACATCTCTGGAAGAAAAATAGAAAAAGAAGTTGCGATTTCGCAAAATAGAAATGCAGTATGCAGAAAAGCAAGCACGATGCAGGAATGAGCATCAGCATTCTTTTGAGTTACAGTGTGATTTTAGACCGGCACTCTTGCCGTCGGAGAAAGGAATCGAATTTTCCGGATCCAACTAATAACTGTAATTTTGTACGACCCGATGTTCTTCCAGATCCGTCTGAATCTGAGTTCCAAGATCGAAATTTCCGTGCGTATCCTCGCATTGTAGAGGAGAGCAGGAATTGTAATTGAATGTGATGAAAGACGACATCGGTTGATCTTGGTTGTGTTGCCACGAAGGATGGTATCATCTGAGTTAATCATGACTATGAATGGCTATTCAAAATCCCCTGTTGATGTGTCGGTTGCGATGTCAATGACACTAATGACGATCCGACTGGCTTGATTTATTTGGTTCTTACAACTTGCGGAGCTCTTTTGACTTCATATTGATCTGACAGTGCTAAGCCTGTTACATTCATGCGGCAGCGACACCGAGAAAAGGCGACTTTGGTCCTCGCGTGCGAGCGCGAATATGAATCAGATCACTCGTGGTGAAACAATCGACTTTCGCTGGACATACCAGTCGCGGTCTGGTTGATCTACCAACAAGGTGAGGATCAAGAAGGCTCATCTGTGACGTGGCTCAGGAAGATCTGTCCTCTCTCGTGTGGTAGATGAAAGATCCCAGAGAGATCTATGCGTGCACCGTCCCTGCTCGACGAGTACTTAATATTTTTACTCACTTAGAGGTCTTCCACGATGTGTCGCGTATCTGATTCTGAAGTAAGTAGATCCTATCTACTGGTGATGTGACTGATTGTAGCGCTTTTAGGTTCTTGGGGTCGTAGGAGGTAGACCACAAAAGGGAAACTCATCCGCATGTACGCATTTCACTTGTCGCAGACCTTATGGCTATGCTGAAACGTTCTTCGGAAACGGACGAGCATTGACTTTTCTTTTATTTCAAAGTGTCCTCCGCCTGTGATGCAATACGGACTTAATCCACTGGCACTGACCGTTTGTTTCTACTTTACGTTTACTGTACCGGCGTCATCGTCAAGACAAGTTTAACAATAGTACCGACAAGACTTTATATCTCGACCATGCAAGCACTTTTGCAAAAAGGAAAGGGGACCTTCAGGCGCTCTTCCACACAACTGTCGGTGTCGGCTGCTCGAGGTACTGTCGGAAGCACGGGTGCTCCTCGTCCTGGCACCGCAGCCCGGTTTTTCTCTTCCGCAGCGGCGCAAAGCCATGAACGCGGACAATTCCAAGCCACAGCCTCTTGTTCCGGAGGTGGAGCTGCCGGGTTGTATCGTTCTTCGGCATCTACTACTGCCCGAGAAGTAGCGAGCAGCACCCCGACGTCCTTGTCCGCAGGCGACGCCGGTTCTCAGCAGCGGGACGAGTTCCTCTTTTCCCCGGCCACGCCGGTGGGCTTCATCGGGCTGGGAAAAATTGGCAGCGCGATGGCCCGGAACATGCAGAGCGCGGGAATGGAGGACGTTTCCGGCTTCGACCCCTTCCTCGCGAAAGCCGCCGATCTGCAATCCATCAACAAACTCGACTTTGCCGCGTTCGCCCGAGATCGCGAAGTTTTTGTCTCGGCTCTTCCCAACGACGCGGCCGTGGAAAAACTGTTTTTCGGCGGAGAAGAAGAGAAAGCGGCCCGAAAAAATATTGAGCTGTTGCCGAAAGGAAGCGTCCACATTTCCGTCTCGACCATCAGTCCGGCGCTGGCGGAACGCATGACGGCCGAGCATGCCAAGCATGGTTCGCACTTCGTTTCTGCTCCAGTTTTTGCCCGCCCGGATGGACTGGCGAAAAAGGAAGCGTTCTTTCCGGTCGCCGGGAAATCCGACATCGTCACGAACCTGGTCAAACCTCTTTTGGAAGCCACAACTGCAAAGAAGGTACTTGAGTATAACTAAAGTAAAGTACTTTTACAGCTTTAGTTGTGGTATTTTGCGCAGTATGTTGATGTATGTTTCCCTAGGGTCGTCAGGGGCGGCTGCGGCGTCATCAAGTAGACCTTCTTGTTGAGGAGCAAAGTTGGAGCGTTTTTTTATGCAAAATTCGCACTCGCCCCCCGTACCTGCATGTTTCTATGATTTAATTAAAGTTTGTTTCATCTTCTCCAGGTTGAGTACTTTGGGCCTCACCCGAAGCAGGCGAACGTCGTGAAACTGTGCGGGAACTTCCTGATTTGTTCCGCGATCGGTGCAATGACGGAGGCCTACAACCTCGGAGAAGCGTACGACTTGAACCGGCAGCAGCTGCACCAGCTGTTACGCATTACAAAAGAATCTTCGTACTAGTTATAAATCGCATAGACAAGAAAAAAATTTCCTCACCATAACAAAGGAAATTTGTCTTGCTGAGTTACCTTGAGAAGGATGCATTTTGTCACTGCTTTTACTACGAGTACGATAGATACTTTTGCAGTGCATAACAGTTCTCGAACACCATCTTTGACTGCTTGATTTACAAGGGCTACGGCCACCGCGTTTCAGCGCACGACCACTATCCCTACGAAGACGCCCACTTTGCCCTGGCTTTGGGCCACAAAGACATGCTGCTGGCAAAGCAGGCCGCCGAGAACATGACCCTGCCAAAGAAGCACTGGGGACTCCAGGAGCAAAGAAAGGACGTCGAAGAAGCTTCAACAAACCCCGAGGACGAGGGTGTAGTGAGAAACCAGGCAGACCGGAAGCCATTGCACATGCCATTTTTGGACGCTCTGGACGCGAAATTTCGGACCGCCAAGGCCGAAATGAACTGCGAAAAGCTGGATTGGAGTGCGATCGCGATGGTGTGATCGCAAGCGAAGGGAGACTGGCAAGTGGCGAAAAGCTGGGCATCAGTTCATGCGAAAAGGACGGACAGTAGATGAAGTTTTGGAAAAATCATGCACATCAAACTGGGGATCTAGATGTGATTCAAACATTTAACGCACAGTAATATTCATACAATGCGCCTGCCGCGTACCGAGGAACGAAGGGTGATATCGAATTTAGTCTGGTGATATTTTTACTGCGCCTTCGCAGCTTCAGCTAGTAGCTCTATCCTCTTCAGACAATCGACAGGTTGCCGGCCCGATGAGATAAACTTTTTTGATTTTCTGAAACGCTACCAAATTTACGAATGGTTACGAGGACGCTGCCATGCGATCTTAGTGGACGGCGCGATAGTCATCCGCTGGGAGCCTATTGTCGGAATGGGCCAGGGGCCCAGACTCCCTCCGGCGTTGTGGGTCGTTTACTTGGCTGACAGCGTGGAGCAGCTAGATCGCACCATCATCAAGTTGCTCCCGGAGATTTTCGCCGACGACGTGCTTCTCCTCTTCGACTTCGATGCCAGGACAGTGGAGGAGGAGAAGGCTGCTGCTGAGTCCCACGCTGCAGACTGGCAGAAGAGGACGGGGCTGACCTTCGGCAAAGTCGAGTGGCTAAAGGCCACACGCGGCAGCGGGGGCGATAGCAGCTTTTTCGAGTACTTGGGCTTCATGTTGCAAAGCTGCGGCAGCACGGAGCGAGAAGTAGACCGGCGGCAGGTGAAAATCCTAGCCAAAGCCAAAACACGCTCCAGCCAGCCCAGGGAGGAGCGTACACCGGCCGAGGACATCAAGTTCTTCAACGAGCAATGTCGTAGTCACCTCAACTACGCAGCGGCGGCCCTTTTCGAAGGCTTGCAGGACGACCAGGCGGCACAGAAGGAGCTGCGAAACACAGTGGCAAAGGCGCTGCGGGCATCCACAGGTTTGTCCTCCCTCTACCCGGTGCAGGCGTCCTTCGACCTCATCGGCATGGGTTGTCCTCTGATGAACTTGCAGGTTGAGCATGAGACGATGGAGTATTTCCTGCAAGGATCGGTGAAGGGGCACGCGGTAGCAGCAGGTGGACTGCATCAGCAGCCGGAATGGTTCGACGAGGCGCGAGTCAAGATCTACACTTCCAAGAAGGTCTACGAGCGTTTCGGGATACCGCACGGCAACGAGCAAGAACTGGCACAGGAGATGGAGCAGCAGCTGTGCGCGATGCCGATCCCCCAGGAGGAGTTCCGCGCTAGCTGTGACGGGGGGAAGCTTGCGGGAGCAGGCTCCGATCAGAAAGCACACCGGGCCAACTGCTACTACGAGACAGCAGAAGATCAGCAAGCAGCAACATACCGGGTGTGGTCGGTTTTCCCGCAGTTTGATGTGGAGACGATAGCGCTGGACCAGTTGGTGAAGATCATCCACGAGGAGCTGCAGGCGGGGCACACGACAGTGAAGATCTTCACCGACGCAAATGGCGTGCTCCAGGCTTTGGAGAACAGCTGCAGCAAGTAGGAGAGCAAGACAAAACTCCGGAAGGGGATCAACAAGATCCTGTCAGACCACACCAGCGCCACGATAGAAATCTTCTGGGTGCCATCGCACAGGGGCTTCAGGCTCAATGTCATGGCGGACGCGCTGGGGCCCATGGACGCCAATCCGGGAGAAGCGGACGAGGAGCCGATAACGAAGCAGCGGGTGAAGCTTCTCGTCCGGGAGGAGCGGAAAAACACACATGAAGCAGTGGAGGCGGAAGCGGATCGGGATGTGACCACACTGCTCAGGGCCACCAGGATTCGGAAGCTTGGCAGGATCGAGCTGGCCGGGCTCACCCCGACACAGCAGCGGGTCGCGATGTCGTTGTGGTCGGGCGAATCGTTCCTGCCTATCACAATGGTTCGGAGGTGTCAGCGCGGGTGGCCGGTCTGCCGGCTCTGTGGGGGTGATGTCAAGGTGAAGCGAGTACAGGGAGGTGCTTGGATCAAGGGCTTCAGGGAGGAGGACGAGGTGCAGGACGTGAGAAAGTTCACAAGAATTGTGGACCACTTGCTGGTGGAGTGCCCCGCAGTTCCAGAGGCGACGAAATACGCAGGGGCAAAGGCGCACACGGCGATTTTGAAGGCGCCAAAAGTCCAGATGAACAGGTTGATGGACGCAATCCAGGAGCCGCAGAGCAAGATCGACCTCGCGCACCCCTGGCCATACAAGGCGAGGAGCGACAAGCCAACACGAGCGGAGGAAATGGCGACGATGCCGCGGGTGTGGCTACAGGAGGGAAAAGAAGCGCTGAAGAAGAGGAGGATCGGTGATGAAGGAGCAGAGCGTGAAGGTGGTTGAAGAGATGTCACTACCCAGCTCCACCATAGGCCCTAGGCAACGAAACAGTAAGAACGCTCCTGCTCATTAGAAGAAGAAGTAGATCCGACAGAAGGAAGACGATCCAGCAAGAAGAAGAAAATGAAAAAGATCACCATGACGTAGCGCAAGCAGCTACTAAGTTTTGCGAAATCTTTTCACGGACAAGAACTCACGTTCTCCTCCTTTCAGATGATGAGAAGGGCAGTGGCGGCAGATAGTAGTGATGTACAAAAAGATCGTTTGTTCCAGTCCAAAGAGAAGATCCGCCTTCTACACTACGGAAGCCTTTTCTAATAGCGGAGAACCACCAGGATCAGAAACTGTTCGCGACCACCAACGCTTTTCTCACAAAACAAACGCGTGCTCTATCTACTAGGCCTTTTGTAGAAGATCCTGCACATACCAGTACTACGGATAGGAAGAAGCGCATCATCTCCAACAGTTTTACCGTGGCGCGCCACCAGACCTGATAGGATCCGATGGAGAATCTTTTGCTTTTTGTTGTTGACACGGAGGAAGAAGCCGTACCTGGCAGCTCAAGCTGCCACAAGAGAGCATCAAAGCGGCGTGTCAGAGATGAACAAGAACAATCCAAACCGCGAAATGAAGAAAACGGAGGATGGGTTTCAGGGTAGGGTAAAGGGTTTTAGGGAGGTAACTGGGAGATGCAGGGCGTAACTCCGTGTTTTCCTGCGTCTCCCGGTGGCGTTTGCGTACCGCTACCAGAGCCTCGGCTCGGGTAGCGCAGGCAGGAAGGGCTAGAAGAGGAGTCTAGCTTAGGACCTGCCATTTCTATGGCGCCTGTTCTGACGCAAGGAAGGGCAAGCAGAGGCGGCTTGTTTTGGACCTTGTGGTTGGGCGGAGGCTGGCGGGAGCATTACGGATGAGGTGGTAGTTTTGCTCCAGTCTGAAACCAGGGCTGAGGAAAGGCTCCGGCAGTTCTTCTCCCAGGTAACTCCCCGAGCTTGGCCGTTCACTACTAAAACGGGCGGTGTTTCGTCAGGCTCCGGTGGCGACTGGTTGAGACACTAGTTGCCAGCTATTTACAAACAGGAACATAGTTAGTATTGCAGACAGTTACTCGCTCGCCTGAAGAAGCGAGCACACAATTGATTTTCTGAAACGCGCAACGCAGCTGTGATTTTTTCCCCTGCTCGGTGATTCCACTCGGGACTACTCACTGGCACTCTCAAAATGGATGGAGTCACCAGACTATATCGCGCTAAACGACGTTTGGTCAAACAAACAGGTAAAGTTCTGACAACGAAAAAGTTCTGCAAAAGAAAAGCGGATTTTGCAGATGCATGACGTAGATGCAGGTGGACTTCCGCTTCTCGCCCCCGGTGCTCGGTCAGCAATCACTCCCTTTCGATGATGTTATTATAAAATATATGCATTTTGCGGGTGGTAGTACAACGAACTGCATGATGCTCCACAAAGAAATTGCGATAATAAAGCAGCAGAAATCCACGACCTCCGTCGAATACATAGCAAAGGATACAGCAGCAGCGTCAGCGTGATGTGGATACTAACAGCTATAGTTTTCTATCATTAATCTTCTCAGACGACCTCTATTATAATGATGAAAAGTGCTGGGAATGGGAAAGAAATGAGCACCAGAAGTCCATAATTATAAATATGCTAGGCCCTTCCATCACCAAAAATTGCTTTTACTATAAACTCAAAAACCCCAGGGATGAACGTGCTTCATTTTTGCATGAGACAGAAGCTGAAAAAAAGATTTTGAGCTTTCCCTCGAATTGATCCCTTTGTAATCGGTGCTGGTTCTACCAGCATCAAGATCAACAAGTTGAATTTATTCCACCAGTTTTCCATTTCCAATTTCCAGCCGCACGAATAAACAACATACATTCACATTGACATTGACGAAATGTTTCGCGCTGGCAGGGCTGGTTTGAGAATGGCAAAGCAACCGCAGGTACTGATCGACGTCCACACGCACATGTACTATCCGGCCTACATGGAGTATGCAACAAAAAAGGTTGTTGTTGTGAACTTTGTGACGCGCAACACGCAAGATAATTGCTGCGTCTGCCATGCTGGTCATGCTCTGTAGGGCCCGTTCACGCGCATTGTCACGCACTGTCTGCGCATGACATGGTTTTGCTGCCATGCCAGGCAGTGGTGATGTTGAAGTGCAGGGGTTCACGAATGTATTTACCATGCATTTTCAGGTCTCACGGTCTCACCACTCAACGCAGTGCACGCACATCCGAGTTATCGGGGGATGGGGGTCGTAAACGAAAAGAAAATAATGATAAACCCTACGGCCGGCGTCGTGGATCCCACGAGCATCCCTCTGTCTGTTACTTATATGCAAGACCGATTTGTGATGCTGTTCGTTTACATTAAAAATAAAAATGAACGACAACTACCATTTTTTCTTGTATAGGAAGGTTCTGCGGCAACGGACCGCGATCCCCAAGGTGGTTCGCAACGCGAAGAACGAGGAGCGACTGGTGATTCTGCCTAACGAAGAGATGAACGCAAGTGACACGACCAACATCGGGCGACCGATCGGGGCGGAGTATTTTGATGTGCGCGAGAAGTTGCAATTCATGGATGCGTATGCCTTGCGAATGTATCGTGTTGATAGTCTTTTAAAACGTGCATTGTTCTCTTCTTTTTCCCAAAGCAAAATGAACTTCTGAGGGACTTTGATGTAGTGGTACGAGAATGAGTATGTGTATGGTGATAAGTGCAAAAATTCCAATTGGTACTACGACCACGTGGTCTACTATGATCCGATACTTTTGCCCCGGATAAAGCGCACGGCATCTCGCACTCCATCGTCTCCCTTGCGAATCCGTGGCTGGACTTTCTGACCTCGGATGCGGAGCGCGCCGCGGCCCCCGAGACGGCCCGCAAGCTGAACGAGGATTTGAACACGATGTGCGCCGGCGCGGCGGCCGACAGCCGTTTGTTCGGGTTCGCGGTTTTGCCGACCACCGCGGGCGGCGCCGCCTGCGCCCGGGAGGTCGAAGCCTGCTTCCGCGCGCCCGAGCCGCACAACAGTCACTTGAAGGGCGTGATTCTGGGGACCAGCGGTGTGCTCGGACAGGGCCTGGACGGGAAAGAAATGGAGCCCGTCTACGCCGCCCTGGAGCAGCAGGACGCCGTGCTCTTCATACACCCCCACTACGGCCTCGCGGGCGAGGATCTCAGCCGCTACGGGCACTCCCTGGAGCTGGCGCTCGGCTTCCCCATGGAAACCTCGATCGCGATCTCCCGTCTGATTTTATCCGGCGTACTGGACCGCTATCAAATGTAAAAATGTCTGGGTGTGGAAACTTGTGATGCAAGAAAGAAAATGTTGATCACACTGTAATGCGCTTTCCAGCATGACAAGTTTTTGCGTGCGTCAGAGTTGCGCACTCCGCATGAGAAACTGCGTTTTTGCAAGACAGACAGGAGGACCTCTTCGCGGGCACGCAATACAGAGTTTAGAGGCATGCCAGACTAGCATTACAAATCTCGCAATCTCCCAGACCCAGACATATTTGCAGTTCATAACCGCTACCCAAACTTGAAAGTCTACGTCGCACACGCGGGCGGTGTACTGCCCTACCTGCAAGGACGCCTTGACTCCTGTGTCGGGTACATTTATTTTTGAGCACTGCATTCAAAGTTGCTTGTTGATCTTATCTTCTATCTTCATCTTGATGCCTCCACGAAATAATTGTTTATATGATCGAGATATAGTTGCATTTACCCTGAAAACATAAAAATCGAGCGGCTTGATGGTTGTTGATGTTGTCCCGGGCTTCGTTCCCAATCCAGCGTATAATTAGCAGTAGGACTCCCCGAAAAACTACTACACAAAGGTACGAAAAGCAGATCGTGCTGCAGAAGAAGCCGTCCGACTATTTACGGGACCTGTATTACGACGCCATCATTTACAATCCTGACTGCCTATTCCAGAGAAAAAAGCCCACGTAATACAAAAAAGATACCCCGCAGGAACAAGTTGGTCTCGGAAGATGTTTTAGACAGCAGTTTTTGCATATTGCACTGGTTCTTCGCATTCGCTCATGACGCATTTTTATAGGCTTGTATGTAGTGAGGTCATAAATTCTAAACAAGTATCACGATGGTGCTTTTCTCTACTCCGGGATACTGCTTGAAGTTACTTGTTGACACGGTCGGCGCGGACCGTATCATGTATGGTACCGACCACCCCTTCTTTCCGCCTACCGAAGGTGAGCAAAAATGGAAGTCGGCCTTGAAAATCCAGGAGATTGTCCCGGAAGAGCACCGCGAAACCATCTTCGGCAACACAGCGACGCGGCTGTTCGGCCTCGAAAGCGAGGTGGCAAAAGCACTGTCACATGGCATCACAAGCGCGAGCGGCAAAAACGGGAACAGCGCATCAGAAAAAACGCGGGGCACTTTTGAACAAGGTCAATCCGCAGGAGAAAGCGGCTTTGCACAAATGAAGATGTAGTTGGTGTCTGAGGAACGCAAAAGATAGTGGCTCTGCTTCGCAGACGAAACCAGCGCTTACTTACTCCTACCGCAATGTCAGCTTCATATTTATACATTAGTACTTTTCTAATTCTTCGGTCGCAAAGAACAAGTACTCCAGTACTCACAAGCAATCCGCTTTTTGATGTTTTGCCGGATAATATGCAACTGTACCTCTTACCTGCTCGCTTACAAAACCGGGTCCATAAGATCATACGCAGATACATGTCTCCCTTACGCAAAAAACACACCAGAATGTGAACTTGCAACATGATTCGAATCGCACTGCAGCTTTTCATCTACTTAAATCAATCTCGCTGATATTACCATGCAACTGCGAGCAGACTCCTTGCTTCGATGCGGACATTTAAGGACCCTGTAGGTGAACGAGAACGCAGCTCGTCGTCCTCATACAGCACGCAAGAGCACGCCACCTCAAGGATAACGCTTCTGCATTTATAGAAGGATGGCGCGCTATTTCGACAAGCAAAAAGGATCGCGTGCGCTAACGGCGATCGCAGCGTTGCAGCGTGCAGAAAAAAGAAACGGAGTCGGCAAAGTAGCGCGACATAACTCTATCTCCATGTAGATGTACTTATGAAAAGTATTGCCTGGATGAAAGTTTCGCCTTCTTGCATGTGCAGCCCGCGATGAGTCAAGTCTTTTTGCCACTTCTTTGAGTAGATAAAGCGGGCCCTCTCTTCACATTACTACATGACATTTGACCTCTTGTATCCCATGCAGCTGCTGCGCATACAGTTTTGAATCCAGTGTCATCAAGTACATCTGGGTGAGGTACTAGATAATTTTATCGTTCCTCCCGAAGCTAGCATAGCGCTATTGTTGCTTTGTTATCGCTTGATTTTTCTTTTGATTTGTAATTCTAATTGTATTTGTATTTTTTTTCACTTTCTCTCTCTCACTTTGACTTTACATTTCATCAATCGCTACTATCCCTAGAACTAGAAGAACCCCGATGTTAGCGCTATCCCATAGTTTGCGAGGATCTTCGGGAGGTCACCAGAGCAAGGTTTGTGGTTTGACGCGGCGGCATATCAAATGTAAAAATGTCTGGGTCTGAAAGAATGCGCGATTTGTCATGGAGCTTTTCCATGACCCATGAAGCCTGGAATGCAGGACCTAGCATGACAGATTCTGTGCGATCTCTCTCATGCCTATCCTGCATGAGAAACTCCCTTCCGACATGGTCAAAGCTGGACGATTGTTGGTAATCACGCAACACAGATTTTCGCATGCTTCAGATTTAGCATGACAAGCTTCAATGTTCCAGACCCAGACATTTTTACATTTGAGACGGCATTTCGGAGCTAGCGCAGGAGCTGCGGCGGTCCGGCACATGGGAGCGACTTCGAAGATGGGAGAAACATGCATGGGCCAGCGGCACAATGACGCGACCACAGGTGCTGCGCACCGGGCACCTTTGTCCGTCTCGTCCTCCTGCAACACCCAGCAGCGGGCACTGCCGTTTGTGAATCACTTCGTGAATGGCCGACTGTACGACGGTCGTGCCGGATCTGCTGCTGGAAAAGACACTGCTGCTAAAAATCCAGGGAGCAGGGAAGATGAAGTAGACTGTGAGGAACCGGAGCAGGAGATGACCACATCTAACAATAACTACAGTAAGGACGTTACCACGATGAAGACGTCGATGCAGGTGGTGTCTCCGGTGTGGGGCACCCCGGTGTCTGAGTTTCCGGTTGCGAGCGAACAGGTTGTGCGGGACACGGTGAGCGTCGCGCAGGCCGCGTTCGATCAGAAGCACCGCTGGGCGGGGGATCGCGGTCGCCGCGTGCGCGCGCTGCAAAAGATGGCGGAGAAGCTGCGCGACCCCGCCGTCTTGCAGCGACTCGCGGAGTCGGAAACGGAACAAATTGGCCGGCCGCTGCGCGAGATGCGGTTCCAGCTCGGCCGCCTGCACGAGTGGTTTGATTACTACGCCGCCGTGCTGCGTGTGCACGAAGACAGCGTGCTGCCGACCACGGGAAACTTGAACTACACGAAGCGCGTCCCGCTCGGGGTCGTGGCCCAGATTACCCCGTGGAACCACCCCTTGCTGATCACGGTGAAGAAGTTGGCGCCGGCCCTGGCCGCGGGAAACGCCGTGGTCGTCAAGCCGTCGGAGCTTGCTCCGAATTCCATCATCCTGCTCGCGCAGCTCTTGCACGACGCGTGCAACGGTAGCACCAAGAACACCAGCAATGTGGAAAACACACCGGACGATATCACTTGTAAAAACGTCGTCCTCACCCCAGAGTTGTCATGCAAAAATCTGCATGCTGAGAAGAAAATATTTCTCATGCGGATCCCCATGAGAGGCATTTTCTAGGGTGTTTCGGAATTGGTCAGGCTCCAAGCAGCATGATGGATAAGCTAGATCTGTGATACTGCTGCACGAGCTAAACAGGATTACACTTCTACGAGGCCACACCTGTCATAAAGCTTGGAGTGGAGATTTGTGTTGCAAATTTACCAACTTTGCTATGGATAGGACGTTTTTCCACAGGATAGACGATGGGGAAAACCTACTGCCCGACGGCATTTTGAACATTCTTCTCGGGGATGGGAAGACCGGCGCCGCCTTGGTTCAAGACCCCCGGATCAGCAAGGTGGACTTCACCGGTGGACCCGGCACGGGCAAGGTGATTGGCGCCGCTGCGGTATCCTGTGTTAAACTTTTGCCACCCCCGCATAAGTACCTACGCGTACGCACCTTGCATAGAAGAAGTTCTCGGATTCGCACTTGCAGGAAGGTGTGCGATGCGCCTCCGCATTTTGAGAGGCATAAGCTTGAGTCTAGGACGAGCTAATGCGTCACGAAAAGCAAGTTAAGTTGCTCTGTGTAGTTGCTCTGTGTAGTATGGTGGAAGTTCTTGCTCTGTGTAGTTGCAGTTCATCTTGTGCCCATGCTGATAGTACTCTCCGTGCTCCTCCGGCATGCGCATGAACTTGCCATGCGCAAACCGCGTTATAAAAGATTGTTGATTTGTGTGAAGAACAAACGGAAAGAGTTAGAACAATTTGCATCCTGCCGATGGACATTATCATGGGGGGCTCCGAAGTTTTCACACAGGATACGCGGGGGCAAACCTCGCCGGCTACATCGCGGAGTTGGGCGGCAAATCACCCATGCTTGTGTTCGAACCGGGTGTATGCATTGCAAATATGTCTGGGTCTTGAAGTTTGCAACTTGTTGTGCTAAATCTGAATCATGCAAAAAATCTGTGTTGCATGATTACCAAAAGCAGTAGTTTTTTACCAAGTTGAGATGGAAGTTCTCATGCAGGACAGGCATTATAGACTAGATCTCACAGAATTTGTCATGCTAGGTGCTGTATTCCAGACCTCAAGGATCATGGAAGACCTGCCTGACAAATCTTGCATCCTTCCAGACCCAGACATATTTGTTCTGGATAGGGTGCCGGGTTGGTCGGCGCCGACCGCGAAGCCTACCTGGACCAGATGGTCAATGGCGTTGTGTTCGGGTGCTTCATCGCCAGCGGGCAGACCTGCATTGCCGGCACGCGGTTGCTGCTGCAAGAAAGTCTCCGGGAAGAATTTCTGGAGAAATTGGTAAAGAAGGTTGCCGCGCTCCGCGTCGGCGATCCCGTGAAGCCGGAAACTGGGCTGGGTCCGGTCATCACGGGGAAGCAACTCGATTTCATCCAAGACACGGTTAACAAGGCTGTCGCCGCCGGGGCGAAGGTTCTGTGCGGGGGAAAGCGAAAGCAAGGTAGAGCGAAAATAATTCAAAAGAAAAGCACAAGACAAGTATGTGTGCCATCGTTCCATTGATTCATAAAACTAAAAGATTTTCCTGGTGCTCTGTCTTGTTTCGCACGTACTAGTAGTTTACCATCATGAAGAGCAAGTACTTATCACGGCCAAGCAAAAAAACGTCGAGAGAGTTTCTTTTCTGGAAATTGGAAACTTTAACTTTATGACATATACAGACTTCACTGCTCCGGATGCGGCTTTGAATGCCGGGAACTTTTTTGAAGCCACCGTTCTTCTCTCGGACACCCACGAGAACCCGGCGTTTCACACCGAAATGTTTGGGCCGGTTTTATCTGTTACTTGCTTCCGGGAGGAAGCGGACGCGGTGCGGCTTGCGAACGCCACTGAATTTGGACTTGGCTGCAGCATTTGGACGCCCGAACTGGCTAAGGCTCACCGCATCGCTATCTTGAGCAAAAACGTCCCCACCCCAGAGTCAAGTTGCTAAATCTGCAACAGAAATCTCCAGGCTTCAGGAATTGCGCATGACAAATTTGGGCTCGGCGTGTAGCCGCGTTCAGCTAGAGCAGCAGCATTGCAGATCCATTTTGTCATGCTGATTTCAGCATCAAAAATCTCAAAACACCACTCCAAAAAGCTTCTCATGGGTCTCCGCATGAGAAACATTTCATGCATGCAGATTTGCGTCAGGGGCGTTTTTGCGCAGGATAATCGCAGACCAGATTCAGTCGGGTATCATCTGGATCAACGACCTATCCAATGCAATTATGTCTGAGTCCTCTGGCAACTTGTGAGGCTGAACTATGCATGACTGAAATAAGTAGCCCAATGCAACCAAGCATGACATCCTGTTTTCAGAACACTTGACTTTCACTGCGCTTTATTTGTACGACGAAGGAGGGCGTCTTTAATTTTGTCAGTCATGCACGAGTACCGTACAGCTACAGATTTATTTACAGGAATGTCGGACTAGCATTACGTGTTCCATCTTTCCAGACCCAGACATGTTTGCAAGGCACACGAGCACCACAAAAACGACCCGAGCTCACCGTGGGGAGGGTTGACGAAGATGAGCGGCATTGGACGCGAGAATGGAATCGACGCCTTTCACGAATACACATATGCAAGAAAAAAACGCTGTTGGTGTAAATTTGTGATGCGCAACATGCAAGACGATTGCGTCTGTCATGCTTGGCATGCATCGTAGGGTCCATTAAAGGGCGTTTTCGCGTACTATCTGCGCATGACAGGTTTTTGCTGTCATGCCTGACAAATTTGTAATGCTGTTCCTCCAAAAAAGTTACACCTACAATGTTTTTTTCTTGGATAACACACAATCGAAATCGATCGTCGTCAACCCCGCCCCATACACGGGCGACTGGTTTGGAAACTTGCAAACGAAATACAACTGAGGCGCGGGGAAGAGATGAGTTTTTTTTTTTTGTTAGCGTGGAAGAATAACTACAGAAAAAGAGAGCCATGTCACGATAGAATGTTGCATCAGACAACGTTCCCAATGTTCCCAATGTTGAGAAAAAAGGCGAATGCGGATACACGAAATGCATGATATCGACGAAAATAATGAACGACTAGCACCCGTGAAATTCGCACGAAAAAGGTACACAAATGATCGAATATAATCGGGAGCGGAATTATTGCACGCTCCTACCACCTCTCATGGCACGCGATTATGGGGGCTCACGCACCATATCTGAAACATGAACAACTACTGTATTTAGCGCGCAAAATAAACGATGGAATCCATCGGGAACTCATCAACATTCATACGACAAATTGAACACGGCATGTTGATGAACAACATACGAAAGAGATCCGAAATTAATTCGGACACTAGGATCATATCATATGGAACTTCCAACTAGAATTTGACGAACATCATAATAATCATCAATCACAATCACTTTTGTTCCATCGAAAAGCTTTTTTATCTTTATCGCAGAATGAATATCAGAAATCTTCGTAGAAATCTTCGTTGTTTGGACATTTGAATCAATGTGTCCATCGATCGATCTTTTATAATCTCTTAAGATAGAATTTGAATTCATTTTTTCGATAATCCTCTGTGGGTATCACATAATGAATCATATGTCTGAAATCTCGTCAAATATCAAAATGAAATAAAAAAAATCAATATCGAAATGCAAATGGATCGGGATCATTTTCTGAATCGAAATGAAATGTAAAAGAAGACGAAAATGGTTTGGATTTCTTGTGTAAAATTCTGTGTTGATCATTAAGTTCGGTGGTGTTCTCGTTCTGGTTAGTTTTGTTGTTTCTGTAAAGTAGAAGGTAGTTAATCTTAATCGGTATAGGTTGTGATTTAATGGGCATAGGTAGTTAATCTTAATGGGTATCGCGCAGGGTATTCCCTCCGCAATCATGATCGTCCAATATGTCTTTCTGGTGCCCTCAGAGTCCTGCAGGGTTGGGCGCGCCCTAGCATGTTCCTCTCACTCGCGGCACAAGTCAGTGTCGGTGCCACCATGCATGTCAGTCAGGCCGCGCGTCGTAGCCACAGAGGACCGTGGGTTTTATGTCTGGTGGGTCTGCCGGGTGTTTGGGGATGTTTCTCAATTCTTATGTGAATATCTTCTGAATATTATGTGAGGATGATAAATAAATAAAGAATAATGGATCCTCAATTGGATCTTCAATCATTATTAAAATGAATGGTGTTATATGATCGATCTGAGATACAGATATATATCCGATTCTCAATACATAGATAATTTAGATTTCATTCGAATCTCATGTGGAAATCTGATGGACCCATAAGATCCAGAATCTTCATCCGGAGCCGCGCCCGGCGGAGGCGCCCCTATTCAAAGCCTAAAAAATTTGTGGTCTCGGGCATTTTCGGCGCAGGCTTTTGCTTTTGGTTGCGCCCCCCTCTTCCTCTTCGTTGTTCTCTGTTGTGTTGTGGTCGGCCACCCATGGCGCTTCGTGAATTGGAGGAAGGCTTGTCGGGTGTCATCTTTGGTTTTGGCCGCGCGCTCTCGTGGTTTTTGGTTCTTGTGTGTGAGACCTGTGCTACGCTCTAATTATGGAGCGTGCCCACGCTCTTATTTTTTGGGCCTATTTTTTGGTCTTACTTTTTGGTTTTATTTTTGTCTCTTATTTTTCACTTTTATTTTTTGGTCCTATTTTTAAGTCTTATTTTTTGTTCTTATTTTTCTTTTTTATTTTTACTCTTACTTTTTCTTTTATTTTGACACTTCAACCAGAATAAAAATCGAATCGATCTATTCCGGAAGTGCAAAAAACTATTCGAAAACTGTGAAAATTCTTTATCGATTTCGACGCCGGATTTGCAATCTAATCGACTATTTCTTGCATCACAAATCAACTATAAATCAGAAAAATCAAAACCAAAAACAGAAA